GGGCAGTTAGTATTGAAGGTTGAGTAGTAGCGGGTTAGGCTGATAGCTGACGATGGTAGTCGTTCGGTGGAGAGAGAAGACTTAGATGATATTCATGGTAGCGACTGTATATATATGACAGGAGCGTGTGAAGTCACTACCGTATTCGTAACTACTGTGCAGTCCAAGTCCCGCGGTAATGCAGGACGGCTACGTAAGCAGAACGTGGCCCTATGCGATGAACGCGGAGCCACACGAGTGCGTGAGCGCTTAAAGTACCTATGGGATACTAAGCGCCTAAATAGACGTATGAAGGCGGTGTTTACTTGTAGACCTCGTAGAGGAACATCGCCGTACAGGAGGCTTCTGGATGAACCAATAAAGCCGTAAAGGGTCGAATACTAGACGTAAATCTGACAGAATGAAGTCAAGCACGCACCAGACAGTAGGTTGTGATCTTCCCAAAGTACATCCTTGGTGAAGTGATGTAGGCACGCCGGCAGACGCTGCTGAGGACGACGAAAAATGCGGAACCAAAGTGAGAATGAGACTGTACGTAAAGCCTTGACTAAAGTTACGCGATTCGTTTTCCGTATCTAGGCTTTTGAGCGGCAGTCATGAAAAGAGAGCCTAGTAAGAGTTGGGCATTTGACATGCTGTTTGTAACCACGAAGGAACATCTTGTCGAGCCATGTCAGTGTTCGGAAAGGAGGAGCGATGACACTTGAGAACAGCGAGTGAAGGAGACTGACGCGAAGACCGCTGACAGATCGGCACAGCCACCAAACCCTTCTCGGATGTATTGATAAGAAGCTGAAGCTGAAGTTCGCCTCTCTCTTGTTTTGTGAGCATTCTACGTTCTCGAACCTCCTCTGCCATTCGTCGCTATCGCTCTCAATTTTACCCAGGTTGAAAGAAGATATATATAGAATCGGTTTTATATTGCAAGGCGAGCGAAAAGGATCCTCCTTGGCGCAGAGAAGATTCGTCGGCTCTCTCTTTGCCCTCCCTCTTTTGATATGGTGAATAACACGGAAGCCAGTTATGTACTACCACTGCAATCGAACTCCAAACTGGAACTGGTGACGTTCGAACAAAAATATGTGGCATTTCCAGCAGGACTCGTGAGATCGATATTGGTGGCGGTGATGTTCGTACAGCTCGACGTGCAGTTCAGGTCGACGACCATCGTGCCTAGTGTACCTGAAGACGTGCCTGCGATGTTTGTGACTGTCAAATAAATTTGTATCAATCAATGCATGTTATTTTTGTCAGTTCAGCCAAAGCCACGCACAGGAAATGTCAGATACGTCCAGTTGTGTCGGGTATTCGGAGCAGGACACAGGTGTTGCAAAGCACTGTCAAGTTATGAGTTATCACATCATTTCGACTTTAGGGATTAGCTTTACCTCGTCAATTATGATAGGCCACTCCGTATTCTGAACGTTGAAGTTAGAGAACGTCACGTTCTGTGGACCACCATCGTCAAGTCCAGTCAGCGAGCAATAGTGGATAGAGCCCGATATTGCAGAGTACCTTGACGTAGCCCGCTCCGCCACCTGCCGTTGAATTCGCAAGAGGAGAGCTTCCAAACAACTTGATGCGAGCACCGTTCTGGGAGTTTGTTAAGTTGACATTGATAGCAGTGATGTTGGCCACGATGTCGGTTTCTCCTGCATACTTGGACAACACTTAGTCTTGCATAATTGTGTAGAGATTCATTTGCGACGAGTACCTGTCCAAGACTACCGACGGAGATACCATCCCCGGTAAGACAGTTCAAGTCTCGGATAAGAATATTTGTCGCGTTTGGTTTGAACGCTTTCGGGTGCGTCGGGCGGTCAGCGTAAATGTTGTGTATGGTCCATGAGCGTGCTTACAGACGCAGTCATCATCGTTATTGACGGTGCTGTTCTCGATTGTGACGTAAGATGACCTATAGATGTCCCACCCATCTACTATGGAGTAAACTCTCGAGCATGCTTAAAGTAATGATTTAGACAACACACCAGAGTTGATCGTCGGGTTGGTCGAGTAGGAGACCGTTGATATATTGATGTTACGATACGTGACGTTGGTGGACTGGTACACGAAGTTATTCTGTTATAAAACAAGTGAGAAAATATCGCTCAGGTAGCCAGCTATCGGCGGAGACTCACCCAGAAAGGCGAGCCAATCTCAGTCAGATCCTCGATCAGCACGTTACTCGCATTACCGACTGTAAGGGGGATGGGCCGGGCAAAGTCTGTCGATGAGCCGCCCGCAATACCGATAGTCTATTCAGAAGCCTTCAGACGGAATAGAGATTAGAACTTTGGGGATCACTCACAGCATTGGGATAATCCCACCACACTTGGCCGTTGCCGTCAAGCGTCCCTCCACCATATAGGTGAATGTTAGAGCCAGATAGGAACCAATACGTCGTTCTGGTCGGGAGATGAGACTCATCTGAAATGGCTAGGAACACGAAGCAAGAGCACTCACGCGTTTTGATAAGTCAGGAACAACGAGTTGGGAGACCAATACGCGATATTAGGTGTGTACTGCACTGTTATACAAAGTTCGCACGTAGGCAATGCAACGATATGCGACCACTAGAGACTCACGAGTTCCGCTCAGCTCGATGTTGACATCTTGCAGATCTGTTACGAGGACGGTGTTGACGACGTAATAACTATCAAGGACAATCGTGCCTCCGTTGTTGCACTGCTTGAGCGCTGAGAGGATGTTTGGTCCGTCGTCCTGGCCACCGCCGATGGGGACGACGCGGCACGTCGACCCGTTCTTCTCGACGCCGCCTTCTGCCGCAAGAGACAAAGGCAACACGGACAGCGCCGAGGAAAGCAGCAAGAATCCGGTCAGCATTGTGAGGGTGGAATTTTCGAACACGAGTGAGAGACGCGGTACACAGGACTTCCGAGGCCTCCGCACTGCATGTCATGCCCGAACTTTTATGCAAGACGTCAGGTCATATGAGCGCGTCTGGCGGCCCGCGCTCTCGTTGATGCTAAATATAGATGGAGCATGAGATGTGGGGGAGGAGCGAGACTGATGAGCCTATTGGTCCCCGGATCACAATTGTGAGGCCCACTTGGACCCAGGTATTGGAGCCTCAGTATACAAACCCTCCGCTCGGTTGGTTTCTGATGCGTGAGCCCGCGGGGAGGCATCAACACATGGGTATTCAGATAAAAGTAGCCGATGCTATTCTTGAAAACGAGCTCAGAGTACTAGAATTCGAGTCAACAAAGTCCTACTATCAGAGATACGACAAACTCTAAGAGCTACTGCTCGAGGGGGCGCGGCAGCCAAAGTCGAGCTGCGACTCAGTTGCAATGTTCTGGCAAAGGTAGGTCGCGTTGCCAGAAGGGCTCGTCAGATTCGTGCCTGTAGCTGTGATATCTTCGCACTCCGTGGAACACTCGAGGAAGGCCACGACGCTGCCCTCGTTGCCCGAGGATATCCCGGTGATGTTGATATCTGGGCGAAGGGCGTATTTCATTAGCGGAACGAAGGATCTCGATAACGAGAGAAGAGTGGAAGAGCGTACAATGAATGTCCGAAATGGTCATGTTACTCGGATACTCGGCACACATGCTCGCAGACGTATCGTAGCACTGGTTACAATCATCGTCAGAATCAGCCACCAGTAGGGCGGAAGTCAGGCTATACTAACCTGGTCCAGGTAAATCGGGTAGTCAACATTGTAAACCTGCAGGTTCTGGAACGTAACGTTCTGGTGGAACAGGGTGAGCTACACTGCATGCCGGCATCCACGAGTACAACGTGCTCGTACCTTCACATAACCAAGACCGCCCCCCGCAGTCGAGTTCGGGTCGGGGTTACCGCCGAACGCCTTGATGCGAGCACCGTTCTCGGCGTTATTCATGCTGACGTTATTGACGAAAAAGTTTGCGACGATATCGGTCACGCCTGCGTACTAAGCGCGCGTACGCGCGGCTATTAGGACCGGCAATGCTCGGTACGGCGAGGAGGTTTGGGCTACGAACCTGGCCTAGGCTTCCGACGGAAATGCCATGCGATCCATTGCAGTAGACATTCTGCACGATAATATCGGTAGAATTAGGTTTGAGGGCTACGTGCGAACTGAACGTGAGTTTGGGCTGGCAAAGTTTGAGGGTCAGATGCCAAGCTCACCGACACAATCGTCGTCGTTGTTAATGGTCGAATCCTCGATCGTGACATAGGACGAGCGGTATATGTCCCATCCATCTGAGTTAGCTGCAGCGTTTGAAGAGTACGAAGTGGTGTTGATGTGGATGTTACGGTAGGTGACGTTCTGCGATTGGTACACGAAGTTGTTCTGCCAAGACAGGGTTGAGGATCGTCGCAGGTCTCTTTGGGCAAGGGTACTTACCCAGAAAGGAGAGCCAATCTGAGTGATGTTCTCAACGACGACATTGGTGGCGTTTCCAACAGTGAGAGGAACGGGGCGAGCAAACGTGGTCGAAGATCCGCCCGCCGTACCGACCGTCTACTCCACCAATTGAGTACTCGCACGCGACTCATACGAACCCGTACGTACCTTATTGGGATAGTCCCACCACACCTGACCATTTCCATCAATCGTGCCACCTCCATACAGGTGAAGGTTATCTCCAGAGAAGAACCAGTAGGTCGTGCTAGAACCGCCGATGATGAGTCCAGGGTATCCCTAGTTGGACCAATCAAAGAACTCACGCATTCTGGAAGGTCAGATAGAGCGAGTTCGGCGACCAATAGGCGATGTTCGGAGTGTACTGCACTGTCAAACGCGAAGCGACGAGTCAGATGACGGGTTTCGTGACGAGATTCGTGACGTCAGAAAACTGTTTTATGATAACGTGGACCGCGTACCTGTCCCGCTCAATTCAACGCTGACATCTTGCAGCCCGGTGGTGATAAGGACAGTGTTAACGACGTAGTAGCTGTCAAGAACTACAGTTGCGCCTGAAGAGCACGTCGAGAAAGCATCCAGAATGTTGGGTCCGTCGTCTTGACCACCACCGAGGGGCACAACCCTGCAAGTGCTCCCGTCCACCTGCACGTTCGGGTTGCTTGCTGCAAAAGCAAGACCAGGAAGAACCGATAGGATCGCAAGACACGTTGCCTTCATCATTGACAGCATGTATACTGCGTGAAGGTTTGTGCGCTCGCCATCCAAGGCAGCGTTTTATACCGCGGCGGAGACTCCCTGTCCGCGCCCCGGTTATACACTGAGTTTTCCCCAGACTCTATTTTTTGACGCGGTCATTTGGCGGTCACGCGGACTTTTTTCCTCACGTGGCAGTGAAGTTTGGCGGTTAAAACGGACCGTCGCACCGGGACGCATTATGAGTGATTATGACCACTCGCCACGGATGGAGCGACCGACGAGTGTGCACATTCCGAATCCACACGCTATCAAAGGATGTGTGATGCGAACAACATACGACGAAGCCTTTGCTTACGGATCACCGGGGTCTTTTTGAAAAACAACGCGAAGGAGAAAAAACTTCTAGCCAAAAGTGCGAGGCGGGGCGCCGCAGCAGAAATGAATGTATAGGATGTCAACGGCGGCTGTGAGTGCAAAACCTTGTAAGCTTATTCATTTTCCTTGTACATCGAAACATAAGCGCCAGACTCTCACCGGTCATAAGTACCCTATACAAATTTCACCAGCGGTTGATGTCGGAGAGTCTGGTGAAGATAATGGCTCAAAAATACACCGTCGTCGGAACGTGTTGAGCGTTCACTCTCTCCCGAGAGGCCGCGGAATAGGGTGGATAGAATGGCAATTCATTCTGGTGGCAACAAAATGAAGAAAACATTATAGGAAGGGTCTTATGGTCAATTGCACCGAGCGTGATTGTCGCACTGGAAAGAGACATACCTAAACCATATTCACTGACACCCCCCTCTCCATAATAGAGCCTACTCCTCTCGGCGAACTGACTGACACCACGAACTACAGGCGTACGACTAAAGGTCGATCCCAACCCCGAATTTACGACAGCCTGAGACGAATCCGAATAAGAGCATGAAGGCATTCAACGGAATCTGGTAATGCGGATCAGGGCTCGCGCCGAATCTCACGCAGACATGCACGAAAGGACTGACCTATTCATCTTGAAGAACGCCTGGTTCGGCATGGCGAATGTATTGAGGTGCTGGGTGATATCCCTTGAGTGAACGTATTGGCTGGGACATCGTTGTAGTAGAGGCGCAGTCGATAGGATTGGAACAACGCGGTGAGATGGATCGGGTTGGCGCAGACCCTTGGTTGAGGTTGGATGGGCTCGGAAAATAGACAGGTTGCTGAGCAGCTGAGTAGGGGCGGCAAGAATGAAGGCGATGATGTCCCTGAGCTTCTCTCGGACGGCGTCGAGCACGCTAGCAAAAGCGAGAGACTAGTACACGTGGATTCGCGTACGACTGCACCACCTCCGACAGTCCGCCCAGGTCCGCTCAGTCGTCCCTTGCAACTGAGTTAAACTTCTGTCGCCTCCTTACCCGACTCGCGTGGCAGGCCTGTGTCTTGGCCTTCCAGCATCTCACTTCGGAGCTCCTTTGAGTCCTGGCTAGCTCACACGCAGCAGGGAACCTCTTCAGGGCAAGATTCGACGGCGTTGTACCTCCTCCCCAGCGGTATCATCGCTCCCACAGACATCATCCGGTGCGGTCACGCAGGATCTGATGTACGCAGACTTCTGAGTCTTTAACCTTTTGGCTCCGAACGGCAGGATCGAGATATAGCTAAGTAACAGATCTGTGGCGATACAACCGCCAATTGGAAAGCATTGTCGCATTGCAGGCCGGTTCACCGTGACTCTTTTGGGCTCGCGCTCAAATAGAAAGTCCGCTGAAGTTAGTTCCATAAACACCCACACTACTGCAGCCTTCTCTTGCCTGTTCCCGATCATCCGCAAGACCCCGCCCACCTAGCCCGCGACTGCTCAGCGCGTGGGCGCGTACTCCTCTCAAGGAGATTCTATATCCTCAATTTACCCCTTCACTTGCTCAGCTCGTGAGTCCTGACAAGAAGCTGCGATGGCCACCCCAGGAGACCCCGCCTTGTTGCGGTCCCTCAGCCAGGTGCAGGCTGTCTCTGCCCTAATCCTCGTCGAAAACTCCGAGCCTATGGTTTCCTTGTGGCCGGAGCTTCAGAATGACTATCTGCCGTCTATGTTGGCCGCTATACGTGTAGCACACCCTATAACACCGGTGTGTTGTTTCGCTTGTCTCGGTAATCCACTCTCCTAACTTTGCTCTAGATACGCGTGATGATGCTGCATAGTGGGCTTGTTACTGACCACTCCACAACCTCCCCGACTTCTCACATCAACTTCAACGAGGTGCCGAATATAACCTTCAACTTAGATCCTAGCAACCGGATTACGCCTCAGAGTGTGAGGCGTGCAATTGAGGTGAGCGACGGCGAAGTCAGAGGGTATGACGGCGCTGATAGGTCTCTGTTAGCTCCTTTCTACGCCAGCTCAGCACAGTCAGACTAGCCGTCACCTCATCATCGCGGCGGCTTCCAATCCCAGTAACGGCCCTCCAGGTCGCGCTGGAGCTTCGGAATGGCAGCTCCTTGGCCAGCGACTCGCCGAGGTAGGTTTAGTCTTCTTTCTAGTTTCCGGCTGCCTAACACATGTTTTTGGAATTAACAGCATGGAATCCAATGCCACGTCATTAGCAACATGGTGCCGTGCAGCATTGGGTTTTCCCAGCTTTTCTTCATGAACGTGAGTACCGCTAGTTATATAAGAGATCCGTTTTTGACTCCTATCAATTTAGCTACGGCTCCAGAATCACCAGAAAGTTGAGCCGTGGTTCCATGTCGATCATACGCGGTACACGTTCCTTTTGTCATCTTCCAACTTTGGTGAGTGACTTGCCATCTATCGCTACTGAGTCTCATCGTTGCTTAGGGCAGCATAGCGCGATGCCCATCTCCCTGACTTCCCAAGTAGGTTTACCTCCATTTCGCGATTTCATCGATAACATATCTTGCTTAGCAGGGACTCGGAAATGCCCCATCGTCTGCCAGGTCAGGCGCTCATCCGCTCCAAATCCAGTCGACCCTGCCGTCAGCCTCCCGCTCACCTTCGCCGCCTTACGAAGAACCGATCCCATCTCTCGTTAAGGAACTTCAGAAAGTGCATGGCATCTCCAAGAAAAAGGTTCACAGGTCGTCTAGTAAATCCAAGGCGGCCTCAACATCTCGAGGCGCTCGCGAGAGGTATCGCAGTGATGTACCTTCACTCACGGTACCGTCCAGCGTCCCGTCTGCAAGCAGTGCTCCTCCCCCGGAGACGGACCGGTCCAATCGATCTCTGGCTGATCGGCGCAAACGATCGCGGCACGACAACCACGCTGCCTCTGATCAGCCAACTAGGGCCGTCACCATGCCCCAAGGTCAAGGGGCCGAGCGGGTGCACCAATCACCCGGAACTGAGTCCTCGCCGTCGTGCAGCTCCGCGACTTTGTCTCCTGGCTCGTCCGGGTCCCGCACGACGTCCTCCCCAGCTGTTCCTATTCAACTCGACTCCACCTATTATGTGGCAGCCCCACATTTGACTAGTCAGGCTACGACAACGTCCATCGATAACCGGGCTTACGCCCAGCAGCCGCCCGTCGCACCGTCTCTGGCCTCTTCGAGCCTCGCCTCAGCCTTGGGGCCCCTGCCAGCGGTACTATCGCCTACCGCTACCGTGCCTGTCACCTCAGCAGGTACCGACACGACCACTCCTGCAGGGTCGTACGCGCAATGGGATTCCTCCGTGCCATTCGAACCGTCGGCACCGTCAAGCTCAATGGGTGCTATGTCTGGGAAATACCGGCTCGATAGCATGGTGGCACCGTCGCATAGCACTGCCTCTCGAGCCGCAGACTCCGGAGACGTCCCCTTTCTCCTGTCGCCAGAGTACGAGGCTGAGACGGCAGCCAAGCTTCAAGCGGCACTCGCGTCATCACATCCGCCTCCCATTGGCACGGGCTCAAACGACGTTACGTTAACGACGTCAACGGCGACCACAAGTGTGACGCGAGAATATACCACCACCACACCAGCACCCGGATTTGTCGAAGCGCAAAGTGGAGCTTGTACGTGCCCGGATCTTTCCCTTTTTTCCTTCTTTTCCCTTCGTATTCTGCTCTTCTTGGGTCTTGCTGAGCGCGATGCTGATAATCAATACTTTACAGACGCGCATGTGCCTCCCCATACCCAAGGCCGCGGCTACCCGCCGCTGGAGTTCGAGGATATGCCCGTGATTCCAGCGTATACGTATATCCAACCAACCCCTATTGATCTGCCCGGATCCTACGGCCCATACGGGACCCACAGCGGCGAGGGCCTCGCAGGTGACGACTTCGCGGACTCCGAGCAGTACTGCGACAACGTGGACGCAGCCTACCCGGTCGCACCGCGGTCGATGACGGCGTTCGGCCCCACTAGTTCCTCCCTGCACGGCTGGGCGGGCTAATCCCGTCCTTTTCGCCGACCTAAAACTCTGACGCCACATGTCCTCATCTCCATGCGGCTAATGCGTACCCGCTGACACTCTCCGCAGGACGCGAGAATAATGCTACGATTATGAACGACGGAAAAGAAGAGAAGCCCGCCCGCCCGTGTTGTCCCACCACCCACGACATTTCCACGTTTTTTTCTTCTGCTGCCGTCGCTGGGCTGGCTGATTACGTCTTCCTTCGTTCGGGCTCTGTCTGTATCCAAACTTTTCCTCCACCCGCCCTATGACGGCTTCGGGATCTGTCATCGTCGTGTATCATTGTGTATGCTTTTTTGTTTTTGCTTGCTTCTAGTTAACCTTGGAATTCTTCTTCTTCATTTCTGACGTGGCATGCTGTCTTTCGGCGGGGATCATTCGTGCACGGGACTTTGTAGACACGGACGTATGATATCATCGCATCACATATCTCCTCTAATCTCCGAGCATACCGAAGTACTGCTGTGCGATTTTTTGTTATCTTTCCTTTCGCGGCGCTCTCGCGTTCTCTTCCTTGCGTTACCATCCTCTCATGCTATGCGCTTATGCTGTGATGTATGTACGTTACTCATGTACGCACAATCTCCATCCCCCACACTGGGCCCTGTACCTCCCGATCAGCCTCCTGGCTATCGATGATTATCTCGCTACCGGAATGGTCACTGTGTTTTCCAACAGAACGGAACGGTGAAGGTGACGGCACGCGGGGCGGCGGGTGTAATATCTACCTACAACATGGCATTACAACTACTAGATACGTATACCCTAGTCTAAGTACGAACTCTACCGGCTCTGTTCCGCGTAGACCTGCGTAAGGAGTAAGGTTAGCAAAGTCACCCGTCGATTCGGTGCATGGGGGGCTTTAGAATCTCGTACCTTGATCGTCTTGTCGGCGCCACCTGTGATAAGTCGAGTGCCAGTCATGTCGAAGGTGGAGCAAAAGACGCCAGCTTCGGCCTCAAGCGATCCCGGCTGGGGAACATCATCCATATTTTGGAACGGCGTCCCGGTGTTGTAATCCCAGAACGTCAGCGTGCCATTATCACCTGGTCAAGGGAAGGCGGCGACCAATTAGCTAAGGTCGATCCGAAATGTGCGAGATGACGACACTAACCACCCGAGAAGAAGACACCTTCCGAGTTAACGGAAAGCGTGTTGATGATTGCGTTGTGACCCGGGAAGTTAAAGACGAAATTACCGTCCGGACACTTCCACTTCTTGATATTGTTCCCGCCTGTCGAGCCACTCGCGAACGAATACTCGGTCGGATGGACCGCGAGCGAGCGGACGGCCTTTTTGTGGTGCGTCAGGGTAACAGTTGACTTGCCAGCGGCCAAGTCCCAGAGCCTATCACGTTCCTCGGAATGAGCCGGGCTTGCCTTGATTAAGCGTACTAACTATTTATACACGCACCGAACTGTGGAATCCATGCTACCTGTTATGACCTGAGGATCAGACTCCTGACAGGCAACGGCGGCGACCGTTGCGGAGTGACCCGAAAGGACATGGATTTGGGCTTTGGTCCGCATGTCCCAGACGCGTGCAGAAGCATCACGGCCGGAAGTTACCAGAATGTCGAGAGTCGGATGTAGGCTGAGGGCGTAGACGCCCGAGAGATGCCCGTGGTAGTGCCTGATGACCTTGTTTGCCTCGAGGTCCCAGCATTTAACCATCTATAATCACGGGAAGTGACGGAAGCACAAGTGAGCATATGGCGACGTGAGTACCGCATACGACGAGCAAGCGACAGGGCAGAGCAAAGGAGGGAAAGGACGAACCTTATCTTCACCGCACGAAAAGAGATACGGATGCCTAGCCGACACTGCAAGACCCCGCACGGTCGAAATGTGCCCAGTCAAAGAGAGCTTCAGTTCGCCGGACGCGAGGTCCCAAATCTTGATCACCCGGTCGCCGGCACCGGTGGCAAACCACTTATTACCCGGCTCGACAGCGACACTGCGCACCCAGCCAAGGTGACCGGATATCACGCGCATGAGCTTCCATGGTGGATGGTACGTCGGCTGAATTGTCCGCGTCGTCTTGTGCAGGGCGAGCGCCTGTGAGAGCTTGCTCGAGGTAGAGAATGTCGATGGCTGGGGCGTGGGTGTGTTGTCTATTCTCGCTATCACCTTCGAGTCTGACAACTCGGCTGAGGCTGGTGAGGCGATGGCCGTGTCAATGACAGACACTCCGTGGAGAAGAAGGTGTACGTACGTCCAGCGGTAATAGCCTTCCTCTGCTCCTTTGGCCGGGCCGGGCCAACGGCCCCCTGCTGGGCCATGAGAGCTGCTGGGAGCTCCCTGAACTCCTTGTACTCGTCATTGAGCTTCACGGAGAGTCGGATACGTGCGCTGAAGCATGTGGTCAGGATCAGCACAAGGTTGAGTGGCGTAGGTACGTACCTCTTCTCATCATCGTTCAAACCTTCGTCCGGACATGACGCAAATATGTCCCGTGTTCGTTTTGCGCTTTTCTTCAGCAAAGGATCGAGCGGTGGGAGAGCAGAAAGAGAAGACATGCCAAGCAAGCTGGCTGGGAAGAGAATGAAGAGTCGTAAAGTCCTAGTGTGTCGCTGCTGGATACGTTCAGGAGGCCCAAGTCGAGGTGGAGGAGGAGTTGACCGACGCGGAGAATGTCACAGCACGCATTGCACCCAGCGGCAAGGCGCGTCTTTGTTTACGCGTGCTTACTTTTGGCTCCAAAACGGGAAATCCTCATGCTACGCAACACAGCGCGCCTCCGTCTCCGCGTTTTCCAAGCCCTTCGTCGTGCGCCACGCTCCCAAGTCTTGCCCGTAGACAAACAGAGGAAGTAGAGTCGTTGAGACGTTCAAAAGTAGCACATAGACGTAGTCGATCCTGTAGAGCATACACGCCATGTCATCGGATACTGCAGAGCTCAAAAAGCTCGTAAAACAGCTCCAAAATGCCACTGCCAATGAGGTGTGTATCCATCAATCCCGTATGACCACCCCGTTCATTTCGTTTCTGACACCGTTTCTTCTCTTCGCAGGAAAAGATTAACATACTGCAAGTGCTTAAGAAGGACTTCCAAGTGAACGAAACAATCCTTAGAGTGAGTGTTGCTCGTCCGTTTTTTGTCGCCCCTCCTCTTGCTCATTAGACGCCGTCGCTTTTCCTAGGAAAGCAAGGCGGGTCTGGCTGTCGGAAAGTTGCGCTCTTCATCCACGAAGGCTGTCTCGGATTTGGCCAAGGAGCTTGTCAAGAAGTGGAAGGCTGAGGTCGAGAAGGCAAAGGGTTCAGGGAATGCATCACCAAAGCCCACGAACGGCAGTGCGCCAGGTGAGTGGCACTCTCTGTCTTCCCTCCCTCCTTGTCCAACGTTCCCTCTCGCCATAGCACGGAAGGCATCTGTACCCGGCACCCCTACCACCCCCACCATCGTCAATGGCAAGGTCGAGCTGCGCACAGCTAAGAAAGACGGCGTCAAGATAAAGTCCACAGGCGATAACACCCGCGATAAGTGCTCGGAGCTTATGTATGATGGCCTAGCTAGCGATTCGGGCGCTCGTAAGTGCGACAGTTACCCATCTTCATTCTCATCCCTGACCTTCCCCGTCTCTGCCGGCGTATGCAGCGAGCGATCAGATCGCAAGCAAGGCAGCTGCCGTCGAGACGGCCGTATTCAATCAGTTTGGGTCCACCAGCGCCGAATATAAGAGCAAAATCCGATCCCTGTTCGTCAACCTCAAAGACAAGAACAACCCTTCGCTCCGCGAGACTATCGTCAGCGGTGACCTCTCCCCGTCCAAGTTCGCCACCATGTCTAGCTCGGTACGTCTCTCGTCCTCCCCGCCCTATCTAAGCATTGCAACTGACTATATGCGCTAGGAAATGGCCTCAGAGGAACGGCGGGCCGCAGACAAGAGGCTGCAGGAAGAGAACTTTTTCAAGTCGCTCGCCGCAGCCGAGCAGGAGGCGGAGACGGATGGGTTCCAGTGCGGCAGGTGCAAGCAGAGGAAGTGCCGGTACCGCCAGGCGCAGACGAGAAGCGCAGACGAGCCGATGACGGTGAGTATATGCGTGGCGTTCTCAGCTCCTTTGTGAGATTTAACCCGTGCCCTTCTCTCAGACCTTCGTCACCTGCACCAACTGCGGCAATCGGTACGTCTCTCCCCTCACGCTCATGTCTGAAGCTAGGCCAAGACTGATGGTTTCATTTGTGCTCTAGGTGGAAGTTCTCTTGATCTGGTCGCAGACGGCATACCAGTAGGAAGCAAAGCTTACCGTACCTGTACACTAATCATTGTGAGTGTCCGTCTCACCCATGCCGACAACGTTCTTGTTCTCATTGTCCCTAGCTTTCTCCGACATACATACCCTTCTCTCATCGCTGCAGATTAATAATCGTGCTTGACGTCTTTTTTGACTTGGCCTTCTCGCTGGGTTCCGTTAGCCGGCCTAGGATATAGATAGACCGTGTCTATCAGCCAGGGAGGAGGTGGACTGTCGTGTAGGCCTTGTACTTATTTCGTTTCGAGTGACCTGCTTTTTCGCCCAACCGTCTGTCGTGCTCAGGGACCCTAGACAATTTTTTTTTTTGCTTTATACACACATTGTCGTTCTTGACTATGCCTAGCGTGGACGCCCGTCAACATTGTACGAGTGTATTGAGGACTTTACTAATTCACTGCAGAACTGTGGGGATGAGCTCGAAAGCTTCGCGACGTCTCTACCGCCGACGCCCTAGCTCCCGCGTGAAAGCCCAAAGACAGCCTTGCGCGCAGCAAAGGGCATGACATCTAACTTTGCTCAGCTCTAACGCCCATCTACCGCATATACCAACCCCCATCGAGGCGCCATTGTGGGGTTGCTGCTCTCGCGTCGGTGAACAAGGTATTCCCTCGTAACCGAGGAGGGGATGGATAGATGGAGAAGAGCTCGTGGGCGCGAAGTTCTGGTCTTCACGAATCGCCGCTGAAACCCTCCGACCGCTTTCTCTTTGTTCCCTCTTCACTTCGCAGCTTAAGAACGTACGTCTACCTGTCACGACACGACGCTTGGCAGAAGGAAACATGGGCAAAGTGACGACCTTCTGCATAGTGAGTCGGCCTCGCTTTAGAGCATGACATGCGTTGAACCCATGGATTCCCTCAAGATCTCTGGCCGCACACCTGAGATGGCTGGAAACCTCCGCAATCTGTTCAAGTATATGTACTTCCGAAATAGTGATGCTCCAAAGCCTGGTGAGCTTGTCCTGCAGGCGCTTAACGAGCTCGCGGATGCGGAGGGGTTGGGTGTTGGAGATGAGGATGTCACCCTTATCGGTACGCCCATCCTAGGCTTCCCTTCTCCCCCTTCGTTCTAGCGCGCATGATATATAAATCTGTAGGAGCAACAGGCTTGCTTGACAACGGCGTACCGCGATACGTCGAAGGCCTCCCGCGCGAAGATGCGCTCCACATCCCGAAGCACCAGATCCACGTCGTGCCGCACTGCTCGATGAGCGAACAGTATCTCTGGGACCTGGGCTTCGCCAACGGCCCCAAGTGCCGCGCTCAGAACGGGGAGGAAGTCACACCCAACTTCCTTGTTTCCTTCGGCCCTATTATTATGGTGCAGACCTCTGGTCTCCCGATTCTGCACCTTGCGACGTGCGGACGCGTCTCGCCTCTCCGCCTGTGGACCCTCGCGATGCATCTAGGGTGGTCAAAGCCACATAATGACTATGGGCTGCCGGGGGTGGACTATGGCGAGGTGGGTATACATAGAGAGCAAGACCCGCCACCAATACCGTACATGGAGGAGCATGAAGTGGTTGCGCTTGAGGAGCTTGGTAACGTCGAGGCAATTCAGGAGACAGTTGCGCAACTAGGAGGGTTTTGGGTGTGGATGAGACCCGATAGGTGTGTTCATCACTTCCATTATGCCTCCAGCTTTTATTGACTTGTTCATCCGCAACGCTTGTCTTCACTGATAGATTCCCTTTGGATGCTCCCTCTGTACATGATTCGACACCTCACTCTGGAGGACATTCATCACCCTCACTTCTCTCCGGGCGCCAAGCTGTTAAGAAGCTCCCCTTCGAGCTCTTCTGTATGATCGCTCTCGAAGGCCCACTACCATCCATGATCTCACTCGCAGCAACGTCGCGTTTCATGCATTCTATCTTACTCGGGTCGACGGCTGACCGGAACACGCTTGCTGCAGCATGGCTTCAGACACGCGCACCGTGGTACATTCCCTCCACACCGGATGTCGAAGGCGCCCAACTGGAGATGCACAAGCTTCACGAGGGGGGCGCTTGGGAATACCTACGGCGATGTCATCTTAGCGCGTCTATGCGGAATCGGAGGCGTATTTGGCAGGTTGCAGAGCGGATCGAGCGGCTTGCAGACGCATATCAGATTTAGCAACAGACTTCGACGTCACAAGCAGTCGATTTCTTGTGTCTATTTTGGCGTCACGTTTTCACGCTTTCGATATGGATACCGCATATGTAGTCTGCAGACGTTCATAGCATTGAGACGAAGTACTTAGTCTTATTCTTGCAAACCAAGTCGGTGGCGCCGAAAGTCTGCTGAGTTGCGATATTTGGAACTCCGCGCCGCGCCTTGACGAAGACGCGACGAAGACTAAACTCTCGCGACATAACTGTCACGGCGTGGCAGACCGTGGTGAGACGCTGGCTTTTGTCTGCTGCCACCAAGGTGAACTAACTGTGAGGCAGGTTTATCCTGCTATAGACTTGAATTCCGAAAACATGGACTCGGCTCTTGGTGAAGCGTACGAAGTAGAGTTACGCGAAAATCTCGGCGTCTCTGAACGCCGACTCTCGGAGGAAATATCAAAAGTCTTCGCAAAGGTGGAAACGTTTGAGCTAGGGAATGGTTATGTTTTTGCCGCCATAGTGAGGAAATTTGCATCACTCAGTGCGAAAATAGGCAGCTTCTCACCACGAATGACTTCAGCGCGCTCTGTCGGATACGGTCGCGGCTGGATCCTCAAACATACCGAACGTAAATTGCGAGCCGAGAAACCCGCTTCATAGTGCATGTATCACACTCGGACTTGTTGAGCTCGTGGTTAGCATAATCAGCGTTCCTTGGGAAGCGTTGCCAAGCTCCACGCCTCGCCATGTAAGCTGTATGACGCAGTGGGAAGCCTGGCACCTGCTGGTGAAACTTGCACGCTTTGGTGACATCCCGGAGCGCAGTCACGTTCTAGACAAACTCATGGAAGCAGACATCATTGCGATCTGCTTGAGGGTGAGCGCCTATCATGTGCAACCCCGTCTCGCTTTTGACTTGAATCTCATCGGATTTTGGCTCTCAGACAATGCAACACCGTGCGGTCCGGCTTCGCGGCGTGGCAGCACAGCTCCTCGCTACATTGATCGCCGAATCCTTCCTTTCGGAAAGAGTTTCAGCGAGCTCTGCAGCTGAGATCCTGCGCTCACTATACACTCTCGCGCTACAAGACCCTGACTCGTTCTCTGACCAACTGAACGATCCAGAAAATCTGTGGCAAGTCTGCCATGTAGAGCATTCGTCCTTGGACCATCCATGGAACGAGAACGACGAATCCCGAAGAATCATGTCAATTCGGAGTTTTGGAAATGTGCAGAAAGCTGCACTAGACGCCGCCCAAATGTTCTTAACCATGGATCCGCATCCCTCTCAGCATCGGTACCTCGATATTCTCAAACGAAGACCATCTGTCATTGATTTGCTGCTTGACTGCACTCTGATCGAAAATCTAGTCGGCGATCAGGAGAACACTACTTCATCTTTAGCCTGCGAGAATCTCGCCGCCTTTTTTAGATGGCCACCATACTTGGTTCCCGGCATTTCGACTCCAATTGACAAGGCTTACAGCGCAAAAGACCGGAAAGCGCTTACTCAATCTCTGCAGATCCTTACCTCTCAACCTGATTGGACAGAGAGAATTATCGAGGCGTGGATGAAGAGTGAGCCAGAGGCAGAAGACAATGAAAAACTGCAGCGGTAAGGGTCCTTAAAAATCAACATATTCCTTCTACTACACACCGTGATTACTGAACATATTCCCATCCTCTTAGTGCTATATATGCAGTCAACTCTTTGTACGATGAGCCCATGGCCTCTACTTATGAGGAGACATGTGCAGCGAGGGCGACAGAATTCAGTAAGTCACAAGCTTTAGTTTTACATTATGGGTCCAATGTAACCCACGCATAGATCGCCGCCGTGTATCTCTTCTCCGTCTCATTACGACCCTAAGCTATTGTGCCGATGGTGCTGGGGTTAGAAATGTGGATATTTATTCCTTGCTACCAATTGCGTACCGCGCAAGCTTCAAGATTAATGATCCAAACCGGTGGGATATGGACATTTACGCCTGGCCTATCTGGGCTCCCCTCAACAAGACGTACGAAAAGGATCTCGACCCTTTCTATGTCGCTCCCGAGGTCCTCCAAGGGCCTATCGCCTTTGCGCGCCTCTTGGTCGTATTAGCTCAGAGAAACGCTCTCGACAGCATTCAGCTACTTCAGAAAGCACCCGCAGATCTATCTACTACAACATCTCTGGCCCAGATACAGCAAATAACCCACCCGGATATCATTAGACGATTCTTTCGCGTCGCGTTCTACCGGATACAGAACTCTCTGAAGAGAGGCAGAGCCAGCACTAGAGACCCTGATCGCACAGGAACACCGGACGCCGGACTTGCTTACGCAAGCACAGCAGAGCTGACCGCAGCAGTGATCGCGTTCGACGATAACACAGGCGGGAAGCACGCTTTGAACGTTCGGATTGGGGCCAGAGTCATGCTTGCAAGGCTCCTCTCCTTTGTCATTGTGGTCGCTATGACGCGACACAGATACCGAAGGGCCTATTATTGCTCTCTGGCAGCAGCCAGCGTGGCTGAGGGCATTCCAGGCGACGACATTCCTGATTGGGATGAGACTCTGGCCCGAATCAGACGCCAGGTTCAGGAGTCCAAATTCGCGTTAGAGAACCGGGAGAGCAACGACGTAAGTCGTCAAGGAGCATCGTATAGCCTCGTGTTACGATTGTGCTGACACATTCCCTCATAGTGATAGGAATGATAATCTCTTCATCTTTGTTTAAGACCCTTTGATTCGCTACGATTGCCGCGCAGGATCAGGAAGAGCTAGCTACGCTGGTATATAGCATCAATAGTCTCTGAATGCATCGCTTGGGTCAGCAGCTGACGAGACGCCAAGTCAAAGCACTGGTAGAGGCAAGAATCGTGGCCCGGGAACTTCGTGTCCTGAAGAGCTTATAGATCCGATTAAATGTGTTGCATCCTGCGGCGTCATCATGGCATAGTCGTAGATTTGACTCAAGATCATGCTCTCAGCGTATCTGCTAACGATGGGAATCCAGGATCACTAAGCAGTGTGCACGTAAAGAGCGACGAGAATTCGCGGGAGTCAGGAGGAAGACGTCGAGCCATGAAAGGTGCGCGCGTGCGGGCGCACAACATCGGATCACAAGAAACGAGTAAGGGCGATTTGGCTAGGAGGCGCCTCGCCAGCGTCCAAGACTTCGGAAAGTCGCGGAGACTTTATGACCTTCGGTGTTTTGCTCGGTCGTTCTTAGTCAGCACCCAATTAGGGCTATTTTCATACTCCGATCTTCGCCCGTTCTCGGTTTGACTGAACGCAAGGTATAACGTGAACGCGCATGCTATGCCCTCCAACAAGTCTCCAAAAGGGAAAAAACGCTACGGGATAAGAACGGGCTTGGTTCAGCCTTATAGAAATCGGTGAAGACGATCGCTACGCGCCAAGCGCCTATTAACCGCACCCAAGAAAGCCAAGTGAGCGCTAAACGTTAAACACTAACCGGTGCGGGACAGGCTGACTGGTATTGCTGACGCGCTGGTAGATGCAGGGGTACAGGCTGGTCAGCTATGTAAGTCATCGTTTACAATGGCGCTGTTACTCACACAGGCTCTACGGTCGTATAAGAAGGCTCTCTGCATCAAATCTATTGTTTGATCACTCCCAACTAACTCTCAGTCGTCTTGCAAAACATGTCTACAACTACCACCCTCTATACACCAGACGGAACTGTCGTCATAAACAAGATTGGTGTACGTTTCCATCATACCTTCCGAAGCATCCGAGCTAACGCAAATGGGAAATAGCATGGTTTGACGTCGATGACGTTCGTAAATAGCTCCGCTGGAACAATTTTTGTTGACTTCGACCAGAGGAACGGGCGACCATCCCGATGAGCGGTGCTTCGAGGCGATCAAAGCTGGCATAGACTCTCTTCCGGCTGGCGTGAAGATGTTCTTGAACGCTGGCATGTACCGCTCACTATCGTTGCTCAAGTCAAGACTTAACTGGACGATCAGCGGAGTTCTATGGCCCGAACTTCAGCACCGCAAACCTCGAGATGCTATCCAGATTCTTCGAGAAGTATCCCGATTATGCCGACAGGACCTTCCTATCTGTCAAGGTACGCACCAAGCATATAACGCTTTACGACACTGGCAATATCCCGTGCAACCACCATCTGCTAGGGAGGGGCGAAGGCAGGAACCCTGATCATCGACGGTAGTGACGAGAACACCACACGCAGTGTCAACACGATACTCGAGAAACTTCGCGGAACGAAGAAGGTCGACCTCTTTCAGTGCGCCCGTGTCGACAAAAGTGTCCCTATAGAGCAGACTCTCGGGCTTCTCGCGAAGTTTGTAAAGGAAGGCAAGATTGGGTCCATCGGGATGTCCGAAGTCAGAGCCGAAACGTTGCTTAAAGGACACAAGGTCCATTCTTTTCCATCTCTGTTGTACAAATCCAATGCTCACCTATCGACTCACTACAGGTTCATCCTATTACCGCAGTAGAGATTGAGGTCAGCCCCTGGGAGTATGACCCAGAGGCAAAGGAGGTCATCAGTGTGGCACAACGGAACAACATCGCTGTCATTGCGTATTCGTGAGTTTCGTGCTCATCTACGCGTTTGTATCTCTCACTTCAATCTGATCATTCATTCAGTCCCATCGGACGCGGTTTCTTGTCGGGCGAGATCAAAAGCATCGAGGACTTACAGGGTACGTGGTTCAGTAGCAATTATACACATCTATCGCATCTGAGATGAGAAAACTACCAGACAACGACCGACGTCGCATCATGCCGCGTTTCCAGAACGGGGTCAGTATGTTCTTACTTTTTTCATGCGTTGGGATCTGACATACTTTGGTTAGAACTTGGAGAAAAATCTCGCCGTCTTCGACAAACTCGTTGCTATCGCCAACGAGAAAGGTATTAAACCGGCACAACTGGCCATCGCATGGGTGTCATCTCTGGGACCTCGCGTTGTTCCTCTACCCGGTTCAGCGTGAGTCCATGGTTTTGATATTGGTATGGACCGCCGGCTGATATGTGGTCTCTCCAGTCGGACCGACCGTACTCTCGAGAACCTCGGTAGCAACTATGTGGCATTCACACCTAATGAACTGGAGAAGGTCACTGAGGTTATCGACAACGCGGTGGTTGCTGGCGGTCGTGTTCCTGAAGCATTTGTTAAGTACCTTTGGGCATGATACGCAGCGTTGTCGTTGGCTGTGGCTCAAGCTCTAATGTTGCAGAGAATACGAATATGGGCGTAAGATGATGAAGTCGTTAAAACGCGAAGTGTCTATATAAGTTATGACATCTGTATCACAAGGCCTGTGTCATCCATGACATCTCTTGCGCAACTGAACATTAAGGGCGCTTACGCACTGCTCTATGTAGTCGTTTATGATGGGCCGGCTAGTGAGTGGTCTAAGCGGTGGGTGTAATCGTTACCAGCGTTGGTAGATTGCTCGACGAGGGAGGATACTTAGAATAAGGCCCCTTTCTTTTCGTTGACGAGTCGAATCGAAGCATTTACTTGCCTGGTGCATTGGCGACACTTCTGTCTTCTTCATCGTTGCGTAGACACAATAACTAGGATGCAACGGGTACTAATCATGCCTTATGGCTTCCTAATATGTACCCTGACAGCACCGTACGAAAATTGGAACGTCTTATCCTTATTTTCTTCTAAGGATAGAACGAGTCGTCGAAGGAGATTTTGGGCTTCGTTGAAGTCGGTAGGTCGCTTCAGGACCATATAGAACGGAGAACTTGAAGTTGTAATAGAGTTGAAAATAATTGCGACCCTACCAAACGCTCACTGGATCCCTTGCTGGCTCCGAGAACTTGAGCTTGAGCGCTTGAGCGCTTGAGAACTCGAGCTCCAAGATAGGTTTCGGCCGATGCCGAGATATTTACTGTCCGCAACACCTGCGCAAACGGTGTTGCAGGTGCACCATTGGAGACGCATTCAGTTCACGCGACCCTAGCTTTGCCTTCAGTACAGTGCCGTTGCTTAGGCGCTCAAGATGGATGAATACCCAGACGACTTTTGCGACACTGATGTGGAGATCCAACGTATCTTCGAGGTCCCTGAGCCTCAGCTCACTGACACTTTGACCCAGTTCTTCACACGGGCGAGAACACTTCCGATAGACAGCGATCACGTCTTTTACATCTTAGTGAGTACCCGAAGTTACAGCTCAGCGCTCTCATAGCGTCCAAATACTTACATGCGCACTTTCTCAGAGGGTCATGAAAAAGATAGTGTCCATTCGGGACGGGACCGAAGATCCCCAAGCAGCTCGGAATCACAATTCTGGATGGTCCACTTCGGTAGAGTCAAGCGTTCGAGCTGGGTTGGTCGAAACCATGGTTGCCATTATCTCTTCTCCTTGGGACGATGTATTATACGAAGATACGCGTAAACTCGTAAAAGGCTACACGGCGAAGGAGCTGGCCTGGAGTATCCTGATAAATGTCTCTGAGTGGGGAGACTTTCATGAGCGACACTCCCTGCTCGACAGACAACTGAAAGCAGGTGTTACTCAGCTATGTTTGACAGTAAGGTGTTTCATGCACCACTTCAACTTATAAACTTTGCTCAATAGTTCCTTTCAGAATTTGTATCATCGCGTGCTGTTGTTTAGCTGCCTAGCGGTGCAGCTACTGTATGCGTTGTGCCGCCACTCTTTCCTCCCAGAAATGCTATCGCCTCGCGAAGCTGGAAATGTCATCGATGGGCTCTGCACCTTTGCACTGCAAGATGGTGACGTTTACTCCGACCAGCTGATAGATCCAGCGAAGAAATGGCAGTGGGTGTTCAGCCGTCTGAGTCTGGAGGACCCATGGAACAAAGACGACGTAACTCGGCGTCTGATGGCTAGGGGGCTGTTTGAACAGAACCAAACTCGTGCTCTCAACTCCGTCCGTGTTCTACTATGTATGGACAGAACTTCATCACCGACTCGTATGTTTCAAGTCATCAAACAGATCCCGACAATCATTGACTTGCTTCTGGATTGCATGACTATCGAGTTCCCTCGTGTCTTTCCAAAAAGCACACCAAGCTCACTAGCATCCGAGGCTTTATGCGCTTTGTTTGCGTGGTCACCGGACGCCGTCCCTGGAGTATCACCATCGACGGAGAAAGTCCTTGCTGCGGGTGACATAAAAGCATTGAACCAGTCAATGCAGTTTCTCACTTCGCAGGACAAGTGGGTAGATAGGCTTGTACAGGCGTGGACGGACTCCGAAGAATGGAGTGAGGACTCTGGAAACGTCAGACGGTAAGCAAAAGAGCCGCAGTCTTTAGCAAGCCGAATGCTCACGGAATTTGCGCCCGTAGTAGCCTCGCTACTACGAAATCCCTCTACGGCTCTAGCGAGCCACCGACAAAGGAGGAGGCAGTTGCGAACATCCGCGACGGGCTCGGTAAGTAAACTATGCACTTTTAGCCGTGAAAATGAATAATCTGATAGCGTTTCACGGTCATGAACAGGCCGTTCTCGCATATCAATCCTTCGCCTCATTACCACGCTGACGCATTGCGCTGACGCTGCTGGTGTCAAAAACGTCGATATCTATCCCTTACTTGCCGTGTCATACCGGGCTAGCTTCAAGATTGGCGCAAAAGAGCATCATCGTACGCAAGATCTTTGAGAGTGGCCGCTATGGACAAACCTGGCGCTCGAGCACATCGGATACATCGATCCTTTTCACGTGGCTCCGGAGCGCATAATCGGACCTACGGCTTTCGCACGTCTATTAGTTATACTGGCCCAGCGAAATGCTCTAAACAGCATCCAGCGTCTCCAAAAAACACCTCATGGCCTGTCTCCCACAACCTCCCTCTCTCAGGTGCAGCAAATGACGCATCCGGACATCATACGGCGCTTTCTCAAAATCTCCATCTATCAGGCCAGTGTTCATATGGATAAGGCGATGGACTTGGAAATAGATGGCGACGCAAGGACAAGTTCGCCGCTTTCCAAAGTCGCATTCAAGAGCACTGTGGAGCTCACAGCGTCTATCATTACCTTTGTAAATCTTACGGGAGACGTATACACCGGCGCTACGTACAAGGCAAACTTTACACTTGCTCAGGCTCTGGCAAGTTTATCTCAGTCAGCGCTAAAAATGACATTGCACGAACGTGCGTACTCGTGGGCTCTTACGGCGCTTGACTTCGACAAGAAAAATCTTCCTGAGGAGAAGCTCAGTGACACTCTCGTGAAGGGATGCAAGCGGGTGGTTAGCCGAGCTAAACAGGCCCTTGATTCAAAGTAGAAGGGAAATAAAGGTGCCATTTCTTTCGTTTAGACCAACCATCGACTGAAAGCATGATTTTAAGGGCAGAAGTCTCAGTGCAAGGTTGGCAGCCTACGTCTGAGATCTCGATGACAGTTTGATATCCATGTATCCATCTTCATACAACTGCGCATAGCGACATTTCTATCTCCTTCATTATTCCGTAGATACGAAAACTAGAATACAACCGTTTCTGACCATGCTTATGGCTTCCCAATGTTTACCCCTGACTGCACCGTACAAAATTCAGAAGACCATGTTCACCCCCGTCCACCCCGGATTCTCCCTCTTCGAGCGCAAGAGCTCACCAGGCCACGTCGCGGGTGGCGCCTTCCTCTCCGGCTGCTGAGCCTGTTCTGCCTGCTCAGCGACCTCATCTCCGAGCACCTTCTCGATTTCCCCGCGCGGGAAAGTCCTCTCCGCGGCCTCAATATCCTTCTGGTCCACGCACGCGTCCGGGTGCAACACGTGAAAGTCAGCAAGCACCGCGCCATGGACAAGTCGCGCGAGAACGAAAATGCGCTCAACGATGCCGGGCGACGTGTGCAGCGCTATCGCCATCCAGACCTCGTGTACATCACCCTTTGGAGTATCTGGAGCATGGGAGGCAATAAAGGCGGTTGCGGCGTCTGCTCCTTCGACCTCGAAGCACTGTGGCCCATCGCATACTGCTCTTTGCTATCACTGCACATATCAGAGCAAAGGAGGTTTCATGGAGGCCAAGTTCAAACGTTCAAGCTGATTGCCGTGTAGATACAGTTTGCTGAGTTGTCACCATTCAATCTCCGATCCATGCCAAAGCGTGCTTGTGGAGGTGAAACGGTTCAACAGATTAACGTCTTATCGGAACACATCTGCAAGTATCTAAGTAAGCTGTTTCTTTTTCGTCATTACGCGCATAACCTATCAGCCTGGCGATCCACTTTGTGACAGAGCCCATTCCCGGACCTCGACGATATGGATGTTGATATGAATAAGGTTGTGGTAGCCATGAAGAGACTGACAAGCGAGATCATGGCGCATAACAATAGGTACCAACGCGTGCTTGATATTCCCGAGCCTCAACTATCCAAGAATCTGAATGAAGTTCTTACGGAAGTGAGGAACCTTCGGCTGGGTGATGCGCCACTCTTGTCCGCCATAGTAAGCAGTTCTTGGAATAGTAATGTCGCAATACCATTTGACTCATGCATGTATTAGCGCACCTTCTCATTCATGGTTTGTCCATTAGACCTTGGAAACGACCAATACACAGAGAGAAGCCCCTTTTGCAAAGCTAGCGTCAACGCTGGAATGGTCAATTTCACACTCAACCTAATACGAATGCCTTGGGAGAACATACCGGATGGAATGTATCGCTTGATGGGGTTCCTGACTCAACATGAAGCTTGGAACTTGTTAGCCAAGTTATCTCGGTTCGGAGACAATCAGGAGCGAAGCGATATCCTTGAACAGCTTTTAAATGAAGAAATAATTGACTTATGCTTAAGAGTATGTCCTCACCGTTGTGCGGGATTGACACTGACTAAATGTCCAAACTGCCGCTACTAGACCACCTGTCACCCTTTTCTGCAGTTCCGCGCAGCAGCAGCCATACTTTTGAAGGTTTTCACAACTGAATCGTTCCTTGCTGATAAAATATCGCCTGCCACTGCAGCTGACATCTTGCGGGCTCTGTATACCCTCGCATTGCAAGACCCGGAATCTACCTCGAATCAACTGAATCATCCGGCGACAATGTGGCAACACATCACCGACGGTTTGGAGCTGGATGCTCCGTGGTGTAGAGACAAAAAGTCCCGGCGTCTTATGGCAAACCGTCTTTTTGGTAAAGTGCAGGGAGTAGCGCTAGATGCTGCTCGCACCCTCCTGACTATGGAAATGCGGCCGTCTCAACAGCGGTATCTCGATATTCTCAAACAGAAGCCATCTGTTCTCAATTTGCTACTGGACTGCATTCTTCTTGACCCCCCGTACGGGTATCCGGAATCCTCTGCAGCATTTGTAGCCAGCGAAAACCTGTGCGCTTTCTTTCGGTGGCCTGCGGGTCTAATACCTGGTATCCCAACGCCGACTGAGCCAGAATCGTCTATCAAAGAACACAAAGCACTGCTCCAATCGATCCAATTGCTTACCTCACAGCCAAAATGGACCGACAGGGTTATAGGAGCATGGATGAGAAGCGAACCGGATGCGGAAGAAAGTGCAGAAACCGAACGGTAAGTGTATTGAGGTTGAAGTTTCCTCCATCCATAGAAATCGTGATGCTGACATCTTTTTGTGCCCATAGTAGTCTAGCGACTGCCAAAGCTCTCTATCACGAAGGACAACTACCAATTGAAGAATACATGTTTACAAAAATGACCATAGGCGTCAGTGAGTGATAGCAATCCAGGTTTCTACTACACACCGGCTTCAATGTGATTTACCGGATGATAGGTCGCTGTCGAATGGCTATCCTCCGTCTCATCGCAACAATAAGCTACTTTGTCGATGCTGCCGGCGTACGAAATGTGGACATTTACTCTTTGCTGTCCATCGCCTATTGTGCAAGTCACAAGGTATGCCAGCAAAATTCGCCACGGACACAAGGGGCCTGCGAATGGCCTTCTTGGGCGCCTCTTACAAAGGACTACGAAGCGACCCTGGAGCCATTTTATGTCGCTCCTGAGAGCACGTTAGGACCCATCGCTCTTACACGCTTACTAGTCGTCTTAGCACAAAGGAACGCTCTCAAAAGTGTCCAATTACTCCAAACAGCCCCCGCCGGCTTGTCCGACACGACGTCCCTGGCCCAGATCCAGCAGATTACTCATCCCGATGTCATCCGACGCTTCGTCTTGAACATTGCGTCCTTCAGAGCGCAAGGCGCGATGCAGAGTGGCGTAGAACCCCTGCGGGCGTCTGCGCAGGATGGAAACCCTCGCGCTGTGCTTGCGCTCGCAAGTTCTGTGGAACTGATCGCCGCTACAATTGCTTTTTACGATCATACGGGCAACATATACACCAATGATCACGGGGGTGGGACAAGACACGCGCTCGCGATGGCCCTCGGATTCTCTACCGAGGCACTGATGAAACAACAAAAGTACCGGCGAGCGTATTATTGTTCCGTTGCAGCTCTCGCTGCGCTTGACAGTATCGTCGAGTCCAGCGAGTGTCCCGAAGATGAGACCAAAGCTAGAACAACCCTCGGATGGCAATCTCAGCGAGCTAAACGTGCGTTAGAAAGTCAAGAAAGTAATGATGTAAGTTGTTCTTCACGCAAATTCATGATTAAAAACATGTGGTCTTACATGATTCTAGTGAAAAGGCCTTCCAATAATGGACTTGACGCTTATTGTAGGATGAGCATGGAATGAACATATTTGTTGCCAATATCAGTTTCAGGTGAAATATGGACACGAGTGTGCTCGTGATTCCAAATAAAAGATGTATTACTACAGTCTGATATGCCGAAGAGTCTGCATCACTCAAATGTATCCATAAGTAACGCAGTTGATGCTCAATTATCTACATCAGGGTGTAAATATACTACACGCGTATCAAGGTTACAGAAGCAGCGGAAGCCCGGGAGCGCTAGGGACGTTACCTTGACTTAGTTCCGAGTCATCTATCGTTGTTATTACTATAAGAGAATGAGATCAGCACAATGTAATACAAGGCAAAACGGTGTTCCTTAGCAGCTTACGTCATTGCTCTTCTCAAACGCGAGTTTGGCCGCCCGAGCTTGGCGTTTGAGCTCAACGAGATCTTCTGCCCAACCATCGGGAGGATTGTTGTCTGGGGGAATGCTTTCAGCTGCGCTAACTGCCGCGAGAGAGCAGAAGTACGCTCGTCGGTATCTGTGTCGCTTCATAGCAACCTCAGTGACGAACGACAGGAGCAGCGCGAGCATGAATCTAGCTCCAGATAGTGCTTCTGACGTATACGCTCCTCCCGTGCAATCATCGAATGTGACCATTGCCGCAGCAAGCTCTGCCGCACTCGCGAAGAGAAGTCCAGAGTCAGGTTTTCCTGTGCGGTCGAGATCTTTCATGAGTGTTCTGCCTCTCTTGAGAGCCTCGTCTAACCGGAAGAACGACACGTGGAAGAATCGAGTGATGATGTCTGGATGCGTTGTATGTTTTATTTGGGCAAGGGACGTTGCGGTAGACAAATCTGCTGGCGCCTTTTGAAGCATCTGAGTGCTGTCGAGAGCGTTTCTCTGGGCCAGCACAACTAAGAGGCGTGCGAATGCTACAGGTCCTTGGAGAGTCTCGGGGGCGACATAAAAAGGGTCAAACTCTCTTTCGTACTTCTCTTTGAGTGGTGCCCAGATAGGCCAGTCACAAGCTTCGGTTAACCACTTGTTTGGATCATTGCTCTTGTGGCATGCACAATATGTGATCGGAAGCAAGGAGTAGATATCCACGTTTCTGACTCCGGCACCGTCGGCATTGTAGCTTATGATTGAAATGAGACGGAGAAGTGAGATGCGACAGCGACCTATATGTGGGCTACGTTAGCATCTCAACGTGGAAATGATATTCGTGCTTCACCGATCCCCATAACCCTCCTGACAAATATCTCCTTTCTGGAGGGGGGCTTTGAATCACCATACAAGGATATGACTGCAGATATGTTGCTTAAAGCGTGAATATGAGATTATGTCATTACGAGTGGTGATACAAAGAATGAATCACGATTTGATAACGCTTACCTCTGTATCCTCTCGTTGTCTTCCGTGCTTGGCTCGCTCTTCATCCATGCCTCGACAATCCGCTCTGCCCAGTCTACATGAGATGTAAGCATCTGCATCGATTGAACCAGCGCTTTCCGGTCTTTTGTACTATAAGCCTTATCAGCTGGAGTGGAGACGCCGGGGACCAAGTAGGAAGGCCATCTGAAGAAAGCACAGAGGTTCTCGCTGGCTAAGAACGGTGCCGAACTCTCCGGGAAGCCGTCCGGATGCTCGAGTAGAATGCACTCCAGTAGCAGATCAATGACATGTGGCTGTTGTTTTAGAACCTCGAGATACCGATGCTGAGAGGGGTATGGATCCATAGTCAAGAGAATCCGGGCGGCATCTAAACCAGCGCACTGTACATTTCCAAATATCCGGCTCGACATGAGACTTCGAGATTCGTCAGTGTCATTCCATGGATCGTCGAAGGTCACCTCTTCCTGGCAGAATTGCCATAGTGTCTCTGGATCGTTCAGTTGATCGGACGTTTCGTTTGGATCTTGCAATGCAAGGTTATAAAGCGACCGAAGAATCTCACCGGCAGTGTTCGCCGAGATCCTCTCCGTTAGAAACGATTCGCTAGACAATGTAGTAAGAAGCTGTGCTGCCACCCTGCGAAGTCGCAGCACACGGTGGCGCGTTGTCTGGCAGCCGAAGGCCGGTAAGCTTCAGCTGCTAAGAACGAAGATATCATTGTTTGAGCACTTACGCTCAAGCAGATTGAGATGATATCTCCCTCCATGAGCTTATCTAGGACATGACTACGCTCCTGGATATCACCAAAGCGTACGAGTTTGACTAGCAAGCCCCAGGCTTGCCACTGTGTCATACAGCTAAACGGACGAGGCGTGGAGCTTGGCAGCATTCCCCAAGGAACGAGGATGATGTTGAGCACAAGTTCGACGAGTCCATTATTGACACAAGCACTATGGAATGGAGTCCGTGCCTTGCAAGTTATGTTCGGGACTGTTGTGGATCCCGGCGCGACCATGTCCGACAGAGTGCACTGATATTCACCATGGTCAGAAGCTGCTATCGGTGCGCTGAACAATGTTCTTTCTTACTATAGCGGTAAAGATATAATCGTCACCTAGGTCAAATGTTTCCATCTTCGCGAAGACGTTTGATAGTCTCTCGGAAAGTCGAGGTTCAGAAACGTTCAGTGTTTCTCGTAGCTCAGCTTCGTACGCTTCACAAACGGCCGAATCCATTTTGATATGTCAAGTGCTTAGCAGAGGTGAAATCATCTCGAAGTTAGTTTATGTCGACAACAGTAGACGAGAGACGATGTCTCACAGAGATTTGCCACGTGTGGTGACTATGTCATGAAAATCTGGTGAGTTTGAAATTGTCTTCGCCAAGGTTTGGGCTGGTGCGGAGTTCTAAATGTTGTAACTCAGCACCTCATGCCACCAGCCAGCGCTCAACGTCAATATTTGCTACACACTAATAATGGCCTTTCATTACTAGAACAGACTACGAGTACCCATCTCAAACGATGAAAGAGGATTGTCGTATTCAGTACTACAAATCGACTTGCGGACATTGACGTCTGCTACTGTATCTGATGTGCATCTGCGAGTCGCTCGACCCGCTCTGCAACATGCCAAATGCGCCTCCTATTCCACATCAACGCCCTCTTGGACCTTGTGCATTTCGAACTGGGCGTCTTCGACGTCCGATGTAGAGGAGATGTACCATAGTACATGTGTCAGCGAGCGTATTTCTGCAGGCTATAGGCCCGAGTAAGATGGACCGCATGGAATGTGATGTCGCTGCGAGTGAGAGAACAGATGAGAGGGGGCCCTCGAGAATGCCCGTGCGGGGGTCAAAGGGTAGTGTCTCGATGATAGCTGGTCGGCCGAGGAGAGGCACAGGCGGTGAGCATGGTATATAGTGAAATGTCGGGACATGTACAAAGGTAATATCCAAGGGGAGTCTGTTGGAAAAGGCAGGTATCGCAAATGTGAAAGTTATTGTGGGCGCGAAGACCAACGAAAACGTACTGATTGTGCTTCATCCACATCCGATACCCTCCTTAGTCTGCTATCACCTCCTGAATTGCCCCGACATCTCACAAGCCCCCCAAGCACAATCCAGTCCCAGTCAGCCATGTACGGCGTCGGCTGCGAAAACTGTTCTCGGTGTACATCCACCTCGCCATAGTACACCCCTGGCAACCCGTATCCACCAATATCCAAATCTGACCATCCCAGATGTATTGCAAGGGTCCACAGCCGTAGTGGCAAGATTCGTCCGCGCGTCGCAAGGTGCAGGATCGGTAGCAATGCAGGTGGGTCCGTCAATGCCTCCCAGGTCCCAGTCATTGTTGTTAGAGCGTATGGAGTAGTGCGGCACGATGTGGAATCGGTCTTTTGGGATGTGGAGCGCCTCGCCGCAAGGGATTCCATCACAGTATTGTGGTTCGCCACTGTCAATGAGGTCACTTGGGCCTAGAGGTCACGGACTGTAATAGGTAGAAGTCCAGAACAAAAGATTAGGGAGTGGAAGTGGGGGACGTACCGATGACGCTAATATCCTCATCTCCATGGCTATCCATTCCTCAACCCTTCTGCATCCGCGATCTCATTGAGTGCCTGGAGAACAAGCTCGCCGGACTTCGCGCGTTCGCCGTGACAGTACCACTTGAATAGGTTTCAGAGATTGTCGGCCACCTCAGATGTACAGCCAGAGATCTTGGGACAAACGGTCACATTCAACGCATGTCGTACGATACCCAGAGAGGACAGACTCGCCATGCAGAAAGCTGTCACCTTGCCCGTGTTCCCCTTCTTTCCGAGCAAATGGTCGCGTTGGCTGATCACAGAGAAGTTTTGAGGGGAGTACATAGACTCAAGTACTAAGTATAGTTGGTCGGGAGATTTTCAGCGGTGAGTCGTGGAGAACAAAAGCCGACCGTACGACCGCTACTCCGTTCGTGTATCCACTCCATTCCCGGTTCTACCAAGGCTGACTTCTGTTTCCAATGCCAGTGCAAGTGCGACGAATCAATGAAAACGCTGTGCAGGGCAGAGCGCACATAGTGGGCGGGTAGCAAGCTACGCTTGAGCGGTGTTCAACTCAGTGAGGTTCACGCGTCGAGGCCTACAGTATTGCGACTCGAGAGAATTCATCATAATCCCACGCGGCGTGCACAATCTCCGTCAAGGCCTTGCTTGAGGCAGACCACCGATAAGCCCAACTCCGGTATATTACCACTTTCTTTTCGCTCGCTTTGATACATCGCAGCATTTGGCTGACTCATGGTTGTCACAGCACCACTAGCGCGACATGGATGCAAAAATCATCGAGGAGTTTATGACGCTCGCTTGGCCCCCTGAACCAAAGCTGTCCCAAGGAATGTCCAACTTCTTTGGAAAGCTCAAGGGTCTCCGCCCAGACAACCAATACACGTTCAACGCTATGGTACGTAAATGCTTTTTAACTCAGAGTAGCTTCTCACATGTCGTCGAACATTAGCTTGGTATAGCGGCCGGGGATGTCCCGAGGGAGCCCGAGAAGTGTCTAAATACAAGCAACAAAGGGCTGCGCGACTTACTCACCCAAGCCTGCATCCGGGCTGGGATGATAGATGTCATGCTTCAGTTTATGCACTTTCCCTGCGAAAACTTTGTAGCAGTTGGGGACCATCCCTTATATGGTTTTACGAATCAGTGGCAAGCTTGGCACTCGCTGGTCAGGTTGTCACGGTATGGGACCACCCAAGAGCGAGAGCAATTTCTAGACAAGCTCACGGACGCAGACATTGTTCAACTATGCTTGAGAGTAAGACCTTAACATTGATGGTCCGATTTCACCACATTGATCTCAACTTATTTAGACGACAAGTCACCGTGTACTAGGGTTTCGCGGAAAGCCGGCAGAGCTTTTGGCCAGCTTGGCTTCGCAAACCTTTCTTATTAACAGACTGTCTGCTCGAACTGCCGCTGAAATCCTGAGGGCTTTGTACACGCTTGCGCTGCAGGATCCGCAAATAACCTCAGACCAGCTGACTAATCCAGAGACGAGATGGCTGTATGTTTTACATGATCTGGACGACAAGGACCCGTGGAACAAGACCGAGCAGTCGCAGGGCCTCATGACAAGTCGCGTCTTCGGTCAAGTGCAAGTTTCTGCACTTAACGCTGCACATCAACTCATCATTATGAACACGCATCCGTCCCCGAGATACTATCTCGATGTTCTCAAACAGAAGCCATCTGTGATCGACTTGCTATTGGACTGTATTCTGGTTGAGCCACCACATGGCTACCCAGAAGGCACCCCTGCATATATCGCTACCAATAACCTGGCCGCCTTCTTCCGGTGGCCTTCCTCCATGTTGGTCCCTGGAGTACCATCAACAGTTGATCAAGCTCTGAGTAACAAAGACTGGAAGGCACTGCTTCAATCCATGCAGATCCTCACCTCGCATAGGGACTGGACCGAGAGAATCATAGAGGCATGGATGAAAACAGAACCCATGACAGAACCTGATGCGGAGGACGTCGAGAAGAGAAATCGGTACGTGTAGCAAATTCTCTGATGTAAACTTCTGGCGACTTGGCGCTTCGTTACTTTCGTAGGAGCATTGCCGATGCTCGTCTTCTCTTCAGTGAAGAGAGGTCACAGATCGACAGCAGAGAACGACTCAATGAGGATTTCGCTGAAATAGCTGGTCAGTATTACCGCTTGGCATAGGATACTGGCTCATCCATATTCTACATCTATGAACAGGCTTTTCCCGAATTTCCATCCTTCGTCTCATTATAACGTTCAGTCATGGCGCAGACGCAACAGGCATTCGAAATGTCGATGTCTACCCTTTGTTGCCTATCGCTTACCGTGCAAGCCAGACACCACACCAAGATAATCGAGTAATCTGTGAATGGCCGCTCTGGACTACTCTAGAAGACGACTGCGAGCAAGACATCGAGCCCTACTTTGTAGGTCCAGAGAGCATGCTCGGACCTACGGCCTACGCGCGGCTGTTAGTCGTCTTAGCCCAGAGGAATGCTTTGAAAGCCGTCCAGTCGCTGCAGAAACCTCCCCCCGGACTATCTCCTACGACATCTGTTGAGCAGCTCCGGCAGATAACCCATCCGGACGTCATCGCTCGCTTCCTCAACATCGCGATCTTCAGGGTGCAGAGCGCCATGAAGAATGCAGAAAAGGTCAGTGAGGAAGATGATCCGAACGCCAAGGTACAAGCTGGACTCGTTTTTGCGGGAGCCGCAGAGCTTGCTGCGGCCATGGTCGCGTTTGATGACCTTACGGGAGGGGAGTACGCTGCCGAGGAAGCCTCCGCAGCGAGACACTACCTCTCGATGGCATTGCGGCATATCTCCGAGGCAGCAACAAAGGCACGGAGATACCGGCGGGCATACTCCTACCTAGTAGCAGCGGTTGCGGTGGCTGACACCATCAAGGAACCACGTGCGGGTTGGTCCGATTTCGAGGTCAAGCTCAAAAAGCAGCTTCGACAAGCCAAGATAACGTTCGAAACTCGAGAGAGCACCGCCGTAAGTGTACCTCCACGGTTATAGTCTTGAGGTGGGTTGCGATATCTGACTGGCCTTCCTCTTTCAGTGAGACTTGTTGCGTTAGAGACCGCTCCAGGTTGGTTTTTTACGCTAGCAAATGCTTCGGTGCCTTGGTAACATCTCCTAATTATATATTAGAATGTGACCATTTAAGATAAGGCTGACAATTGTACGTATGCTATCACAAGACTTGCCTGTGTTATGCTTAAGTGTAGAAAATCGAGGTCGCACGGGCTCGCGACGACGCACAGCGCGTTTGTCCCGGGCAAGAGGAGGGTGCCCGAAGGGCAATCGCGTGAAGAATTCGACTATCTACGACAGGAATATATACTACGAAAACTCGGATATAATAAGATAAAATATGACACGTCATGATGCGAGCGATAACGAACACAGAATTCCAACATTAAGCCGTTCCATCTCCAAGATCCGTGGCGTAGCTTTGACACGGCTTCACTAAGTCGCAAACTATAAGACATGTGAAAGGGTGGATTCACCTCCTACATGACTCTGCATGACTTGCCCATACTCGTATTGGGAATAGAACTTAGCGTTGTCTTAGTTGCCACTGTAGAAGAATGTGAGGAGTACCAGAGGGATATACTGCGGTGCGCGTCTGCTTCGAGCGTATACCCGAATAAAACAGTTCGAATGGACGCGACGTACCTGGCATAAGCGAGAAGGCTATGATAGAAGGCCCACGACCGTCAGACAATACGCCCCGAATGCGCATAGACACAGCGGCGAACGCGCGGGCGCGGCCAGGTGACGGATTGGACGACCCGAGTCCCGAACTATGACTATGGACGGGCACGGACGGCGAACCAGCATTACCACAACATATAACCACTTCAAGGGATGGATTTCAAGGGCAATTCGTGGTTCATTGATGGAACCCGTTTTAAAGTCAGAGCGGGAAAGGAGTCGATACCGCCAAGGACTCGAGTTGAGGAGGTTCGAGAACAGGAGAAAGTGATTTGAATGGGACGCTAAGACCGATGACCAACCCTCGAATATCAAGGCTGACGCATTAGAATAGACAACAGGGGCGAAGAACGGCCGGAACATTCGACAGTCAGAGCTCGACATTGAATCCAAACACGACCAAACGAATAACGGTAAGATGGTTAACTATACGGGAAATAACACGAGCAAATACTAGATGAAACCATTATGCCAAGTTTTCTATCGATTACGGCATCATCAAATCCTGCTCAGCATAACTTCTCAGCCCACCTGCTGCCTACATTGCTCTCCGTCTAAGTGCTCTCGCAAATGTGTTTTCTCGGGTTTGTTGATTACTCGTATCTTCAATATTTCTGCCCGCTTTTGTTTGGTTTTTTGTTTGTGCTCTTGATCAGATCCGTTTGAGATCAGATTCGCTCTCGATCCGGACATCCTCAACCATTTTGGGCCATATTCCCGCTGATAAGATAACAGTCCCTGAGCTGGCGCTTTGTTCGTCGCCATCCTTTCCTCCCCTCCTCCTTTCCCTCCCCATCTTCGCACTGTGAATCCTCACAGTCGCACGATTGGTATGTCGTTCAAGTCCTCTAACGTTTACACACGCTTACTTTAGCTCTGTCAGGACTACGGAGTAGGGTTTTCAGTGCGTTCCATATCTATCGCTTTTTGGCCATGAGCTCACGAAAGTATGCTCCCAGGCGGCGATAGCGCTCTTCTCGACTCCACTCGACGTTTGCAAAGAACACCTTTACCTCCATCTCCCATTTTGCTCGTAATTCTCCCCCTCGTTGCATCTGATGCAGGGTTCGCAGGTACGCCCTCTTGCTCGAATACCATTCCCCACTGATAAAAGTGATCACAGGCCCGAGATTGCCACCCATGCGCTCATGTTCGGCCACGGTCAGCTCGTGAGCCGCCACCCGGCGTGTCCTGAGACTGAGCCCTTGCTCTTACGCTATCCGTCCGCAAGCGTAAACTGGTAACCCACAGTCGGCAAGCTCACATCCACACCCGTAGCATCCTGCACATCCTGTTCGTTGTCAGCGTGTGTTGCCGTGTATCCGGGACCCCCAGCACTGGCCTAGGTAAGTGTTTCGCAGGCAGTACTATTATGCAGGTTCGTCTTTGTCTCGCAGCGTTTCTTTGAACACTTGATCGGGGGTTGGTACCATTTCACTCTCTCGTAGTTGTGATGCAGCTGATATCACTTTCATCCCATTTCCATATGTAGCCGTGGTAGGTTTCCGTTCCTCGTCTCGATCTTGGATATTAGTGGTTACCTTTTATTGGACGTGATATTATGTTTACGCACAGGTGCGTAAGTATATTTCAGCTACAGCTTTCCATTGTAGATTAGTTCTGTGAAATGTTCAAGTTGTCTCAGATTCAATGTATGTTAGTTTGATGCTGATCCCGTTGAATGATGTCTTGGCGTATTGAAGTCTCCGAGCCTTAGGTGTGAACAAAATCCCGTTGCGTAGTAAGGATTCTTGAAGGTTTAGGAAACCTAATATAGGTTTTCGTTGGTTCGATACATCACAGTTGCAAAGTCAAGCCCTCATGACAGGTCTGACTTGCCGAGACAGGGGAGGATACGAAAACTCATGGGCACCGTGACGTGGTACGTGGTTGATCTAGAACCTGTCTGATTCTCTCATGTAGCAGACGGCAGTTCTGATTTTTCACGTCTTTGCCCATTGATTGTGCCGTAGCGGAGCACGGCATGTCTTGTAATTGATGACCAGTACTTCCCGATACCGTCGGACGATGGACGCGGGGTGAACACTTGATGAACAAAGTAGTCATCGCCTCGTTGCACATCCAGCTTCTAGTGGGTGGGGGCGGTTCAACATCAGCATAGGCATTCCATCCCTCACAGGCCTCACCCCCGGGCCCTTACCCCACCATGTCTGTCGCCATCGTTGTAGGGATGCTCGGTCTCGCCAACGGCATCCGTCGCTCGGGAAACAACGGAAGTTCTCAGACATTCTATTGTTACTACGATTCCGCCCTCCACTGCAGTCAAACCCGGTCCGCACCTGCCCAAATTTGAGATCACAGCCCAAAGCGTGATCCAGTGCTCCCCAACGACACAGTGGCTTTTGTCATCGCGAAGGCCTACTTCGAGCGTGGCGGCACTATACTCCTCGGTACTCAACCGCAGCAGTTCTTTCCAATTCCGGGAGACCCCCCCGACGAGCACTATGGACCACGTGCTGGAGTTCAGCCACCCGATGCTGTTCGCTGTTGGCCGCGTGTGCCCAACGTCATCTGCCGACAGTGTTGCGACGCCTGTTCGACGCTTTGATCTTGCTGTGTCTGAGTACGTTCGTAACACCACTCAGCATAGCACTGTGGAGTAAGCATAATTTCACCGTTGCGGGGCGTTATTTTTTCCCCCCAATCTGACGAATATCTGTCAGACTCGCATGCGACATTTCAACGTCGCGCTGGGCACACACTCCCACGCCATCGGTCAATACAGGAGTAGGCGTTCTCGTCGTTGCTAGTGGCGTAACAACGTCTGGTATGATGCGGTTTGACTTACTTTCCTTAGCGTTGAACATGTCGCCTTCTGTCGCTGTTGGCGGGGGGGGTGGCGAACGGAGGCAATGGGAGTGATGATGCACCCTCGTCTAAACGGAAGCGGTTCTCAGCGTACGCCAGTACTGATCGGGCCGAATCATCTGCGTACGCAATATCATTATGTATTAACTATGGCTTGATGCTTACAGACATCTCTAGCAACAGTGCTTCTCCCGCTGGACGCAAGGCGTCTCACTAATTGGTTTGAAGCGCTTATGAAACGCGTGATAAGCGACTCCAATTTATATACCGTGTTCACTATTAATCAGCGACACAGAACCCCTTAAACACGTCCACTAGTATTACATTTGCTTACTCGTCCGACACGTGAGATCCGGGGAGGATCAACCGATGCATTGAGTTGTATGCGCTCCTCTATTTCTGACCTCTTGGCACCAAATCTGAGTGACCAATCGCTGAGTTGTGAACGGCCAAAATTTAGCAGTGTACGTCTGCGAGGCGAGTGTACTTAAAATGGGTGCGCTGTTCTCCAAGGCCTGAACTGCCCACACCCACGGACGCTTACACAGGTGTTCTAGAAAGATCGTACCAATCAGTACGTTCACGAATTCGTTGATTATGCTTACGACTCATCAACTACAGTCCACTTCAATTTTAGATATTGCACATAGGCGGCTTGGGTGCGGATAGGACATCCGTTGAGCCCCATTGGAGGTCAGATTTGCTCACAATACACCGTTCGCGAATTAAAACTAACTCTCGCAAAGCGCTTACTTCACGGAATGACCGATCCCATCGCCTCTTGGACCATCGGCCCTATCTCAACGCCAACGTTCAGTTTCCATTGATCCCTTGGGCTTTGGCATCGGAACTTCGAACGGTTCCCTCGCCGCGCCTACTTCGTCTCTGCGCCTCACACAACCCCTCAACTCCGTCACTGATGGTTTCGTGGACTGGAAGACTTATGTCGCTTACATGTGTTCTTTGACTCACCCCGTTCGTGTTCTTTTCTTCTATTTTTGAGGTTGTGTTCGTACCGAGTCCTTCGTCAGAGCTTCCCCGTCGATTGACCCGCTACTTCTGACCAAGCGTGTATTCTTCTGCGTTGGGGTCCGTCCTCGACTACAGGCCTTCTTTCCTGCGAAGCGCCCATCTCGATCCACTTCCATGTCTCCGGCATCGGCGGAGGGAACTTTGGCGTTCGTTTGGCTGCCTTGACCCATTTCTTCGCTGTTCAGCATCTCGTGGGACCCTAGCTTGCTGCTGATGCGGTTCCTAGCCACGTCGTCCATCACATTGTCCTTACTGACCATGGTAATGCCGGGACCACGGGAGTCATTTTCCGTACCGAACTCTTCCGTGACCGTTACGACGCAATTTGTGGATTGTGTCTGTCTAACGACCGTCCATCTACGTTTGTCTTGGAGGACGAACTGGTGACCATCAACTTCGCGCTCATGTTGTCGACATCTCCCTACCTCAACAGGCTGTATCACACCCTTGACGCAGTCTCGTAAGTATCTCGCTCTGACTGTGCATTGGTATATTCTGATTGTTTGTGGATGTAGGGAATGTGGGATCGGCTTTTTCTAGTGTTGTACTTCTTTGCCTGCGTTGCCTTCACTTTTTGTGTGTATTTTTACTCCTGTATGTTCGATGTTTCCCGTCGCGTTCTACCAAAATGGTACATGTGTTCTGCTCTCCATCTGTTCCGACCCAATTTAGCCGTCGAAGTGCCGGAGCGCCCCGCGCGAGGGCGTGTCTTGTGGTTCTTCAATTTTGTCACTTGCATCACGCGTAGCTAGGTTCAAATCAAACCCTCGGTTAGTCTTCGTATGTTACCATTCGCTTCTGGGCCCACTCCGGTATATGACAGAGCCTGACTAAATCATATAGCTCAAACAGCCATAGCAACGCGATGCAGGAAGACCTAACCGCACCGGTCGACTTGGAGCTTGTACTAGTACAGCTCTTCAACACTCCTGAACCGCAGCTTTCCCAAGGCCTATCTAACGTTTTCAGGAAGATTAGGAATCTTGCTCTGGATGATAACTATGTCCTCACTACTACGGTAAGCGGATCTCCCTCCCTACATTCTGGCTTTGATCATCTGAATCACCAAACTCAGCATGCCATATTGTCGAACCTGTCGAAACACTCGGGACAATTGCGTAGTCCATTAATGCAAGCCTGCATTCGGTCCGGTATGGTAGAAGCTATGCTTCAGATCATTCACGTTCCCTACGAAGAAATCTGCGCGGAATCAAAGCCTCCCACCTTCAGCTGCGCGAATCAATGGCAGGCTTGGCTATTGCTTGTAGAGCTGTCACGGTATGGCACCCTTCAGGAGCGAGAGCGGTTCCTAGACAAGCTACTAGACGCAGGCATCATCCAGTTATGCTTGAAGGCGAGTGGTTAGCCATCGACACTTGAATTTTGGCGCTGACCTTAGCTTCCTCAGACAATGAGTCACCCTGTGCTGCGCTTTCGAGGGAAAGCAACATTCCTCATCGGAATCTTGGCTACCGAAAGCTTTCTGGCCAGGAAAATATCAGCACCTATTGCAGCCAAAATACTGAAGGCTTTGTACACGCTCGCACTCCAGGATCCAGAAGCAACTTCTGACCAGTTGACCAACCCGGAGACGATGTGGCAGTACCTTTTACCAGATCAAGACATGGACGACCCGCGGAGCAAGGACGAACGTTCTCAGAGTCTTATGACGAATCGCCTCTTCGGCCATGTACAGGGTTCTGCGCTTGAAACTGCCCATGGACTCATCGCTATGAACACACGCCCATCTCCGAGGTATTATCACGATGTTCTCAAGCAGAAGCCATCTGTGATTGACTTGCTGTTGGAGTGTATGCTGATCGAACCACCTCATTGCTACCCAGAGGGAACTGCTGCGTACACAGCTAGCGACAACCTAGCCGCTTTTTTCAGGTGGCCCTCCTCCATGCTGGTTCCTGGAGTCTCAATGCCAATCAATGAACCGCTGAGCAACAAAGACTGGAAGGCATTGCTCCAGTCTATGCAGGTTCTAACCTCGCAGAAAGACTGGACTGAGCGCATCATTGAAGCTTGGATGAAAGGCGAGCCAGATGCGGAGGATATCGAGAGGAGGAATCAGTACGTACAGTATGGCGAAGACGCATCATCTGATGCACATTGCTGACGTGCTTGTGTTGTATAGGAGTATCGCCAACGCTGGTCTGCTCTACACTGATATTAATGCTCAGATAGACTTTGAAGAAACAAATGAGATGCTTGCAAGAGCAGTCAGTCAGTAGTAACATTTTCTCAGCGTAACAGTACTAAGAGACTGACGAATCTATCGGCAGGCCGCTCTCGGATTTCCCTCCTTCGTCTCATCACGACTATGACTCACGGCGCCGACGCAATAGGCCTCAAAAATGTCGATATCTACTCCTTACTGCCTATCGCTTATCGTGCGAGCCAAAACTTGTTCACAGATGAAATTGGCCTTTGGCCGCCCTGGGTTTCCCTCGAAGCCAACTATAGGCGAGATATCGAACCTTACATCGTGGTCCCTGAGAGAGTACTTGGACCCACGGCTTATGCGCGGCTACTAGTCGTCCTGGCCCAGAGGAATTCCTTGAAGAGCGTTCAGTCGCTGCAAAATCCTCCCGCGGGCTTATCATCATCCACGTCTATTGCACAGCTGCGCCAAGTCACCCATCCGGATGTCATCGCACGCTTCCTCGACATCGCAATCAGCAGGGTACAGAATGCCATGGAGAAAGGGAGGATGGATAGCGATGGACTTGACCCGAACGCCAAAATACGGGGTGGGCGCATTTATGCTGCTGCCGCGGAGCTCTCCGCGGCCGTGGTCGCGTTCGACGATCTCACCAATGGAGAGTACACCACCGACGAGGTATCCGCGGCGGGACGCTACCTCGTGATAGCGTTGCATCATGTCTCCGAGGCAGCTACAAAGGCAAGGAGGTACCGGCGCGCGTATTTCTGCTTGGTTGCGACAGTCGAGATAGCTGAGGGTATTAAGGAGGCGCCTCCAGGTTGGTCAGATTTCGTGAGCCAGCTCAAAAAGCAACTTCGGCAAGCCAAGGCTAGGCTGGAAACTCGACCAAGCAACGACGTAAGTCTTGCACCACGATAGCTCTGGATAGCTAATTGACGTTCGCTCTTTCAGTGAGTCTTGTTGACTCCTGTCGGTCGTGAAATGTGATGTCTTTTGTCTCCCTTGAAGCACTTCTTAGTGTATCTTCAATCTTTATTTGTCAAATAAAAGCTAGATGAACACACGAAAGCTGAAACTACGTACTAGCTACGTGAACCTCTGTTTGCTCCTGTCGTGCATGCTTACATGAGTGATCGAGCGTACGTGCCGTTGCGGACACGTCAGTGCAAAGCGGCATGTACTGTAAATGCCGGTCATTTATCGCTAGCTTGCATTTACTACAACTTTCTGACTTTCTCACGAGCTCGGTTGTCTTGCTCGGTATTCCTGAAAACGTTTCAAAAGACCTACTGTACTAGTGATACATGGGCCCCAGTCTCATCGAACTTGCATTCGTTGACTATTCCTTACTGTTTTGATGTCAAACCCAATGGCTTCTACGACGACATTGTGCACGCCTTCTGGCACCGTTGTTATCAACAAGATTGGTGTATGTCCCCCATGTTCTAAAAGATCAATTTAAATATGGTTCACGAACACTTCTAGCATGGCTTATTGTCGATGTCGTACGAGAACTTCTATCTCTCTGTGTCGGCGCATGCTCATCGCTGTGCAGACTGGGAACTGTCCCAGACGAGCAGTGTTTTGCAGCAATTAGGGCTGGAGTAGACTCCCTTTCTGAGGGTGTGAAGATGTTCTTGAGCGGCGGTGAGCGTTATACATCCGAAGCAATAGATGAGAGTACTCAGTGAGCGCCTTAGGGGAGTCGTATCAATCTCCCAATTCCGCTCTCACATGTTGATACTCTTCCTTCACAGGGTGGCGTCAATATGAAGGCTCACACCATCGACGGCAGCGAGGAGAACACAAAGGCGAGCATAGAGAACGTCCTTGATAAGTTGTGCGGAAAGAAGAAGCTCGACCTCTACCAGTTTGGTCGCGTCGACAAGAACGTTCCGCTCCGCTCGAGACAACTCTCAGCGTGATGGCACAGTACGTGAAGGAGGGTAAGGTTGGGTCGATCGGCATGTCGGAGGTGAGAGCGGAGACGCTGCTGCGTGGGCACAATGTACGGTTTCTCTTCGCTTTCAGTATGCCGTTGGGCAGAGGCCAATAGGGATCGTGTCAAGTTCCATCCTGTGACCGCCGTCGAGATCGAAGTCAGCCCTTGGGAGTATGGATCGGAGCAGAAGAAGGTTATCGAGGTGGCGAAGGAGAATAACATCGCGGTCATCGCGTATTCGTGAGCTTTAAACCCATGTCCTTCGCGATATGAACTGACAACACCCCTCATAGAACTTCGAGAAGAACGTCATCATCGTTGATCAACTGCAAGCCATCGCCCAACCCAAAGCCATTACTCCAGCCCAGCTGTCTATCGCATGGGTGTCCACCCTCAGTCCCCATGTTGTCCCTCTCCCTGGCTCCGCGTGAGTGTTCAAGCTGTAGCGTCGGTGTGCCTTATTCATAGACAGTTGCTTGCTTCATCAGTCGTACTGACCGTACCCTGGAGAACCTTGCGAGTAGTAACGTCACTTTCACTGCCGAGGAATTGTCAAAGGTAAACGAGGTCGTTGAGAATGCAGCTGTCACAGTACAAGGTGACCGATACCCCGAAGCGCACATGGCGGCTCTTTGGGCATGATCGTGTTGTACACCTCGAACGATTATTGAAATGACGTGTATGATCACTTGGTGCTCTCGTGTCACCTCAGTACATGTCGCCAGGTCACTGTGTCTATACGCCTCCTAGTAGGATAGCATTAGATAGCATTGGATAGTATTGCAAGCTATGTTTAAGCAGTAGTTAATGAACATGAACGATCGGAGAGATACGGAATCGTAATTGACTGCACCTGAAGACTTCGTTAACAATGTAGCTGGGATCTATATCAACGTTGTGATTATAAGATGGTGATCTGCTGAATGGCGACCATACACTTTTCGCGAGATCGACAGCGCTAGGTGATGCGTGTAAACGTGAAGATGACGCTGGTAGAGGTCACCGACGCAAACCTGCCGAATAGTTTGAATTCCGCTCGCAGAGAGCCGCTCGGCTTGTATACTTCAGGGCCGGCATCACTCAACGATACGCGTCAACGTAATACAGTAGTAACTCGGTCGAAAAGTCGTATATTTCGTGATATACAAGGAATGTAGGTGTCCATCGTGGAATACAGGTAATAAATTTAAAGTAACTGCTCATGTGTCGTCATGAAAATAAACGTTGCGTATCAAGTCTCTACAACGAATCGACTGAAGTCGCGAGATCAGCAAAGCCCACGCGAGCCTTCCCGGCGTCAAAGATAGTGTAGACGTTCTTCATGAACACGTCCCCTAAAATCCAGGTGTCTGCAATTGTCGATGGAGTCAGCGAAGATCCCATAGAGGGCTTGCTATGAACGTGCTTACCAACGTCAAGGCCAGCATCCCCGACGACTCCGCCAAGGCAGTACAAAGTACCGTTTGGAGCCGAAAATGTCCCGAGGTTGAGCGACTCGAACGACATGGTGATCTCCTTGCCCTGAATAATGAAGCTAATTTGCTGCTCTGCCAACTGGTCACAGGGGGCTGTTTCAAAGCATCGTTCATGAGACAAGGAGCACGGAAAGGAATCATCAATGACACGGCCTACCTACGAAGCTGCCGCCACCGAGGGATGTCCCGTTGATCGACTGGTAAAAGGCGGAGACGAGCGTCTCGTTCGCGCGGATCGCTGTTGTGCCGCTGTCGACGATACCGGAGAAGTTCGAAAGGATCGTCTGGTTGTTGAGGGTCAACTTGTCAACTTCAACCTCCCATATTTGCTAGAAGAGTTGCAATGGCGGTGAGCTAAGCCCTACGGTATCTGATGCTGAGCGACACGAGTACATACCTTCACGGCACCAGTGACAGGCGCATAAGTGATATTGCCAGTGTACAAGTCCTTGTTGGTGCCGCCGATGGTGAGCTCAGAGCCTTGATTGCTGAGATAGAATGCGAAGACGGGTTCGGGCAGTCCGCTTCCGCTTTGGTTCACGAGGTTGAAGAAGGCCGAGTCAGTGTAATTCACGGACGACGCGGGGAATCCGAGGCCAAGAAGGCCATCGGAGGGATCGCTCGCGAATCCAAAGTCCTCGGTATATGTGTCTGCCACGAGGATAGTCTGGTTCTGGATCTGAGAGAAGGGTGAGACTTTCGGGGATGCCACGGCAATACGATACAATATACCTTGTATCCGCCAAGGTAGATGTCGTCCGTCCAGACAGCACCTGACACCTGGGATCCATCTGCGTATGCAGAAGTTGTATTCTTGCCAGTGTTCTTCGCCGTTGAACTCGTTTTGGGATCCCACTGGTGGTGCCCGGTACAGTTCCCGCAGTCGAGGCCGGGCAAAAACAGCGTGCCACTTCCGGTATCAAAGTTGACTGCGCATCAGCAGTTTCGTTAGATCATTGTTGCAAGATTCGTTTGAAGTAGATGATATACGCACTCGTAAACGTGGTCGGGGGTGTGCCGACATCGATATATCCGACCCACCGCGTCTCCTGCCAGTCGAATAGATCGATCGTGCCATTCGATATCGATGGAGACGAGGACGAGTTGCCGTTACCTCTCCTTCCGAGTCCACTAGCCTCAACGTTCAGTGATCATCGAATGAACAATGAATGCGTAAAACTCACCTTCCCACCTCCCGCTTCCTCAACGGGATCGAGATGTGCCCCGGCGCCCGCGCCGGTTTAGGTTGGGGATGAGGCAAAGCCAGAGCAGTCAAGGCCGGAATCAGAGCAAAGAACGCAGCGGACTTGAACATCATTCTGGAAGTCGGAAGGAAGTAAATGGAGGTCGAAGTGGTAAAAATATATGGTCCGTAAGAGTATGAAGATAAGAAACCGGACGAAGGAGGCCTGATTAAACAGCTATAGGTCGTTCAAAAACAAAAGCAAAGACGTCAGGTCGCAGACCGAGTCGAAGAAGTCACAGTGAATGAAGAGAGGAGAAAGGCAGAATGACTTCCAAAACAAAAACCCAAGTCACATATATAGCCCACTGAGCGCTCGAGCGCTCAAGAAAACCACCGACGTCAACAGCGAGGCGCTGTCCACTGTTCCGTTAGTGGCTCTGCCATCGATGCGCTCATTAGCACTGCACCTACGACAAAATTAGCGCCTAATACAATCCTGGGGTGGACACGAACAAAGTGGACGCGCCCACGATCACGGAACGATGTAGAGCCGGTGTGTTGACATATGGATCATCGCCAGATAGCTTCAGGGAGCGCCTGGTGAACTAAGGATGAAGCCAACGTGCTACAGGAACTCGAGGCACAGACTCGGAGTACTAGCACCTGAATCAAAGCCCACAAGATGCCCGAGAGAAACCTGAAGCCGGAGAAGCATCGGGGACAGATACCAGCATCGCCACATCGTCGCAATCGCCTTCAAGTTCATTATTAGCTCAAGGTACATTCAAGCTATCGCCAGTCAAGGCAGTACTTGCCCAAGAAGACGCAGACACGTGGTACTGTGACCTATAATAAGCGCCCAATCAGTTATCCATCAATCAAGTTTGCAGTGGCGTGGGGAGCGCTGCGACACTTTCATGCATTTCCTTTACAGTCGCCGAAAAGCAACGAGAAGCAACGAGAGCCTTGAGATTATCGATGTTCCGAGTCTCCTGCGAAGCCAACGGCAAAGCAAACTCGATAAAATCGGTAACGAAACGAGGTCGAGAGCTGTCACGAGTGCAGCGTCAGCTCCTAAAAAGACGTCCGAGAGATGAGTCGGAAACGGCTCGGCAGCATCCTCGCACCAGCCTGATAAAATCAAGACCTCGAGAAGCCTGGCGGCCTTCAGTAGAGTATTCGAGGAATATCGTCGTCACCTACTAGTCAGGCGGTGCCCAAGAGACAGAGACATGCAGTACCGCAAGGTAGCGCTCGTTCACTGATCATCGATCATCGATCAAGCTCAAGCCTGCAGTGGCGTCACGGTCTGAGTGAAGAACATTCGGTATTTGTGTCATTGAAGGTCATTGATCCCGCGAGCGCTGTTCGCGGCCTTCGCCGTCACTGCAGTCTTGACCATGAGGTTAAACATCTGGCGAAATCTCCGAATCTTAAGAAGCCGACTGCAGGCTTAGAGAGATGTAAAGCGATATGAGAGCCCTAGAGATGCCCTAGAGAAGATCAGAGATGAGTTGGGGACGAATGTCAGCATCCTTGCACCAGCATGCTCGTCTTTACACCAAGTCGAGGGTGCATATTGATGCCGGAGAAGGCAGTGTCTATGACGCGCCTATTTAGCTCAGGCCTGTGAGTACAGGTTGGTAAGTAGACTGTTGCGACGCCCAGTAGTGCACTACATAGCATTGGGATCCCCTAGTGCGCCGAATCTAGGCCAAGAAACGCATGAATATCAAGGGAAGATGAAGAGGAGTTTCCATTGAGCGGGCTGACAGAAACCCTGGTTTGAACCCCGCTCGCAAAGAGCCGCTCGGTTCTACTTTAGGGCCGACATCAAAGGCGTCGCCCCATCACGCACGCAGATAGGAAACATAAACAACACATGATATTCGTTTTATAATTATAGTGACCTTCATCTATCAAATCTAATTAGGCTCTATAGTGTATCGCCGCCGCCGACCCCAACACGAAACCCTCGAAAGGACCCGAGGAGAGACAAACAAACCTCCCTAGTTTAGAGTCCGCGTGCCTCCAGACGACCACGGAAGATCTTCTGGAACTGCGGGACGTGGTCGAAGTCCATGAGCGTGTAGTGCTGTCCTGGCACGTCGATGTACTGCGGCTCGCCGCGGCTGAACTGGCTCCAGGGCTTGAGCTGCTTGTTGAGCCAGTCCTCCTTGCTGCCTTTCAGAGGGATGGCGTAGAAGACATCGACAGCGGCTGAAAGGAAAGGAAAGCGAGAGTGAGCTGTGGGTTGCGATCCAGATGTGAGGGTAACACTTACAAACGTTGCCGCCGGGGTTGTACGACTTGCCGCACTCGATGAGCGAGCCGGCGATGGAAACCCAGTGGTCGAGCTTCCCGGGGGTGAGCTGCAGCTCGACAAGACGCTCCGGGGGAGCGAGCTTCCAGACAACTTCAAGCTGCTCCTCCTTCGTCATCGTCTTCAGCTTGGGGTGCAGGTCGTTGGCGTCCTGCTTCGTGATCAAGCTGAGGAAGTAAGCCAAGTTGAGCATGCCGCCCGTCCAGTCGATCTCGTGCATGCGGTCCGCGATGTGCGGCGGGATGTTGATAAGACCGACGAACTTGACCTCCTCGCCCATGGACTCGAGGCGCTTGGCAACCTCAAAGGCGACGACACCACCGTACGAGTAGCCGGCGATGGCGTAGGGGCCCTTGGGCTGTGTCTTCTTCATAGCGTTGGCATACGAGGTGACCATCTCGTCCATCGAGCCGAAGAAGGGGTGACCGGGCTCGAAGCCACGAGCACGGAAGGCGTAGAAGGGGCGCTCGTTCTGGAAGTACTTGGCGAGGTTGACGAAGATGAGGACCTCACCGACACCGGGGTGAACGAAGAAGATGGGGGTCTTGTCACCGCTGAGCTGGAGAGGGACGATCGGGTCGTACTCATTGGCACTGGCGTCATTGTTCACGAGGCCGTTGACGTATTTGGCCAAGTCCGACACTATGGGGTTCTTGAGGATCTGGATGATGGGGATCTCGGAAAGACCGAAGTGGGCCTCGCCCTCGCGCTTGAGACTAATGAAACAGTTAGACAGAGTATTTGAAAGCTACAGAAGAGACTCACCGAATGACGTCGATAGAAGTGCCACCCAGCTCGAAGAAGTTATCGCGCGCCGACACCTCGTTGGACTGCAGGTTGAAGATTCCCGCGTAGATAGCAGCGAGCGCCTTCTCATCGTCAGTCGAAGGAGCGACGAAGCTAGCGCCACGAGCCAAGCTGATCAGCTCCTCAGCACGAGCAACGTGCTTGGCGAGAGCGCCCTGCACGAATTGCGAGAGGAGGCGGGCACGCGAGAGCTTTCCAAGCGTGGTCTTCTCCATCTGGTCCATGGGGATGGGGACGATGTGCTGAGGAGGAAGGGTCATCATCTTGACGGAGACGTCCTTGATAGCACGGTGCGTCTCTGAGAGCTTCTTCGAGGCATCGTCGCCGCGCAGGTCGAAGGTGGGAGCGTAGAAGACGACGAAGCCCTCAGTCTCCTGGCCGGGAGCACGGTAGGGAGCTGCGGCGAGGAATGAGTGCGTGACACCCTGGACGGTCTGGAGGTAGGTCTCGAGCTCGGGGATGCCGTAAGAGACACCGTGGACGATGACCGTGTCCTTGATACGACCGCTGAGGCGCATGTTGCCGTTCTCGATGATACCGATGTCGCCGGTGCGGTACCAGCCACCCTCCACGAAGCTGGACTTGGTGGCCTCGGGGTTGTTGTAGTACCGGACGAAGATCATGGGACCGCGAACCTGGAGTTCACCAGGTTGGCCATCGGAACGAGGAGTGACACCGTCCTCGGGGTCGACAATGCGCATCTCACAACCGTGGACGGGCGCTCCGAGGGCAAGGAACTCATGCTTGGGCGAGTTCTCCGCGAGGTCCACAACGTCGTAGATGCATCCAGCGCTGAAGGAGGTAGGAGATTAGCGAGCGCTATCTGATGAGAGCTAAAAAAACACGTACCAAGTCTCGGTCATGCCGAAACCAGCTGCAACCTTGAAGGAAACCTTCGAAGGGTTACGTCCAAGCTTCTTCAAAAGCTGAACAAATGCCACAGCAGTCTTGCTGACGACGGCCTCGCCACCGCTGTTCATACGCCTCAAAGAGCTGAGGTCGAATTTGCCGTGCAAGTCCGTGCGCTTCTCAAGGTCACGCACCATCTTGGCGAGCAGGAAGTTGGGGGCAAAGGCGATGTCGATAGACTGTAGAGGATGATGTCAGTGATCAGAAAAGCGCTGCAGAGCTTATGATTTACCCTTTCGTCAATGAGACGGAGAAGAAGCAAGGGGTCCGAGAGGATCGCCGAGGCGTGGACGTGAAGTTGGGAGCAGCCGTAGAGCAGAGGAGCGATGTGCATCTCCAGAGATCCGGCAACGTGGTCGAAGCCAACCCCTGAGCAGTAAATGTAAGCAATGGCAAGGCGAAAGAAGAGAGAGAAGATGCTCACAGTTGAGGATGTTTGTCTGAGGGGTGAGTCTATAGTTTGCGCCCTTGGCGATGCAGGCGTTGATGATAGTGCGATGTGTGTGGACGACGGCCTTCGAGAAGCCAGTCGAGCCAGACGTCAAGAACAGAATGGCCTCGTCGTCCGGCTGGGACTGGCGCGCAACGTAGTTGGCCGCCACCGAGGACTTCTCGGCACTGGCCAGCAGGTCCGAGAAGAGGTGGACGTCGAGCCCCTTGATTGTGTCGAGCTGCATAGCTCCCGCGTCGTTCGTGAGCCACGTAGCCGAGCCAAAGAGCTTGCGGATGTGAGCAATGTGCCCCTCCTTGTGCTCCTGCTGGGCGCTGAGGGCGGGCTGCAGGCAGGGGACGAGCCCAGCGAGCAGACAGGCCCAGACGGCCGACATGTTGTCCTCGTGCTCGGTGAGGTAGACGACGACAACCTCGCCAGCGGGCTTCTTCCAGGCGGCGAGGGCGGACGCGAGGTTGCGGACGCGCTGGTTGAAGTCCTGGAAGGTGCGGGCCTGGACAGAGGAGTCGTGGGCAGAGGAGGTGATGAAGCTAAGCTCGTGGGAGGGGTACATCTCGGTCGCCTGGAGCAGAAGGTCGTTCAAGGTTGCAGGAACGCCCTCTGCCGTCTTGACAGACGCCTTGAGGTTGGCGACGGGGTTGGTCGCGGGGTTAGAGAAGACAGCGGTAGGAGCCATTGGTATCGCAAGTAAGTAGGATAGGTGAGAGGTAAGGATACTAGGGTGGACTGGAGGGCCTTTATATACGGCTGAGGTTGGCTGAGGAGGTTTGGTCTGGATGAGAAGATGCGAATACCAGAGGAGGCTGCTTTGGTCTGCTTCGATATGACGATGGAATGCTCCCTTATATACCGATGACGAAGGCGACTACCTTCGAAGAGCCTAACTTCGAAATTGAGACTTGGAGTTGTGGAGACGTGCAGCGTCCTCCGTAGGATCCGGAGACATGGCGGTGAGATTGGGCAGGCCTTGCCAGTTGGGTCAATAACGCGCTAGGGTATCCTGTTGCACCGTCTCGAAGTAAGACTAAGACGAGGGCGGAGCGCGTTAGACTAAGTCAAGGTATGGCGATACCCGGGCTGCACTGCGATAGGCCGACGCCGATCTGAGATTCGAGTCATTGTTGATCCCCTCCCGGATGTCCACAAGGCCGCGCATTCCATCGGTATCAAGCCAACACCAGTACGCCAAAGATACTTCACCCGAAGTCGCCGAAGTGTGTAGCGCGTTCGAAGAAATGTTGATCGTTTCGGACGAGTGCATAGCGTTGACCACGGAAGGATCTTGGTGTGAAAAAAAGCGAGGGCTGTCCGCACCGCAGAGGGACTTGGTCGTTTCAGGCAACACTAGAGACTATTATGAATGACCTTGTGGAGGTAAGGGTTGCGATGGCCAAGCATACAGCATCGTAGTAATGGCATGAAGCTTCGTGAAGATGAAGTTCATAAAGTTCGCAGTAGGTTCAAAGATGTCAACGTCAGGATGGTCAGTCGCGTCACCGCTCGGGTCGGAGTTTCGATCGCTCATTTCCTCGCCCCAACGCGTCCTCCGCCCATAACCCACTTCCACCGCCCCGTTGCCAAAGTCGCGAGTCATAGAACATATCTTAATTCATCCTCAAAATGATAACTGTCTTGTGCCTTACGCTGTGCTTCTAGCGCGGGTCCTTCTCACCAACGACTCATTCAAGGTCAACGCTGTTCCGACAGCATCGTATCCACGGGCTATCAACGCCCTACCACGCTTTCCTCCGCTTCATAACGCAAAACGGTCAAGACCATTGCCCGCGTTTCGGTCCAGACTAGTGCCTTGCAAGTTGGGTTCAACCTAGCGTCTTTTCCGCCCGAGTTGCCATCAAACGCGACAGCGCCTCCCTCCTAATCGACAGCCTAGTCCAGTCTCCGGCTAGCAAGTGTCGCGTTCAAGACCCGTTTGTCTCCAAACCAACGGATTTGCCTCTTCTCCGTGTTGCCTGAGCGTGTATCTCATCTGCATGCCTTATCAGCGCCCTCTTCTTCGCGGACTGCGCAGCGCAGTCAGAACTTCTCTTCCCAGGACATTCCAACGCGTTCCCATTGGCATCCTGTGGTGCGTCCGCGTCATCTTTCTCTCTTCGCGCTTCCTCGCTTTTGGTATATGATCACGCCCCTTTTGACTGACGCGAAGCCGCTCAGCAATCACACTTACTCCACCATGAATACGAGCATGAAAGCGCTACGCTACGAACAGACTGGTTCGCTCGACAATCTCAACCTCGCCGACGTTGCGCCCCCCACGCTCGCGCCCGGGGAGGCCCTCGTGCAGGTCAAAGCTGCAGGCATCAACGGGGTGAGTCCGTGTATGCGCCTGTTGAGTCACTCTATCTGACGTGTATATGCGCTTTCAGTCGGACTCCGCCGGCGTGCAGGGGTGGTTCCCCTTCGTCACCGTACCTCGCACGGCAGGGCGAGACTTTTCAGGGACAGTCGCCCAGGTCCACTCTGATGCTGACTCGGAATGGGTAGGTGCGGAGGTCTGGGGTACCGGTGGGGATAGGGGGTTCGCGGTGGATGGGACCTACGCCGAGTACGTTTGTGGATTCTATTTGATTAACAACAAGTTCGCGCTAACAGTCTCCACCCATCCACGCATCTTATCTTTCGGTGATGGCTCTATTCCAGCTATGTCAAGGTCCCCGTATCCGCGCTCAGCCGCAAGCCCAAATCCCTCACCCACGTGCAAGCGGGCAGCCTCGGCCTCCCGTGGCTCTGCGCCTGGATAGCGGTGGAGACGCTCGCGCAGGTGAAGAAGGGCGAAAACGTGCTCATCATCGGTGCGCATCTCCTACAGCCCTCCGCCCCTCGAACCTCGCTCACTAACCTCACCCCCAGGTGCACGCGGCGGCATCGGCTCCGCCGCCGCCCAGCTCTGCGCCGACCGCGGCGCCTCCGTCCTGGGCACATACCGCACCCTCCCACCCTCCTCCTCCGTGCCCGCATACCTCACGCCCATCGCGCTCTCCGGCCCCACGGCCATCCGCGACGCCGCCAAAACCGCGGGCTTCTCAAACAAGATCGACGTCCTGCTCGACTGCGCGGGGTACGAAGAGCCGTTCAACGACGCCGTGGGCACGATGACGCCGCGCGGCACGGGGCGCGTCGTCGTCATGGCCGTGCACCGCCCCGACGGGCAGTTCTCGATGGACCTGCGCGCGTTCTACACGCGCGCGCTCACGCTCAAGGGGCTCAAGTCGAGCATGCTGGATGCGCGCGAGATCAAGCAGGTGCTGGACGTGCTTGCGCAGAAGTTTGACAGCGGCGCGTTTGAGGGCCCCAGCGAGGTCAGGCAGGTGGATATGGGCGATGTCGGCGCGGTGAGGGCGGCGTTGAGGGAGGTGACGGAGCGCTCGTCGGCCGTCCGGTCAGTCATTGTGCCGGGTGGCGGTGGAGAGTGAGCGCTAGGGATCGAGGGTGTTTGATCTTGCCTTCCGCTTGTGCTATTGTATTAGATTGTCCTATCATCACTGCAGTGACGTTGTGTAATATGCAATGCTAAACAAGGCTTGGACTCTGCTCCGCTCTCTACTAGGAAGAGGTTGTGGACATCGACGCAGGTGTCATACTACCAGTCACCAGGTTAGTAGAAGGACAAGTATTCATCAAATCGAGACGAGGGACAATGGCGAATTCAGAGTGGACCGGAGGCGAACGGCGGCGAATATTGCACATCAGATCGAGACGAGTTGACAGGATTGAAATATTGAAGTGCGCCGATAGGGACTGCAGCTGGGGAACGTTCACCAGATCGAGGCAAAATACAGTCTGAGGCGAGACGGAGCGCGTCGATGCGAGTCGCGAAGGGCGGACGCGTTCATCAAATCGAGTCGAAGATCAGAAGGCAAGGCGAAAGGAAACCCGCGTGATGAGTTTGCCGAGAGGCTGCTTCACCTTCAGCAGAGCCGAACAAAACAAGGCGTGGTGTATTGTAGTATCTTCAAGATGCGAATGATTTTGCACATGACTCATAAAGAGTTAAAACTCTTCGCGCACAGCTGGTACAAATTCCCGAGGGTGAGTGGAATTACCGGTGAACCTTGTTCGCGTCAATATCTCGATCTCGCATGATCCGGTTCGAATTCTCCAACATTAATATTCAACAAAACTTCCGAATAGTCTTTCAAGCGAGCACATGGCCACTGAATTAATTCGAGCCTGCTACCCGATCACGGTGATCATTTGAAGCCAGATGTACTGCAATTTGAGGTGGTCCCTGTCAGGTCCTAATAGATGTATGTTTTATCCGATCAAGTGTCACAAGAAATGGAAGCTTGCGCTCGCGCGATGTTACTAACATCAGTGATGCTCTAGTCTAGATGGTCCCTCATGTGGCGCTTCATGTATGTGCATGATTCATCAACATCGACGACTCTTTGGGCATCATCGATCATAATCCGACGCTGAACAATAAATCCGGGGTCGGAAGAGCCGAAGTAAAGTTGTGACTGATACCCACACAACTCTAGCCCCACCATATACATCCGGCTCCAAATGAATGGCTTCATGTCCGCACCCTCGTACCGGTTGTAGGTTTGCTGGTTCGAGTTAAGGCGCAGAAAGTGGAACTGAAGGGGTGTGGCGTACCCAGAACCATATGGTCAGCATGTGTACAGTTCGGGACGGTCCCTGGTGATCGTTAAGATTCTGCCCATCTAGAAGTGGACCGTCGCCACTACTTACAATGACTCCAGCATCGAGATAGATTGACGCCTTTACATTCATCTTGTCGATCAAGCCGCCAGTGCCGCCGTGATATCCGCGCACTCTGCGGAATCATGTGTGATCAGTTAAGAAAGCAGACCCCCATATCTGGCACAAGGATGGGGAACTGTGCAGTCGTGAGTAGATGGTGGTGGCACGGGTGAAACAGTGCCACACAGTTCCCACGGCTGTAGGTACACAACCTGTGGAATATGCTTGTCAAATGGAGTACGTTATTTCATTATAGTTTCCGACAGCCGTCCGCGTCCGAGGAGTTACGCAATATTATATAGGCATACGACGGTACATACACAATTACCACTAGTGACATAATTTAGTCCGTCGATCTACTTTCAATAAAAACTATCAACCATTCTACATATGAACGGCGAGAGAGACAATAACGTTTCGGCGCCGAGTTGAACAAGGGATACACGTAGACCAAAGAGAGGTGGAGAGACGAGGGCAGGAAATAGGAGAGGTATGATAAGCGAGATGGGCACAATCCAAAAGCAAAGCAAAAAGGTAACGGATTGATCTACTTCAGGTTGAAGAACTCTTCTAGTGCCTGTGCGAAAATGGTAAGGCCGTCTCTAATGGTCTCGTCTGTGCCGACGAATGTTGCCCGAAGGTAGTTTGCACGCTGCAGATCCAGCACTCATCATCAGCCAATAACATCATTCAACACACGAGAGAAACTCACGTCTCCAATGGGACTGAGCGTTGAACCTGAGCGGTCCACGATCGCGAACGTCGACGCGGGGATCATGATCACCCCCGACTCGACGAGCTTCCTGAGCAGCTCGCTCATCAGCTGCTCCGTGTTCGTAATCGGCCCGCGCCTCGCCACCTCGCCCAGCACGCCCGGCGCAGCCATAACCGCGCCGAGCATATCGCCCTCGTCGTCGCTGCCCGAGTCCGGCGTGCGCACGACGAACCGCGGATGCGACTCGAGGTGCACCTGGATCCACACAAACATGCCCGACTGCGGCACCTCCGCGCTCGCGCACCCCGTCGGCGCGACCTTGGCGTCGAACACGCTCACAAACAGGTCGCGCCGGCGCTCGTACTCGCGCGCGAGCGAGTGCACCCACTTCATGAGCCCGTCGGCGCCCCAGCCGGTCGGGCCGAGGAGCTCGGCGAGGTATGCCTGTCCGAGCCCGTGCGGGTGCTGCGTGGACGAGTCTGTGAGCATGTCGAGCTTGTCGGCGAAGAACGGGGAGGATGTGATCCACCCGAGCCGGATGCCCGGTGCGAGGACCTTGCTGAAGCTGTCGAGGCGGACGACACGGCCGTCGATGTCCATGGAGAGGAAGGAGCGCGGGAGGACCTCTGACATCGCACGCGTGTAGCCGTGCTCTTTGAGCGTGTTCTGGTTGATCTGGAGATCGTACTGCAAGAAGTAGTACGGGTCGTCCTCGATAATAATGATGTCATATATGTGGGCAACTTCGTAGATCTGCCGTCTGCGTTCGAGGGAGATAGTGCTCCCGGTGGGATTTTGTGAGCAGCTGCAAAATAGAACACCTTTCAGATCACATTCCAACAAATCGAAGAAGGGGCACTTACGGAACGGTATACAGCACATGTGGGCGCTTGCCTTGCTTCTTCTCGTCCCAGCACCTCATCACGCGCTCCAGGTCCTCAGGCAATAGCCCGCCCCCGTCCACGCGCACGGGCACCCACCGGATGCCGAGCGCAAGCGCCGCGTTCGTCATTGCACTGAACGTGAACTCCTCGCAAAGGAACGAGTCGTCCGGGTCGCCGAACAGGCGGAAGCACTTGGTGAGCGCGTCTGCATTCCCGAGTGAGAGGCACACGGTGTGGTTCGGCGGCGCGTGGATGCGCGCGCCGAGGTCCGCCAGCGCTTCGCGCACGGCGGGAAGGCCGGCACCGGCACCGTAGGCGAAGGCGGTGCGCAGGCTGAGCGTGGAGGGAGCGTCCTTGTGCGAGGAGAGGACAAGGGTCTTCGAGGTGCCCATGCGCCAGGCTTCGACGGGGTGGTCGCCGTCAAGTGAGGGCACGATGAAGTTCATAGACGCAATCGGGTAAAGGGTGTGATGCGGGTCACCTACGATGCTTTGACATCAGCATGCAAGGGTAGGGTAAAGGGGCCATGCGACTGACCATTGCCCATGTTGATGATCCCAGGTCGAATCTGGGCGGCCTTCCATACTGATTTAATAGGGTTGGGTTGACGGATGCGAGCTTCGGTAGAGAGGTGGTGAGCAAGGTCAACCTTCCGAGGTGTTGGGTAGGGTATAGCCGACTCCACAGCGACGGGCATGATGGGAGATACGAAGGATAGGGTGTTGTAAATAGAGTGTGTGTCGAGCGGTCAGCAAGGGAAGAGAGAATGAAGGGATCCTAAACCGTCGCGAGCAGAGAGAGTCAGTTGGGTAAGTGAGGGGTTTGAACAAAACGCTACCCCTCGGAGGTCCGTATTATAAACCACGGCAGCGCATCCCCTGACAGTCTTGGACCGAACAAGTATGACACCGACAAGGCGCGGGATGGAGCACAGGCAAGACAGGTGTTGTCTTGACTTGTCTCACGAGAGGACCCCGTCTCGATTGAAACTAGGATGAAACCGCATTAGACCAACTCCGGGGACGCGGCTGCACAGGCGGAGTCGACGGAGTTGCGATGCGCCCATCTCTGCCATATGGTGTTTGTATGAGACTTGCAGATGAAATGGACCTTCGAGCGCACGAGGTACACAGATAAGCATAGGAGAGCCTACTCGGCGATAGGTTGAATTGCTTGAAAACGATCTACAGGCGCCCGACGGGTGGCATCTGACTAGATGTCTTATGGTTAGAGAGCATAGCTTAGGGGCGACTAGTCAAATTTCCGGTGCTCATGGGCCTGGACGAGGGCTGTCCGTCGTCATCGCAAGTACGCTAGGGTAGTAGCGCCTAGTGTAATTTGGTCCTATGCATGACCGTGTCATAATTGGCTGACAACCTTCAAGAAGACGTACTATCGGGTCCCATACGATCAAATGCTCCAAGTAGTATCGTGTAATATGAACGACTCCAATTGGTAACGTCTTCAACTGATCCATGCTCCTTGAGAAAGGCTTGGCTTCATCGTCCCCTTGATCGGTGTTCTCATGTAAAAGGTACAGTCGATGCGAGAATGACGGTCATCAAGAAATAAGGGCTCGGCCTTCGCCCCCCTCCGGCCTTGGAGCCTGAGCCAAGAAACAACGTCACAGGGTTTATACGAGTTCACCTGGCGGGAGTCAAGAACACCATTTCTGCGAGATACCGACGGTAAGATCCGTCAACAATCAGATACGATGAGAACACAACAAAGAACAATAGTTGAACAAAATATGACCAATGAAAGGGGTATGTAGATGTCCGTTGGTTACAAGATAGATTTCGTAAGATTGAGAAGTCCATAGTTCGAAGCCGTGATCGTGCAGGAGAAAGCTAGACCGCTTCGTCGATACCTGCGGCGCAGAGACCACACCCGATGCACTCGAGACAAGCTGTGCCACAAGGAAGAATGATGGTAAGATAGAGGAATTCCTAAAGGGGTTAATGGCACTTACCCAGACCGCCGCAACACGCGCAGAGGTAGCACGGGCAACATAACGGGTTGTTGAATGCACCTTGGCACCATTTATGAGGATGCGATAACCTGATAGTGATCGAACATGAGCTTACCTCGACAGCACCAGGCACTCAGCATAATAGCAGCGATCAAGACCAAGAAAAGCCCAACGAAGACGATGATGAGGTATACTAGTATGGAACAATAGTCAGAAACAATGAAGTAAGACATGTCAACAAACGAAACGTACACTTCTTGCTCGTAAAGCTCGACTGCTGTCCGCTCGACGACGTCTGTCGCTTGCCCAGGACAACGCCGTCTCCGCCCAGAAGCAGATCCATGAAATCCATTTCCGATACACATGACAACACGAGCAGCCCTCCGACGACGAAAAGGGAGATGGCAACGGGAAGCAGAAAACGGCGCAGGCGAGCCTTATGACATGATCTATGTGATCCCGCCGTTGCGCAGTCGCAGGGAGCGCCCGAGAGCTGGTGCTCTTGCGAGCACTGATGAGGCCGTTTCTCGTCTGAGGCCTCAATATCTTGAGTACAAAGCTGCATGGAGTTGGATAGAGCGGGCTGGTAGTAGATGGGTGCCATTGTTGCGGAAGAAAGAGACGCTTGCAAGCGATAAAGAGGCGATTGGGGTGGCAAGGCGGTGGAGGAGCAAGAAGAGGTGTGGACTGCGCGCGGACTGGCTTCGTTGGTCTTGGTGTCTTGGCTGCCACAAAAGGAATGTGCAAGCCCCTATTTGCACCGCCGTCACAGCCTTCAGCCACAATATTAATCCGATTCTCGCGCCTTCTCCGTCCTGCTGCAAGAAATTTAGCCGCAGTGCGCTGCAAGTATTGGACGCCAAGAGAGAACATGGGCTGTCCACCTTTATTTTGAATTCCTTAGTTCAACTTGCGTAAATTAGCCGTACTCAATCTCGCTATTCAAACTTTCGAAGCCACTCGTCGTCCCAGTGTCTACTAAGCCAGCAGCAAACCCATGTTCAGTGTAGGGTTTCCTGTCATTAGTAATAGTAAACTAAAGTAGGTATTTGTCGGTAAAATCATAATACTACGATTGTAGGCATAAAGCTACCAGTCTTCTAGCGGACCATCTCCACTGGATAGATGCTTTCATTGGAACACAATACTTACACCCCTTCCTACACGATCCGCAGACTTTGAGCCTCGATCATCCTGTCTACCGCATCCTCCAGTGACTCCGATGCCATCGACGAATCCCATGCAACCCCGCGTGAGACCCGAATCATGACCACGAGTGGCGCGATGATCTGCATCTCACCGAGAATTACGGCGACCATGTACTCGGCCGGATTGTTTATGAGGTACGTTGCCAGGAATGGGACGGTGCAGACTGTTAAAGGGACGTATGAGTCAATAAGTATGGTGCCCATGGATGAGTAGTGTCTTGAGCCGGGCATTCCTGGCAAGGATAAGACACAGCTGTGTAAGTGAGAACAAACGGGCGGGGATGAATAGATACACACCCCAATTAGCTTTAAAGCGGCGCCTGTAAAGAAAGAGACGACCTGCTATGAAGGCGGTGATGTAGACGTTGAGGCAGAAAGATGACAGGAACATGGCGGTGACAAGATACACGTTGAAGGTAGTACTATCGCCGGCCGTGACTGGGAGTTTACTAAAGACTACGAATGCAAGGAAACCGAGGACTGTGGGCTGCAATTAGTCACCTGAAAATTATACTCTATCTTGATACGCACTCGATGTTCCCAGATAGAGGATAATAGGTGCCGCTAAAAGATAGCGATAGAAACGCGACATTGACCAAACGACTTTGAACCGCCAGACCTGGCGAGAAAAACCGTTATAAGCCATCAGTACACGCGCAAAACAAGATGACACACCATCATCCCATCCGAAAGCATGCAAATTATCCACAGAGGGATATCCGCGACCGATGTGAATCCTCCCGGAGCGAGATTCTGCACGTACGGGCTCTGAAGTGATGTTGACGCGTGAATTACGTACGCATCGATGGCGACTCCTGCCATGCCCACGACCACCGCCGTGCCTGCCAACCAGAGTGTACCAACGTATGCGAGAAGGAACGTGAGTTGTTTCCGTGAGCGGGATTGGCGGGTCTGGATGAGCGAATGCGCACACAAGGCTGCCGCTGTGGACATGAAACCGTAGAAGGCCCCACCGACTGTCATCGAGCCTGCGATTCGGAGGCTTGCGGTGAATGCCGCTTGCGCCCTAGCTTGATCGGAATTCGTATACGCTGGGGTGGTGGAGGTGGAGGCCATGCCCCAAGGACTGACAGCGACGCGTTTGGGGGAGTAAGCTGTAAGGGAGGGAGGAAAACAGGCAGGGAAGGGCGTAGAGAGGACGCATGGTCCCGCGCTAACTGTGGTGGGCGCTAGGTATGCACGGGTAATTCAATCTTGAGCTTGAATATTGAATGAAGCTAGTTCGAGCCGTGTCTCGGAGCCGATGAATATCTCCGTGAATTTATTCAGCTTGCCGTGGCGGTGTTTTGCTTCATACACAACACGCTAGGTGCTGTGCAGTTCATGAAGCACGAATTTGAATAATTCCTCAGCCGTGACCACTTGAAAGCAACCAGCTCACCTTGCGTAGTGTTGCAGTGAAAACGATGACAGTTTTCTCGTCAATCTTTCTGACGAGACGTCGAGTAGACGCCGGCCTGAAGACGATTGCTATTTGTAGTTGCTGAGTTTGAATGCCTTCGCGGAATCGGCGCGGCGGGCGCGCGACTCAAACATCCAACGCTCCCAAGACCACTAACCTCATCGACGGCGCTCACAATACCCGAGCTCCTCCACTCTCCACAAAATGTCGGAGTCGCTCTTTTCATCTTGCGCGGAGGTACTTTCTCTTTGCCAACATTCGGCAGATGACCTCTCGGCACTCCTGGATCCTGACACAGGGTTCGCGCCGCGTCTCCGCAAGCTCTGCACCGACGAGTACGCGTATTCTTCTTCAGCTCAAGTTCATAGCATTCATAACCTGTGTAGGCTCAATGAGCTCGAACGAGGAGGTCACTCTCACGCGTCAGCAGCCGAGGTTGAAGCACTGCGAATGGAGGCGAACACTTGGGGGCTGCTACAGGCGGTTATGCCGTATGTTCCTTACACCTCCTCCTGAAAATTCTCATAGGCTGACAGCATCCCATATCATCTCCCATAGTGCGCGAAAGACGGAACCAGAACCCTCCCCGAGCCCACGCGAACTCCTCGCCGAGAACCCATACACTCCAACATCTACTCTCGCTCAGGCTATCATGAAATCTTCGCCCCTCCTCTCCGAACTCATTGTCGTCCGCGAATGGCTGCATGAGACTGCACCTTCACCACAGTACCCGGAGGCCACGACTGGCTACTGGAAGTTCACGAAACATAACGTGATGCAGGCGCTGCGGACAGGCGGGTCGCGGGACGGGTTGGTGAAGGAGATGGATCCGGATGCTGCAAACAGAGGGGACGGGAAGTCACTCGCTGCGGATGACTCGGTGCGTGAGGCGTGTCCTACGCGTCCATGGAAATGTGTTCTTATAAGGATTCTGCTTCCAGCGTTTCGAGAAAAGCCTCGCTCAGGCATTGTATACATTCGTGAGGGCGGGTCGGTTGGAGGACGCGGTGGAAATATGTCGGAAGTCACATCAGCCATGGCGTGCGGCGAGTATACGCGGGTCACTCTTGTTTCAGTGGCGGGCCATTGGTTCGTGCTACCTGTATAATCGAGTATCAGAAAGCTAACGACGACATAGCACACGAAAGCGCCGAAGACGACGGAGCGGACGATTACGATGACGCTGAAGGATGGCAAGGTAACCGACATCGTAGACAGTGGAAACGCGCATGTGCTCGAGCAGCCAATAATGTGAGCCTCTTCCCTCTCCCGCCAATGCCGTCTCGCGTTCTAACTTGCGAAGACTAGTTTGTCTGATTCCGAACGAGCCCTCTATGCTGCACTCGCGCCGTGCCCGGAGACGTTCACCGTACTCAAGTCCGCGTGCCGAACATGGGAAGACCACCTTTGGGCGCAGGTCTGCATTCTCTGTGAAGAGAAGCAGTCCCAGGAGATGCTCAAGCTGGGAGGCGGGTTCTGGGACGAAGGCCTTGCTGCGCTGAAGAAGTTGGGTGGCCTCCAAAACGACGTCAACCAAGGAGAGGAGGAGGAAGAGTGGTTGAATGAGGCGACGGCTAGTCTGGAGGGGCTGAGCGGGGCACAAGTCGAGGACGGGTGCGTGTCTTCTGTTTTCATTGCTCGCCAGCAGCCGGAACGGGACCTTACATGGGTTACAAACAAGACCTCCGGCCGACCATGCATTCCATGTCTGCCAGTTGGCTATCATCATGGACCGCATACACCCTCTGCTCGAAGGCTTCGCGTCAGGGTTACAGAACGGAATGTATGAGCCAAGTATGCCTGAGTACGTACCCTCAGTTTTGCTTGACGACTACACCTGACGTTCGAACAGGTATGCGACGATGACGCGTTTCTTTGCCCACCTTGCACTGTTCCTCCAGATGATCGATGTTTCAGTACCCCCATTAGCTACACAGGTTGTTCTAGAGGCGTATCTCCAGCTCCTCGAGGTAGGCCTCTTACCAAGCTATTGACGACTTGATCAATGATTTCACTCGCCTGTTTATTTTCAGTCTGCTGGCCAACGAGAGCTCATCGCCATGTATGCGGGAGCTCTTGGTGAGAATGCAGTCGAGCGCTACGCAATGTTCCTCACTTCGCTGGAGCTCAACGCGGACATCAACGAGCGGCGCATGGCGCTCACCCGCGCACGCGAGCACGGTCTGGACATGAGTCGCGTTGCTATCGTCACTGCTGAGAGGACTATCGAAAGAGCGTTCAATGTACGTCCTTTTCTCGACTGCTATAGATCTTTCTCCGATCCATCCTGCCCCATCTGCGAAATAATTGCCTGTATTTAGGCACTACCTTCACTGAGCGGGCCGCTACCGTCTATTGTCGCGCTGCAAGCCGCTGCGACTAGCGAGGAGATGCTCCTGCTCCGTTCGATAGAATGGACGACGTTTATGGACAACACGTACAAGACGGCACTGGAGCAAGCCACGGTCATTTTGCGATACTTCCTCGGTGCGCAGTGCTCTCCGTCTGCTTGTCTACCCTCTGTTACTGATGCTTATGGTCACGTCAAAAGGGTCAGGACGGATCAAGCTTGCGCAAAGCCTGCTCGAACTGCTCCCGGCTGAACTTGCATCGATTGACGGACCTGAAGAACTTTCGGTCGAGTATCTGAACTACCGCCAGTTCTTCACCATCTGGGAGGCGCTCGACCGGGTGACGGAGTGTCGGTCCCTCGAAGTCTCGCTGATGGGTAAGGAGGCGCGTCTTTCATGGCTCAAGGACTACAAGGTGCGTCTGTCGGTCATCTCCTTGGTGATGACGCATTCTGTCCCCGTTTCATTTTGATCTACTTTCTCGGTTATGCACTGAGTCGAGTATGCATCTGAAAGGGATCATCGGTGTCGGTGGGCATGTGCCCCTCCTTTCGCTTGTTCGACATCTCGACGTCTCGTCGCCTCATTCATCTCATTTCATCAGCTTTTTTATATAGTTTTGCGGGCGTCTGAGATGGGCGTACTGACTCGGTCTACAGGGTCTGATCGATCAAGCCTATGAGCTCATCGAAAAATTGCTCACGTCCGATTGGCTCTTTGCTGATGATAACACTGGTAAGTTTTTACCCGCTCGCTGCACACCGTACCTGCCGCTTTTACGCGCTTGCTTCCATGTCATCACCGATAGCTAACTAACCAATTATCATTCCCCTTTCGCCGTAGGTACCCGACGTGCCAAAGAGCTCGGACGTATCCGACAGATCTACGTTCCGGAGCTAATCATCCGCGTGCATGCACTACTCTTCACATCTCGAACGCATATTCCTGAGTACGTCATATCCCTTTCTCCTCCTTATCTATTACTTTGAGTGCTGATTGTCTTCGCTCAACACTTATGCAGAAATCTGAGACGATGCTTGATGCTGGCGACAGTGGTGGCTGACTCGCGGTATAAGCTGTACGATGACTTCCTCGATGGTGAGCCACGCAAGCTAGGCGAGTATCTGCAGGCTGTGAGGCAGGCGACTTTGGCGGGTATTGAGGGAGGAGGGTCGGATCTGTTCAGAGTCATTTCTCAGTAGATGTATGTCGGATTGCAATGGAAGTCTCCAGCGTCTGTTACAGTGCTGTTGACGCAGGTCTGGCTGTATGTGACAGTTGTATGGAAAATGGCAATCGCCGAAACATAGCCCAATTTGGATAGCACATGGCCATTTTACGCATGCTTGCAGTGTCGCCTCGGCTTCATGTCGCCTTCCTTGTCCCTAAGTACAACCTCATACTACTAGACAGCTCGTCAGCCAAGCATTTAAACAAGTATACCTCAGCTCTTTCGACACTTGGCATCGCTGCAGTGTTCATTCTCCCCTCCATGCATCCCGCTCTTTACATAGCAGAAGTCTTTCAGGTAATCCTGGATCATCTGGTTGATCCATGTTCGGACGGTCTGAATACACATGCACCAACCGAGGGGCGCACAGAGCTGTGCAGACTAGCGAGGACATGCGCGGCATTCAAAGAAACTGCTCTCGACACCCTGTGGTCCAGATACGTTACCCCGTTGGCTGCGCTCGTTCTCGTGCTGCCTCCTCATCTTTGGTCAATGGATCGCAATGATCGTGTGAGTATCTAAGTCTACAAATAACGTCTCAGGTTCCGGGTAGCTAATTTCAGGCTATGGCCTCTAGATCAAATTAATAGACTCCATTTCTCCAAGCTCTAGGGTATTTCTGCAGCGTTATACATCACGCGTTCACATTTTGTGCTTCGAAGGATGATAAACCTCACCACACATAGAGTCCAAGTTAACAACACATTCCTCGTCGAACTTCTATCATCTCCCTATAGTGTGACGGAGGTTTTTCCAAAGCTACAAGATCTCCGAGTCGACAAATCTTCCGTCGCGTTTGCATATGAGCTGCTCATCTGCCCAAGTCATCTCACCCTGGTTATAGATCGCTGCGAGGATGAAGTCGCCTACTCCTTTCTCGAACGTGTTCCAGAGATATCGCCTACATTTCAACGCCTTCACATAAGCCACATTAGAGGGTTGTTGGATGTACACCACATTAATCGTCAATCACAAGTCGTATCTAAAACTGTTCGCCGTCTACCTTGCTTGGTGGATCTCATGTGTATGAATTTGCATCCCTCGGCGCTCCTCCACGTCTCAAAGGTGGCGTCACTCGCGAGCATTCAGCTCGATTATTATGCCAAAAATGTTCCCCTAGAATTTAAAGATGAACTGCAATTTTCAGCACTTCAAGACATTCAACTCACTATACTTAACCTTCGTGCTGCCGTCTCCATCTTGCGTAGTTTCGCCACCTTCCCTTCCAATCTCAACGTCGGCGTTATATACCCGAGTAACCCTACGCTTAGAGACTTTGAACGCATTTTATCCCTGTTGGACAAGCACGCCACCATTAAGCTCAGCGATTTTAGTATTTACATTGATCCAGGACGTTATATGGGAAGGGTAGCCACATCGCACTCCTGTCCTGCGACTATGGACACCTTCAAACCCTTGACGCGATGTCAATTCTTGAAATTCCTCGTCTTGGAGACGGCAATCCCTATTGCGCTTTCCGATGCGGATCTTAATCAATTAGGACAATTATGGCCTTCGCTCGAGCATCTCTGCATTGATAGCAGTGGAGGCTGGGTACTTCCAGGTGTCAGTGTCGATGGAATCGTTGCTTTCACCAGCGTCTGTCCCAAACTGAGGACGCTGAAAGCTCCAACAATTTACGGTCCGCAGCTCTGCACAGCTGCTGAAATCCACGAGACGAACATTTTCTTGGAGGAATTCGCGTTTCGAGTCGCCTCCCTCCCGGACACAGTGGATATTGCTGCATTCACATTCATAATGGCGAAAGCCTTCCCGAACCTTCGCGGCCTTTATAACTTACCGAAACCATCTGAATCGTCCTCAACGAGGCCAGGAGGATGTGAGGAAGGATTTTGTGCTGCTCTCGATGTAGTGCGTATGGAGGAGCAATCCGGAGGTGCTACTTCATTGAACCATGAAATGCGTGGGCGAATCTTACACCGCTTCAGAACGCCTTTCCACATTCGTGATTTTAGAGGTTAATACTTAGACATGTACTAATTTGAATCGGATTTCCAATGTATCTAGCTCGTGTAGTATGCCAACAATGTCAATCAATTATGTAGTAATTACTGAACGATAAACAGAGGTCACTACGTATCGAGGGGTGATGTCATTTTTTCCTATCATAGGGGAGCCCTTGTAGACCTTATTACGTGCACGCCTAAGGTCGGTGGTGTGGCGTAGCAAAAGGCACGGGACGTCCTAAGCTCTCACGCGGCGTACATTCGGGCCAAATAAATCTTGTCGAAATTCATGAGCCTATATGATGCTGGGAAGGTTGGTGGGCAGCTTGGATGTTGAGGAGAATGATGCTATGCGGCATGAACAGCTGCTAGCAACCTTCAGTCAGGGTCATCGCAGAAAGAAAAACAAATCCAGATTCGAACCCAACAAGAAAGTCGGCGAGAACATGTTCCCTCGCTTGTTTTACAGCGCGAGCAGTCTAAATTGATGACGTCATAGGGTGATGTGAACACTGCGATAGCTCAATCAGTGTTTGTCGCTTTGTGCTCTTCAACCGATACTGTTCTCAGACAAGGCCACTCAAGTGAGCTTCGATGATTCTCTAACGTCTCTGATGCCTAATTGAAACTATATAGAGCAGGCAAAAACGAGCAATGTCATAACGGAAATGGTCTTCCGGTGCACGATCAGATCATGTCTTGCAATGTACAGGCTGACTCTTACTCATGATCAGAGTGATGTCTCTAAGAAGGCAGTCAAAATCAAGCCAGCGAATCATCCTGCCGAATCCTTTGACCTTGCACACACTCAACGATTCACAAAGGGTGCCAGCCCAGAAGAAACAGCACCAGAGACCATACTGCGGTCAGCTTGCGCTAAACAACATGAACAATGCGCTGAGCTTCTCCAATCCTCATTTGGGCGCGAGATCGATATCGCCAATATCATCCCCCAGAAGAATGGCTTCGTTCACGCCGCCATCGAGGCCTATAGTCATCACAGGGCGCTGGTCGTGCGCCCAGACGACGTTTGGCTCTCTATCCTCACGCAGTTCAGCGTCTACGTGAATGCCCATGCGGAGGAGCTGAGGTCATCGTTTGTCGCGCATCAAGGGAAGAAGGAGCTGGTGGTCAGCGCCGGCGGCGATCGCTATAGTGTGGATTTCGGTGATATGGCGCGGCAGATGACTGGGCTGCTTCACAAGAACTTGGTGGACCCGGAGTTGAGGGACTGGATCCTGCCGATCTTCTCAACCACGACCATCACGGACAGTACGGTTGCGTCTATTGTGATGATGGCGACGATGAAGAAGTACTTCTCGTTCAAGTTCTCATTGATTTGCGGCATTCCGCAAGTCATCATTGACGGTACGAAGGACGACTGGGAGGCGATCCTCGCTCGGGCTGAGAAGCTGAAGGAATACGGATTGGAGACGGCGGCGTGGTATCACCTCTTGCGGCCCGTGCTCATGCGCTTTGTGCAGGCGTTCGAGGAGCCGTCTACCACCGGGCTCAGAGGTTTCTGGGGCAAGGTCGCACATTACCACAGCGGTGGGAGCGGGCCGACCTATCTCATGGGATGGATCACCGCGTTCTGCGTCTTCAACGAGGACGGTGATTGGCAGGGTCCGCGACTGCAGAACACCGAGATAACCACCGATTTTGCGTCTTTGAGCACGCAGGAGTTTGCGTCGCGATACTTTACCCCGCATCCTGAAGGCGATCCTTTCGTAGGAGACCTGTACCTCTCCCTGGATGGGACATTTTATCCTCACGTCGACAGCGACAAGGTTCCGCCGGGGTATGCGGAGGTAGACGTCAAGTTGGACGATAATGGAGAGATACTCGATACGTTACTGGTCGCTGGATCTGTTGGCAGCTTGATCTCCGACAGTGGGGATCAGAGCTTGTCCAAGACGGGCGAACGAGATACGGTGAAGACCCTTCCGGGCTGGTGGATGTTCGTGAAGAACGGAAAGGTCGAGGAGTAGTAGGCTGGTGACTGTACAGTATTCTGTGATAAAATGATACACAGCGGGAATAACCCGATAAGTTCTCGGGACTTACTATGGTGGAAGTATTGAAGACGTATTTTAACTTTGTTTTGCAGGAAAAGCGAGACTTATTTGGTACTTAGCGGGGAGATATTCTGATCAAATTAACTGTTATGACCAAATTGGCCGTGTCAAGTGTAAATCGCCAAACTTTATTCAAAATGCGTCCCTGGTAAGTTCTAAAATAAGTCTCGCCGTGTTCAGCTGCATCCACAGTATTTCCACAATAAATTCTGAGAACTTATTGGGCTACTCCTCCTGTGGATAGTAAGCAAGGTGATAGCGGAGGTTTCTCGATAATCACCTGCGCCAGCCACTGCTAGCTCCAGTTGATCGGGACTAGTCGCCGAGAGATATCAAAGGTCCCGTTGACTCCGTTGACACAAACAAGTTGACTGTTGACTGTTGTTGGTTAGCAGCATTGCAGCATCCAGCCTAACAGTGTCCGACAGCCTTCTGAAACGTCCAACAAGCCCCAAGTTGCTAAGGCTGAGCCAACTCAGCCCTAACTCAGCCCCGTGCACGGCCATGGCACTCCGGCATAGTGTTGCCGTGGCTCGGGAGATGGCTCAAGCCGATTGGATGGGCTTACAGCAGAGGCAACAAAATATTTAGTGAGGTGATAATTATGTCATAGTTGTCATCGTCGCTGCCCGGTCGTCGCTTCAAAACATAAGCTTACGCTACAAAGCTCAAGTATTATTTTTACGAGGAAATAGTTCAGCTTCGAGCCGAGCCGAGCCGCGGCAACACTACTCCGGCATCGTCGTTTCCTCCTGCCTAAAATGTGGAGAGCGTACAACAGACTTTCACACGCGCATATCTATCATTAGCTGCATCGCGCCCCTTTAACAACCCGTCCAAGCTTCCATCAGACGCCTGTAGTGCTTGTACACTCGTCTGCGAGGACATCCCTTCCTGCTGCCATTGTCAACGATGTCAAACTTCCTAGAGAGGATTGTAGGGCTCGCCGAGCGTTTGCCTGAGGGCATCGAGCGCGCTCAGGATCAGATCATCGGTACGTCGGCTTCCCATCTCCCATCGTCATCGGACCCAAGTGCTCAACCAAACGTGGGCTGAACGTGTCTGCTCCTCTCCTTCGCGTGTTCGCATGTATGGATATTATGTGGTTCTCTGCTCTTAGGCATTTTGGATCCCAATCGTAAGTCGTTCAGAGCGCGGTCCTCCTTGGTAGTGCTCAGTGTTGCGCAGGCCGCCATGACAACCCCGAGGAGAAGGCAAATGACGAGATTCGCGCTGAGATCAACGCCAGCCATAGGTTCAATAGTTTCGCAAGCCAAAGGTCTGAGAACGCCGTCAAGTGGTGCGTGCTAGTCTCTTTGGCGCAAACGTCGCACACTCACGCGCGTCTCATCGCCCCTCTCCGCCCTATATCGGTCACGCGCACAGGCATGTTGATGGTCACGACTACATGTATGCGCTCTCGGAGATGCTCGATAGCGCAAAGGACTGTATTTTTATCTTGGTAAGGCACGCAGAGACCCCATTGTACGATTCTTAACATATACTACGCAGGATTGGTGGTTGACTCCCGAGTTGTACCTCCGGTGAGCGAGGCTCGGCCCCTATCATATACATGACCGAGTCTGACGGACTCGTCAGTCGTCCTCCCGCCGATCATCCCGAATGGCGTCTCGATAGAATTCTGCAGCGCAAGGCCCGACAGGGTGTCAAGATCTTCGTTGTCGTCTATAAGGAGGTTGGCTGACACTGTTTACCCGCCAGATGTCCACTAACTTTCCATATGTAGGTCACTCAAACCATGAGCATGAGTTCGAAGCACACCAAGGTATGACATCATGATAATCGTATAACTGTATGCGCATTCAGCTTGATTCTGTAGGCTGCTCTAGAAGATCTTCATCCTAACATTTCTTGTATGCGCCATCCCGACCATATCGGTAGCAAAGGTTTGTCATGGCGATAAGCGTTGGTCGTTACTTGCTGATGCCTTCATAGACACTGTCGAATTCTGGTCTCACCACGAGAAGGTAAGCACGCATTTACTATCGTTTCTTATCTTTAAGTACTAAGCACTATACAGCTCGTCGTTGTCGACAACCACCGGGCCTGCGTTGGAGGACTCGATCTTTGCTTTGGTCGCTGGGATACGCACAACCATCCTCTTGCTGACGCTCACCCTCTGGATTTCTCTCGCACTCTCTTTCCGGGTCAGGACTACAACAACGCGCGTGTCCTTGACTTCCAAGATGTCGGCAACTATGTTAGCAATGCTGTTTCCATCTTGGAGACCGCTAGGATGCCTTGGCACGATGTAAGTTCGATCTTCCTTTATTAACCAGTGTTAGTTAATGTTCATTCTCTATCAGCTTCATATGACGCTGTGCGGTCCGGTCGTCCTTGATCTTGTTCAACATTTCACGGAGCGATGGAACGAAGTCCGGCGTAGAAAGGTAAGTATCCCATGTATGTGTGCTTCTTCGCTAGGACGCTAACAGCGAGGCTTCAGTACCAGCACAACGAGTACGTTTCAACAAAATTATAGTTCCTCGTCGTCTAATTCCGTCCAGACGCTACCCAGTGCTTGCTCTGCCCCACAACGTCAACGCTGCACCCAACGAGGCTGTTGTTCGTAAGTGGAGGGATTGAGATCCCGCTACTTCACAGTCCTCATTCATTCCCTTTAGGTCACCCTCACCGTGAACAATGGCATCAGATGGGCCGCCGCTTCCGTCAACGATTCCATCTCGAAGACGGCGACGAAGTCGAGGATCCCTACGCGCGCCCACCGCATGGAAAGTGTCGCGTACAGGCTGTCCGGAGCGTGTCCGACTGGAGCCACGGAGTCCTCACGGAGCACTCCATCCAGAACGCATGTAAGTTTGCCGTTCCCTCTCAGTTTGCTGCTCGCTCTGCCTTCCGTGTTTCCCCTCCACTATCTTTATCAGGGGAATGAATGCACCCGAGATGAACGGATGCGGCGCAAGCCCTTCATCTCGGCTTCCCCGCAATTCGTACCCCATATATTTGTCCCGTCACTTGCCATCCGCATCATGTTACATCATGTCACTGACGCGGCCACGTGTTTCGTGCACCTTTTTTCTTTTTGCGGTATTTCGCCTGAACAGATATTCAATTGATCAGGGAGTCAAACCACTTCATCTATATCGGTGCGTGCATGATTTGGCCGATCACGTCCATCTGTCACCCCCGTCTTCCGTCCATCGTCTGATGACGGTGAGCGCGCGGGCGGCTTGTGCGGCATCTTATCTTGCGGACGTTATCTGATCAAGCATCATGACACAACAGAAAACCAGTTCTTGTGCGTCGGGCTTCTTTCTCCGCTCCGTGGAGCGGTTGTAAATTAGATTTTGTTCTCATGCGGGCGATGTTTTAACCTTTTAGCATCTCGAATACCTCAAACGACGGGCCCGTCGTGAACAAGATCGCACAGGCGCTCGTCGAGCGGATTCTGCAGGCGGCCCGGGATGGACGAAAGTTCAAGGTATGCTCGCATCTCTCCGTGCTTGCGATCTTCCCATGTACGCTTCGCGGGTACTGCTCGCCGCGGCGTGCGACCCACGTTTCATGTTTCGCCGTGGGTGTATGTTCCTGACTCTGACGTATTCGCGCGTGGCTTGTAGGTCATCGTGGTCATCCCCGAGCTTCCTGGCTTCGCGGGCGACATCAAGAACGAGACCGCGCTGAAGACGATCATGGCGGCGCAGTACCGGACGATGAACCGCGGCGGGAAGAGCATCTACGAGCTCGTGCGCAAGGAGGGGTATGATCCGTGAGTAATATATACAGTCCTCTCGGCTCCGTTCCTGGGCCTCTTTGGGGGCTTTGGAGGGGTGTTGCGACGGTGCTGATGTGTATTTTTGGAATATAGGAGCGAGTATATTCGGTTCTACCACCTGAGGTCGTATGACCGGATCAACGCGCCGCTGGGTGCGTTTCCCGGTCTCGTTGATTCCCTGTGTGGATTGTATTGACCCTGGCGTGCAGGAACGCTCATCTCGCAGATGGAGCAGAACTCGGGTGTGACGTTCCACGAGGCGCAGATCGCGCTCGCGCGGATGTGGATCGGGGAGCACGCGGGGGGCGGGGGCGACGAGAACGCGCCGAAGGAGGTGTTCGTGAAGGTGCCGCAGGCGACGCAGGAGGGGTTCACGGTGACGGACGCGCCGGTGAAGCAGGAGAAGGTGCCGCTGCCGCCGAACTACGATGCGGCGAAGGATATTATCGAGCGGTTCCAGGAGGGCGCGCAGGGCGTGCGCGGGGACGATGCGGTTGCGGATTCGGTGGCGCAGCATGCGTTGAGGGATGTTACGGAGCTGAAGGACGAGCAGTGGCTCGGGACGGAGGAGGAGGAGCTTAATTCGTGAGTTCTAGGCTGTGATGTGATGTCGATGGGGGCGGGCTGACGCGTGTGGTTTGTTGTGTGCAGATATGTGTCGGAGTTGACGTATATTCACTCGAAGCTCATGATCGTGGACGACCGCAGGGTGATTGTGAGTTGTTGTTCGTTTCTCATCTAGGTCGTACGCATGTTGACGGGCCCGTTTTATTAACTCGCTCTAGCTCGGATCTGCGAATCTGAACGATCGCAGTCAGAAGGTGGGCGTTTAAGCACGTTTGCGTACGTTGAACACGTTGGCTAATGTGAATACTGGGGATGTGTAGGGCGACGGCGACTCTGAGATTGCACTGGTTGTCGAGGATGACGATATGATTCGGTCGAGCATGAATGGCGAGCCGTACATGGCTGCGCGCTTCGCTGCGACGCTGCGTCGTCAGCTGTTCAGGGGTGCGTGAGCGTCTACTGGTGTACCTGATAGGCACGCTGATCCGTCTCTGCACTCATTGTACTCACGTGGGAACGGCAACACAGAACACCTTGGCCTCCTTCCGCCGCAGAACGGGGAGAACGGGGAAGAGGTGACGGCTGCGATGCGGCCTGCGCCGGAGCCGCAGGCGGACGAGACGGAGGAGGAGGACGATAAGCGCGTGGCGGACCCGCTGGCGGACGATGTGCAGGAGCTGTGGAACACGACTGCGCGGGTGAACCGCGAGATCTTCACGGAGCTGTTCCGCCCTGTGCCGACGAACTTGGTGAGGAGCTGGACGGCGTACGAGGTGCGTTATTTGTTTTCCTATCAAAGTGGTGTTTTTCATTTGCTGATGATAATTGGCTCTGTGATTCTTCTGATGCGGTTTATTGCGGTTTTGTGGAAACTTTTGGCGTGCTTTTTCATTCATCGTTTTGTTCCTGCATCGTGCCGCGGGATTCTTCGGGGTCTTTTGTTGTCGATTTTGGCTTTTACGTTTGCCGTTTGGCGCTGTACAGGCGTACGTTCCGAAGGTGAAGACCGGACATGTCGTGCCGGGTGTCCCGCTCGAGCGGGTGAAGGATCGGCTGTCGTATGTAAAGGGAACGCTTGTGGAGTGTCCTCTGGTGCGTGTGATTTCCGTTGGTTTTTGTTATTGCGAATCGAGGTTCATTGGGGCGCTCGGGGCGGTGCGGTGTATTGTACAGGATTTCTTGATAGACGAGAAGGACTTTGTGGAGGGTGTGGATTGGCTTGGGCTGAACCCGACGTTGCCGATTTATATTTGAGAAGGAGAAGGAGAGGACGAGGAAGAAGGGTGGTGTACGATTACATGTTGGGATTGGACGGAAGAAGAGTGCGTGTGTGTTTGATATGGTACTTATTTAGTAAGAATAGGATAGGATGGGGCCGAGTGAAAACGTGTGTGTGTCGGAAGGAGGTGTTGCAGGAGGGAAGGGGAATTGACATGTGGGGGTGACATTTACTCTCCGGGCTGTGAGATTGAATTGGGACCGAGGGTTGTTGTTAATTGGGTGCGATGTGCCGGGATGGGGGCGCAATTGCGGGATTGGATGAAAAATAACGGGGGATATAATAGCGGATAACGAATTGGATGTGGCAAGTCGACGGCGGAGAGATTCAGAGTCGAGCTAGAGTAGTCAGCAAGCGCTTTTCTCTTTCTGCCCATTGACAGCCTATCCATTCTATCACCACAAGTCTGCTGACACATCCCCATCTCCCTCCCCTTCCTCTCTCCCCCCATCCTCTCCTCTCCTCTCCCCCATCCCGTGCCCCGCCAGCAGAGTCGATCCCTCCCTCTCTGCTGCCCACGATGAGCGCGATCGTCGTGGACCCGGCACAGCCCTTCCAACATCCCTTCCTCAGCCATCTCATCGCCCTCCTCTCCGCCTATGAGTTATGTCCCATGAGCACTCCCCCGCCTCGCTACGACGGCCCCTCTGATTGGCAGACCGACACCATCCTCCGCTCCCTCGCAGCCGTCGCACGCCGCATGTACACAGCAGAGGAGACTCTCTCTTCCATCAAGGCCCACGAATCATGGGCATCTATCTACGGTCCAGAGACAAAGAAGCGCCGCTCCGTCGGCGACACCCCGCCTCATTCCTCTTCCTCCAGCGCTGCCTCCTCCAACGGTTCTACAGGCAGTGGAGGCAGTGGAGGCAGCGGCGGCAGCATCAGCAATGGCAGCCAGCGCCCCTCCAGCCCCGCCAACAACAAGAGCCCGCCCACTAGGGACCTCACCCGCAGCGCTGGCAACGGCAGTGCAGCGAGCTTCTTCCCCACCTCCCTCGACTCGTGCCCGGACGAGGTCGACGTCGACATGTCCGACGACTCCACCCCCGCCGCATCCATCTTCGCACCGACAGCGGCGGCGGCCCCCGTCCACCACCACCATCACCACCACCACCATATGGACCACATGGACAGGATCCACCCCCACCAGGCCCTGGGCCTCCTCGATACCATCGACGCCGCCACCGATTTCACCGCCATCGCCGCCTACCACGCCCACCAGACCTCCTCCTCCCGGAGCCACCACAGCCACAGAGGAGTCGACCCGGACCGCACGCCCTCGGCCGCAGCCGCCGCATCCAGCCGCTCGGGCGTCGCCGCCAAGCGCGAGGCGCTGAACGGCGCCAACGGGTACGGCCGCATCGCAAGCGCGCCCATGTCGCTGTCGCTCGACGGCATCCCGTCGAACCTCGAGTTCGCGAAGCTGCACCGCTCGTACTCGAACGGCTCGTCGAACTCGGCGCCCAACACCTCGCACGTGGAGCACATCAACTGCCCGATGTGCGGGAAGCAGATCACGGACACGATGACCATGTCGCGCATCAACGCGTCCTTCTCGGGTTCGCCGTCGGGCTCGCCGCTCGTTGTTCCGCCCGGTCCGCTTGCGGCGGCGGCGTTTGAGAGCGGGATGAGTGCGGTGGAGGAGCTGAGGTTGCTAAAGGCGCAGGTGCAGGATGTTGCGCGGGTGTGTAATGCGGTCGCGAGGGGCGATTTGAGTCAGAAGATTACGGTGCCTGTGCAGGGCGTGGTTATGGTGCAGCTCAAGGACGTTATCAATACCATGGTGCGTTTGTCACGATGAAGCTGTGCATGGACGTGGGCACTGAACTCGGTTTGGTTTTAGGTGGACAAGTTGGGTCAGTTCGCCAAGGAGGTTACTCGGGTGTCGCAGGAAGTCGGAACCGAAGGGTGCGTTCCCTCATTCGTACATGCACTAATATGTACTGGATACTCATACCACCACCACCGCAACAGTAAATTGGGCGGCCAAGCCCTCGTCCTCGACGTCGAAGGCACCTGGCGCGAACTCACCGGCGTCGTCAACAAGCTCGCCGCGAACTTGACGAACCAAGTGCGGTCCATCGCGACCGTCACGAAAGCCGTCGCGTTGGGCGATTTGTCGAAGCAGATCGACGTGGACGCGCGCGGCGAGATATTGGACTTGAAGAACACGGTCAACGGTATGGTTATAAGGCTGAGGGCGCTAGCGGCGGAGGTGACGAGGGTGACGTTGGAGGTGGGATCGCAGGGCAAGTTGGGCGGGCAGGCGCATGTGCCGGATGTGGAGGGGGTGTGGTTTGAGTTGGTTAGGAATGTGAGTGGGTTTGTTTTGTTTCGGTTTTGTTTTGTGGGTTTGCGCGTTTGCCTCCACAAAACGCTATCTCTTCGAATTTGCTTGGTTCGCCCAAACATGCGCTCCTCTTGCATTGCACCATCTGATACTACCGCGAATTTACACTAATGCCCTTGCCTCGCAGGTGAACCGGATGTGTTCGTCCTTGACGGACCAAGTGCGGAGCATCGCGAAGGTGACGACGGCGGTGGCCAAGGGCGACTTGACGCAGAAGATCGAGATACAAGTCGAGGGCGAGATGTCGACGTTGAAGCTGACGGTGAACAGCATGGTGGACCAGTTGAGCGCGTTCGCGTCCGAGGTGACGCGTGTCGCGCTCGAGGTGGGGACGCAGGGGATATTGGGCGGGCAGGCGCGCGTGGAGGGGGTGCAGGGGACGTGGGCGGATTTGACGCGGAATGTGAACGTGCGTCCTTCCTTTCTCTGTTCTTTGCATTGGTGGGGTTGGTTTTGATGTGCCTTTTTTTGGGTGCGTTTGTAGAAAATGGCGAGCAACTTGACGGACCAGGTGCGGTCGATCTCGGAGGTGACGAAGGCGGTCGCGCTGGGCGACTTGAGCAAGATCGTGAATGTGGACGTGCAGGGCGAGATGCTGGACTTGAAGATGACGGTGAACAGCATGGTGGCCCAGTTGAGCACGCTCGCGAACGAGGTCACGCGCGTGTCGCTCGAGGTCGGCACGGAGGGTATATTGGGTGGGCAGGCGAGTGTGCCGGATGTGCAGGGGATGTGGAAGGTGCGCCCGTTTTCTTTGTCGTTTTCCGTATGTTCTCGCAAGGCTGATGACCCCGGCAGGTCTTGACGGACAATGTGAACCTGATGGCGATGAACTTGACGAACCAGGTGCGGTCGATCGCCGAGGTCACGAAGGCGGTCGCGGGCGGCGACTTGACGAAGAAGATCGAGGTGGAGGTGCGCGGCGAGATCAACGAGCTCAAGGAGACGGTGAACGGCATGACGGAGTCGTTGTCGCTATTCGCGGACGAGGTCACGCGTGTCGCGCGCGAGGTCGGCACCGAGGGCAAGTTGGGCGGGCAGGCGCGAGTGACGAATGTGGGCGGGACGTGGAAGGATTTGACGGATAATGTGAACGTGATGGCGGCGAATTTGACGCTACAGGTCCGCACGATTGCGGTTGCTACGGTGCGTTTGCCTCCTTCGATCTTCTTTCATTTTAGCGCCATTACTAACGTTGATTTGGTTGTTTGGCGTGTGGATAGACGGCCGTGGCGCGCGGTGACTTGACGCAGCAGATCACGGGCGTGTCCGTGTCTGGCGAGATGTTGAGTTTGGTGAACACGATCAACGACATGATTGCGCAGTTGGCCATCTTCGCCAAGGAGGTGAAGAAGGTCGCGTTCGAGGTCGGCACGGAGGGCAAGCTAGGTGTCCAGGCCGAGGTCGGGAACGTCCAGGGTATCTGGCAGGAGATCACGTACGTCTCTTCTCAGTGTGAATCAGGTTTAGAGCTGTACTGACAAACACGTGTTTGTGGGTGCGCAGCATGTCCGTGAACACGATGGCCGGCAACTTGACGACGCAGGTGCGCGGCTTCGCGCAGATCTCTGCGGCGGCCATGGACGGCGACTTTACACGGTTCATCACGGTCGAGGCGAGCGGAGAGATGGACTCGTTGAAGACGCAGATCAACCAGATGGTGTTCAACTTGCGCGACTCGATCCAGAAGAACACGGCCGCGCGTGAGGCGGCCGAGTTGGCGAACCGGAGCAAGTCTGAGTTCTTAGCGAACATGTCGCACGAGATTCGGTGGGTGGTGTTTTTGTTATCTGCCGAGAGGGCAAAGGGTGCTGATTTCGTGTTTCATTACGCGTTTATAGAACGCCCATGAACGGTATCATCGGTATGACGGAGTTGACGCTAGACTCGGACTTGAACCGGTCGCAGCGCGAGTCGTTGCTGCTAGTGCACTCGTTGGCTCGCTCGCTACTATTGATTATCGATGACATCTTGGATATTTCTAAAAGTGAGTTCTCATCTCGCACCGTGTTCTTCCTGTGACGTAGTTGCCTTCTTCACGTTTTACTAACGAACTTGCTTCTGGTCTGGAACAGTCGAGGCTGGGCGGATGACGATGGAGGCTGTCTCGTACTCGCTCCGGCAGACGGTCTTCGGCATCCTCAAGACGCTCGTCGTCCGTGCTTCGCAGAACAACCTCGATCTCACGTATGACGTCGACCCAGACATCCCAGATCAGTTGATTGGTGACTCGCTCCGTCTACGACAAGTCATAACCAACTTGGTCGGGAACGCGATCAAGTTCACGCCGTCCAAGGTGTCCAAGAAGGGCCACGTCGCGCTATCGTGCAGGCTGCTCGCGCTGGACGACTCGAGTGTGACGCTCGAGTTCTGTGTGACGGACACGGGTATCGGGATTGCGAAGGACAAACTGAACCTTATCTTCGACACTTTCTGCCAAGCTGATGGGTCGACTACGAGGGTGAGTGTGACGCGTTTTCGTTCCGGCCCTTCGCCCCTTCATTTCGCATGAGATCGCTGCGGAAGTAGAGGGTTCTCAGTCTTATATTTTCTCTTGCCCGTTGACCTGCTGTTTGCTAACGGTACATATTTTCACTCCCCACAGGAGTACGGCGGTACAGGTCTTGGTCTATCCATCTCGAAGCGGCTTGTCAACCTGATGCAGGGCAACATGTGGGTCGAGTCGGAGGTGTCGAAGGGCTCCAAGTTCTTCTTCACCATCACATCCCAGATCAGCCAGAGCACGATCGAGGCGACGCTCGGCAAGATGCAGCCGTTCCAGAAACGCTCGATTCTCTTTGTCGACACGCTCGGCGATACCACCGGCGTCGTGCACCGCATCCAGGAGCTCGGTCTGCGGTCGTACGGCGTGGGCGGGGTCAGCGAGGTCAGCGAGAAGGACAGGTGCCCGCAGATCGATACTATTGTTGTGGACTCGTTGACGATGGTGAGTCGGTCTGATGTTCTGGTATGCGAGATATGGGTGCTGATATCATATGGCAATAGACGGAGAGCATACGTGAATGCGAGCATCTGCGGTACATCCCCATCGTCCTTTTGGCGCCTTCAATGCCTCGTTTGAACTGTGCGTGGAGCGTCATAATAGTACCCTATCACAACGCTGACTTGAACCTATCTAGTGAAATGGTGCCTGGATAACTCGATCAGCGCCCAGGTTACGACACCCGTCTCAGCCCAGGACCTCGCGGCGGCGCTCATCACGGCTCTAGAGTCGAACACCGTCAGCCCCGTGTCCGCGCCGAACGACATCGTGTTCGATATTCTGCTCGCGGAGGATAACATGGTCAACCAGAAGCTAGCAGTCAAGATCCTCGAGAAGTACGGGCACAGCGTCGAGATCGCGGAGAACGGCTCGCTCGCCGTCGACGCGTTCAAGGCGCGCGTGCAGCAAGCCAGGCCATTTGACATCATTCTCATGGACGTGTCGATGCCGTTCATGGGTGGCATGGAGGCGACGGAGCTCATCCGTGCGTACGAGATGGGCAAAGGGCTGGGCAGGACGCCGATCATTGCGCTCACGGCGCATGCGATGATTGGTGATCGTGAGCGGTGCTTGCAGGCGGGCATGGACGACCATATCACGAGTGCGTTTCTTTCGCTGTTTCTTGTTCTCGATGGCTGGGCGCTGACGGTGTGTGTGTGATTTTGTAGAGCCGCTAAGACGGGGTGATTTGCTCAACTCGATCAACAAGCTCGCGGGCGAGCGCGTGAAGGCGGCGAAGCAGTACCACTTGCTGCACCGCCCGCCTGCTATTCTCCCCGCATAAGCTCGGCCGTTTCTCCGGCTCGTGCTAGTGCTCGGGCATAGCACGTCGCGCTGACGTGGCTTTTCAAACGTTCTACATTCCTCTCACCGTCTCCGGCGCTGTCCTCGTCGGCATCGAGGGTCGTCGCCCTCTCACTAACGTCTGCGTATACCGCCTCCTTCCTTAAAGGACTTGTAACACGACACCTGCATACCATAGTTATTTGGTTGTATACCCCTGCTACCACTAATTCCCGCTCGCATCGTGCTGGTACCACACCACTCGTTGGATGGCAGCGTCACTTGCTCATGCTATCGTGCTAGCCACGGAGCGAGAGCCGACGCTAACGGGGCATAACACATTCAGACTTGCCCGCCAGACACCGCGCCCTGCGACACCGGCCTGCTCTCGCCCCGTATCTCACATGCAGCCTTCGTTGTTCACTGCCTTCTTGTATCTTGCTAGGACATATTCGCACTTGCACATTGAAACAAACAAACTACGTCAAGCAATGTACTAGTAGTTACTTGTCCATCTTACATGTTTCGTTTTTATCATTTTGCCCAATTTTATTCTCTCTAAGCCAGCTGGTCTGAACACTATGAGCCTTTCTTTCTGTCTTGTGTCATTTGTAATGTCTCGTTTTTACGCAGATAACGCTCGATCGCATTTCCGCGTGTGTGTGCGTTCTTAGTCTTATCTGATTCAGAGTGCTATTCTTGAAGCCGATGCAGCTAGCAGACTCTACCAAGTCATGCGTAGCCAGTCTATGCCATGTAGTCGATCTCTTTCGGAACACTGTCAGGTAACCTGATAAAGCGAGATATCATGACAAATGATATGCATTTCTACATGACACGAAGGATTCGCAGTAGTGTTCAATGATAAGCAGCTGCTATCGACTAACATTCAATACACCGAGCTACACAGCAACCAGCAAAACGCTAGCATCCGCTTAAGCCCAGAGGTCTTTAAGAAGGAACTCGGGATAGCGCGTGCCCGCGGGCTCGGCATTCCTGACGACCTCGTTGACCTTGTCGAGTTCCTCGGGCGTGAACGTGACGCTGTTGGCGGCAAGGTTCTCGAGCTGGCGCGCCGTGCGGCTGAAAAGCGAAGAACACGCGTTAGGTATGCGTTCTCCTCCGAAAGTGATATGTTCTGTGCGATGGTACTCACGCGGAGCCAGGAAGGGGCAGGACGTGCGGGCCGAGGGAGGAGACCCAGGCGATGGAGAGCTGCGCGGGGGTGATGCCCTTTGCGGTCGCGATCGCGGTGAGCTGGTCGACGATGACGAGGTTCTTTTCGAGGTTCTGTGTGTGCGGTGGTGTCAGCGTGGCTATCGGCAAGAGGGCTTGACGGGCCGAGTACTGACCCCTGGCTGGAAGCGCGGGTGCATGCGCCGGCGGTCGTCCGCTGTAGAAAACGAACAGATGGTAGATGTTAGGTGTGATCGAGAACGAGAAGGTAAGTCATACCAGCGAAGTCCTCGAGCTTTCTGATCTCGCCTGAGAGGAAGCCGTGGCCGATGGGTCTATCTTATATGAGGACTTGGTTGCGGGCAAGAGACATGAAGATGGCGCTCACGAGTACGCAACAACAACGATGTTGTTCTCCTTCGCCGCATTAATCACGTCCCTCACTTCCTGGCTGTACTCCCACGGGCTGACCTCGATCTCAACGGTGGTGATGGGATGCACCTTGTGCCCGCGAAGCAAAGTCTCCGCCCTGACCTCGGACATGCCGATCGAGCCGATCTTACCCTCCTTGACGAAGCGGGCGAGCGTCGCGATGGACTGCTCGACGGGCACCTTCTTGTCGACGCGCGCGCACTGGAAGAGATCGACCTTTTTGAATCCGCGGAGCTTCTCGACGATGGTGTTCACGCTCCGCGCGAGGTTCTCGTCGCTGCCGTCCGCAACGAGCGAGCCGGCTTGCATGCCACCCTAGCAAAGGGGAGATATGATATTACGCTGTCAATGCTGCGCCGAAATCCACTGAGCTATTTCGCACGTACCTTGACAGACAGGAACGTCTTCTCAGCGTAGTCGGGGTACTTCTCGAAGAACCGGGAGAGCATCTCGAGGTTGACAGGACTGGCGTTTGGGCCATAGAACTCCCCTGGACAGCTGGGTGAGCACATATCCAGGGGGAAGGGGAGATCAAGGCATACCGGCGTTCAGGAACATCTTCACACCTGGAGGAAGAGAGTCAACACCAGCCTTGATTGCCTCGAAGCACTGTTTGTCAGGGGTGATGGTCGCCGTCGCGCTGCTCGGGGTCAGTGAACTGTGTCGCGTTGCTGCTGAGTAGTCACGCACGTCATGGACATTAGACCGTGCTACAGTGACATCTATAAGATCGCGTTATCGTGGAAGAGAAGTAGGGTTCAACATACGCCAATCTTGTTCACAACGACTTCGCCGGTGGGAGTGAAGAAAGTTGTGGTAGACATTGTGATGGGCAGTTTGAGTTGAGATGTGATCGAAGGGGAGGGTTGGGTTGGAGAGAAGAGCTGCTCTTCGTTCTCCTCAAACTGGTCTTTATATGCGGCGAGGAGACACAGTGCCTAGTGAGGGGACAAGGGGAATAATGTTGCTGATGTCACGCTTTCAGGATGACTCAAGTACCTTGGTTGACTACTTGTTGGTTGCCGACGCGTTCGCCATCGTCCGGCACCTTGAGATGGCTCATGAGAAGGAAGACCTAATGAGGGATGAGTGTCCGTCGTGACTGATGAACGCGTCGTGCTGACAGGTGGAGGATGAGACGCGCTTCAAAGGTTCCGCGGGACTTGCCGAACTGCCGACGGGCTGTCCGAGAGCTGTCAACAGCCTGTCACATGTCAACCTCAGCTTTCTTTTTACATTACCTCTTCTCATTTCATTTAGTCATTTCTCAGTCACCATTCAATCCAACGTTTACTTGACAATTTCGTTCTCCTCCTCGCTCGAAGACCCAACAATATTTGTCTACTATAACATTCTAATCATAGGCTCGATCCTCTGAGACCACCCTCCGCATACCGAACGCTCTGAGGTGAAATGTCCACCCTTGCCGCACACTTATAAATACACGGAGGAAAATGGGTAGAAGCACGACAACCGCATGTAAGCATGAATGCACAGGACATGTCTACGTTATCAGGTACAGCAAGTTCCTATTCCGCGACCTTTTAACTAATCGTTCACATCTGTAGATTTTCTAACATGGCTTATCAAGCTATTCGACGTTATCGTACATAGAAGAGGTATAGAAGCGTGACCTGGCAACATACACTCGGGCGACGCGAGAGCATCGACAACATACACGTTGTCAGCTCTACAATGGCTCAAGGCAGATGACACGATCAGGCCCAAAGGGCCGCCATATGCGCTTCCGGGTAGCGATCACCCTGTACTGTGATAGCCGCGTTCTCGACAACCTCGTTGACCTTCGCCAGTTCCTCGGTAGTGAAAGTGACGTTGTTGCTTGCAAGGTTCTCCAGGGTGCGATCAGTACGACTGTCGAAACAAGCGAACGCCTATGAACAAAGCATGTCGACGATGGTGCCAGAACACTTACGCCGAGCCAGGGAGAGGAACAACATGGGGACCGAGAGTGGACACCCATGCGATAGACAGCTGGGCCGGAGTAATACCCTTGGGCTTGGATATGGCTTGCAGCTGATCAACGATAACGACGTTCTTCTCAAAGTTCTGAGAAAGTGTTGCGTGTGTTTATATCAACGTGCGTAGCGGGGAATAACATTGTCTGCGAGTCAAACTGACCTCTTTCTGGAAGCGGGGCCACTGGCGACGACGGTCGTTCTCTGTTCAACATTAACATTGTAAACACCCAGCCATCGATACCAAAGGAGGGTGAAATCTACAAACCAGGCAGGTCCTCGAACTTCTTGAATTCTCCGGAGAGGAAACCACGTCCGATGGGGCTGAGTCACCATTGATGTTAGCAAGCGTGACATCTCGAAGGACATGGGTTTAAAGCTCACGAATACGCGATGACCGCGATGTTATTCTCCTTCGCCACCTCGATAACCTTCTTCTGCTCCGATCCATACTCCCAAGGGCTGACTTCGATCTCGACGGCGGTCACAGGATGGAACTTGACACGATCACTATTGGCCTCTGCCCAACGGCATACTGAAAGCGAAGAGAAACCGTACCTTGTGCCCACGCAGCAGCGTCTCCGCCCTCACCTCCGACATGCCGATCGATCCGACCTTGCCCTCCTTGACGTACTGCGCCATCACGTCGAGCGTCGTTTCGAGCGGGACGTTCTTGTCTACACGACCGAACTGGTAGAGGTCGAGCTTCTTCTTCCCGCGCAGCTTGTCAAGGACGTTCTCTATGCTCGCCTTTGTGTTCTCCTCGCTGCCGTCAATGGAGAAGGCCTTCAGATTGATACCACCCTGTGGAGAAAGAGCGTCGGCATACGAGAACGAAGTTTGGAGGACAAGGTAATAAACGCACCTTTACGGACAAGAACGTCTTGTCGGCGTACTCGGGGTACTTTTCGAAGAACCGCGAGAGCATCTCGAGGTTCGCGGTGTTGGCGTTCGGACCGTAGAACTCCCCTGGGACGTTTGATGAGCTTTCTCGTCCATCTTTACGAATGCATAATACTCACCGCCGTTCAAGAACATCTTCACACCCTCAGGGAGGGAGTCTACCCCACCCTTGATGGCTGCAAAACACTGTTCGTCCGGGATAGTTCCCGTCAGTCTGCTTAATAGTGAGCATGTACCGACAGAGCGAGATTGACGTTCTCCTACGTCATCGACATCAAGCCATGCTACACATATCCGTGAGCTTCACTCAATCTTTCGGAATGTGAAAAACATACGCCGATCTTGTTGATAACAACTGTGCCAGAAGGCGTGTGCAAGGACGTCGTCGTGGAAGCCATTATATTAGTCAATAAGGGTTTGTCAGAAGGTGCGAGCTCGATGAGGTTGGTATCTGAGCGTAACCGCGGTTGGTCCTTTTATACATTTTCATGCGTAGCGAGCAGGACACCCGAACTTATGGTAAAGTCAGAAAGTTGTATGTAAATGCGAAGGAGGCGTAAGTACTGCTGGGAGTAAATGATCGGAGGCCGCATGCCGTCACCGCGTCACCGCCCTTGCGCTGACGCGTCCGGCAGGCTCAGCTGCTCAGGTAAGCGTGTCTAACAGGAGCAAACAGAGTTCCACGTAGACGGTACCAAGACCATACGCAGCTTTTTCTGTTCATCTTCCGTTCAATTGACGCATAGGTCAAATATACGCTCAGAAGTGCGGGAAGGAAGCAAGAAGCGATAGCAACTTAGACTGAGGTCAGCAAGCCTCACTGAAAGAACGAATATTTGTCATTTTCCGAGATCACGCCAGCTTGTTATAATCATGACTTATGTCGTTGCTCGGTTGAGTTTCCAACCTACTATTGGCCTGGCGAAGTTGCTTCTTGAGCTGCCTCACGAAATCCGCCCACCTGGAGGCGCCTCGTCCATACCCTCAGCCATCCCGATTGTTATAACCAGGCAGAAATACGCGCACCGATATCTCCTCGCCTTCGTTGCGGCCTCGGCGATGCGATGTAATGCCATAACAGGTAGTTTCTTGGTACCGATGATTCCTCGGTGGCGTACTCTCCCCTGGTGAGTTCGTCTAACGCGGCGATGGCAATGGCGAGCTCTGCAGCTGCAGAAAACCCGACTCCAGCTCGTATCTTGACATTCGGGCAGTCCCTATCTTCGTCTTCATCTAACTCCGCCTTCGTCGTCGCTTTCCGAACCCTGATCATCCCAATGTTGAGGAAGCATCCGATAACATCTTGGTGGGTGATCTGGCGGAGCCGAGCAATAGACGTGGAGGGTGAAAGTCTGGCAGGAGGATGTCGCAGCGATTGAAAGTTATGTAGAGCGATGTTCGATGTGAACACACCCGCTCTCAGTTCTTACAGGCGTTGATGCCACGCTGCGCCACAGACCTTCAAGATGGAGCAATTTCAGTGTATTATAGGCACAGACTTTTAATAGCACATGTACACGCAGGAAGCGTTCGTTACCAATCGTTACTGAAGAATATACCAGAGTAAACAGCAACCTAGAGTGGTCTCTACAAGACAAGCGTCACTAAGAGGGAGAGGTCAGTCAAATATCCTATGTAACTGTGGAGATATACTTACGTCAGCGCTCTGTCGAGTTTCGAACATCCTCTTAGCCTGCCGAAGCTGCCTTTTGAGTTTTACTGCAAAATCAGTCCAACCAGCGCGCGGTTCCTTTATGGTGTCGGCAACTGCGACCGCTGCCGCTAGGTAGAGGTACGCGCGCCGGTATTTCTCAAGTTTCGTTGCGATTCCGGAGATATGCTGCAATGCCATCGAAAGATAGTGCCTTGCCGCGGAGGCTTCCTCGGTAGCGTATTCCCCGCCTGTTATGTCGTCAAATGCGACCATGGCCGCGGCGAGTTCTGCGGTCCCCTCGAAAACGAGGCCACCTCCTATCATATCCACTTGGACAACCTTTTCCGCCTTCTCCATGGCACTCTGGACCCGGAAGATAGCAATGTTGAGGAAACGGGAGATGACGTCTGGATGAGTGATTTGACGGAGCTGTGCGAGAGACGTCGTGGGGGATAGGCCGGTGGGAGGCTTTTGCAACGATTGGACGCTCTTCAAGGCGTTCCTCTGAGCTAAGACAACCAATAGTCGCGCATAAGCCGTAGGGCCAAGCATAGTCTCGGTAACCAAAAAGTAGGGATCGATTTCCCCTTCCCGTTCGAAATTTCCCCCAAGATAAAGCCAGTCCGGCAATACGCGGATTTGTACTTCAGGTTGGTCTTCCTGATATGTCTTTTGACTTGCACGATAAGCGATAGGTAGAAACGCGTAGATATCAATGTTCCTGATGCCTATCGCGTCGGCACCATGACTCAGAGTTGTTATAAGGCGAAGGACGGAAACTCGAGAACAGCCTGCCGATAAGTGAGTCACTACCCAACTCGCACGATGCGCGATGTTACCCACCGACTGCTGACCCGAGTTCCTTATACAGTTGTTCATCATCAAGTGGGGATTTTTCTTTGCTGTAGAGTAGACGAGCATCGACGACGCTCCTACAAAACATGTAGTCGTGAGCAGTCCGCGTCAGGGTATACTGTACGTCTTTATCATACGCACTGGTTCCTCTTCTCGTTGTCCTCCGCATCAGGCTCGGTTTTCATCCATGCCTCGACGACTTTCTCGGCCCAGTCTTTGCACGAAGTGAGAACTTGCATAGTCTGGAGGAACACCTTCCACTCTTTGTTACTTGGCGCTTGATCAGCTGGCGTTGAGACGCCAGGGACCATCATAGAGATCGGCCACCTGAAGAAAGCGGCAAGGTTATTGCTAGCCACATACGCAGCGGTACACTCCGGATAGCAGTGAAGAGGCCCAATCAGCAAGCAGTCCAACAACAAGTCCATGATAGATGCTTTGTGCTTGAAAACGTCGAGATTGTACCTCGGAGAAGGCTGCGTGTTCATTGTAACGAGGTCACGGGCAGCGTGCAGGGCAAAATCCTGCGCTTGACCAAAGTATCGATTTGCCATGAGACCCTGAGAGATTCTGTCCTTGTTCCACGGGTCTTTGAAGTCCAGGTTCATTAGAACATGCTGCCAGTTCGTCTGTGGGTTGGTCAGTTGGTCAGAGGTTGCTTCTGGATCCTGAAGAGCGAGTGTGTAAAGAGCGCTAAGGATGTCGGCGACGGTCGAAGCCGATAGTCGCTGGATGAGAAATGTTTGCGACGCCAAACTGCCAAGAAGCTCTGCCGCTTTCCCACGAAAGCGCAGTATACTGTGGTGGTATGTCGTCTAAATAAGTTGAAGTTAGTGCAGAAAGCCGGGTGTCTGTGTCTAGCTGCTTACCTCCAGACATAATTGGATGATGTCTGCGGCTATGAGTTTGTCTAGGAACTCCTTGCGGTCTTGAAGGGTACCATATCGTGTCAGCGTGACGAGCATGTGCCAAGTCATCCACTGGCTCAAACGCCCATTACAGACAACTTCCGTAGCTGCAAGGCTTTCAAAGGGAACGTGTATGAACGTGAGTAAAACATCTATCATCCCAGCCCGAATGCAGGCTTGAGTGAGTGGGTCGCGTGCTTTGCTACCAATATCTGGATATGGCGCTGGCGTGTTTGCGACCTTCGACTGTAACGCTTGCTGATGTTTGACGATGTGATGAGAGTGTGACGCTTAATAGAGGGGCTCACGCACCATAGCAGTGAACACATAGCTGTCGGAGAGAGGAGGACCCCTCATCTTCGTGAAAAGGCCGGATAGGCCTTCGGACAGCTGTGGCTCAGGAGTGCTCAAGCGCTGTTGAAGCTCTTCAAACAGTTCGTCGGGTGCTGCAGTTTGACCGGCGTCCATCTCTTGACGTGGCTGTTGCAAGCGCGCGCGTTAGTCGGATTCCGATATGTCAGAAAGTCAACGATAAAGTAGCATACCGAAGATTTGGTCTGGGCTTGTTATCGGAGTGTCGAAAGAGCCCTCAAGCTGTGATGCGTCCGCGACAAAAAAATAGAGACATAACACGGGCAAATAATTCGACAGCTACAGTGTAGTGAGCTCCGCGCACCAAAGAAGAATTTAGCGCTCTGCGCGCTCCGAGCACAGCGAAATGTACCCAAAAAGCAAAAATTATACGTTTTTCGCACGGGTTCGGCGTTTTTCGGCGTAAGCAGGTAAAGGTACAGTTTCCTGCTTCTCTTCTGTCCCCAAGTCACTGGACCTCGTAGCGAGTTCTTCACTCCCTTAACCTTGAGCCATAACTCCATCCCCAGTACTTTCCGAATCTTTTAGGGCGCTTTCCATGGCTATAGTCTCAGACTCTGAAGAACAGCAGCAAGACAACTCACCTAAAACACGAAACACGGACGGGGAAGAGGTGGATGTCAACGCAGAAGAAGGCGACTTCAGGCCTTTCAAAGGCCACACAGAGGGTATCATGTGCGTGACTTACTCACCCGATAGCCAATGCATTGCAACGTGCTCTCTGGATGCAACGGTCCGCATCTGGGATGCAAAGTCGGGGAGGCAAGTAGGTGGCGCGATGAGCGATCATACAGGCCATGTCAACTCCATCGCCTACTCCCCAGATGGAAGATCTCTTGCATCTACGGGTGATGATGCTATTGTGCGGTTTTGGGATGTTGAGAACGCTGGAACGGCCTCTGTTCAGGTTCTAGCGCACCATGAAGGTTTTTTAATGGCTGTTCGGTATTCTCCAGACGGACACTTCATCGCTAGAGGTGGCAAAGACCAGAGACTCGAGATCTGGGACGCAGCCAGGCTAACGATGAAGGTCGCGTACGAAGACCATGATGGCCTGCTCCGCTCCGTAGCCTGGGAACCAAGCGGCAAAAGAGTGGCGACCGGCTGTGCTGACCGCAAGGTTCGCATCTTTGACTTGACGAAACCTGACATCGCAACATTGCTCATCGAAGGACACCGAGGCGAGGTCAACACAGTCTCGTACTCTCCAGACGGTTCCTTCCTTGCGAGCGGCTCGGATGACCGTAGCCTGCGGCTATGGGATTCACAGACAGGAAAGGCCGCAAAGAGTCCGTTTCGAGGCCATAAGGACTGGGTTACCACCGTGGCGTGGTCACCCGATAGCACGCGCATCATCAGTGGCTCCACTGACAAGACAGTTCGCGTCTGGGACGTCAGCAGGGGCCAGACTCTTTTCAATGGACCGCTTTATGCACATTTGGAGAACATATGGAGTGTCTCATATTCCCCTGACGGAAAGCTCTTTGTGTCGACTGATTTTGGACATCATCCCCGAGTCCAAGTCTGGGATGCAACGACAGGCAAGGTATTACTCCCACAGGTAAGTACTATATGGTCCAAATCAAGTACACCGTTCCGATAACCAGCTTGGTTTAGCTTTCTGACGAAGACAAATCCGCTGTCAACGAACTGAAAGAAAAACTTGACAACCCAGAAAAGCCCCTGATATCGGGCGTGGCGGGGAAGATGCGAGCGGGAGCTGCCATCTTAGCTTTGGTGTGGTTTCCAGATGGTGGGCGTATCGCAAGTGCCGGGGAAGAGCCTCTTGTACGTGTCTGGAGCGTGCAGACCGGCTTACAGGTCGGAGAGATATCGGGCCACCATGGAATTGTTAACGCACTATCCATTTCTGCGGACGGAACAAAGCTTGTGTCGGCATCAGACGATCAGACTATCCTCCTTTCTGACACCCAATCGATGCAGCCACTGACTAAGCCTCTCACTAAGCCTCTCACTGGCCATGATGGAGCGGTCTACGCTGTCAAACTGTCTCCCGATGGTTCTAGAGTTTTCAGCGGAAGCAAGGACAAAACAGTGCGTGCTTGGGATGCGCTCACTGGCAAGGTCCAGCACGTTCTTGTTGCGCATGGTGACGTTGTTCGCTCGCTCGATGTGACGAAAGACGGAAGCAAGCTGGCGAGCGGCGGGGACGATACCTCTATCTACGTCTGGGACACGCAAACGTATGAACGACTGGCGGGGCCGTTCAAGCACGATGGGCCTGTTCGTGCACTCAGCTTTTCTCCCGATGGTTCGCGTCTCATAAGCGGCTCAGATGACTTCACCGCCCGCATTTGGAACATCACAACCGGCACCTCAGTGTTGGATCCTATCCGTGTCCACACAGGCCCAATAGGCGCGGTAGACTGGTCGCCAGACGGTACAAAACTGCTGACCGCAGGTGCTCACGACTGGACGATATGGTTATGGGATGCATCAACGGGGGAACACCTACTGGGGCCTCTAGAAGACCACGAAAGGGGCATCCGAGCTGCTGCTTTCTCCCCAGACGGAAAGCGCATCGCCAGCGGATCCTTGGATCACACCCTGCGCGTGTGGGATACGGCTACGGGCGCGGTTTCTCTACCAGTAGAAGAAGAGGTAAAGTGTTTGATGGGATCTCTAGAGCTCGCTCTAACGATTGTATAGCCAAGTGTCGAAGGGACACAAGATAACTCGCATGTTGGAGCGGAGACACGTAAACGTGACGGAGTAAGGCGGCAATCTGTAAGTGTCAAGTGGCCTAATATTTCATCGTCTCGTTGTGACTTCTTGAGCAGAGTATGGATGACAGTATCATGAACGTAAGTCACGAAACTTGGGAAATGGAATATAACGAGCTCTGCGACTTTTTTTTTCTCCGGTAGATGCCTGCGACAATTCGTAAAAAGCAGCCAACCTCAAAGTTCAAGGGCTTTTGGGACGATGCAGACGTAAGTCATTATCTCCAAGCCCAACACCACTCTTCCTTCGATTTAAACAGTTCTTAGCTCGAGGGCCCATCAAGAAGGCAAGGAAAGGGTGGGAGAAAGCAGAAAGAGAAGAACGTTGGCAAACCCAACCACAAAACCAACACGCTCGGACGTCTTTGGCGGCGGCGAAGCAGCCGGAACCTAAAAGAAAGGACTACAAACACTGATAATACAGAGCACGCGCTCGCTCGCATGCCAAGGCGCCGCGCAACCGCAACAAAGGTCCCTACAGCTCGTGACAAGCTGGTGCGTCCTCATGTTCCTTTCTACATATTCATTCGGTTGCACCAGATCTCCTTATTCTTATGTTCAGCGCGTGTTGGTCGCAGGAGATGATCCACGCGCCAGGCTCCCCTCGCAAGCCGAGCCAGAATCAGACGAAGAAAGAAACTCGCCAACAGGCTCCAACAGGCCAGACGACAACTCAAGTAGTGACGATGAAAGTGAACACGGCCTCGTTGATACCATATGCTTCTGCTTGTGTTTGCCATGTTGTAAGTGATTCGGGACTTGAGATGGCGCTATAATTCGGACCTTCCCCTTTACTGGCATCCATTCGTATTCTTGAGACTCTACGCGTTGGGTGATAACTAAGTTGCAGGAAGGGTCAAAGGGGGCTGAGGCACGGAATAATAATTGATCCTGCATTCCATTGTCACTCGCCTCATCTTGTATTGACTACACCACTCAACGCATAACCTACTCCTCTACTCCTTCTTCGCCCTCTCAAGCCTGAATCCCTCAAGCGCTCGCAGCCGCTCCGTCAGCGTCGGGTGCGAGTGATGATACGCACTGTACATCCAATCCACCCAGACCGTGCTCAGGTTCTTAACGTGCAGCGTAATAAGCGCCTTCGCGAGACGGTCGCCCATATCGCGCATACCCTCGACCTCGGCCTTCTCCGTCTCGGACGCGTTGGCGAGCGCAGAAGGGGACGAGAAGCGTGGGTAGAGGTCGCATGCGAAGCGGTCGGCCTGCCACTCAAAGTGCCGCGAGACGGCGTTCATCGCGATGCTGACGACGGCTTCGAGCGGCATGAGGATCATCTAGATAGAGGACGTGGGTTAGGCTATGAGTGTTGTGGGTTTGAGTGAGGGGACAAACCTGGAACATGAGGAAAGCGACGATAGTCGGTCCCTGAACGGCGACAGCGGGAGAGAAGTCGAAAGCGCGTAGGAAGGCAGGGGCGTGCAGGAACGCCGGGAAGAGCGCGAGAACGGTGAAGATGTGCGCCTGGGAGATGACGAGGAACTTGGTCGGGTGTGCGTGGTGCCAATGGCCCAACTCGTGTGCTGGTTGTACATGAGAGTCAGAGTCCCGCGCAGCGACAAGTAAAGGGAAACGCACCAAGGACAGCCTCGACCTCATCAGGCTTACTCTCCTTGATGAGGGTATCAAAGATAACAATGTGCTTGCTCTATATCCAAAGAAAAATGGCATGTCAGCACCACACCTCTCCGGTGCTGCCACTCCCATATGGCTGGAGCGAGCAAAAAAAAACGCACCCAGGGAAGACCGAAGAAGTACGCATTGCTGTGGCTCGAGCGCTTCGAACCGTCGATCTTGTACAGGTGATTGAGCGGGAACTGGAGACGCGCCGCCAGCGCCTCGGTGCGCGTGCGGAGCTCACCCGGCGCAAGAGGAGAAAGCTTATTGAAGAGCGGCTGGATGAGCGTCGGGTAGATGACCACCATGCTCATTTGGAAGACAAGCCTTGATGTTTCAAGTCACAAGATCCGGTGAGCGCGGTCGGAAAGCATCAGTGTGAGAATAGGCGACTTACAAGAAAGCCATGAGCCACGGCACGAAGCGGTCGCCGGCCCACTTGAACACGTAGAGGAAGGCGGAGAGGAACGGGGCGCCGATGGCGAGTCCGAGGGCCCAACCCTTGACGAGGTCAGCGACGAAGAGGGCGGGAGTTGTCTTGTTGAATCCGTGCTTCTCCTCGAGGACGAACGTCTGATACACCGAGAGCGGGATCGTCGGAATAGAGCTCGAGAGCACAAGGACGGCCGCGAAGACGATGCTTTGCGTTATCTGCTCGCCGGTACCATCAGTTTATGCTCGCTTTTGACCAGGAAGGTGGATGAAAGGGGGGAGAGGGGGAGGGGGAGGAGAAGAAAAACTATACACACCTCGTACTCGGGCCCATACCCAAACTGCCCGATGCCCCGCCCGGCGACGTCCCATGCCCATCCATAGAACCCATACTGTAGCAGCAGGGAGTCCAGCGCCTGCTTGTAGAGTCCGCTGACGAGGGAGAATCGCGCCTTGTCCCGGCCGTACGCTTGGCTCTTTGCGAACGTCTCTTCGTCAAAGTGCGCCGCGAGCACGTCCGGTGGGGATGTCTTCGAGTACAGCGGAAACTGCCGCAACCTGTCGTAGCCCACCGCACCGCGTTAGATGCCAACGCCGAAGAGAAAAGGGGAAGGTGGACGCACAGGAGGTACGACTCAAAGAACGTAACAGTCCATGAGAACGCCTGGACGTAGAGCTTCCAGTCGATTGGGTCCGTCGCGACAAACGCGAGCTGGCGCTGCACCACGGCGAGCTGGGTATGGAGCAAGTCCATGTTTCCTTGCTACCTCTGGTCAGAAGTTGTGTCGACTCCTTTCCCCGAACAGAAAAGGGCGAGAGACGGCAAGTTAAACGAAGGAGGAGAGGGATTGAGAAAAGGAGACGCGCGGTTCGGCGCGACACGTCTTCACCGTCCCGCTGCACAGCCACCGTAATTTACCGCCACCACGAGCTTGGTGACGTGGAAGCTCGTCTCCCGTCTCAATATCTCGTTTGTTCAGTTTCCGTGCCATAACAACTCGTTCCTTGATCCATAACATGATTTTGACTGACAATGTTCTTGAGACAGACTCTTTTCCCCTCAGAAGTGAGTTACACAGGCAATATGATCGGGTTCCAATACAAAATATTTGCCAATGTACTGCATTCGATGCATCTTTGAACAGCTCACATCTCAGGCATGCTGTTGAATCGAGATTCATGTATATGAAGCGTCTATGTAACTAGTGGATACAGTGAAGAGTATAGTAAGGGTAAGTAAGGTGGATGTTTAGCATACACAGAATAACGTTAGACGCTTTCAGCGAGTCCGGGTCGTGAGGTATCATCACCCTCTCTTCGCGCTACCATCTCTTTCTCTCAATCTCCCCATTCGTACGGCCCAGGGCCCGCGTCGCCCCGGAGCACCTAGAATGCACCTCTGCGCCTACGGCCCGAACGCATTCCAGATCGGCGAGAGCCGAAGCAGCGGCAGCAAAGGATGTCAACGATGACGTCAAATATCACCACGATAACCTGTGGAGTAGATATGGCATGTCAGATTTTTCTCGGGACCGACAGTAGTAGAATAGTAGGGAGAGGAAACGCACAGTGGTGATAGCCCCGACGATGGCCATGATAACTCCTGCGATGGCGGAAACGACGGCATTAATGCCAGAACCAATGGCGGAGAATATGGATCCCTGCGAACATTGGAGTTAGCACAAGCATTATCGGAAGATTTACCCGGGACCAGGAGCCGCTTTGCCTCCCAGGAGAAATGGAAGCAAGGCTCACCATTGTAAAGATTGGTTAGCTTGAGTGGGTGGATAAGATGTCTCGGGTATGTGTGATCGAGGATGTTGGTGTGAGTTGGAAGAATGGTGTTCACAGGGTGGCCAGCATGCGTCTTATATCCTCAGAGCATTCTGCCCTGGGGCCCTATGACGCACGGCTTGGCCTGGAGTGGCCGTGCTTGGCCTGGGAGAGGGCACCATCGAGATATCCAGAGTCACACGGCGAGAGGCCGAGGATGGGCCTGGTGAGATCAGTGAGGTCAGTTCGCGGTCATACGCACAAGGACAACACCGCAGAATGTACAAACAAGTTCCGGGAATGTGGAGAATCCAGAAGCTGTGACCAGCAGCGCGGGACCCGAGAGCATCTGGGGGTGGAGCGCACACTCGCCGTCATACTTGCCTTGCCTGGCAATAAGATAAGAGTCAGGCACGTGGAGTTGGCGTCGTCAAACTCTAAAAGTCTACATAGAAGAATGTGGCAAAGAAAACTTGAAGAAAACAGAACAAAACGGTCGTCTGTGCGGGACATTTCATACACGGACCTGAAATCTCGTCTATGCATAATGCCGCCAGCTCGCAATGACACATAAATTATCTTCGTCTAGCAGATCTCGCTACACTTGTAGTCCATACAGAGGATCCCGCCACCCCACAGATTGGATAGTGTTCGCTATGGCAAGCGCCGCACCCATAATATTTGCTAGATGACATCAGCGTTAGTATCGTGCTCTTCATTTATGACCTCGAGAAACGTGCGTATCGTACTCTGACGCGTTTTTTTTTGCTCCAGACTGCCTGTTTTCTCGCCGCCTATGTATCTGGCAACGATCTGCCCGGATCCTACTGTCTCTAGTCCTCGTTGCACAAAGGCAGATCCTTGACTAAATACACATTGGCGACCTGGCCATGTCCTACTCCACCTGCCTCTAATCCACAAGACACGCCTCAGTTACACTTCGGCATTTAGACGGCAATGGAGGGGAACACAGTATCATTTTTGTACCACATTACATGTTTCATCGCTCGCCCTAGCCTGGCGATAATTCTCGTGGCTAACGACGACGATGCTCTCGTGCGTGGGGATACTACAACTCACATGATGATAAGGACGAGGAAGAGAAAGGCAAGGTGGGGGGAGATGAGGAGGGCCTGGAAGATTTGGGCGAACTCTTGTAGATGAAAAAGCCCAGGGGCTTAACACATCGGGAAATTGTCTGAATACATTCGGACCTTAGGGGATGCAGGGCTCTGTATCTTGAAAATGCATCGACAGAGGGGATATAAACGTACGTTCCGATTGGTCAACGTATTCTACCATTCAATACAATTCATACTCGAACAATTCTGCTTCAACGAACCGGTCGATCCCGTCGTCTTGTGGGCATGAGCTGAGGAGGCCCGCATTCAATATCAGTTCGTAAACGGATGCGGAAGTGTTTCCCCCGGTCCTGCATTCAGTCTTTCGGAGCAGCGACCGGGGGTGCTGTGAAGAGCAAAGGAGTCTACAACCAAGCAACGGCAAACAAAAGCCGACCATCTGCTTGTATATACGATTAATAGCAAATAAGCATGCTAATTACGGGTTTCGCTAGGTTTCAACTCTTTGTACGAGCACAATCACTGGTCAACCCACTTCAACCCATTTGATGTTCATTGACATCGGTGGGCGTATTCGGTGATTGACAGATTCAGTCGTCACTGTCAGTGTCAAAACGCCCGTTGTTCGGACCACCGGCCGAAGACGTCGTCCGTGAGTCACATTGTGCTGATGCCAAGGTCGTGAGCGCCCTGGGCGCTCGCTGTTGGCTAAGCACAGCAACTCCCCGGTACTCCCCACAACCACAATGGAAGATATCAACGCCAACTTTGCCTTTCCCCTTCGCGAACTCGAGAACGAACGCGTCAAGCTGACGCCTCTCAAGGCCAGCAACCTTCCCTCTCCACGTTCTTGCATTCTCCAACTTACCCAATCCACCAGCCCGCCATCTACAAAGACGCCCTTTGTAGAATATGCGACTCCAACCCGCAGCTCTTTGACTTCCTCCCCTTCGGTGGCTCCCCAGACTCCATCACCGCGCTCCTCTACGAGCGCATCGGGCCCGATCCAGGCATGGCGATCTACGCGATCATCGACAAAACCCGCCCCGCCGACCCCGCTCTGACTCATGAGTCAAGTGTAGGGCAGGAAGGAGCTTTCGCAGGCGTCTTCGGCTGGCTCAACGCGTCCGCGGTCCATCTCAAAGTCGAAATGGGCTTCGCGGTGGTCTTCCCCGCGTTCCAGCGCACGCACATCGCGACGAACGCAGTCGGCCTGATGCTCCAGTACGCGCTCGAGCTGCCGAGCGCGGGTGGGCTGGGCCTGCGGCGTGTGCAGTGGCAGGCGCACACCGAGAACGCGGCGAGCATTCGCCTCGCGGAGCGGATGGGATTTGTACGTGAGGGCACGCTACGATGGGATCGTGTGTTAAGGGACGACAAAGTTGTGGGTATGAAATCGCGCGAGGGCGATCCGCACGAGCGAAAGGTAGGGAGACATTCGGCGATGTTAGCCATTTGTTGGGATGATTGGGAGAGGGAGAAGGAAAGGGTTTTGACGATGATGGACAGAAAGCTGGCAAAGTAGAGGAAGTAGAGATCGCGGTGTCATTCGTTGTAAACCTGGATCCGGGCTCTTCCTAAGAAACCGTGACGCGGCAATCAGCAAATATGATCCAAAGCTACAGGAGTCCTTGAAACATTTGAGGCTCTGCATCCACCGCATCCACGTATTTGAAGCATGATGATCGGCTTTAACTCCATTGACAACTACGAGTCGCGATGAGTCACCGTCAGCAAACGGCATAAAGTCGGCAGTTTCGAGCACATCACTTACCCCGTCACAGGAATCCTTCCGTTGCTCAATCACATCGCGCCCTTTGTTAGTCCACATCGAGGAACCAAAATGGAAGACATCAACGCTAACTTCGTCTTCCCGCTTCGCGACGTCGAGAACGAACGCGTCAAGCTAACGCCGTTCATTGTAAGCAACCCGCCATGATTCGTGCTGGATCCAATTGCTCACCGATGACTAGCCCGCCATACACGCGGAAACCATGTTCGAATACGCAGAGGCAAACCCCGAGATATACAACTTCATGCCCCACGGCAGCACCAGAGAGAACCTCGAGTCCTTCCTGTCCATCACCTTCGCACAGGACCCCGGCTGGGCGCTCTACGCCATCCACGACAAGACCACGACCGGAGACCCCGCGTTCGCGGGCATCGTCGGCTGGATATACGCGAACGCGGCGCACCTCAAGGCCGAGATCGGCTCCATCGTCATCTTCCCCGCGTTCCAGCGCACGCACGTCGCGACGAACGCGGTCGGGCTCATGCTCCAGTACGGGCTTGACCTGCCGCGCGACGGCGGGCTAGGGCTGAGGCGGGTGCAGTGGCAGGCGCACGCGGAGAATGCACCGAGCATTAGACTGGCGGAGCGCATGGGCTTCGTGAGAGAGGGGACGCTGAGGTGGGACAGGGTGCTGCCGGACGCGAAGGTGGGTGTGCAGACGCGGGAGGGGGATCCGAAGGAGAAGAACGTGGGGAGGCATTCGGCGATGTTGGCTATTTGCTGGGATGATTGGGAGAGGGAGAGGGAGCGGATTCTGGCGCAGATGGAGCGAGTGAAATGAACTAGAATTACGCATAGGCATGCATACCAGTCATAAGCGTAGGTAGAGATATAGTTCAGTCATTCAAGTCTATAGAGTCCAATACCTACCGATAACATCCCAGTGGCCATTCAACGCCGTGTTGAGTGCCTGACAGCCACCCAAAGGACCGCTTGTTACTCGAAGTGAGAGCTCTCTCAAACTTGTCCGTGGAGCGTTGGCATCATGGAGGATTCACCAATGAATTTCTCTAGCGAGTATTGGGCATTTGATACACTTGGTCGCCTGCATAAGTGGAGGAGGAATAGGGAGGGAAGAAACAGTGGCCGCGTGTCGCGTCGCTCGAGTCGTTTCCTGCGCGTGCGACATTGACGATATCGACAATCGTGGCGATGCTCATCCTCGTTCAGGTTATATCTACTAGGCTTGAGCTTGAATCTCAACGATATTCTCTTGCACTTATTCTGACTGCTGCAGCTCGACAGAGATGGCTCTATACACTGTGAGGACAGAGATACCTGAAACTCATGAACGTAAATCACACCCGTACGTTAGTAGTTTTCATGTAATATTCATGTCTTCGGAGTATAGTAATAATGTAGATGTTTCATGAGAGTAATGGACTTTGCCGAGATCCAACTATGGACGTTTTCGGATGATTCAATGTACTTTCTCATGGTCAAAAGAACATTACTCTTGAAACGACAGGGTGGGCCTGAACATGAAGCCAATAGTTATAATGGCAAAGTATAGTGATTATCACACGAAAAAGCAAGCAAAAATGACTGCAAATGCGATGACATTCATGTATTTCTATACAAGCAATTGGCTGATCTACTCAATACACAGAGAACTACAATCGACCCTGAACCTCCCACCTCCTGAAGATTCTTCGGTGGAACAAGCACAAGGCTGCTGCCGCCGTCATTATCCGAGCTGTCAGTAATGTTGCCGTCAAGGTGTGCGGACACGGACCGTTCTTAAGCGCTGCGGCGGGAGCTGCCAGTCGAGGATCCTCTCTCGCGGATAACGTATTGACGGAACGGGCCAAAGTAGGCACTTGCTAGATGATAGTGAAAGTAAGTAAACAAAACAATGAGAAGTAAAGAAGCATACCGAATACGATGGATGGCTGCTCTCTCCACCAGTCTCATACCACTGCCGCTACTGGGACCTCTAAGCGAGGACTTGAGTCGTTACGTGAGCTTTCTCAAGCACAGGAGGAGTTCAAGTGTGTGGAGATTCATCTAGGTGTAAGCGTTGTTGCGGTACACTCACGCGAGCCCGCTGACGGCGATAGCGTTGACCATCCTGTGTCGGGATCAGTGCCTATGTCAGTCAGCCAATCAATTCAAGCTACGCGAACTGTGTCGCACTCACCGAGAGAGCCTTGATCACCCACCCATGAAGGTTAACCTGCGTGCACATGATGTTGGCGTCAACTTGTGCAATATTGGAAGGAAGGAAACACCGTTGGGGGAAGAGGCAAAGATGTGGGTGGTGGTTGGGGGTGCTTCACATCAGTATAGAGTCATTTCTGCTGGTGAATCGAATATGTTGAGTGACAAAAGGTCAGCCCAGTGTAGGAGAACGTACTTAATAGGACAAGCACAGTCTGGGTCCGGAGCTGCCATGGAAAACCAATAGCAGGGAGCGTGAGGTTGGCGTGAGGTGCGAATGCGGTGGACAAGAAGAAGGATGAAATGGCAGAGGTCGATAGAGATATCAAGAAGGAAGAAAAGAACGCGAGAAGACCAAGTTCAACATTTGCATTTATTTGTTGGGGGTGGAGCCCTCTCCAAGCACCGACGCCACCTGACGTCATCGTGAACATAGTTTCGCATTTCACGTCCAGGTACATGACTTGATATACCAGGTCCGGGTACATGACATCAAAATCAGGCCAAAGGAACATTACTCTAGCGTATAAAGCATTGAGTACATTATAATCAGGTATACATGTTCTTGCAGTGCGCTTTGGAAGTGACTTAGATCTTCAACAGCACCGACTCATCAACGAGAGACAGGGATGGATTCGAATGAATACGTGCTGTTGTCTATCTCGCAAAATCTAGCACGTCAGCCCACGCTTTGTCCTTCACCTGCCCGTAGAATGGGAGCTGCCAAAACCCGTGCACGCCACCCTCAGTCTCACGCAACTCAACCTTTCCAGGCGCTTCATGGTGCATAACCCGCGATGGGTCGATTAGCTGGTCCGCGTTGCCGGCGATAATCAGTGTCCTAGGCCAGTCGTCGATGTCCTTGATTGGTATATGCATCGCCGAGATGAGCGGGCTCTTCCTATCCCGAGCTCCTGCGCCTATGAAGCGGTCGGGGAGGTCGGGGAATGTCCCAGGCTCCAAGAGCCATTGGTCTGAGGCGGACATGTGTCCCTGAATTGGGAGAATGTCCACGTCAGCCTGAGCTTTGGCGTAGTCTGAGAGCTCGTAGGTGTGGTCGGCGGCCGGGCCAAACGCAGCGATGCTGTGAGGGAGTCCTTGTCCGTATAGGTGAAGGAGGTAGGTGATGATGAGCACTTCGTTCAGCATTCATTTAAGTTCCCGCGACGTTTGCAGTAGATCTGGGTAGAAAGACATACCGCTGTTTCCTCCGGCGCTTTCTCCAACAAGACGAATGTTCTTGGGCTGGTACCCCTGGTTAAGCAGATACTGGTATGCGAACCATAAATCTTGAAGGTTGGCAGGGTACGTGTTCTCTGGCACGCTAGCTAGCCGATAGGAAGGTGCGACAACAAAACCATCGAATCTCTTCGCCAAATTGCTAATGGCTGGTACCCAACGCGGGCCGGGCGTTCCGTAATCCGCTGGGTGGCCAGCAACGTTTCCACCTACAAAACGGTACAAGTGAACTGGACGAACGACATAAAGAAAAGAAGGTACCTCCATGGACAAAGAAGATCACATTCGTCTCCTCTGGCTTGGTCCCCGACCGTCCCTTGCGCTCGTAGGTGAAGCACGGTACAGCATCCGGAGCAATACGCGGGCCGTGCAGTTGCGGGGGAAGCACGACGCTCTTAGGAAGCTGCACAGTCTTTATCGCGTCACCACCGGCAAAGTGCACGCCATGAGGAACAACGACGAAGCCGTCGACAGCCACACCGTCCGGAATGTTCTCGCTCCTTGGAAGCGTCGCACGCTCAGTGGGAGAGGCAGCAGCGCCTATCTGCCGGTGGGAGCTCTTTACTGCGTCGCGGAAAGCTCTGACCCCAGCTTCGATCTCGGGAGTCCAAGACGGGCGGCTCAGACCTGAGGAGTTCATGGGTGCTATGAACAGGCTTGAACAGCCACAGGATGTGGGGTGGTTCCGAGGTCAGGTTTTGAGTTTGCCTCCGTGGGGCGTGCCGTTGGGACATTATACGGACCGACGATGGGCTGCCGTCGCGGCAGCGTCAGCGCTCGGCGCGCTCGAGCGCTGGATGGGTGGTTCGTCTTAGTCAAGTGGAATGACGACAGCGGTTTGTCACGCCAATCTCGGTGGTCATCGTCGTTGATTTTCGTACGTTCGCACACAGCAGACGGGTTCTGGAGTATCTCGAGGGAGGGGATACGACCGAGTGAGACTCCACACACATTCGAGTGCATGACGGTGCAGTACAGTGCCACAATTGTGAGTACATGCTATCAATCGTAATGGTACAAATTTCAGTAACTGCTTACAGTCTTCAACAAATAACAAAACAGCTTCCTTTCCTTTCCATAGGCTCGCCTACTGAATGAACTTCACCGCAGCCGCCCATGCATCATCCCTCACCTTTCCGTAGAACGGGAAATGCCAGAACCCATGTACCCCTCCCTCCACCTCAAGCAGCTGCACCTTGCCACTCTCCCCTCCCGCCTCCTCATGAATGTACCTCGACGGATCGACGAGCTGGTCCGCCGTGCCCGTGACAAGCAACGTCTTCGGCCAGCCCGCGATGTCCTTGACGGGGATGTACATCGCCGAGATCAGCGGGTCCTTACGATCGCGCGGCGGCACACCCTGGAAGCGCGACGGAAGGGACTCGGGCGGGAATGCACCAGGCTCGAGGAGCCACAGGTCCGAGCCGCCCCTGTGCAGACCGATGGGGAAGATATCGGCGTCGGCCTGGGCCGCGGCGTACGGGGAGAGGACGTAGTCGTGGTCGGCGGCGGGGCAGAAGGCGGCGATGCTGTGTGGAAGGGTTTTGGAAAGGAGGTGGAGGAGGTAGGTGAGAATGAGCACTATGAACGCGAACGCGCGGGGATGTCGGTCAGCCGACCGTCTCGAGGATTGCGCCGGAACGCACCTGAGTTCCCGCCGGCGCTCTCCCCCACAAAGCGGATGTTCTTAGGCTGGTACCCTTGCTCGAGGACGTATTGGTACGCGTGCCATATGTCCTGCAGGTTCGCGGGGTACGTGTTCTCCAGCGTGGTAGCGAGGCGGTACGACGGCGCGAAGATCACACCGTCGAAGCCCACCGCGACCTTGCTGATCGTCGGGACCCACTGCGGACACGGCATGTTGTAGTCGGCAGGGTGGCCAGAGACATTGCCGCCTACCAGTGCCGGTGCGTGACGAAACGGATTCAGCAAATAAAGAATAAAGGGCCGAGAGGGGCGCGACAACAAAGGCTAGACTTGAACGCACCTGCATGCAGCCAAAAGATCACATTAGTCTCCACCTGCACCGCCGCTGCCCTCCCGTTACGCTCATAAGTGAAAACAGGCACGGCCTCCGGGCTGATCCTTGCGTCTTGCAGCTGACTCGGGAGCGCAATGCTCTCGGGGAGCCTCACGGCCGCCTTGCCCGAACCATCGTCGGCGAACTCCACGCCGTGCGGGACAACGATGATACTCTTGATAACGACGCCATCGGGGATCGTCGCCGGGTTTGGGAGCGTAGCGCGCTGTGCCGGCGTTTTGGCAGTTCCGAGCGGAGGGGGTGGAGCGACCTTGAAGGCATCCCGGATGGCCTTGGTGCCCGCCTCAATCTCGGCAGTCCAGGAGGGGCGAGTGAATGTCGAGGCGCTCATGAGAAGATGAAGTTGAGGATGATGATGGGGAGGATCTTCGGTGAGAAGAGACCTCAAGGTGTGAACGTAGAGTCATATGGATCGGGGGGTCCCTATATATATGCGTGAACGACTCGGGATTCGAAGTCGTAATGTTCGGCCACACATTCACTTCTTAGTATACTTGAGATTTTGGAATCGCTCGGCGTGTCCTCATCAAATGCATGACTCAATCGTCCCAGATGCCCGAGTTTTGGACGCTTCAGTATCTACATCGCAATGAGTCATCTGGGTTCGACGTCGACCAATAAAGTGCAATCGCGCAGACTTACCGTGACGCCCGTTATTACTCAAAACTCAGTATCTCGCACGCAGTATATCCTGGCTTTGCAAGCGTTGAAGAAACATTGAATCACTTGATGACGAGACAACCTCAAAAAAGCTTGGTCTTCGTAAGGATGCTGACGCTGGCGTTATACCTGTGTCAACCGAAATTAGTCACGGCGTGAACGCTGGTTGAAACCGTTGAGTGGGTGAAGCTGGCTTGAAAGCGTTCGGGCAAGGTATCAAGAGACAGCAAGCATACAGTGATACACACCTGCGGTAAAGACGCGGAAACACGGCTTGTTTCTATAACCTCAAGCCCTCGAACACGGTTCAGCGCTTAATCTCAACTCCACGAACACAGAAGATGTTGAAGGTACGCTCCGGAATCGAACACTTCTTTGTAGACCGTTATCGGTCTTGTTGTCTGTGTTTAAGGTGATCATGAAATCAGCGAGGGGTGACCGGTGAGAAGACTAGTGCAAGCAGCAAACGAGCGCTGGCGAGCTACATACGGACCGGCTCGGGCCCGGCTCGGGCTCACAGTGCCAGAATGCCGGCACCGGCCCGACCCCGCCCGCCCAAACCTCTCACCGCGTGCCACCGCGCACGCGATGTGTGATGCACATCACCGTAACTTGGATGACCACCACAGCAGCTAATTTCGCTGGCCTTGAAGGTTCCTTCGGTCTCCGGTTTGACGACGGTAGTTCCCTCAACATTGAAAACACGCAGCGAGCTTGCATCTGCCAGGCTGAAGCGACGGCAAACCGTGATCTATCATGACGTGCAGAGGCATCGCTGACACTGGCAGGCGCCCACATCAACCGCCGGTGATATTTCTTTCATTGTCGTGTGCTGTCTTTCTGCGGATGAACAACGGGCGCTAACCACAGTGCCGGCTACGTACAGCTGCAGTCTACGGATGTTGACGACGCCCGAAACCGACGCGCGGGGTGAAATGTCGGCTGGTCGTCGAGCTTGGCCCTCCCGACGGCGCCCAAGAGGAAGCACCGCGTGAAAGTGCCCCCCGAGAATCCACGGAGGTTCCGGCAGCGCAAATAAGATGAAAACAGTATAGTGCATTTTACGCAGCTGGTCCGACGATCCTGACCATGCATACGAGCTCCGGTCATGCTGTACAACGACCATGTGCAAAGGCGAACAGATGGGGTCTAGTAAGACGAACCCATGACACCCTTAACCACGTTCACTCTACGCCGAGTCGCCGACCACGCGAAACCTGGGGCGGTCGCAAATTCCGCCCGTATCGGCCAAGCATTGTGGATTCGGGCCCGGGGATCGACGGATCTGCGATGCGTTGGTGCCGGTGATGATGGTACTTCTCCCTTCGTTTTCAGCTAAGAAACTAACAAAACAAGGGCGGAGAACGTTGGAGAACAGGTCTGAATGAACCGTGTGAATGAATCCAGACAAAGTCGAGCAGGTCGTGAACTGGACACGGTTCCTGTAGGAAAACCTAGCAAGTCACCAGGGGACGTCTGAAGCCGAGATCACACCGTTTGATGGCTGGCGGCGCTCGCTGACCACCGCTCGTCCATGAAGGAATAGAGTCTTATCTCATTTGTTCCTGACGGTTGCACATGTCGTTTGGAGTGATCGTAGCACCTCAAAAACGTTCTCCGGGAGTCGGCGGGCTGAAAGGTAAAACGAAGTCGTTTGTTCAGATTCGATCCCAGTCGACTTGCCACATTGGAGGATGGCACCACCTGGACCCCATGCGTTGCAGAAGCAAGAAGGCCGGAGAAGAGTCGAGGCAAGGTGGGCTTTAAACGCCCCGACGTCAAGCCCACCTTCATTTCCTCCCAGGCACGGGAGAGGCCGGCGCAAGAGAGAACGAGCCGGGAGGAGCACACTGCTCACTTGTCATATGTGGCTAAAGTTAGCACACGCGCTCCGTTGGTGCATACGATAACGGGACGGGAGCACAAGGTACACCCGACATAATCAGCCAACCCCATATAAACCCACGCTCACGCTCCAGCCCGTCAGCCCTCTCGTCTCACCCACTAGCCAGCTTCGCCAGTCCATAGCAAGCCACGATGGCCTACGTCGCGCCCGCTAACATCGACGGTGCCTATGACCCCCGCTCCCACCTCACCGAGGTCGAGGAGGACGACGCTGTCGCCCCGCACACAGACCTCTTCCCGGATGGCACGCCAATTAACCTGGAGACGTACATGTACTGGGCCAAAATCCGCCGCGAGGAGGAAAAGGCCGACACCACCGCTGGACCGGCCAACCCCTGGCTCCGGTTCTTCTCGATGAAGAAGTCCGCGCCCACTCACGAGACCGCCTCCGAGAGCCCCTCTGACGAGAAAAAGGAGAAGGGATCCGACACGGGTAGCGCGGTCATCTCTGCTGGCGAGTACCGTCACGCCTCTGGTGCTCTCCGCACTGCCTCGTGGGGAAGCGTTTTCTACCTCATCACGACCGGTGAGCAGCGATACCCGCCCGATGGCAACAGCTGTTAGAGTTGAGATCAACTGATCACACGTCTGTCATATGATAGATATTTTGGGTCCCTACTCTGCCCCCTTTGCTTTCCAGCAGGTCGGCTACGGTCCTGGCGTTGCTACTTTCATCGGTTTCGGTCTCATGGCAGCGTACAGCGGCGCTTGCTTGTGGTGGATGTTCATGAAGGTCGACTCTACCAAGTACCCCGCGCGGACCTTCGGTGATCTCGGGTATCGTCTTCTCGGTAGTGGCTTCCGTCATCGTAAGCAGCTTTCTTCCCCATCCTACAGTACTAGCTGAGTCTGACCCGTGGCTGCAGTGTGCAACATCTTGCAGAGTCTCCAGCTCATCTTCAACGTCGGTATCATCATCCTCGGGTAAGTCATCGTCATTTTTGCGCTACACCATCAAACGCCGTGGGAACTGACACGCCGAATCAGTAACGGCCAAGGTCTGTCGCAGATGGCCAAGTTCCAGGTTAGTCCCGTCATTTCGCCACCGGTAATATGACAGCTGATCGGACGTGTCGTGCAATTCTTGTTCTTGGCAATGAATAGCTTTGCTTCAGCGTGTGCAATCTCGTCTGGATGTTGGCGGGTATGATCCTCGGTCAAGTCCGCACCCTCGCCAAGTTCGGATGGCTCGCGTCGCTCTCGATCTGGATGAACGTCCTCGTTCTGATTATGACGATGGCCTCTGTCGCCCACTCGCTACCTAACTACATCGGATCGGGTTTGGACGCAGCCCCTGTCATCACCCAGGCCATCAACAGGCAGCCCTTTGAGCCCCAGCTCAACGGTATCATGCAGATTGTGTTCTCGTACGGTGGAGCGTACGTATTCAGATATATTTTTCCATCGCATGGGTGCTCAAGTGGATTTGGATTTTCAGTATGATTTTCACCGAGTTCATGTCTGAGATGCGCAAGCCCATGGACTTCTGGAAGGCGATGGCCTGCGCCCAGGTCTTCATCACCTTCGTCTACATGTTCTTCGGCATCTTCGTCTACGCCTACCAGGGCCAGTTCACCATGAACCCCGCCAACCAGGGCATCTCTGCGTACGGCCTCCAGACCGCGACGAACGCCATCTCCCTCACCGCGGGCCTAATCGCCGCCGCGTTGTACGGCAACATCGGAATCAAGATCTTCTACCAGAACATCTTCGTGAACCTGCTCAAGTTCCCGCAGCACAGCTCGCCCAAGGGCAAGTGGATCTTTGCCGTCGCCGTGCTCGTGTATTGGTCGCTCGCCTTCGTCATCGGCTCCGCGATCCCGCAGTTCAGCAACATCTCGTCGCTCATCGCGGCCGCGTGCATCTTCCAGTTCACGTACACGTTCCCGGCGATCATGATCCTCGCGTACTCGATGCAGGTTGATGCGATCGAGGGCGACCGCGAGTACGACCCCGCGAACCCGCACGGCTCCCGCGTCGACACGTGGAGACAGGCCTCCCGCTGGAAGCGTGCACTGAAGAAGAACATCCTCTTCAAGGCGTTCAACTTCCTCGTCTTCTTTGCGTGTCTCGCGGCTGTCGGCCTCGCCATGTACTCATCTATCACCGCCATCAAGGCTGGCTTCGCCACGGACGGCTCAGCGACGTCGTTCGGCTGCAAGTCCCCCGTTGACAACTAAACAGGTCGTCGTGTACATAGCCCACGTTATTTAGCTGACGCACAGAGAGTGTACACGGACACTTGCTACAGTATTTCGGGGTTTCGTTCGCATTTTCTTCACCCTGGGGTACGATTCACGCTGGACGAGGACTTGTTGGTGCATGTATTATGATTCATACTAATGACGTAGGTAGTAGTAGTAGCAACGATCTATAACGGCGACGTAAAATATATATATCCCACTTACTCTCATACCTTGTCGTTGCTCCACTCCCTTTGTGAGTCGCCCTCTGCGCCACTGGGACTGTAGATAAGTGAGTGGCGTTGCTATCGGCATCATGGATCAGCATCGCAGCTGCGGAGCGTGCCTTTTCGCGAGCTTATCGTTGTGCCGGTATCTTCAGGTACGGCGGAGGCACTTGTGTGTTGCGCCTGTGTGCACGATCTTGGGCTATGCGCACTGAGCAGTTCACCTTAGCTTGCAACGACGACGGCGATGGGCCAAGAAGTTCAAAAACAGTAGGTCTGCGAAGATGTCGTTCCATCTGATCGATGAATTGTGGACTACACGGTACCGTGGCATTAGAGTTCTCTGGCGCATTGATTGACTTTAAAAGGCATTAGTTCTCACTTTGGAATATTTATAGACTCGAGTTGAAGGGATCGGGATCCTCCTGAGTTTGTCTTGTCGATGGGGCACCAGTAATAGGTGGGTCTGCTCGTAGGAACAAACGCGTGGCATAGGGCGGGATGGCGCAGAGCGTGAGAATCACGGCGCCAAGCAACGCGACGCCTGACGCGACGCCTGTCACCCCTTTACTTTCTTGCGCACACGACCTCCATCCGCAAGATTAAGACTGAAGCGCTGACGCTTTGTCGCTGGGCCCAACTCAGAACTCCGGTATTTTGTCATCAATTTTTTACTGTTCTCGTCGATATCCATCTACATCAGCTATAGTACCAACGGGATGGACGCAGATCTAAGCATACTACCCCCCGACAAGGAGCTCTTTACCGCTCCTGAGCCACAGCTGTCGCAGGGCCTATCCAAGTTCTTTGAAGCACTCAGAAGTCTTCCACCAGACGATAAACATATATTCGAGGCTGTAGTACGTAAAGGCTTCCTCACCCACACACGCCCCTAATCATGTTGCCGAACGTTAGCTTGCGCTTGCGATCCATGTTCCGGACGAGCCTGATGGGGAGCCACGGCCCAACAGAACAGCACTAGATCCGCTCGCCCAAGCTTGCATTCGAGCTGGGATGACAGAAGTCATGCTTCAGTTTATACACTTTCCTGATGAAGAATTCGTAGAAGCGTATTCGCTCTATTATGGCTACATGAACCAATGGCAGGCCTGGAACTCGCTGCTCAGGTTGGCACGATATGGTACTATCCAAGAGCGAGAACAGTACCTAGACAAGCTCATGGACGGAGGAATCATTCCACTGTGTCTGACGGCGAGTAGCTGAACGTTAGCATTTAGCTTTCAAAGCTAACAGTTACATGCTTAGACAACAAACCACTGTGCACTACTGTTTCGCGCCAGAGCGGCAGAGGTGCTTGGTGTCTTAGCTTCACAGACGTACCTTATCAAGAGACTATCATCCGACACTACCGCTGATATACTTAGGGCCTTGTACACGCTTGCGCTCCAGGACCCAGAAGCAACCTCAGACCAGCTAAGGGAACCGAGGACGATTTTTCAACAAAGCATGCTAAGATTGGATGGCAACGATCCGTGGAACGATGATGAACACTCTCGAAGTCTCATGTCGAATCGCCTTTTTGGTCAGGCGCAAGGCGCTGCACTTGAAACCGCCCGTAGTCTCATCGTGTTAAACACGCAGCCGTCTTCAAGACATTATCTCGATGTTCTCAGGCAGAAGCCATCTATCATTGACCTGTTAATGGACTGCTTGCTGATTAAACCACTTCATTGCCACCCGGAGTGCACGGCAGCATACGCAGCTAGCGACAACTTGGCGGCCCTTTTCAGGTGGCCTTCCTCCATGCTGGTTCCTGGTATCTCAACGCCAGCTGAACAAGTGCTGGGTGGCAAAGATTGGAAGGCGCTCCTTCAGTCTCTGCAGCTTCTTACTTCGCACAGAGACTGGACCGATAATATCATTGAGGCATGGATGAAAACTGAGCCGGATGTAGAGGATATCGAGGACATGGATCGGTACGTGTGATGGCTACGAATACTTCAATGCAAAAGGCTGACATCTCAGTGTTCTATAGGAGTATTGAAGATGCTCATAACCTCTTTAGCGAGGAAAGGTCCCAGATAGACGAAGAAGAGATCGATGAGGATTTCAAGACAGCAACTGGTCAGCAACATCGCTCAGCGTAACAGCGGGGTATTGATTCATCTACCAACAGGGCGCGCCCGAATTTCCCTCCTTCGGGTCGTCGCAACATTAACTCATGGCGCCGATGCAGCAGGCGTCAGAAACGTCGATGTCTATTCCTTACTGCCCATCGCTTACCGAGCCAGCCAGCAAGAACGACCATTCGAAGAAATGATCCACGAATGGCCAGACTGGGCCGAGCTAGAAAACAGCTACGAATTGGAGATCGAACACTACTTTGTGGCCCCTGAAAGCTTGCTTGGACCCACGGCTTACACGCGGCTATTGACTGTCTTAGCTCAGAGGAACGCCTTGAAGAGCCTCCACTCGCTGCAAAAGCCTCCCGCCGGTCTATCCCCTACGACGTCTGCTGCACAGCTCCGTCAAATCACTCATCCAGACGTTATCTCACGCTTACTCACTATCGCGATCATCAGAGTCCAGGGTGCCATGAGGAAAGCAGAGAGGGTCAGCGAGGGTGATGTGCCGAGTATTAAGATAGGAGCTGGTCTTGTCTTTGAGGCAGTTGCGGAGCTCGCCGCAGCCGTGGTTGCATTTGACGATTTAACAGGTGGGGAATATGCGGCCGAGGCAGCATCTGCGGCCAGACATTACCTCGTTCTAGCGTTGCAACATATCTCTGAGACCGCCACCAGGGCGAGAAAATACCGGCGCGCTTACTTATATCTGGTAGCCGCCGTCGAGGTTGGTGACAGCATCAAGGACCGGCGTGCAGGATGGACTGATGTCGAAGGCAAGCTCAAAAAACAGCTTCGGCAAGCCAAGAGAGCCTTCGAAGCCCAAGCGAACACCGACGTAAGTATCTTACCATAGCTATGGCTATACACTTGATGTGATGCAGCAGAATTAATTGATGTTCGTTCTCTTAGTGACATTCGCAGGAGATATTTTCTAGATTGACATCCGTTGTGACGTCTTTGATGGCACTCCTTAGTAGTATGGTTCCATGTTTCACTTATCAACTACCCTGATCAAAGGCGGAGGACATGACAGTTGAATGATGGGTTGAAGAGAATGAATAAGGGTAAGAATAAAGGCTGACGGGAGGGAGGTATAGGCATTGTGGATGTCGAAAACGTCCATGGTTTCAAACGCCCAAGACTGCTCTTAAATTTGATATTCGTCCGAAAGTCGCGCGACCTGCTCTACAACGCGCTGAGACGGCATCGCCGTAGGTATTCCCAAGCGCCAACCTCGCCGATCTGATGCATTTTGAGCTGGGCCCCTTCGATGCCTGATGTAGAGGGGATGTACCACGGTGCACGAGCCTGAAGCCACGCGGCCGTGAGAGCGTTCCGGCCCGCTTTTGAACCGAGCATGTAGGGGTTCTCGAAGGAGGCTAAAAATCGGTGAGTTAACACGGCTACAACGGGTACCTCTATTCTAACGCATGATCTAGATGGCTTCCAAAAAGTGAAAGACCAACAACAACAACATCGCAACTTGAAGTGCGTGTAACTAGGCCCTCAAAGTGCTCCCCCTCGTGTTCTCTATATTTTGGTGAGATCTACGTACTCTATACTACTGATACCATGCAGTGCCTGAATTTTCGTGTATGACACAAGGATAGATCTGATTTTTGAAAATCATGTGAGTTTATGCCATTTTATGCCACAAGCGTAAACGCGAGAACACCAGGCTGCACAGGTGTGCGATTGTAGAATCTGCCCAAGTTGCGCGCTTATGCCAAAGCTGCACCACGCTGGCATCTTTGGGGTCAAATTATGCCCATCGCAGAACAGCCTTTGATTGCATCAATCTCGACTTAAGATGGTATAAAGCGCCCAGGGTTCAATAAGCGCCCAGCAGGTTTTCATAGGCGTTCATGTCCGTGTCCTTTTCCGCACCGCACTGACATTATTTGATTAATCTTCTGTTGCGTCAGCATCGTCTCCTCGGAGAAATTCAGGCATTTTCCTCGCTAGAATTCCCCGCTACCCTAACACCGCGAGACACTGACCCGAACAATATACCGCACACGACTTAGCCTTGCGGACATGTCACGTCGAAGGGTGTACGATTTACCGAAAACGCGGACATCCTTCGTAACGTTCCCGGGTCTTTTCTCGCTAACTCCGACAGCCATGTCTATGTGTGGTCCCTTCCTTAGATCGTTTTTCTACCTGCATGCTGACAACCTACGTATGACTTAGGCGCGACAGATGGGCTACGCATGATTATACACCCAGACCTCTTCATACCATTCTAATTAGCCGCAAATCCCCGATTCGATGCAGGAGAGTTGAAACGTTGAATATTGAATGCCGGCAGTCATCAGGATTTTGACACGTGCATTAACCGCACTTTCCTGACTTTGCCAGAGTGAACCTACTTTCCCAAAAATTGAAACCACAATTCTGCTACATTTGAGGATTCGAAGCAGTTTAAAAGACTCGTAGCCTACTCTTCGTGATGAGAATTGTAGCTTAAATGCCACTGATACTGTTTGCTGGCCAAATATTCTCTAGTAAAGAGCCGAAAATACCAAAAAAGTAGGTTCATCTCGGCAAAGTCAGGATAATGCCGGTAAAGCGGCTTGTCATTTTCCTGATGCAGAGGCTGATTCCGAGTCCAAAATCCTTGATACCTAGGTCCCGTGAGAGGTTCTGGTTTTACCTGCGGAGAGGGTGCCTCCACGCATAGGTTCCCCTGTTGCAATGCACCGCGTTCACATGGACGCTAGGAACGATTTTACCCGTGCATAACGCTAGCCACCACACCGCGACACCATTAACAGGGTATTCTGAACGTTTGTGACAGGGAATCACAAGCACATGTTGATCACGGTTCGGTCGTGCGACCTCATCGTTTTCAGCCATGATTACTCAAGGCTGTAGATGAATTCTCGGCCACGAGATCAGAAATTTGCGTAGATCAATGTGAAGAGATACCGATAATATGGCGATTTCCACTGTAAGTTTGCTCTGTCTTGTTCCGCACCACCTATATTTATTCTTGGTCTTGTTGAACAGTGCACTAGTATACCGTGGCGTAAATGGGAAGAACGTCGATGAAATCCTCATGGGTCCTGGTTGAGCTGGAATCAAAGACTGCCTTTCCGCCGGCTGGCAGTCAAGGAACTCTGTTCTAGCCAAACACTCGGGTCGGATTGCCCTGAGTTTCAGCACACACAGCCAACGTTATTGACTGAACGTCTTTGACGGCATCCAGTGAGTAATATGATAACGGTGCATCAACAGCCCTCTTAATGATCGAGGCTTTCGGTACATGTCATTGTTGAGCGCATGGATCACTCGAGGGCGTTCTCAACTCCCTGATCCCATTGACGTGTCTGGTGCTATAAAATCTGGGAGTACCTTCCTTCAGAGATATCATCTTCTTTATGCTCGGACTCCCGCAGAATAGCTGGGGTTTCCACCAGAACAACAGCGACCTCGCTGGCTCCAAAGGCCATTCTCGCAAAAGTGTACAAGTGGCTCTCATCTTGTTCGGCCACTTGATTCTCTTGGCTTTGGGTTGGTCTTTCATCGCGGTCTTGCTTTGTGACGAGTACCGGCAGATTACACTCCCGGACATTGCCGCCCAATTGGCAATCGAAAACCCCCGGGCAGTAACGTACATAGCCAGCCTCGCCGCCACTGCGCTGAGTCTGCTATCGACCTGGTTCGTGCTGATGCGCTACATGGATGGGGCTCTCAACTCTTTATCGGAAAGCTAATCACCTCTCTTAGGCTCTTCTCCAAAGCTGTGCTGATGCTGCTGACCACGACATTGCTTCAATCGTCAGATGTGAATACCAGGAGGAAGCCTGTCTACATGAGACAATTTGGTTTCCTGGTGACGCTTTCGAGTACTCGCCCTTTTCTGAATGCTAGTTATCCCCCGTGGGTTGCTCTCTCTATTGTTGTACTTCTGTTGGTCAATACTACTGCATCCGGGTACGTGCAATGGCTACTCTGTATATCTAACACGGCACAGCTGACCCTTTCACTAGCTGGACCGCCCTCTTGGACCCGACCCTCATTCTTGTGCCAGGAGAGGTTAAAGGGAGCGAGGTCGACCTCACCACGGCTGCTTTCGAAGCCCTCCTGGACTCCGTATCAATATACCAGAATAATACTCATAAAACGATTGCAAGAGGTCCGTTCACCTTCTCTAAAGGCCTATCAGATTACTTATAAAAGTAGAGACTAATGCGGCTCAGGAGCTCTTAAGTGTGGTGACATTGGCGGGGGAGTCGGCTTCAGGCGCCAGTCTTGGCTCACGAAGCTTCTTTGACTTTGACGGTGCAACTTACAATCTCTCGACCGGTAAAGCGTTCAATTTCCAAGCTCAATATTTTACCATGGCTGAAGGTATCATGAATTTATAGGCGGTGTTTTGCCAGCTATTCCTGAGTACGCAGCTAGCCAAAGTCGAGCGCATTCAGAAGGCTGGGGCCTCACCTACGCAGGCGGAGATATCCCCTTGGACACGGAGGTGGACACTATTAGACAGGGATTGTCACGGAATTACACTGTCCGTCAACAAGGTCTTACTGCGAGCGTTTCTTGCACTCACTTACTACCCGGAGAAATGACCATGGGAGGTGAATATGCACCTTTATCGACTCCGCTTTCAACCCCGTGGATTGGTGATGTAGGATATCGATACTGGGAAATGAATGTGTCCTGCAATGCTGGTATGTATTATAAATTTGACTTTTCCGACTAAGCGATGACATTGATTTACACAGCTAACCTCACTCTGACATACGGTTATATTACCCAGACTTCCTCCTCTGGCGACGCGGACTGCATCGGCACCGGCTTTCTTCCGATTATGCCATGTCCGACCCAAAGTCTTACGGGTGCTGACAACAATAGTTTCAGTAAGTGCATCAGGCGGCTATTAGTGTTTATTGCTGATAGAGGCAGTCATCAATATGTGGGGCATTTGCAAGTACGGTTCGATTGGGACGACTCTCTGTCAAGTGACCCCGCTTGTCACCGATGCAATTGTTGTATATGACAATGGCATTATCAATCAGCAACATATCATAGCAACGCGCTCTCTGGGCGAAACCAGCCCTGCGCTTATGGCTTACATCGTTGGACTGGTCCAGCAGGTTGGGCTGACAGCCCAGGGTATAGTAGGAAATCCTGTTGGCGACACGATAAACTTGATGGTGTCGTCTCCACCCGACGCAAACGGCACGTCATCAAATGCATCTCAAGCTTCAATCAACAACGTCTTGGTACGCTCCTATTACAAACTTGATCTGGCTCCTATGCTAATCGTGAGCTATGGCCTCAGGAGAACTATTGGCGGGGCGTGATTGAGTTCGGAGGCACTGTAAGCCGATCGACATATTCAAAGTTCTCTTAACTAACCTTGCGTTTTACAACTCTGTAGTACCTACGTTCCGGATTCTCAGCCAACGGAAACCTCACAGCAGATATGAAGTCTTCCTTCAGCGGCGAGGTTTATGTTCTGACGATAGGGTGGTCGAAGGGGTGGTCCGACCGAGCTGCCATAGCGCTTATCCTCACCATGCTCCCCCAAACGATGGTCTCGCTTCTGACACTTCTCATTTTATATCGATCTGGGGGTGATTATCTTGGGTTTCTTCCAGACTTTGACCCGTCGAACATCTCCGATGCACTATTGGCCAATCGCGTTAACGAGCAGGGTGAAAAAGGGATTCTTCCTCGAACTCGTGCTGATGCATTGGCCGAAACAAAAGTAGAGCTCAGCATCCATCATGACGGGAGGAAGATATTGACATTGAAGGGTTGAAGTTTTATCAAGCGTGAATAGCGGTGTGCTTGACAATAGTACCTAGTCATCGATATTCAATCATGTTCGTTGCTAAATCATAGTACTTTGCAAGTACTTTGCTATTTTGTCATCTGGTTTCTTGCTACATACATCTAAATACGCCTTTGTTTTGACGTCGTACACTTCGGGTTTCCTCAATCACGGGTTTCGAAAAAGTCAATTACTTCTAAACATCCAATTCCACTGTTAAACATAATATTAATCCAGTGCAAATCGCTCATTCTACTCCGTGAGGCGCCAGATACGCTGCCTACTTCCATAGATCCGCTGAAACGACATTGTCGTAGATATTCCCAAGCGTCAACCTCTCAAACCCTGTGCGTTTCAAACCGGGCTCCTTCAACGCCCGATGTAGAGGGGATGTACCACGGTGCGCGAGTCTGAAGCCAGGCTGCAGCGAGAGCGTTACGGTCCGCTGCTATTGCGAGTATGATGGAGCGCATGGATCGCGATGTAGCTGTGAAAGAGAATACGGAGGAGAGCGGGCCTTCGAGAGCATTCATGCATACTAGGAGCTCGAAGGGGAGCTTCTCGATAACTGGGTGGCCAAAGGAAGGAGATGGTGATGACTGGCATGCCACAGAGCGACGCGTCGAGTCAGATGCAAAGAAGGTATCCGAGGGAAGCCTATACATCGAAGCAAGCGGCGAGGGAAAGCAGAGACTTGGTAAACAGGGATAACGTACCAATTGGGTTGCATCCATATTCCAAACCCTCCGGTGTGTGCAATCTGGTCCCGAGTCGACGCAACATCCCCAAACCATCCAAGCCCAATCACCTCCCGATCTTCCATGTACGGCGTCGAATGTAGAAACTGTTCTATATGCGTGTCCACCTCGCCATAGTCCACGTCTGACAATCCATAGCCACCAACCCCGTCCGACCACCCAAGATGCGTCGAGAGAGCCCACAGGCACAGTGGTGAGATACGCCCGCGCGTTACGAGGCGTATGATCGGGAAACCGGAGGTCCACACCACGATTATGGGGGCCGAAGGAGACAAGGTAGCTCGGCGTGACTTCCTCTCCGTTGAGGGCAAGGCAGGTCGGCCTGTGGATAGTTCCCAGGTCCCGGAAGCTGCCAATCGCGGAACAGTGTTCCAGGACGTGAATGTTGCGTTTCGGTATGTGCAGCGCTTGATCGCGTAGGATGCCGTCGCGGTATTGGAGTTCGTCATTCGTCAAGGAGGTCAGTCGGGCCTACGAAACCAGGCTCCATGAGCTCTAGAATGAAGTGAGGGACGATGGAATTGGGGCGAACATACCAATAAGACCTTGGATGTAAGTTGTTTCCTGGAAATCCGATGAATAGACGTGGACTCACATCGCTCGAGTGATACAATGGTGCCCTGTTTTCTTTCCCGTGGAACATGTGCCTATAGTCACTGGATCATATAAAATAATGTTGTGTTTTAAGCATGTAAAGTTATCAGCGGTCCCTCATGCTTCAAAAGTCAACACCTCGAGTGAATAGAGATCACGACAAGAAGCCAAACAAAGTGGCGCCTTCATGACAATCACCACCTCAAACTTCACCAATGTCACTAACCACAATATCACAACATCACGACCTCACTACAAAACGCAAAACACAAAACACAAAAAACCCATAAACTCGCAAGCTCGCCAACAAAGACACCGTTAATCGCAACCCGCCATCGAACATCAAAGGAGATACTCTGTAACATCCGATATCCATCGACATCCTTTCCAAACATAATAAAAATAAACCTAGCTCACGTACGTAGGTACTTGTATGATTTGTGAAAAAGAGTAAGAGGGTGGGTATGAATACGGCGTCCCTACATCAAGAAGGACAAAACAGGGGTAATGGTAATGGTAACGACAAGAATCGGTATGGTATGGTATGATAAAACGAACAGGCGCGTCAACGCCCCAGAAGACAAGTCGAGTCAAAGGATCAAAGAACCGGAGTCAATAGATACGGAGGTATGTAGACGGATAGAGACTAGAGACTACGCTGTAGGCTGTGTTATGGAGGGGGCTAGAAATGACACTGAGGAATAAGAGGTACACCTATGTGCAAAAGACCGGGTAGGCAGAACAGAACAGAAGACAAGACAGGAATCGCATGTGAACGCGGTCAGCTCAGGAAGGGGGGTAGGATGTGGCAAGGTGGCAAGGTGGCAAGGATAGGCAGGTGAGAGCGACAAGGGGTGAAGGGTAAGGAGAGGACAGAGACGGACAGACGGACAGACAGACGCAGGGGGCGCGCTAAAAACGCATTTTCAGCACGACATAGACGTAAAGTACGAACCAGAAAGACCAACAAGAGAACAAACGAAACCCAGATTACAACCACATTTTCGACAACGAGAGATACCCATATGTTCAACGGGAAAACGCCTAACTGGCAGTCCCAGCATACGCGTCCTCGTCATCATAAATCGTAAACCGCGCAACGCCCGAGCTCTTCTTTGCACTATGTCCCATCCCCTGTTGCTGTTGATGCTGGAACGGCAGCTCGGGCAGCTGCGCAGCCGGCGGCGGCGTCGTAGGCGCATACAGCACGCGCATACCGCCGTTGCTCGCGCTCGCGCCCGTCACAGCACTCGCACCGGCGCCCAAGCTCATGTTCGGGCTGTGACCATAACCATTACCGCTGCCGTTTCCGTTTCCGAGAGGACCAGTGAAGTGCATCGGCTGCGGGAACGCGGGCGCGGGGCTGGTGGGCTTGCTGCTGATGCCTGGGGAGCCGGGACCGGGCGACGTGACGCGCCGCTCGGCGTACGCGCGGAGGAGCGCGTCGGGGGACATGACTGCCGCGGGGACCATGGTCACTGCGGGCGCGGGCGGGCTGGGCATCTGCATGTGGTTTTCGGGGTACTGTTCGTGCTGGGGGGATGGCAGGAGATAGCTGTCGCCGCTGGAGTTCTCGTGCATCACTGCAAGTCAAGGTAATCAGGCTATGCGCGCGGCAGCATGAATGGAGGTACTCACTCTGCAAGGAAGGGAAGATCTCTTCCTCATTCAGTGGCATCGCGCCGTGCGTCTGCGTGGGCGACATCTCATCGCTGCCGGGAGTCGAAACACCAGAATCGGGGATAATGGGAACCGGGGGAACAAAGCCATTGTGGAACGCACGGCTGACGACCGCGCGGCGGGACTCCAGCGACGGCCTCACATCCGCCGCAAACGACACCCTCGACACCCGGTCTCCAAACGCCGACGTGCGCACACCGGGCCGAATATGCGCAGCGGGAATACGACCGTCCCTCGGCTCGTCCATCGACACCGCGTGCATGCCATCGACGGCGCCGGCGGAACTGACCGCGCTCCCACCGCCGAAGGTCGAATTGCGGTTCCCGCTACTGCTGAGCGCCATGCTGTGACGTACGGCGGCTTGGGCGCCGGCGACGGAGATGGCCTTCCAGTCGTTGGAGATGACTGACATGCGCTTGTCGACCATCTCGGAGAAGCGCTTCGTCTTTTCCTTGCCCTTGGCGCGCGCACGCTTGAGATACCACGCGGCAGCCAATCCAATGAATAGCAGTGGGATGAGGATACCAGCTGCGATCTTGCCGCGCGAGAGCGACTTGTTCCCGCCAAAGTTGTTCACGTACGTGACAGCGCTGGAGCCGGTGGAGCCGTACGACGCGGACTTGGTGTCGTCGTACGTGGCTGTGAAGACAGGGGCGGCTGGGAACGGGCTGAGGAAGGGCTGAGTTCCCGAGGCGACGATGGAGAGCTGGAGGTCCATCGAGCTGGTGCTGTTCCACCACGCGGCGTCGAGGGAACTGTTGTAGCTCCCCAGGGCGTTGTTGACGTTTTGCCACATGTGGATGCGGGGGACAGAGAGGGACTGGGCGATGACATATATGTCAACGGCAGAGACGCCAGTGAGGCAGCTCGGGTCCCAAGCCATGGAGAAGGGGTCTGAAACGGATACGGTCTGTCCGCTGGCAGGCGATATGTAGAAGCCCCCTGAGGTACAGCTGGAGCTCGAGGCTGGTACCGTCACATAAGATACTCGGGGGAGCGCATATATGGAGTAAATACGAACCTCTCTTCTTGTGGTGAAAGTTTATGGGCGATCCTGCATGGCCCACACGAACGTGGGCGAAACCTCTTGCGTTGTTCATGATAGGCTTCTCGGCTGAGCGTGTGGGGTTAAGAGAGAGAGGTAGTGTGTAATGAATGTATGCGCTGGTGAGCGCTGTGAAGGTGAAGGAGAGGGATGCTGTCGAGCGGCGGGGAGGGAGTCGAGGGCGGGGGAGCGGGGAAAGAGAGCAACGCTGGCGTTCTCAGCGACGAGACACCGACGCCGTTGATCAATCCACACACAATTCAGACTCAGCCTCGGCAATCCCCGGATCCACGGCCAATATGGGCCTTGGCTTGTCGTCGTCATCTTCAGTAACCAAGAGAACGGCGTCTGTCCAATGGGAGGCCATTCTCTGGTGTTCACACCTGTCTGAGAGTCTTGCAAAATTGGATGCATAACTCTCTGCAGCGGATCCTCAGCCTCTCTGACGACATCATACACAGCTACACTTGAGTTTGAACTTGAGAGAGTTCCTCCAATGGCACGATTCGCCAGGGCTGTCCATCCGTGACATCAGTTCTTGCATGCTGAACGAGAGAAATTCCTGGGAATATTCCGAGACCATCATGTCATGTAGCATCACTCCTCCACATCCCCACCTATCCGGACCGGGAACATCCGAATCAAATCACCGAGAAGGCCGATCACCGCTGCCGCCGTCTTTGCATCTCATCCCGACCATCGTCCTCGGACCTCGACGGGACTAGCAGCGACAATCATATCCTGCCTTTCACTCACTCAAACTTGCTATTCGTCTGAGTAAGCCTTTTTCGCATTAACAAACGAGTAGCTGGTAAGAACCCTAACACTAAGCGCCACAATGCACCCTTGCTTGCTCGTTCCCGAGCTCCTCCAGCTGATCTTCGATCAGGTAGACAGCAAGCCTTCCTATGCCCGTCTCGCGCAGGTATGCAAGGTGTTCCAAGACCCGGCACTAGATTCCCTGTACTTTCGTCTTGAATGCTTCTTTGACATTATCCTATGTCTGCCTGAAGACCTGCTCGGCACCAAGAAACGCATTCAGCACCGTGACAAGGCGCGTTCCGGTGTGCCTCCTGTGACGAGCACGCAGCGTCTTCCTCTTAGTGTGCGTATATCACCCACAAAAGTCTTAGCGTCACCTAACCTGTACCTCCCAGTCCTTCCGTCGTAACATGACCCAAGCCGACTGGGCCACCCTCATCTCCTACTCCTCTCGCGTCCGCATCATCGAATCCTTCGGCCCACCCGTCTCCCGCAAAAGTGTTCAAGACATCTACATCGCCCTCAACCTTTGCCCCATCCCCGTCCTCTTCCCACATCTACACACACTCGACATTGACAACTGGCGCTGTGGTCTGCATGTCCGCCTCCTTATTGGGCCACAGCTCCGGCATCTGCAGTTCTACTGGTCGATATGCGACAAGTTCCCCGAGATAGCCTCGCTCGACACGATATGCCCCGACCTTGAGAGCCTCACGATATCTAGGCAGAGCAAGCTGCCGGATTTTTTTGAGCCAACGTTGGCGGTGTCGAGGATGGTAAGAGGGTTGCGGTGTCTGCAGACGCTCAGGATCGGGGCGCTGGATCAGGAGACGCTAGTCCATCTTTCGAAACTGCCGACGTTCAACAACCTCGGGATGGACGTGACTGAACGAACACCCTGGCTCCTCGATACTGTCTACTTCGGTTTTCGATCCCTCGACTCTCTGAGCCTGTACTGCGACACCCTCCAGACATGCGCCGCGGCCCTGCCCCTCCTCCTCGAGCCCTCATCTCCATCTGAACAATCCCCAGGAGGCGACGCCATAATCCGCCACCTCCAAGCCACCGGCGCCTCCCCCTCCCTCCTCGACTTCACATCCTCCGCCGCGCGTCACATCTCCCACACGCACCTCACCTCCCTCTCCATCCTCAACAGCCACCGCTCCCTCCACAGCCCTCTCAACGCCTACGACTCCCTGCTTCCCCTCTGCGCATTCCCCAACCTCACCCACCTCGCATACACAAATACCGCCGACACCCCCGTCCCGCTCACCGGCCCGCAAATAACCTCCCTCGCCGCGTCCTGGCCCCGCCTCGAAGACCTGACGATCGCACCCAACAACGACCCCGCGCTGCCCTTCGCGCAGCTCATGACGCTCTTCCACCTCTGCCCGCGCCTCTCCAGACTCGCGCTCGACACCGCGATGCACGAGAACGACGTCATGCTGCTGAGCGCGCACCCGGAGCTCGTCGTGCGCAACGCGCGCGTGCGCGTGCTGCAGATGTGCACGACGCCGCCCTCCCCGCTCGACGTCGTTGTGCCCATTCTGCGCAGGGCGGTGCCGGCGCTGAGGCAGGTGAGGCCGCCGAGGAATTCAAGGAATTCAGGGCTGTATAAAAGGGTGTGGGACGATGTGGTGCGGGCGGTGGTTGAGGCGGCGGGGGAGGAGTTGTGACGAGCTTGCCTCCTAGGGGTTTTTGTTGTCGTCGGTCTGTTCTACTTGCGCAGTGAATTGAGGCGATGAGAAGGCGGGGCCAACTGCAGCGTCCTAGCGCCAGCGGTTTACATAAACAAGTACTAGGAGCACGTTTATCTTCCTGGGCCCTCTTTACGCAATATGTGCGTTTAGTTCACCCACCTGTGGTGATGCTGGGACGCTTGTCGCTATTTAGAATCCAGACGATTAAACCAACAGGCGAACATAACGTTCTTTCGCCATCGCAGGACCAACGCTTCCCCGGTGCTTCTCCGTGTCGGTCGGGTAAGCGACCTCGCGCTGGCTGTCTTCGACTTCGGAGTGGTCACTGATGTCACTCCTTGCCAATGATTTGACAAGTGTTTGCTCCATAAAGAACTGTGTGAAGCCTTGTGATCACGAAGTGAGTAAGCGCTAGCATGCTTGCCGAGGACGCTCAGAAGCATTCCCAATCAATTGGCCGGCGTAGATCTTCTGCATGTACACCCTTCTCCGCTATCGATCAGTGTACTCTAGACCTTGCTCAGCTCACTCATCTTACTTCAAAAAACACTTCGTCCAATCACCATAATGTCAGCACAATCAACCACCATCCCAGTCCTCATCCTCGTCTTCCCCGAGTTCAACACGCTAGACGTGAACGGGCCCCTCGAGGTCCTCCGCAACACATACCTCAAAACGCAGCCCACAAACTTCTCCATCACCGTCGCCGCCGCAGACGAGCACACGACCGCCGGCGAAGACATCATCATCAAACGACACATCTCCCTCCCAGAAGCGCTCTCCAGCATCTCCTCCTACTCGATCCTCATCGTCCCCGGCGCGAGCCCGAGCGCGATCCTGCCACACCTCAAACCAGGCGACCCGCACTTCGCCGCGCTCCTGGACGTGTGCGAGGCGTTCAGCAGGCTGGGGCCGGTGGCGGACGGGACGGAGAGGACGTTGCTGAGCATCTGCACGGGCGCGCTGATGCTGGGGTACCATGGGCTGTTCGACGGGTTGAGGGCGACGACGCATTTTATGGTGTTCGATAAGCTGAGGGAGCTCTGCGCGGACTATGCGGAGAGGAATCCGGGCGCGAAGGGGACCGTCGTTGTGCCCCAAAGCGGGGGCGAGCCGGTACGGTGGGTCGATGCAGGGTTGAACAACCATGGGGTGAGGGTGGTCAGCGCGGGAGGGGTTAGTTGTGGGATGGATGCTACGCTGTTCGTTCTCAGTGAGAGACTCGGGCGGGCGACGGCGCTGAAAGTCGCTGGGGTTATGGAGTACGCTTGGAGGGAGAACGTGTAGTAACCAATCGTTCCATGCTCAAAGCGAATGATCAAAGGCCTTCAAAGGCTCAAACGTAATATCCAGGAGATGTCAATGAGACTTGAGCAATCGTGGACGGAAGTCAAGCAAGTCAGGGACAAGTACCCATTGGGCAATGCCTTAGCCATCGGCCTAGAAATCACGGTGTTTCCTCTGAATCGGCTTGACATGTCCTCGCGCATTCATTGGTTTCATCATGACATTTTGTTCAAACTCTTTACCACATCTAGAGACATATCCTCCGTCAGGAAACCTCGCGGATGCAAGTCGTGATGTTCACCCTTGACGCCCCACTCGGAAGGGCTTGGGCTCGAATGTGAAAGTCGCCCGCTAAGCATGCTAGAACGTTGGCAATACCATCAGGTAAACGAGAAATTGCGACGAGCAGGACAGAATGTTTGAGAGGATGATCTCGCAAAGTCAATGAGGTGAGTTTTGGTCGTTTGTGTCCCTTAACATAGCCTTACAAGCTAACTTCAACTAATTCACTATCCTGCAGAGTATGATCTGGCCTAAACATTCTCTCTCCACGCATACTCCATAATCTCTGCAATCTTCAACGCCTTATCCCGCCCATACCGCTCGCTCACGATAAACAGCGTCGCATCGATCCCGCAGCTCACCCCGCCCGCGCTAATCACCCGCACACCATGCGCGTTCCTCCCAGCATCCACCCAGCGCCCCCGCGGCTCCTTCCCCTCGACAGGCCCCACAAGCGTCACGCCCTTCGCCGCCCCCGGGTTCCTCTTCCTATACCCCTCGCTCACCTCCGTCAAAAGATCATACGCCATAAAATGCGTCGTCGCCCTGAGCCCGTCGAACAGCCCCCGATACGCGGGCACCAGCGAGCCCGTGCACACGGTCAGCATCACCCGCTCCGTGCCGTCCTCCGCTGGGCCGAGCTTCGTGAACGCCTCCGCGACGTCGAGCAGCCCGTCAAAGTGCGTCTCGCCCTCCTTGAGGTACGGCAGGATGGCGTCCGGGGCCGCGCCGGGGATGAGCAGGGCGGCGAAGGAGTCGAGTGTGGCGAGCGCCTCGGCGTACGTGATGCTGCGCCGCAGCGAGTAGCCGTGGCCCACTTGCGTGAACTCGTCCGCGGCGGCGACGACGATGTCCCACTCTGCGCCGGCGAGCACCTCGAGTGGGCCGTTAAGATCGAGGTTGTCGAAGTGAGGATAGGGGAGGCAGAGGACGCGGGGGTGCTTTTGCTCAGACATGGTATGGGTGAATATGATGGTTGGCTGGTTGTGTCAGAGGTGTGCAAGATGGTTATGGCCAGAGAGCAGGGCGTTCACAGGGATGGGGTGCTCGATATCCCAAGGCCTCAAATTTATATTCGCCAATCAGCGCACTTTGTACGGTGTACGGTCTCATCGGCGAGCATGCATCGACTGACGCCCCCGTCCTTAGCGGTCTACTGTACTACCACTCATACACATGACTGCCGACTCGGAAGGCTCAAGCTCGGGAATTCCGAGCAACCGGAGAACTCGCACTGCCCACATTGACGTCGCTTGGCTCCAAACCCCGATCGAATTGAGAGAGAAAGGAGTTTATATCCCGACGCAGCAGGTCACAGCATACGCCAAGTAACGAGTTCATACCAAGTTGACACTGAGCCACCGAGCGTCGATGGCGAAGCACATCTGCTCACTGAGTCAGCTGAAGATACACCATTGTCCAAACTGGTGCCACTACTGTTGTCCAAACATCGTACGATTCATTTGAGCGTCCACGCCTGTGTTCACGCCCGCAGTTTGTTATCAGTGTTTGCTACTACTATGTCCCGGGAAAAGACTTGAGCGCAATCTACTGTATTGTCAGCCCGAACTCCTCGGCGCCGATGCCGAACCTTCTCGCCGCTTCAAGCCAGCCACAGTGACTTGTCATCCGGCTGCACGCCCCACCCAGGCAAAACAAAGGGCAACCAGCGAAGCCGGGACGTCTGGACGCACATGAACGTGACCAGCCAGAGCACTGCATAAACCATCGCCACGATCGGCTTCAGAGAAAAACAAGGCAGACAAAAGAACGCACAGATTTCACCATACGAAAAAAACGTCAGGCCACCGCCCCTTGCGCTGCGTTTCTTGTCGACCCAGCGCTTCATGTCCTTCTCGGTTGGCCGGGCGCTCGCGTCGAGAAGAAGCATCAGAAGAATACGCGTGTCTGCCACATACGCACACACACATCAGCGACCCACGGAAAAGAATACATAGTCTGCGCGCGAATCAAAACCCACAAAAGCCAATATGCGCAAACCCAGCCGACGACAGCGCGTTCACAAACGTGGAGTTCGTCATGACACACGACCAGTCCTCCGTGCAGAAGTTCTGCAGGTATAGGTTCGGCCCGTCGTATCCCGCCGGAAACAGGTCCTTGGGCAAGAAGTCAAAGGAGGGCTTCTTGTACCCCGTCGCGAGGATCACAACGTCTGCGTCGATTTCTTCTGAGGGGTGGTTGTGATCATGTATGTCCACGAGCGCGCCGCGCTTTGTAAAGCGAACGGTCTTGCCGCGCAGGTAGGTGCATCGGCCTGCACGGACGTGATTCAGGAAGATATCGTTTGCGATCTACGTGCAAGGTCATGATGCACGGTCAGTACCCGAGCGACTGATTCAGCAGAGACATACCGGAGTATCAGAGTATATGCTCTTGTTCTTGGGCATGAGCGCCTCGACGCCGTGATACTGGTATTTGCGTAGGTACCACTCCCATACAAAGCTAAAATAGTTGCACAAGTCTTGTTCAGTGACATAAACTTTGACTATATAACGATCCATGAACGCGCCTTAAAGGCATCCAGCGCCAGAACGGCTGAGAAGAAAACGCAACGTCAAACGCGACGCTCCGCGGGATGATCCACTGTACAGCCCACAAATGATATCAACACATAATTCGCGAACGCAAGAACTGGATTGAACAACACAGACATTATCGCTCCTCGCAAGCATAACACACCGCCCTGCCCCGCGCTCGAGCATCGTCTCGACCGCCTCGACGCCCGACGCGCCGCTGCCGACGACAAGCACGGTCTTCCCACGGACCATGTCCGCAGTGACGTGGTCCAGCTCGGACGAATGCAGCACTGGGCCCTCAAAGCCTTCGAAAGTAGCCGTTTCCGCGATCGCATCCGCGTCCGCATCCTTAGCCTTGCCGACGAGAGACGACTCGCTGGACGAGGGTACGAGTGTATCCTCGGACCTCGAGGAGGTGTCGGGTGCATCTGCGGCAGACGCGGGAAAGCCTTGCTTGGTGTCGGTGTCGGGCGATGTGGTAGGCTCTGGCTTGGCATCAGTCGATGCGGGCCCCTCGCTCTGGTATGTAGGCGGGTAGACGTGCTTTTCCGCATGGCGCGCATTCCTGCGGTCCTTGATGCGCTGCTTGAGGTCCTTCCGTGTCGTCGCCGATGCATCCGGGACGTTCTTCAGATTCTGGCTGGCTAGGTCCGTCACCGCGCGTTGTTCCTTTTCGAGTAGCGTGAGCTTAGACTGCAAGTCCTTGGCCCAAGTTTGCTTGTGTCCGACGTTGAAAGCGTCGGGGACTATGACGCTCGAAGCCAGGGCGCCCTCCAAGGTGTTAACGCCGGAGTCCACGGTCGCGCTCACGTGTTGCTCCTCTGAAACCGCCAGTTTTTGGTGCCCTGTCCGTAAGTCCCGGATCCAAATAGCATTCTTCTCATGGCGCTCGAGAAGAGTGCCATGGAGGCTAGCTAGATGGCCGTGGGCGAGCGTTGAGTGTAACCTCTGGGCGAAAGTGCGTTGGGTGAAGGGGACGGGGAGGCCGTCGAAGGGAACCCAGTTCGCCTCGCCGCATGTGCCGATGGTGACGATGATCGCGTCAAACGGACCATCTTCACCGTTGTTAATGATCCATTGCGAGTGAGATGTGCTTTGGACGTCGCTCAAGGCTACAGCAAGAAAGAGCCTCGTTAGAACGCTATGACGGTCAAGAGTGGGTAGCTGGGTATGACTCACCACCGTGTGGTTCGAGACGTGGTTTCCGTTCCACTTTGGTTACGGGTGTCTGAGAGCGGGGAAATGAACAAGGGGTAAGGACAGAAAAACAAACACGGCGCACATTGAGCCGAGTACGCTCCCTGAGCCTGTACTCTTTCCAGACTTTGTCGACCTCTATAACGGCTTTCAGTCGGCGCCGAAAACAGTCGTGGCAGAGAGGGAAACTCACGATCCAAAACCTCGTCGCGAGAGGGAAAGAAACTTCGCCATACGACAGCCGGGTGGAAGCGATACATGATCGAGTTAAGCTGCACCGCCGACGTCTTGTTCTCGCGAGTCCAGATGCCGCCTGGGCGGCTGGAAGCCTCATAAATAACGACTTCAAAGCCATGCGATATAGCGTGCCTGCAATGAACTGAGTGTTAAATCTGGATCAGAGTTACATACGCGCATGAAGGGACGTACGCAGCAGAGGAGACACCAGTCAGACCAGCGCCGATGACCGCGATGCGACCATAAGGACGCTTCAAGTGCTTAGGAGGCGGACTAGGTTTGAAGATGAGAGCGATGACATATTGTATACCGGTGTAGGCGAGGAGAGATACAGAGATTGAGTTGTCCGGCGAGCGAACGGACTTGAGGGTATCCAAAATCTGATGGACAACTTTATTAATGGCATAAAGCTGCCCGATCATCATGGTGGGCTAATTAGACGGTGGTCGCAAGGTGCGAAGAATAGGTGCCGGCGAAGGAAAACAAGGAAAGCAGTAGTCGCTGTAGTGCGCGGTGATGCGAAAGTGGACGGAGGTTGCAGTTGACAGGGAAGTCGGCGAGCTTCTGATACGAGAAGCTCTCCCGTTATAACCCTTGGAAGAAAGAGGGGTAAGGACATTCCATAGCGTCGCATTGGAGCACTAGGTTCCAAAGAAGCATTTGAGCCTACGGGTCAAGGAGCGCGACGGGGAGACGAAGATCGTCAAGATGCATAAGAACCCTCGTACGGAGCCGATAAAGAAAGGAATGCTGCTCATTGATTTGAGATCGCATCGTGTTGGCGACTTGCTCTATAAGAAGAGATGCCGTTTAACTGCCAGACTAGTGCAATCGAACACGTCGAACGGATGCAGCAAGAAAGCGTGGGGTGCAGGCAAATTGCAGGAGTGAAAAGCAAGCCGTTAGCAGGAGGACCCAAACTTGAAACCACGTGTCCATGTTTGTTCCGAGCAAAGAACGCGACCGCGCCATAGCAAAGTTCCCAGCCTCCATACTTTGCTCCCCACGACGGCGGCCTCTAAACAATCTTGTCTTTCCCTCATTTTCGTACTAAATGGTTCTTATCTCGGATCAACTTTGGACGCGACGTTAGTCAGGAACACCCATCAGGCTAGCGTGACATCGCTACTCCTCTCCAGAACCTCAAATCCACTGGCAGGCAATTTGGCAAGACAAGATAAATGGTATGAGCGTCTTCGTCCGTGTGCACATGGCACATAGAAGCGTGTAGTCTATCTTGTTTGTTACGTCTTTCACATCTCTCAGCGAGCTTGACGTGCCTGTGGCGCCGTTATCAGCGTCTAGATGCTTATTTATACTTCCAGCATAATTAACGCGCTCCTCGCCTCCCACCCGCTGCAATAGCCCGATAGGCTCGGGTCTCCACACGCTCTCATGGTATCAAAGCTGTACTAAACATATCCGATAAGCCATAAGGCATCCAGACGCCAACTTTGTCTCCCGTGCCTCTGCTACGTTTGCCTCCCTCTTGCCATGGCCCAGCTCGCAGCCGTCGACATTGGCCACGACCCTCGCGTCCACCTCTCCAAGAAGGAGGAAGACGACTACCTCGCAGACGAAAAGACACATCTACATCTCCCAGACGGAAACGAACTGCCACTCGAGACATACCTTTACTATGCGAGGCTCCAACGGGAGAAGGAGGCCAGGATGCCAAAGAACCTCCCGTCTGACAGCCCGTGGGCGCGCATCTTCTCGAGGCGCAATCGGTCTTCCGATGACTCCCTTGACACCACCAAGGAGAACACGGACCGTTCTGTGCTCAGTCCGGAGGAGAACCGTGCCGCGGAGGGTGCACTGCGAAATGCATCTTGGGGGACGGTGTTCTATTTGATTACAACGGGTGCGTTCGTTCCTTTCCATAGCTGGGTGGCCACCCCGAGCACCTTGACTAACCCTCAGTATGTTTTAAGATATATTGGGCCCGTACTCCTCCCCTTGGGCGTTCGCCCAGGTGGGATATGGCCCTGGTGCAGCATGCTTCGTCGTCTTCGGCATCATGGCAGCCTACGGCGGCCTTCTTCTCTGGTGGATGTTCATCAAGCTCGACTCCGACAGGCTCCCTCTGAGGACGTACGGAGACTTGGCGCACCGCATATATGGGCCCTATGCTCGGCACTGTAGGGTTTCCGCCTCTTACATGTATTAGAGCGTAGCTTATATGCGCTGCATTCAGTGTGCAGCGTCCTTCAGACCATACAGCTTGTCATCAACGTCGGTTTGATCGTCCTCAGGTACGTAATTTGGAAGGAACATTCAGCGGCGATTCTCAAGACCGCTCTTGCAGTAATGGGCAGGGTCTCTCGCAGATGGTCAAGTTCAGGGTATGACTTGGTTCAGACCGCACTTTATCCTATCAATACACATGCTCACCTCTCCTCCAGCTCTGCTTCAGCGTATGTAACGTCCTCTGGGCCCTTGCTGGTACGCACCCCATACGCATACATTCATACTATCCTTATCATCTCAACACATCCCCTCATCCAGGTATGGTCGTCGGCCAAGTCCGCACCCTCCGCCGCTTCGGCATCATCGCGAACGCGTCCATCTGGCTCAACATCACCACCATGATCATCGTCATGGCCTCCGTTCCCTACATAGCGCCCAACTATACCGCGACCGCTCTCACGCCCGCGCCGATCCAGCGCCTCGCGATCAACCTGCAGCCGTTCCAGCAGCAGCTGAACGGGATCATGCAGATGGTGTTTTCGTATGGTGGCGCGTGAGTCCTCCTTTTTACATCTTCTGTCTGTATGCTTTATTACGAGAGCTTGATGACTGTTTGGAAATATGCAGGATGATTTTCATCGAGTTCATGGCGGAAATGCGGCGCCCGATGGATTTCTGGAAGGCGATGGCGCTGAGCCAGCTGTTCATATGCGTCGTGTACATGTTCTTTGGGCTCTTTGTGTACTCGTACCAGGGCCAGTTCGTCGTCAACGTGCGTTTCCGTCATTCTGGCTTTCTCCCCATCCCGCGCTCACACTGGGTTTGAATTCACCTTCAATGGTACTTTTATCGTAGCCGGCTCCACAAACCATCTCCGTGTACTCCATCCAAACGATCGCCAACGCGTTCTACCTGACCGCCTCGCTCATCGCAGCAGCCATGTACGGCAACATCGCAGTCAAAGTCATCCACCAGACCGTCTTCGTGCCCCTCTTCGGCCTCCCGTCCGTCAACAGCCAGAAGGGGAAAGCCGTTTTCGCGGGGAGCGTCGTCGTGTACTGGGCGATCGCGTTCGTGATTGGGAGTGCGATTCCGCAGTTTAGCAATATCACGGCGCTTGTCGCCGCGATTTGTATATTCCGTGAGCATCTTCGCGGTTCTAGAGTTAAAGAGAGGGCTGATATGAACGGCGGCTGATGGTGTAGAGTTCACGTATACATTCCCCCCGCTGTTGCTGCTGGGCTTTTTGGTCCAGACGGATGCGATGGATGGCGAGGATGCGGGCCAGACGAAGCCCGAGGCGGTGCGCAGGGATACGTGGCGGAGTCTTGCGCGCTGGAGACGCGGACGTAAGTGCGATTTACTCTTTAGCCCCGTAATCCGCACCTCCGAACCGCCAATACTGATTTACACACTGCACAGTAATAAGAAGTAAATCACGACTCGCCTTTCATGTGTGGAACTTCCTCCTTACGCTCGCGTGTCTCTCGTGCGCGTCCCTCAGCGGGTACTCGGCCGTGTATACGATTATTTCGTCGTTCCAGACTTCTGGGTCTGCGACGTCGTTTGGGTGCAAGTCGCCTGTGGACAACTAACTTGACTGAATAGTGGATGCTGTGTTGTGAGATGTAGATCTAGAAGGTGTCATGTATGGATAGTAGCAGCTTTAGGAGGAATAAGAGGAATGTCTGTGTGGTGAGATGGTCTGGCATAGGTTTTGGGGACTATGAGTACTGGTCGTGTACTTTGTACTACTAGTCTGGCCCAACGTTACATCGTATTCTTCGGGTCAAACTCACATTATAATCGTAGTGTCATGACTGACAGTATGTGAAGAGGTCAAAAAGTCAGAGTTCTATTCAGAGTTCAATGAGAACTAGGTCGACGAAAAATACGCTAATGCAGGAATGTCCGATAAGTTCCAAAAGTCCTATTGATTGTATCGTAACCGTCTCTAAAAAGCGTCCCACAAACATAAGGAGCGCATCAGTATCGGAGAGTCCACCGCACATGCTAGCCACTATGTCATCCCACTCCTATTCAACATAGGGGGATGGAATTTACAGACCACGGGCTTCTAGCCGACTTCGGAAGACTTTCTGGAACTGAGAAACATGTTCGTGGTCCATGAGGGTGTAGTGTTGCCCGGGCACGTCGATGTACTGGGGCGAGTCGCGGCTGAACTGACCCCATGCCTTCAACTGCTTGTTCAGCCAGTCGTCCTTACTGCCACGCAAAGGGATCGCAAAAAAGACGTCCAAGGCGGCTGTGAGTCAAGTGAGGTAAGCAAAAATGAAGTCCAATAGGCCAAGGACAGATGCTCACCAACGTCCCCCGAAGGAGTGTAGTCCTTTCCGCACTCGATCAGCGAACCCGCGATAGCCACCCAGTGATCAAGCTTCTCGGGCGTGAGCTGCAGCTCCGCGAGACGCCCGGGCGGCGCCATCTCCCAAACGACGCTGAGCTGCTCTTCGCGTGCCCGTTCCTTCAGCTGCGGATGCAACCGGTCCGCGTCCCCCTTCGTGATCAATCCCAGGAAGTACGCCAGATTGAGCATCCCGCCCGTCCAGTCGATCTCGTGCATCCTGTCGGAGATATGTGGAGGTATGTTCACAAGCCCGACGAACTTGACCTCGTCACCCTGGCTTTCCAGGCGCTTGGCGACCTCGAACGCGACGACGCCGCCGTAGGAGTAGCCGGCGATGGCGTATGGGCCGTGCGGCTGCGTGCGTTTCATCGCTGCCGCGTAGCACGACACCATCTCGTCCATCGAGGCGAAGAACGGGTGGCCGGATTCGAAGCCCCGTGCGCGGAATGCGTAGAAGGGGCGCTCGTTCTGGAAGTATTTGGCAAGGTTGACGAAGATGAGCACTTCGCCGACCCCTGGGTGGACGAAGAAGATAGAGGTCTTTGAGCCTGTAAGCTGAAGAGGGATAATCGGGTCGTATTCATGGGTGTGGCCGTCGTCCGTAGAATGAAGACCGGCGATATAAGCTGCGAGATCTGAAACGACGGGGTGCGTAAGGATCTGGATGATGGGTATTTCGGAGACTCCAAGACGCATTTCACATTCGCGTTTGAGTCTGTCGAGAGTGATAAGCCGCCGAATGTGGATTCTCTGTCACAAGAAATTCACCTTATGACGTCGATGGAGGTGCCGCCCAACTCAAAGAAGTTATCATTTGCTGATACCTCTCGAGAATCCATACTGAAGATGCCTGCATAGAGAGAAGCCAGAGCCCTTTCATCGTCAGTCGAGGGTTCAACGAACGTAGTCTTGCGAGCCTTGCTTAGCAGATCGTCGGCGCGCTTGACGTGTCCTGCCAGACCGCCTTGAATAAACTGTGAGAGAAGACGGGAACGCGAGAGCTTTCCGAGCGTGGTCTTTTCCATCTCGCTCATGGGAACAGGGACGATGGACTGAGGCGGGAGCGTGATCATCCTGACCGCAATGTCCTTCAGCGCACGATGCGTTTCAGTAAGCTTCGCCGGTGCGTCGTCGTCATTCTGTAGGTCGAAGGTGGGCGCATAGAATACGACGAACCCCTCAGTCTCCTGTCCAGCTGCGCGATACGGAGCTGCGGCAAGGAACGAGTGAGTGACGCCCTGGACAGTCTGGAGATGCGTCTCGAGTTCGGGGATGCCATAAGAGACACCATGAACAATGACTGTGTCTTTGATCCGTCCACTCAAGCGCATCGAGCCGTTTTCTATGATACCCATGTCACCGGTGCGGTACCATCCCCCATCCACGAAGCTCGACGCGGTCGCCTCCGGATTATTATAGTACCTGACAAAGACCATGGGACCTCGGACCTGCAGCTCGCCGCTCTCACCGTCCTGCCGAGGCGTCATGCCGTCCTCTGGATTTACAACGCGCATCTCACAGCCAGGAATAGGTTCACCAAGTTCCAGGAATTCGTACTTGGGCTCCTGGAAGGCGAGGTTGATAGCACCATAAATACATCCTGCACTTAAAGGCGTTATGTCAGGGGCTCGGACAGGCGCGGTAAATATATCTTAAGCTCACCATGTCTCTGTCATACCAAATCCTGCTGATGTGATGAACGAGACGCGTTCGGGATTGTAAGAGAGCTTCTTCAGCACCTCCACGAATGTCTGTGCCGTCTTGGATACAACCGCTTCGCCACCGCTATTCATACGCCGAAGAGAGGACAGGTCAAAGCGGCCGACAAGGTCAGTCCTTCTCTCGAGATCGCGAGCAAGTTTGGCCAGCAAGAAGTTTGGAGCGAATGAGACATCAACACTCTGAGTGGAGACGTCAGTACGGGGAATTCGTGAGGGAGAGGAATACCGACCTTCTCGTCAATCAGACGAAGGAACTGAGCGACATCAGACAAGATGACAGAGGCGTGTACATGCAACTGCGAGGAGCCAAATAAGAGAGGGGCTACATGCATCTCAACCGCTCCGGCGGCATGGTCGAATCCTACCCCTGGAACAAGAGGTGTCAGCACATATCACGGAGATATACGTGATGAGATGAAACACGCACAATTGAGGATCTGACTGCGAGAGGTCAGCCCATAGTTAGCGCCCTTGGCGTAGCAAGCGGAAAGGATGGTACGATGAGTGTGAACGGCGACCTTGGAGAAGCCGGTCGAGCCAGAAGTCAGAAAGAGGATGGCGTCGTCGTCAGGTTTGGAAGCGCGAGCTATCCAATTAGGGGCAACGTTGTCGAAGGCAAGAGCGGACTGCCGAAGCGTCGACATCAGATGAATCTCCAGCCCTTCGATCGACTGCAGCTGCTCGGCGCCCGACTCGTTCGTCAGCCATACCGTAGAGGAGAAGAGGTTTCTTATGTGGGCGACGTGCCCCTCCTTGTGCGACTGCTGAGCGCTGAGAGCAGGCTGAAGACAAGGTACGAGTCCCGCAATGATACACGCCCACACGGCGACCATGTTATCCTCGTGTTCGCTGAAATACACCACCACTATGGACCCGAATGGCTTCTGCCACTCCGCAAGAGCGCGTGCCAAGCACCGCGCATTGTGGTTGAACTCAGTGAAGGTCTTCGACTGGATGGACGAGTTCGGAGCCGTGGAGGAGACAAAACTGAGCTCGTGATCAGGCCACCGCTCGACTGACTGGAGCAAGACGTCATTGAGAGTACGGGGGTGCATATCTGTCCTAAACGAGGCTTTGAGGGAAGATATTGCGGCTGACAAGGTGGGAAGTATGGGTACTGCGGTAGGTGCCATAGCTGGGAAAGAAAGGGAGACAGACAAAGGAGAGGTCCAGAGAGCCCGCCAACAAAAGGAGAGTTATGTGAGGAGAATGTTATCGCCGCTGCTGACTCGCGAAGTGGCTAAGAAGGCGGCTAAATATACGCTCAGCTTCAAGCTCCTAAGAATGGCTCACCTTTCTTCATCAAACCGGTTCTGTTTCCCATCGCTCTTTTGGACTAATTCCAAGCGTCCACTTTGACGCATGCTAATTATTTGTATTGTCGAGGCTAGGGGCGCCAAGTTCGAGAAACGGGTCGAGTCGAGTTCTCCGCTAGCCTCGGCGAGCAGCTTAAGGCCAGTAGCCCCTCGTATTAGCAAAGCAATACAGCGCCGGCATCATACTAAGCAGCTGAGAAAATAGTTTGACGTTCCGACTCGGACATCGAGATAACACGAGATACGGAATAATGCGATTGAAAGATGAAATGGCCTTCATGAAGGGAACCCCGAAGGCCGAGCGGATCATATGAGCTGTACCAAAACAAAGGTATTAATTCAAAATATCATGATGAGGCAGTAAAGGGAAGTTATGGAACTTTCATGGATCCCATCATGTTGCACCACGACGCACCTGTGTTGCTGCTTTCTAACATCGTGCACCATGATCCCTTCATAGGAACACCAAAGGCTATCATCGCGATACTGTCTGCCCATCAGCGCTGCGGAGGTCAGCCGACCTTCTTCAAATGCGCAATCGTATAGCCGCAGACAGCCCCTCCAAGGGCATGGCTTTTTATTGAACGGCACGTTCGTGACAGTATCCCCGGGAATGCCGCAGGCTTAGCCTGGTCTAAAAGTTTATCGTGGCGGTGACGGAGATAGGAGATGTTACGAGAACTGTGGCGTGGATAGTCAACTGTGAGAGGATACCGCCAATTCACGGCATGAGACTGTGCGAAGGCGATTGTGGACTCATGATGGGTGTGGGCAGAGTGGAGATGATTCTAGTGGTACGAGTTCAAGGTGTATTTGATGGACCAACGCCTCGCTGGGTTGCCTGGCGCCGCCATTGTCTCAAAGCGGAAATCCCCTAAATCAAAGCCAAGAAAACCGGGTTACTCAATATTTGCCTTACGGTGCGAAGCCAAATAAACCTCACATTAGCGATATTCAAGATGTTACAGTATATTTACATAAGTTGCGGTAAGTAGAAACTAGATCTCAGCCCAGCGGATAGTAGCATTACGAGAAGGGGATTGAATTTCCGAGGCGGCGCTTAGACTACTGCTACTCACGGAATGGAAACTCTGCACTGTGAGGTTCGAGCATGTTGGAAGATATTCCAGATCAACAGTCGTCCATGTAAGACTCGAAGAGGGCGTCTGTTCATCTCCATTGATTTTTCGAGTCGGCTGCTCGCAGTGGACTTCTAGGTCTTCTCCCCGGTGCGTTAGTTTCCAGAGCCACGCGACAAATGTGGGGGTGTTGCATAGGACGAGCTCAGATGCTCCCTGTTTAGACGTTTGAGGATTAGTCTGACAGATCATCATCGAAATGTGAGCAAATCTACCTCAACATCTAATGTCACAGCGCCGAAGAATGTTGGAGCGGGGAACGTGAAGACAGCGTGGATAACAGCGAGGCAGAAAGAAATTGCATAAACGCCAACGTGAACGTTAACCATGATCTTCTGCTTATGTTCTGTCCGCCATGTTCTAACAAGCCAGATAGACAAGGAAAACATGACAAGCATAAACAGAATTGTAGCTTTGGATAATGCGTTAGAAAGGTCGCAAGTCAAGTGGAGATACAGCAATCAACGTACTGGAGAAGTCAACGTATGAGATGTATGTCGGCATTATGCATTGGATGACTGGCCCATGGTACCAAGAAACGTCGTGACCACAGCCGTACAGCTCTGCCACGTTAATTGCGATCCACATAGAAGTGCAAAACATCCCAAGAGCTATCTTGAGCCGACGAGTTTGCCGATTTACAGGCAGAATCCTGAAGGGAGACAATAGAAGGCTGATCTTCGCTGACCTTGCTGTTCGTGAGTACATTCCCGGGCTGGAACGATGATAATCGCAGCTCACCACAGCAAGGTCGCAAATGACACCATATTAATCCACATGGAAACAATGTGCGCGTGCCGGTCCAGGTGCAGGGGCGGCTCGTCTGCTTCTAGTCACAAAGATGTTTAATAGTGAAGATTGCAAGAATAGACGTACTCATGGGCACTTCAAGCGTCCATGCTGTGACCGCAGCGGAAAGGTCAAAGCAAAGTGCAATAACAGCCCATCCATCATCCCATAGGAACCGTTTATAACGTGTTCGTAACCAGGTCCTCGCGAGAGTAGCAGCGACAGCCAGTGCGTGGAGTACGGTGATCAACACTATGGTAGCATCAGTCGCAGCTATAATGATATGATTGGTACCTTTCTCACCCGTGAGAGCATCCGCAAGTCCATCGGACGGATAGACGTCGCTTTGCAGCGGGTTCATTCCAGGAGTTTGCGTAAAGACGAAGTTCTGCTTCACAAACAAAGCAGTTCGAGGAGAGGAAGGAAGGCCAGTGATATGGGCAATAATCTGCGGAGCAAGCGAGCTTCATATACGCACCCCGTGAGGAACAGTTCTCAGCGCCAAGGGCACGCGAGACGGCCAATGGAAATCATTAAGGATATCTTTACGTCCCTCTCTGACAACACGCGAGCATTGTTTCACACGACGCCCAATCAGTTCAAGTTCATTAAACTTCGAGCGCTGATAGTTAGGGGCTTCTCGTTCAGTTCAACAAGGCTACAGGCAATCTTTTTGTGTGGATTCGCATTCCAACCTAGGATCCGTAAACATAATAATGCTACTGCTACTGCTCAACGACGTGGCCACATTTATTGGCTCGCGGATCAAGGCCATGCGCCATACAACCTTAACGAATGAATAGTAAGAACGTAAACGTCAAAGAATATATCGCCGGACCGCCCCGGTCCCGATTCCATTGAACGAGAGTAAAACGGGTGACCGACGGCCTCTAATGTCCCCAAGATCATAAGTGCGATGATCGTGGAGAATACCGTCAGCTAGCGGAAGGGAACAAGAGTTTTGGGTTTCGGTTGATTAAAAAAACTTTCCGAAAGGCTGGAAGCTACGCCACTACTCGGGTGTGACAGAGGAGGCGTCTTTATCCTGAAAGAGACATATCAGCTTACTTTGATTTACTTAACCTTTTGGTTAGTATAAGATCAACACTTGATCAATACGACATATTACTGAATAGGTCTCGATCTCGTCCTGACGTTCGTCAGTTTGACGAAAGCTCTCGTGGGAGTGGGGCAACGTATATGGCTATTGGTCAACGGAAACCGCAAACGGCGCTGTATTCAGTCAGCTTCTTGCAAAGTGATAAAACGTGAAATAGTTTGTACAAGAATTGTAGATATATCATATAGCTGTAGAACCCGCCGAGAGTATTTATACTTGCAGACGCTAGACGTGGTTCTTTGTCCTACGGTCATATCATCAAACAGAATTACGGCGCCGCAGACGCGTTCGATATTTACGTCTGGTCCGGGATGCGATTGTTATACCTTGCCAGATGTTGGAACTGAGGTGATCTTTTCATGACAACCGAGAAGATCGCGAGAAGGCAGTAACAAATATCCAGGGTCGGTCCCGACGAAAAACAACATACAATCGGACGCGAACGTGTGGTATTTCAATCTGACTACTTACGTGACAATTTACAACGGCAGAAGCTGACATACAGCCTAGGCGTGTCTTGGGCGTGTCTCCGCTGCCGCCCCTGAAACTTTCGGGGCTCTCCACTTCGTCCAGATTTGGTGGCGATTCCATGGCAACGGCATACTCCGGCGCCAATTAACTGCTTGTCCAGTGTCCATGACCTCCGAAACCATCTAGCCTCTCCGCATCTTCCCCTATCCCCGTATCTTCATCTTCGATAGGGAGCATGGCGTTTACTACGATTCTTCGCTGTATTATTGTAGATCAAAGTTTGGTTCTGCACATGGTTTGGCTGCATGTCTCGTAAGCGACCGAGGTCTCGTGGTTCTTCGGTAGGGAATACCTTCTCATATATGGCCATGTAACATGTCAGTATCTCAACATTGGAGGCGGCGTTCGCGCAACGTTGCTCATGGAAAAAAGGTTTCACGGTTAATCGTTTTGTCTAACCCCGACTCGCTCTCACTTAGCCTTTCTGTTCTAAGTTTATCTCGCCGTTACAGTTCTCGAGTGCTGTTACGTCCCGTAGGTGTGGGGGGATTGATTCTCATGGACCTCTGTTTAAATGGTGAGCTCTCGGTTGGGTCTCCGTTGCCCATGTAATGTCCAGCCTTGGGCTAAGCCATCCTTTTCTGCAGCTGTTTGGTGCAGACATCTCCTTTTGTCGTTCAAACAACCGATGGTTTCTAGATACGCCACTGTGGGCAAGTCTTTGGTCTTCAATGAAAATGTCAGATCGCTCATAGTGCGGCAGTGTTGGTGACGGTACTTCACGCGATATCCGCGATCACCACCATTGGCAGGTTGTATCTCAGAGTGCGCTTTCGACGATTCCGGTGGGACGATGGGTGGGCAGCTCTGGGGCTCTCCGTCGTCATCTCAGATGCGATCACCGCCTGGTTCATCGGCACATCCATTAGTAAGTCCTATCTAGAAATAATCAGTGGTGCCTCGCATAGGGCTGACGGTGGCGAGTGCCAGATCAAGCCCCTCTTTACGTGAGCATGTCTCAGCACATAATTGCGCAATGGACAACGATAGTCGGGTTTCCGATAGTTCTGTGGTACGGGTCTGTATAGCCGTTTTTTGTTGCCACTCATCCAAATTTCTCGACAGGTCTGCGCGGTTGAGTGTTATAATCTCGGCTTGGCGAAGCATACCTCCCACTTCACGTTCACAAAGATTGAAGGCCTTGATCCTAAGTTTGTTCGCCGCTTTGTGGGCCGCGCATTCAATCGTTTTCATCTATGGCTGTGGATCTAAACATGCAGTTTGGGAGCTTGACTGTATCATGCCTATGTACATCTCGTATGTCGACTTCCCCGGTAAGAAGAATCAAATGGCTGTCGGGCGTTGCTTGTGCTGACTTGAGTTACAAGTGAATATAGTAGCGAGTGTAGTCATGGTTCTGACGCTCCTTTGGATGGCACGAAACCTGAGCAAGGATAGGAAAAGCAAAGTTCTCGTTAAATGCTTCGGCGGAAGCGTCATTTTCACCTGCGTTGCAACCGCTGTTCATCTCGCCTATGTGCCCAACGCTAGCTTCCTTGGTGGTGTGACAATCGATATTCAGGTAAGTAATTATTCAAACCCTGGTCATATGCGATCTCATCGGGTTCAGGGAACTGTCGAACTTTGCTCGTGCAACATTCTCGCATTTGTCGTATTCGGCTGGAAGCTACTCAACCGTGGTGACGATCTGGAATTGCTCAGTGAAACGCAGGTTCAGACAGGAAGACAGACACATCCATCGAAGAGCTGGACAACTGTCGATTTGGACGAACTTGGCCCACCACGTTCAACCTCGTGCTCAGTTAGTGCCTCTGAGAGTAACAGCAACCATAGTAGCTGGTGGTCACGCTCTGTATCTACCCACACACCGAGTGGAGCTTCTGATTCATAATCCATAAATACATCTCACATCTGGATAACTCTAGCAAGCTTACTGTTAATGAAGAATTCCAACACGCGGAGAATAGCATTACCCATGTTCGGACTTCTGAAAGTTCTGAATCATGGCAGCGGAGCAGCATCGAACTCGAAGGAATACGTGTCGCCGCTTTGCAGCTCAACAAAACGCTCAAAGTAGAGACGCGGATGTCAAGGAGCCTGCCGAGACGGGGCGTACATGTGCAGAGCGGTAAAACGACTCAACCTCCATTCAGTCGGGACTTGCAGTGCCTAAGGGCTGTCAATGAACTTTGCCTTGGGAACAGCCACAAGAACTCGCCGGCCACCCAATAAACCCAAGTCGCCGTTCAACGTTCGCTACCCCGCGGAGCAGAACGGCGGCCAATAACAGTGTGAGATGTGTTCCTGAGACAATGACCCGAAGTTCAATGGAAGTGAAGCAGAAATAAACCTTGTGAGTTTGATGATGACAAATGAGACGCTATGATGAGCGCCCATGTATCTTTGTCCAGTAAATGTTACACACATGATGTTGCAACAGTCGCATGGGTGAATAGTATATGCGCAGACAACCTGCAGTTTTCACTCTACACGCGAATGCTCTCTGGAGGACCAAGGTAGCTTGGGAGCAGGCCGCCAGTGTCTGTGAATATTTGCATAAGCAAGTGGTTTTTCTCAAGTAAAATGACTGGCTGCATCTCACCAATAACAAGACGCTCCACAATAACAGCGGGCTCGACCATCCAAAGCTAGAGGGGTATCATTAATCCCGAGATTGAAAGAAGCTATAAGAATTGACTTGCTGTAAGGGTGTGGGCACCGGGCCAAGCAGTAAAATTTGTCTGAGTCGTGATCGTGTTCTGTGCGACCCAATTATCCCACTCGGGTGGCTGCGTCCCAGGAGATGCCGACGGGACGTAATACTCGGTCTGTGGTTCGCCGTCATCCACCTGCAGGGCAAATGCGGTCGGGCGATCGTTGCCGTTCGTGTTGAGAATGAGTCCAAGGTAGGCTGTGATGGTGATGTTGCCCTCCTGGCCAATCGTGTTGAAGTTGTAGAAGTCGTAGCGTCTATCACCCACAAGTGAGGATACATATGGAAGTCAGTATTGATATGAGCTTACGCGGAAGGACCGGCTCCAGCGGTAAAGTTGGTGTTGTTATCCGCTGTACGAGGCATAGGGGTGACGCCTGACAGCGTCCGACCATACCCAGGAAGCTCAGTCCACGTTATGCCAGCCGCAGACGTGTTGCTGGAGGTGTGCGCCTGTCACCTAGTTAGATTGATATGGTGTTGAGTGAGGACGACGACTTACCGCACCAACAGAAATCACACCATCACCTTCGACAAAGCCTGATCAAGATTTCAGTTTCAGTTTCGTTTCATCCGGGCCGAACCACACTCAAAGGACGTACCAGTGAAATTGGAAGCCGGCTGTGTGTGGTTTGCGACAAACGTCACCGGCACAGTCAACGTGTTTGTGAAGTTCTGAAGGGTCGTATCCGTCGCATCCGGTCCCGTCGTGGTGAAATTCACAAGAGCAGATTGATTGCCCGAAACCTGGCTCCAGTCATTGACGCTCACGTACACACGCTGCTCAGGATTTGACAACGAGACGGATCCTCCGGAAGGAGAGACTGTGATCCAGCTGACATTGGATGTGACGGTAAAGGTGAAGTTCTCCGAGCCGCCCAAGCCGACGTCGACGTATTTGCTCCCAAATGGGAGGTAAGGATCGAGGTATACAGTCGGATTGGGGCAGCTGTAACCTTGAGCACAGTCGTTCTCGTTGTCGCCTGGCCTGGGTCAAAGTTAGCTCGCATGCTCTCGCGTGTGTATGAAGTACGAGTGATTATTCACCAGGCACCGCTGCTCTCCTCGGGGGTGATCCTCATGACACCAGCGATGTTTGCTTTTCGCTGTTGCACCCACGTCACCATAGGCATTCTGAGGATTGTGATTTCAGAGTTTTGCCTCGATCCTCAAGACATCGAGGATACTTACGTGTCCTGCATTGGCTGTTGCCAGTAATAATACATCACGTTGGGCTGATCCATGATGCTAATTGCAGTTAGTATCGCCTAGTTTGGCGAACAATTCATGGACGTACTGGTCCCATTTTCCTAGTGATGAAACTTCAGTAGTTCATCCTAAAATCAGAAAAGGAGTACGTACCATCCAAAATCGTATGGTACATCTCCTCGATATCATAGTCCTTCTGGAAGAGTTCCTGCACCTTGGTGAAATAGCCGTTTGCGCCGACACGAGCCTGAGAGGCAAGAAGATTATTCTGAGGCGACGATCAGTCATGATTCCTTAGCAAATGAGCATAATAAGCCTACCATCCCAGCATAGATCCACATCATGTTGACAGTAGAGCTAGCCATGACGGGGTGATGAACAAGCTCGAAGTACGCGGGCTGCTTCTCAGTCGAAAGACTGTTGTAGATCCGCGTCGACTCGTTCAGCACGGTTTCCCAGTTATTAAGCATTGTCTCAGCCCTACATCCCACAGTCATTAGCAGCTAACCTCTGGATAGCACAAAGAACGGGCGTCTTACTCGCGATAATTCGTCAAACTATACGTCGTCGAGTTGACCAGCTCCGGCTTCACCCGCGAGTTGTACCTCGTGAGGTTATGGATGATGCTTGCGACCGCCTCGCGATCGTCGTCGTCAAGCCCGAACTCGCGTGTAGCCCAGCTCGTGACGAACGAATAGATATTGTCTTGGTTCCAAATTGTTGAGTCCCAGCCAAGGTTGATGAAGTACTCAATTGGCATCTCGTATCCCTTCAGGTCGCCGACGTTGAGGATCCAGATGCGGGTCGCGTTGCGCTCGACAGCGAGAGACATCTGGTTGTAGGTCTACAAGATATCAAGCCACTAGTCAAATAAGCCTGAGTGGATATGCACTAAGCGCCCGACCTTCTCCATTTGACTACTCTGGACGGTCGTTAGTTCTCCCATCAACGTACAATTGCAAAGGTGGCTTACGGTGATCCACTTGTAGTCTCTCGGCGGTCCCACCAGATCATACTGCAAGTCGAGAAATCAGTTTGACTGCCGATATACAGAAGTGGATGGGGAATTTACGTGGTAGTAAATACCAGCTCCACCAGCTCTGCTCGTCTCGTTGTAGAGTGGATAACGCTCGTTATTGCCCCATCTTGGTGGTAGTGTAAGCGACGTTCGGAATTAAACCAAAGCCATTAAGCGACGTACGTGTCGTCTGCCCATAGTAGCGTGACATCGTCAGGGACAGTCATCCCATCCTCGTAGTATCCTATGACTTCCTGGTCTACAGAGAGCGCCAGGTAAGAGGTTATGCATAACGAGCGGCTTGTGAGCTTACATAGACACCACATTTGCGGAATTGCTGTGACGTTATTATTGACGTAGTCGCTCAGAATCTGTCTCTGATCAGACACGATCCCTTCGAGCAGAGGGATGTTGATTGTATCGCCGAGCGGCACTGCGATACGTGATTTTATTGAATCAGCGCATCGAAGGGGCAAGGGAGAGACTCACAGTCGCCGAGGCCTCGCATCCCCATAGTGTATATGTTCTCATACGGCGCACCACGCTTCGCTCCGGCGACCCAGAAATCATAGACGTTTTGCTTGTTTGCGACATAGTCGTATGGGCCAGTACCGAAGAGGTCCCATTCAACTGAAAAGAGGTCAAAGTTAACTCATGACGCGTGTTTTAACATGGTCATCTTACCTGGGAGTGAGCGCATGATTGGTTCTTCGTGGCTGCAGCGCTAGGTGAACATGTCACGTATAACGTTGATACATCTCTCACCTGGTGCCCATAACTACGCCGTACATGTCTGCATAGTACTGATTAAGAGGGTCATCGACGCCGAAGGCGCTAGCCCACATGGCTGGCCATAGGTAGTTGCCCTTGATTCGCAGAATGAGTTCAAACCTGCCACCACCCGTTAGGCTCGCGATGCACCTAATATGATTGCGAGACTAACAAAGTGCGATAGAAATCTGAATTGAACGGCGACCCGGTGTAGTAGGCGCCCGTGCCATTGGAGAAGTAGTGCATTGCCCAGTTCTCGAGAGCGGGCTGCTCATCGTTTAGGAAGATGCCCCGGTATTTCACCGTAGGGCTCCCGTGGTAGCACCCCGTCTGAGAGACGAAGAGCTCCGCGTGCTGCGTCGTGGGGACGTCTGCCCACCTGGTTGTGAACAGCTTTAGCAGGGCGAGCTTAGCGAGATCTGACAATTGGTGCTCACCAGTACCAGGGAGAAACGCCTGAAAGGATGACTATAAGCAAATGGAATCTCGGGAGTAGCCACAAGGCGTACCGAATTGCTCAGAATGATCGTACATCGCGTAGATCGAACCTCTCTTGTCAGCTCCAATCATCACATACGCGCTTGACACGCCCGGAAGAGGGTTCTCGACTACACGCGTTATGAACGCCTCCCATTGATTCTCCACAGACGACACGTCCAATCCCGTATTGTTGACAATCTGGTCGATAAGCGGTGACATGCCGAGTGTTCCGACGATGATAGGCTGCGTGCCCGCCGGAATTGCAGAGGAAACGCTTGCGGCAGTGACATTATTGAATGCAGGCTTTACGCCTGTTACGCGTTCAATGTCCTCTGCGAAGTCTGTCGCCGCTCGTTGCACACCGAGCCAGTCTTCTGATGAGATATAGATCGGCGCAGCTGTCCCGTTCGCAACGATAGGGAAGGTAGAAGCGCCAGACAGGAAAGAGGTGCAGTTCATCTGCCCGATGGCACTTGCACACCCAATGAGGGCGGCGAGCCCGAGCAAGGCCCCAGTAACACGCATCTCGAACTTCAGCAGCGAGTCTGAAGGGCTAAGCGGAGGTCGAGTCGGCGAGAGCCCTCCCCACGGTTTTGCCTTACGCGTTTATAACGGTTTGTCGTCCGCAACGATGCGCACGACTCGTGACTGTGTCATGCTCCCTGGATTTTTGTCGGTGGGAGGTTAATGAGTTTACCAGCGCGAAATTAAAGACTAGCCTTTATAATTAACGAATGGCTTCTTGTGTGCTCACGTGAGGTTGGTCAGGTCGAGGCGGCATAAAGCGGCCCGTTAGGAATAAGACATTTATATATAGATGCGAGTCTTCGAAGTAGATGTTAGCATGATGAGCGCGACAACGTGAAAGTGTCAATTTGCAACTTACATCCTGGTAATGGTGCGGGGCTTGAGCTGGAGTAAGCTTGACGAGGACGTCGTTGTCGTGACGGCTTTGGCAAGAGCCTCTTCGCGTTCACGTCGGGGTTCAAACCTATTTCCCACGATGACGATGCAAACCCCTCTGACTTGACCACGCCTCTTCCCTTGTCTCTGCCGTCGACGGACGCTCAGGTATCATCTCACATCCTTACGTCTTTACTCTCCTGAGATTCTTCGCCTATTCAGATATCTCATCGAAAAAGTCATTGACCGCTGCCTCTTTTCTCAAGCATGCGAACTTTTGACGACCAAGACACGCTTATCGCCCGAGCATATAGACGAAAAACTGGCCTCAAATCATCTTTGTCTCGCGCATATACCCACCCTTCTAGTCGTTTGAAGAGATATTTTGGCTCTCGGGAACCTTCGCCATTGATGTCCTCGCCCCAGAGCCACGAGATATCTCCCCAGCGCTCTTCCTCCCCCACAACCTCGCTCGACTTGGAGGCATTTTCCTACGTGAGCGGATTAAGTACCCGCACATCCGAGCCGAGTTCGGCTTCCATCGAGCTTGGGGAGGATATGCCGAAGGACTTGACTGTGCGATGCTCTCCGACGACGGCACAAATCGGCACTTCTCGATCTCGCACGTTGGCTGATAACCTATCTCATCCTTTCATTCTCGTGACTCGGTCCGAAAGCTTCTCTCTCTGCGACGCCGGCTCCTTTTCTCCTGGTCTACCGAGTGTTGGTATTCCCACCCCTCCTACCCGGTACTCGAGCACTCGACGGAAGATCCTCTCGCCCGCTACCCTGGGCGGCGACCTCGATGGCCCTGCTCCGCCGAAACGCATCAAGACTTCCCATCCGGCGCTGGGTACTAAGGGGCCTGCCAGCCTGCGCAAAGCCCGTTCGCTCATGGCGCAAGCCTCACTAGAGAAAGAGAACGAGAGTTTCCGAAGCGTGCGTACCTCCCCGGACTCTGCGCCCTTCATCGTATATGCGTGATCTCTCTCACCCATTTATACATAGCTCTACTGTGGTCCAACGATGCCGCGGCCAGCGGACTTTGCCGTTTGCGCCCCCACCAGTGTCCCGGATCTGCGCCCCCATGCTATTACTGTGGCAAGCGAGCCGATCCCTGCCGACCGTTTTCAAAACGGGATTTCTGCGCTTGGAGGTCCTACTATTCTTGTCCCTTCTCTGTATTATCCCTGTGGCGACTATGCGTTCCAACCTGTCCTAAGCGAAGAAGACTGCGCCGGACTACGCATCCAGCGTCTCTTGGAGAAGGAAGACACCGATTTCCGCGCACCCGAGTCGACGTCGATGATCACGGACGATAGGCTCTGGGACCGCGCTCTTGGAATCCCTTCGGAGCTGCGCACAAAGGCGATCAGATGGCTTCTCGATGTAAGGCTGCCGTCTCTCCCCCTCTCTGTTTGTTGACTGACTCTCTTTGATGGACTGGCTAGGTGCTGCCGGATGTTTTATTGCCGCACGAGGACGACCTGCACGATCAGCTGTCGACTTCGCCCGAGACGCGGTTCTGCGCTGCGCGTATGCTGCTGAGGTATCTATATTGCGCGGTCGGCGCTGGCTCGTGTGGTGGCTTTGACGATGCTCGAGGCAACTATCGCCCTTACGACCATTCAAGCGGGACCTGCGACGACGATATGATTGATATGGTCGCTGGGAAAGCGCTCCTGATCGACGAAGGCCTCGAGTCCCTCATTTGGGATGTCACTCTCGCGTGTCTGGCGCTGAGCGTCAAGGTAAATGCTCCCTTCTTCCGTCTGTCCGCTGACCTCGTAGCGCACCTTCCTCGCAGCTACACCGCGACGTTATGCCCCCTCTTGAGCCCGTCTGCATGTCTGACTTCCGGGCGCTGCTGAGGTACAAGGTCTCCCTTGACGACTTCGAGACCGCACAGCGCGACGTGCTCTCCGCGCTTGATTATCGTCTCGGAACTGTCACGCCGCAATCGTACCTTGATGAGCTGTGGATCGCGTCTGCGTCGCTGCGCGGGGCGGTCGGGACGACCGAGATGTGGGCTAACGTTCAAAAGGAGGTGTGGGATATGCTCTTTGACGCGCTACTGGGTACGGGTATGCTTCGCTGCTTGTGCTCTCTTCCCCGCCCCTCGCTCGGATTGGTGCTATGCTTTCGGTGGGGGATATGCTGATGCTCAGTGGCGGTAGAGGTGGACGTCCTGCGATACTGCTTGTCTGTACTTACCGGCGCGGCTCTTCTGGACGGGCTTGTCGTGGCTCTCGCTCGCAAGTACAAAGCTGAAGCTGGCAAGGCCATCTCTGGGTCTCGCCACCGGGGCGATCAAGTTACTATGGAGGTATGGCAGGAGCATGTGCGTCGGGCTATCTGCGAAATTCGCGGTGTGGACTTGGATATCCAGGATTTGCTTGACGTCTCTAAAGTACTTGCTTCGCCATCTCTGTCTTGGACGTCGATACTACTTACGGGGTGTCTCTAGGACGATCTCGAGGACTGTAGGACCTGGTTGGGACGAGCCGTCTCTCAGGCAGGGTGATGATAAACGGAGGGTGTGGACTCCTGTGCTAGAGGGTGTGTTCCGTTTAGGTGCAGACCATGGCGGTTACTATTAGTATTCGATTTCAATCTGGCGTACTGTAGATCGTGACGGAGTTTGCTGCGTAGTTGACTGTGGTGTAGCATTCTAGTTCACGTAACATATTGAAAAGCTATACAGCCCAAATACAGCCCTTGCAGAAGCAGTCTGCTACGCTATTCGTACAACGATCGAGACTAGGTCTGGGCGTCGGTGACGTAGTGCTGTGAGCCCGCGATCGAATGGGACAAATCCGTTATAATCAGAGCGCCGCGACAAGCCGCACAGCTCGCACCCCAGTCCTCCAATCGCAACCTCCCCGCATTACGGATATGGCCGACAAGCTTGAAGAAGGACAGAAAGTCTCGTGAGTGCTGCTCTATTGCGTCTGCGAATCTCATCGATTGATACCCGTGGTCAAAGATGGAAGTGGGGCGGCGGACATCCTTCGGGGAAAGTAGACGAGATAGTGGAAGAGGGCAAGGCGCAAGTGACGAGCAACAAGGTGCGTGATTCCAAATTGAGGCTGAGGCGTTGGGTGGCTGATGTCATGCGCCCTGATGGCCGCGCGCAGGGGAACACGGTCTCAAGGAACGCGCGAGACGGCGATCCTGCGGTGAAAATCAAACGGGACGGGGTGAGTTCTGTCAGGCTGAAATAAGGTTTATGGATGTGCAATAACCGAGGGGCTCCTCCGCAGAACGATGCTGTCAAGCTTGCGCACGAGCTGGACCAGGTGAAGGAGGCGTCGTAAGGATGTTGATGTGTTGGTGTCATTGTACAGTAGTTTGTGTGAATTACACACTGAACAGGAAAGTGTTGAAGAGCGCCTAAACATCGCGGATGAGCGTGAGAACGAGGGTAGATGGCTGATGCCTTGCACCCGAGAAGGACAGGGTGAGAACCTCATGGACGACATCGTTTAGCCCTTCTCTCCCTCTTCTAAGAGTTTGTTACGACTGCAAGACGACACAAATCACTTCATAGACGTCCCTTTCAGATTCTCTATCCAGCCACGGAATACAGTCATCTTCCTCATCCCTAACACGCCACCGCACATACCCTATACCATCATATCACACCCGGATTATACCTCCGCAATCGAACGCATACAAGCTCTCGTATTCCCCACTAATTGCAGAGCACCGCGATGCCTGCACCCTCAAAAAATGGAACGCCTCTCTTCCTCGGCATCGAACTCGCAACAGACCAGCTCAGGGCATCGATCGTAGACGAGTCGCTCGACCTCGTTGGTGTGGAGTGTGTCGACTTTGACAAGGAGCTGCCAGAATACCAGTACGTTACCCTCATCATTCGCTCTTTGCTTCCTTCTCGCCTCCTCGATCCTCCGTGCCCATCCATACGCGTCATTTTCCCTTGAGTTTCCAAACCCTCGTCATCCAGTCGTGTTTGTAACAGCCTCTCTTTCCAAGGACACAGGGAGGCATATTCACCACGCCTGGCGATGCGTACACGACACCCGTCGATATGTGGGTGAAAGCCCTCGGTACGTCCATCCGCTACACCCCACTCCCGCCGCGCGGAACCAAATTTTTCGTTTACGACTGCCAACTGACTTTTATGGTCTCTCGGCATTTCCCTTTCCGATCGCCTGGCACACCACGTGTCCCTGCTCCTCCATTTTATGTCGCCCCCCTATGTCCAGACTTTTTGTTCGAAAAATTGGGCACAAACTACGACCTGACAAGAATCAAGTCCATCGGTGGGTGTGCCCAGGTACGGATCCACAAATGCCTCCGCACATGTCTTACTCGCTGACCGACCGCGGTTGTGCTATCCTGTCATCGTCGGCCCGTAACGTCCACACTCGCACTCGCATTCATGTCAACAGCACGCCTTTGTCTGGTGGAAAGCCTCGCCCATCACCCCCTTCCCCGCCCTCGACCCGCGCCTCCCCCTCCACTCCCAGCTCCCGCCCAACACGTTCTCCCTCGCCAACACCCCCGTCGCACAGGATACGTCCGCTCACACGCACGGCTTCGCGCTCGAAGGACTCCTCGGCGGCCCCGACATGATGGCCCAGCGCGTGGGCATGTGCGCGAACGCGTCCATGCTCGCCGCGCACCTCCTCCGCGTGCGCGAGGCCTGGACGGGCGACGTCTGGGCGCGGACCGGGCGCGTGCAGCTCGCGAGCTCTTTCCTCGCGAGTCTTGTTGTCGGCCGCTGGGTCAATATGAGCGAGGCGGAGGCGACGACGACCGGTATATGGGTGCATGCTGGTGCGCCCGCGGCGAATGGGCAGGGGCATTGGGACGAGGGCGTGTTGGATATTATTGGCGGGAACAGGGAGGACGCGAAGAAGGTGCGGAGCTGGCTGGGCGAAGTGGACCCGTCTGGCACGAGGAAGGTGTATAATGTGTCGAAATATCTATGCGATCGGTATGGCTTTGAGCCAGGTGAGTGTTATCGTACCGCTGTCTCCGTAACCTTGCTGATTCGCGGGCGTACAGAAACGCTCGTTACCCCATTTACTGCCGACTATCTTTCTGCTTACCTATCCCTATGTCCTTCGCCAGCTGATGCTGTCCTGAGCTTTGGTCCGATGGACATGCTGCTCACGCCTGCCCAGAACTACACACCCACACGACTATACACTCTTTACCCGCACCCAGTACAAGACACAAACGAGAAGAGGCGGTACATTGCCGCACTTACAACACGGTAGGCTGCTTGTTACTCTAAGGCAAATGTCGGCCTACTTAACTCCCCAAAGGAATGCCGATGTGCCCCGAGCCCTTGTGCGAGACATGTACACAAAAAGTTGGAGCGCATTTGATCGGCTTGTTGCCATCGTCCCTCCCGGCGGCTCGATAGGGTACGAGATTTGCCCCCGCGCTGTGCCCTCGAAAAAACTTGACGATGAACCACAAACCCAGACTCGATGACAAGCTGTTCAGCTTCTGGCTTCTGCAAGGCGACAGCCACCCCTTGTCGCACGTGAAGGGCATCTTCCGATTCGAGACCGGCATCAAGGTGAACGAGTTCCGCGACCTGCGCGCGAATCCGCGGTGTCTGCTCGAGAGCCAGGTGATGTCGTTCCGCGTGCGGTGGTCGCGCATGATCTCAACGGGCGTGCTCGGCGCGAACTTCAACCGCAACCGGGGCAACAACGTCACGCAGCACAGCGCGGGGCCCTCGCCCTCGCCGCTGCACGCGCGGAACAACCCGAACGCGGCGCCGCCGAGCCACGGGCTGTCGTTCGACCCGTACGACTACACGCCGCTGCCCGCGCGCATGCTTGTCGCAGGCGCGGCGGCCAACTTCCCGAGCGTGGCGAACCTCGTCGGGGACGTGTTCAACGCGCCCGTGTTCATGCCCAGCACGCAGGTCGACTCGGCGCAGGTCGTGCCGCACCGCAACGCGCCTGCGACCGGGTTCCCTTCGCGCGCCGCGCTGGGGGGCGCGTACGTCGCGCGCTGGCTGTGGGGCAAGGAGCGGCACGGGGCTGCGGGCGCGGCGCGTGGGCTCGGCGGGTTCGAGGAGGAGATACGGAGGTTGTTGGGGAAGCGGTGGGTCGCGTCGGGCGCGACGCCGCTTCGGACGAACACGAATGCGCCCCAGGGAGGAGGCGGGGGGCACCCGGGGAGCGGGGCGAACAGCGGAGCGTCGACGCCGTTTGGACACCGGCCGGGGTTCGGCGCGACGGTCACAGTCGAGGAAGAGGAGGAAGAGGAAGAGGGGCCCGGTGGTGGTGTTCTGGGTGGCGGGTACGGTGGGCCGAACGGGGGGATGCTGCACCATAACTCGGTGTTTGCGGGCGGGTTTGCGGACCGCGATTTGGGGAGGGATGTCGGGAGGATGCGCTCGCTTACTGCGTCGACGGCGGACACGATTAACAGCAGCGGGACTGCGTCTGGTGGTGCGCCGTCGAGCGCGCTCACTACGCCTGATATGGCCGCGGGCGCTGCGACGAGCTCTGGAGACAAGGGTGGAGCAGCAGGCGCGAATGGGGGAGGGGGTACGACGGCGCTGACGCCCGTGAGCGCGCTGCCGACGGCGGACAGCGAGGCACAGATGGGCCTCGCCAAGGTTGCGGAGGCGGATCTGGACGCGTTCATGACGTACGCGGCGATCGTGCCCGAGTACTGCAGGCTAGAGAACATGCTGTGCAAGAATCTCGTATGAAGCGTGCGTGGTTGCGGGTAGAGGAGGGTGCGCCAGGCTGGTAGGGCTGCGGATAGAGGGTCGGACATCTTACAACTACGTACATCATGCCTATGCGGAGGGTGGACGGATGGGTGGATACACTATACATACACATACACACGCCGCGCCCGAAGTTGCGCTGCACATGCATCCCTCTGGACGCTGTTAGCATGCGTTCAGCTTCGGTGCGCGGCCAAAAGTCGCTTTCTTCTTGCTTTCATTCATTCCGTATTAATGTATATATCTTTGGGATTTCATGATATCGTTATTTTTCCTGGTTTGCTAGAGCTGGGAAGCGTTCCGTACACAGATTTTAATCGAAACACTTCACATCCCGTCTTGTGTCCTGTGTCCTCATGTTAAATTTCGCTAAACTGTGTGCGGGGTTGACGTATTTCGTTCATCGATATCGCTTCAGCAGAAGAGAGGGAATCCGAAGGCACGCACCGGCGTTTTCTGGGCTTTTACGCGCGGTGGTCATCATGGCCCGCTTCTGCCCGCTCGTTTTTCTTCTCTTCACGGTTCGCCAGCGCTCCCGGTCATCTTCTTCACATGCTTTCTACATTTCTACGTAATGTTATAGTCAGCTACTTGCCCGCCGCAGTAGCATGTGTTCCATGCACTCGCCTTCTGAGGATTTGAAATCGGTTATGGGCGCGAAATTTGTGCGTCGGTCTCTTCCTTTTATTCAGTACTTTCTTCTTCTCACAATTTCTGTCTTGTTTGGTCTGATCGATTTGGTCAAAGACAGTTGTGTTAGTGGTCTATGGGCGGTACTCGTGTTGATGGTGCCTTCGACAAGCTACCGATTAGAGCTAATCCTGAGCATTCGCAATGCCGCTGGCAGGTTCTGTCAGATGCCCGCATTGCCTAATTCGCGGCAATCTGTATAGATGCACTGCGAGTCATTGAGTACTGGCTATGCGTACGACACGTGAGCTGCGAACCACCACAGACATGAAGTGCAGAGAGATGGTATAAAAGGGATGCATAAAATCGCGGTTGAGCAGCAATTCGACTTCACTTTTCACTGCACTTAACATACCATGGCTCCGGAAAGCGGCAAGACGTACAAGATCAGAAACCTCCAGGTCCCCGAGAAGGTCGTCGACCTCTCCGGCGCGGACCAGAGGTCCGGTACGTCCTCGTTCCCTCTGCGTCGACTTCATCCTTGTCTCAATATTTAACCTACGTTGCCCATCTACAGTTATCGGCTGGAACGACAAAGGCGGCGGCCAGGAGGCGCACAACCAGGCGGTGAGTTCGCTCTCATATCTCGCTCCGTCCTTGATCTCGAGGTTGACATCTCGCAGTGGAGGCTATTCCGCCAGAACAGCGGCAACTGGACCATTGAGTCTCTCAAGGCACCCGGCACCTTCATCGGCATCGCCAGCGGGCCCGGCGACGGCGTGCACCTCATCGGTCAAGGTGTCCCGCTCGAGTGGCAGATCATCCCTAACCGTGAGGCGTTTGCTGGCGAAGGGTTCGATAGCGAGAGAGAGGCGAATGCGTTCAGGTGGGCAGCTTTCGGTTCTTGTTTCGCCGCAATGAGGACGAGGGTACTCACGCTGGGCTCGATGTGATTTCCAGGTTGTTGATACCCGGAATGTACTTCAACGCGGACTTGGCCGACCACGGCAACGCGCACACGATCCAGTTGTGGGGCAAGTGGCGTGGCCAGAACCAGGCGTGGACGTTCGAGGAGTTCCGGGGATAGAGAGAGAATTACGGCAGAGCGGTGGTTGGTGGGCAAATGTATACGTGGCTTGCTTCTTGCACTGCGAGTTTGTAAACGTACTATGACTGTACCAGAATATCAAGGCGCTTGACGTGTACTTGATGTGTACCGCTCGGATGATGCTGATACCTCTTTGAAGAGTTAAAGAAGAGATGAGAGAATAGGAACGAATTTTATAGCTACAATCTGTTGATCATTCACAAATTACCGAATGGCCAGGACGGCGGAGGCCTCACGAGGTTGCGCCATTCACGCGTTTTGAGACGTAGTAACGAACAGCTAGCGCTGGAGGTACGTCGGATCCAAGATGTGTGCCAATTCAAGCCTCAGCGATCGATGTCTCTTGAGCAACCGACGGTGTTGCTGCTGGCCGAGGAGACCATTATATCCGTCTTTTGCAATGTGAACATGTGGTTCGTATTAAGTAGTTGACGAAAGATCATGGAGCCAAGCAAGTGGTGGGTGAGAGAATGAAGGCACAGCAGTACGCCTGGGAGTTCTTTCGCTCACCTACCTGACTCCTACAATATATCGGGAGACAGTGTGGTGGGGCATTGGGGATGTGTTTATGCCAGTAGGTTTTAGGAGAACACACAAGGTGTTACCCGTATCTTCAACGTTTACTCTGGCTTGGCCGTGACCTGAGGGTTAGGGTTAGGACGGGTTATTGCCCTTTGTCTTTTGCGGGAGACGAAAGTTCACACGTGTTCTAATCTTGTTCATGTCCTCGCCCATCTGCATCAGTGTTCGAACGTTCAATTGTGCCGTAGCGGAGCGCGGCATTTCTTGTCTGGTTCAAGGGCTTGCGCGTATGAATTTCCATCTCGTTCTTGCTCGCATTCGTTAACAATTACGACAAGAGTCCAACTCACGCAATGTTAGGTTTCATTTCGAGTCCCACAAGGCCTTCGTAACGTGAAGAACCTAGCTATTGGGAGCGCTCCGTATGTCAAACTCGCTTCCTGTTCGCTGCCGTAAATAACCTTCGGGGCGATAGAATGTCAGTGAGTATCCCAGGTTGGTTTGCATTGTGCACATGGGCGATACCAGGAGGCAGGAGTGAGCGTCTGAGCCGACTATTTGGTGGCACCACCACCTGCGGTGATGACAACTGCCAATCAAGACATATATTGCTGCTCCAGTCAGTCGACGCTCTCAAGCGCCCGCCATTCCGCATTAAAGCGTCAACATTTGGTATTCAGCCCAAGAGCCCATCGACATACGGTAACCTTTTAAACTGACATCTACATCATCTGCATTATCATTTTACAGCTGCCCTATCAGTCTATCCCATCCCATGGCCGTCGACCCCGTCTTCCGCATCGCACCAACCAGCCAGTCGTATGACTGGGGCAAGGTCGGTGAAGACTCCAAGGTTGCCCAGCTCTCTGCAGGGGCGGGCATTCCGGGCTTTACCGTCAAGCAGTCTACTCCATACGCCGAGGTCCGTCTCTTCTCCATTCCGTGCCACCGTCTCACCGCTCCGCCACTTGCTCTTGCTCAATGCTTATGCTCACTACAACGCCACTCCCCATAGCTATGGATGGGCACCCACACCAAGTCGCCCTCTGGCGTGATTGGCTCGAGCAACACCCTCCCTCAGCTCCTCGCCCACTGCCCGCAGCTGATCGGTACATCCATCTCGAGCCGCTTCGACAATAAGGACGGCAACCTGCCCTTCCTCTTCAAGGTCCTCGCCATCGAGAAAGCGCTCAGCATCCAGACCCACCCAGACAAGAAGACGGCCGAGGAGCTGCACGCTTCCCACCCCGACATCTACAAAGGTACGCATATCTCGGCCCCTGAGTATGACTGACAAGACACCCTCCTCACTCCTCACCTTTCATTTCCAGATCCTAATCACAAGCCCGAGATGGCGCTCGCCCTCACGCCGTTCAAGGCGCTCTGCGGGTTCATGCCCGTCCCCTCCATCCAGGCCTACCTCCGCGCCGTGCCCGAGTTCGCCGCGCTCATTCCGCCCGCCATCACCTCCGCCTTCCTCGCCCTCACGTCGTCCTCGCCCGAGGCCGACCAGAAGAAGCGCCTCCGCGATCTCTTCGCCGCGCTCATGACCGCCGACGAGTCGCAGGTCAAGGCGCAGCTCGCCAAGCTCGTCGCGCGGTACGAGGCGGCTGCGACGGCGGGCGGAGCGGGTACGGGAGGGGCGAGTACAGGGGAGGCGAGTACGGGAGGGACGGGTACGGGCGGTGCAAGTACGGGAGGAGCGAGCACGGGAGGAGCGAGCACGGGAGGAGCGAGCACGGGAGGGGCGAGTACGGGAGGGGCGGCGACGGGAGGGGTGGCGACAGCAGGGCTGGTGTTGCTAGGGATAGTGAGGGGCGGGTCGGCGACGGGAGGGGCAGCGACGGGTGGGAAGGCGACTGGTGGGAAGGCGACGGGAGGGACGGCGACGGGTGGGGCGGCGATGGTCGGGGGGGTGGCGGGTGGGGCGCTCGACAGCGTGGAGGACAACGTGCGCGAGCTGGTGCTGAGGCTGAATGAGCAGTTCCCGGGCGACATTGGGGTGTTCTGCGTGTTCGTGCTTAATTATGTGACGATGGCGCCGGGCGAGGCGATCTTCCTGGGCGCCGGGGAGCCGCATGCGTATGTGTCTGGAGGTGCGTGATTTGGAGCTCTCTTTGATCGCCATCTCACACCACCCCTACCTCGCTTCTACTCATCTCATCTCGCACACTCACCTTGCTACATTTAATCACCACTCCTCACGACTACTACAAATCTAAACAGACATCATGGAATGCATGGCCAACTCGGACAACGTCATCCGCGCCGGTCTGACCCCCAAAATGCGGGACGTGCCGAACCTCATCTCCGTGCTCACGTACGTGCCCTCGGCCGTGTCCAAGCACATGGTCCAGCCCACGCCGTTCCCCGGCGCGCATTCCACGCTGTGCTACGACCCGCCGGTCCCGGACTTTACCGTGCTGCAGACGACGCTTGCGCCGAGCAAGCCCGAGGTGCACCGCGCGATCGCGGGGCCGTCGATCGCGATTGTCGTCGAGGGCGCGGGCGCGGTCGAGTGGGGGAGCCAGAAGTCGCTCGATTTGCATTCGGGGAACGTTATCTTTATCGGGGCGGATACGCCGGTGAGCTTCACCGCGAGGTCTGGGACGCTGGTGGTGTACCGCGCGTTTGTGGAGGAATAGAGGGGAGGTGCAGTGAGCAATAGAAGGCAAAGCGTTATCAGAAAAGAAGGTTATTGATTCTAGTTTATGTACTTTTAGCCAATCGGATCACCCGGTATCGGAACTGCCTACAAAGGCTCTGCTCCCCTGTGTTGAACACTGTGGCGCCAAGGGAGTCCAAACCCGGGCTACACTTGTTCATACACCAATCTCTTCTTAGCGACTTGCCTGTTGGAGTAGCACCCTCTTTCTTGAGGCTACCACCAAGTATGGGCTCGGAATGTGTGCGCCATCTCTTAGCTTCATCGCTTCATTCATCGCCCTCCCTTCTTTTCACATCATCTGCCTTGTTCGCCCTGTTCCATTTGGTCAAAAGCAGTCGCAACAGCGGCTCATAACACCGGTTCGTGAGGATGGTACCTTCTTCCAGGTCATGGGGCTTGTGGGCAGACCAAGTCAAGCTTGCTCAACGCTGATTAGATTCATATCAGAGGGTCAGGTTCAGATCACACTGTAGTGCTGGGCACGGCGTTCGACTAGATCCGCCACGAACGTGAATACTCACTTTGTGCCTTCCGACACGTGGGGGACCCACCCTCGCGGCCATCGTGATAGAGTGAGGGTATAAAGCAGGTGCGTTAAACTGCTTTCGAGGAGCAGCTCGATTCCACTTTACACACCATGGCTCCAGAAAGCGGCAGAACGTACAAGATCAGGAATCTGCAGGTCCCCGAGAGGGTCTTCGATCTCTCTGCTGAGGACAACAGGTCTAGTACGTTTCGTCTACCTTGATTGCGCCTTACCCCCCGTCGAGATACTGTATCTGACCTACACCAACCAATAGTCATCGGCTGGCAGGACAAAGGCGGCGGAGAGGAAGGCGCCAACCAAGCTGTAAGCCACCATCCCTCACTCCAGTTTGATCAGCATAGATTGCTCATCGCGCTATCACCACAAGTGGAGGTTCTTCCAGCAGGACAGCGGCTTCTGGTCGATCGAGTCCGTCAAGTATCCGGGCGTCTTCATCGGCATCTCCGATGCGCCCGGCGACGGTGTGCGTCTCATCGGCCAGGGCGAGCCGCTCGAGTGGCAGATCGTCCCGAACTACGAGGCGTTCGCCGGGGAGGGGTTCGAGGACGACAGGGAGGCGAACGCGTTCAGGTTAGTTTCAATGGAGCGTCTTCAGACGCAGAATTGTGAGGCCGAGATGCTCACCACGGGTTGCAGGCTCTTGATACCCGGGATGTACTTCAACGCGGACTTGGCCGATCACGGTAGCGCGTACGCCGTTCAGCTTTGGGGCAAGTGGCGTGGCCAGAACCAGTCGTGGATTCTCGATGAATTCTGGGGTTAGAGTGCGACTGTAGGGAGGTGCTTGGAGGGTGAAAGAGCGACCTGTATCGCGTTTTGTATGCATGGTTTGATTGTATCAGTGTGTATCAGATCATCGTGACGGAAGTCAAACAAGGAAAAGAGATGATACTTCAGATCGTACGTGAGTTACACTAAAGGTATTACATGGAAATAGAACAAAAGACACATCAAGCATATCAGAAACCTCAAACGGTCAACTTCACAGGACTAATCGACGTCTTAACCTCCACCCTCCCCCTCTCCCTCCCCACCCTCCCACCCTGCTCATCCGCCCAATAAACAGCCCCACTCGCCGCCCCCCTCCCCTTCCTCACATCCTCAAACACCCTCGCGCGGCCCCTGCCCGCCGGATCCTCGACATTGCTCCGCGTAACGAGCGTCGCGCCGAGCAGCGACGTCTCGGCGTGGAACGTGCCCTCGTACGCGGAGTGCAGCGTCACCGTCGCGGGCGCGTTGGCCGTGCGCGCCGAGGCGCGCAGCTTGGATCCAGCAGGGGACGAGGCGAATGCGAGGCGAAGCGGGGCGTTGACGGTGCTTGCCTGGACGTCGAAGGCGCCGCCGGTGCCTGGGCCGTCGGGGGAGGCGGCGAGGGAGACGGTTGTGTCGATGTTGCTGATGGAGTGGCCGTATGTTAATTCGAGTGGAAACCCAGGCCAGGAGAGACGGAGGGAGGCTTACCCGTTTGTGGTGTGGACGTCGAGGCTCGTCGCATCGTCTCCTTGGTTGAGGAGGTAAATCTCGCCCTTGATGGGAGAGTTCACGGTGTGCAGTTGGAGGTGCGAGGACGCGCTGAAGTGACCGCTGATCGGGGAGTTGGAGGTCTGGATGTAGCCCTCCTCGACGCTCACGGACTTGAGCAGGGTTTAGCATATAGATTTAGCAACACGAAAACATGCGCTAACCTCGACGTGAATGGGAGTATTCGAGGTCTTCAGAGACAGGTGCTGGAATGCCGTGGACTGTGCGAGGTCGCCGAGTCTGTGGACGTAGATGGGCATGTCCGTTTCGAACTTCTTCACTTGCAGTACACTGTTGTCGCTGCCTGCCGGGAGCTTGACCGTCGCATGGAAGTTGAGCATGTGATGGTTACCCTGGTGGCTGGGAAGCCATTTTGGTGTCTGACAGCAACATCCGGCGTGTCAACGAGGGGCCGAACGAAAGCGACTCGTCGGAACGCACCAAGATGCCGACACCGTGCTCCTTATCCGCCCTCTCAAGATGGCACACACTCGCATGATCAAGCACACGCTGATGGTAGTACCCGACAGTCAAAACCACCTCGGCCTCGTCGCCCGCCTCGCCGGAGCTAACGACGTCGATCGCGCCGGCCTGGTGTGTGCCGCGGCTGAAGAGGTACAGCGCCTCGGCGTCCGCCACGGGGAGACTGAGCGTCGACTGCGCGTGGTAAGGAAAGTGGTCGTGATGGTGGTTGTCGTCGTAGGACACCCAATCCCCGCCGGCGATGCACTGGTGCACGGTGCCGTCCCCGGGCTCGGGCACCGCGGCGGGCACGTCGTGATGGTGGTCGTGGTCACCGAAGAACTGGTGTGTGGGGCACTTTAGCGTAAGTGAAGGGTACTACGATGTACGAGTAAGAGAGGAAAGCTTACGCTTCTGTTTGACATGAAGCCGCTGATATCAACAACGGTGTGTATGAATGCGCTAGTGATTAGGTATATCCCGAGCGATGCAATCAAGCCCTTGCAGATTCTATGCTTGAGAGACCTCCTATTATGATGGAAGTGCACGGAAGTGGGCAAATCGTCGTATGGTGTATCGTCGTCGTATGGAACCTTGATTGGAGACTCGAGAGCCGCGATGTCGTCACCCTCCTGCTGTCTCAGCAGGTACTTTTTGTCGTCGGAAGGATATGTAGCCTGGTCCATGGCGAGGGCGTTTGGTGGGGTGGGGTATTTGTAGCGGGTGGGCACGCGCAGCGGGAGACCACGTTCTTATAAGCTCAAGGTCTACTGCGGTCTGTCCCAATCTCGCAGCCCGGAGGCATGTGGTCCTCTGCCTGCGCAACGCGCAGCAGGAAGATTCGGAGACATCTTATATTGCGGCGCCCATGATGATGAGATCACGACAGCGGCCCTGACTGTGGATCGGAGCTTTCCGTCGTAGAAGTTCTGCTTGCGTGACTCCGTTGCTGAAAACGCCGGGACTGTCGATGGCCTGCGAAAGCGAGGGAATGGGTAGGTTGGAACCTGCAACAGTGTCTGTCAGGAGTTGCCGATTCTTGTAGACGGTGATTGGCTTGTTTGATGTTATGGCCCCGTCGAACGAGCTTGCGTAGTAGATGGTAGACGTGAACAAAATGGGTCTGATCAGTCAAAGCGCCAGTGCTGTGGTCGATGAGATCAGTGCACGTGGGCGCTACTTGGTTCTTTCCGCAGAATGGTGAGAGTGTGTTCGACATACACTTTGCAATCAGACAAGATATGGTGTAAATGTCTGGATGGATTGCGTCACGACGTTGATCCTGAGCTTCCCGAGAGCAAAGTCGGGCTTGAGGCTGGCGGAGGACAGTCGGAACGGAAGCAAATTGAGAGTCCGATCACAGGTTTGCGGGGCGGCGGAGTCAATGCAACGCCCGCCAGCAGCGCGGAGCGCTGACATAAGCAAGTAGCCCCTGACCATGCCCGACAGACGACCACAAAATATACAGAGGAAACCAGGCGTTTTGGCTTCATACTTGGGTGAGACTAAATGATATAAAAGTGCTATATAGTACTTTTTCAGAAGCTTGATAAAATCCCATCGTCTATTCATGAGATACGCCTACTGATGAGTCAATATCTATACTTAAAACTCGGAAATTCGCAAAACCCTTCTGTAACAATCTTTGAAACGTCAATTAGCTTGACTTCACTCGAGAACACGAGGTAATAATTGAAGCTGTTGAGCCGGAATATGCACCAGAGATCTCGGTCCCAACGCGCAAAATTAAGATCAAATGATCACAAATGAGCGCGTCGGAGCCGTCGCGACAGCAGTAACAGCCTCAGGACGGAGGAAAACGTGGTACGATAGGCCCGGCATTGGTTATCTACCTATGTCTTAACCTGAATCAGCTCAGAAAGAATAAATAAGCAGGGTTTAGACGATTTTATTTTCATGTATGGGCCGACAGATTGCAACATCAAGATCCCGCAAATGCAGCAGCTTATGTTGGCCCGCGAGACACGAGACGAGGACGTAAACTACCTCATGGGCTCTTCATAACTTTTAAAATATCCCCCAGCTTAAGTCTGGGTCCTTTCCAGACGTGTAGATGTGCTGTCTCGCGACCTTTGCGCTGCCAAAGCCAGGTATTAGACGCTAAGATACTTGCTAAAATATAATGTTCTTGTCTCGCACAGTTACTTATCTTTTGCTTATATATCCATCACAGAAAGTGCGGCCGGACAATCGACCACTGTGGCCGTTGTCAGAATAGGGTTGACCTTATCATGCATTCTGAGAAATTACATTAATATACGAGCTCTTGTAAATTATACCGGAGGTCTGCAGAACTCGAATCGCGCGTGCAAGGCACTGTGAGGTTCGAGCTCGAATTGTAAAGCCATGTGAGATATTGTCTAAATGGGGTGCCGTTTGGCAAAGCGTCAAGTTAGCTTGTCATCGTCACTATATTTATGTCGCTGCCTTGCCAGAATCGTATATGTTTGATACCCGAGTACAAGACTACTCACACTCTGACACCGGGCTTGTACGCGCTGGCGCACTACTCCGGGCTAAGGTTAGGGTTAGTAACCCACACATGCACAGCTCTTTCTCGTGGTAGTGTATTAGGTGAGCATTAGTTTTTGGGGCCGAATTCACCATATGCTGTCAAAGGGAAGCACCCAGAACAATTTTTGTGCCCCAAGAGCGACTTCCTGTATGTGTGACAGCACATGCGGAGCGGCGAAGAAACAACAGGGACTCGAACACTGCAGGCAATCAGCGTTTTTATCGGGGACGAGATCCAGACAAAAAGGCGGCGAGATGAAAGCCTTTACCTCCGAGTTTTGTGCCCCTTTTTGAAACAGGAAAAGGTTTTCTTTTGGCCAACAATTGTTAACATTTTGTGCTGGTAAAAAGTACGGCTTACCATATTCGGCGCTAAATTTCCAAATTTGGACGACATAATATCCATTCTCCGCCCCAAAATGTAAACCCCGAGGTGAAAATTTAAACTTTTCAGCGATTTTTCTTACAGCAAAAGCTGACCAGAAAAGGCTTTCATCGGTACGCCTTTTTCGGCCACTTTTTGTATTAGGAAAATCGCAATATGTCTGCAGTGGAAAGAGAAAATTGACAGCGTCGCGAATTTAATTTTAGACTCCGATGACAAATGCGGCAACTCCCCTATATTCTACTTGGCTGCGACCATCCGAAATCAACCACACACTACAAGCCAATATATATACTGTATAGTGTAGATTCATTATCCCAGAATGTCTGAATGCAGAAGTAGACAGCTCATGACGGTTCGGGAGGTTCGGGAGAAGCAAGAGAACCAGAGAAGCGGGAACGGGTGAAAGGACAAAAGGGCGTAGAAGAAGCAGAAGGACTTTGGAATGCCAGAGCTTCTGGTACTTAAGAGACAGGCGTCTCTCGCCTGACTTCCCCTCGCTGCCAACCTTCTCCCCGTCATGATGCACCACCCTCTCGCTGCCTGTCATCTCCCCCTCACAATTCGGACATCAGCGCTAAGGCCTCTGACAAGGACAGACTGCCTACCAAGGCAACAGACGTGCGTCCCGGCCCTCCATCAGCAAATTCCTCTGTAGGTGATCATGGCATGGTGAAGCGTGGTGACGGCGTGAGCACGCACACAACGCATTACCACGTACATAATCCATTATAATCCATTACGACGGGTTGTTACGCTGACTCTAAAGTTGCGAGCGCACTCGCAATAGTATTGCATGGACTTGGTATCCGCATGAAATATTTGAGCCCGAGACATTACTAAGTATAACTAATTTAGTCACAATTAGTATATCTACACAACACAATAACAATACAATCTTGTTACATTTGCGTCGGGTGTGTGTCACCATAGTACCAGCATTGACATATAATGTCCGGAAGAACTGTGGTCCAATGTACGAACATTTGGCCGCAACTTGAACTACTCACTTATACTGTTCCATTTTAGCTGTGATATGTACGACAGAATATTTTATTATCCATGCTATATAAAACAATAGACAACCAATGTGTAAACTATACTGTCTATTCTATGACATCACCCTATAGGACTGTGAGCATGATGTCGAGAGTAAATGATACGAGAAAAGGAGGCACCATATCCAGGATTCCACCATTCCAGTTTGTATCACCAGCACCAAATGGCACTGTAGCTAGTCGTGTGAGCTTCCTATCATGAACGAAGAATCGTATCAAGGCACGACTCACCATCGCACTGGCATTCTCCCTGAGCTCTAGTTAGAAAAGAGTGTGAGTGGGGGAAAGAGGGAGTGGAAGACTCAACAACGAGAACTTTGCGTCCCCGTCGTGCTTTTTATGCCTTCGAAGGCTGATCAATGTGCCGATTTCGGAATGCGTTGGGGATATCAGTGGAGTCGGTTCGCGAGCGCTGTGTGAACATTAATGAATATTGTATTCTTGTGGTGCGCAAGAACTTGGTGCGTCTCGGATCTACTTGGACTTACTCCAAATTTGCATAGCTGCAGCCGAGTTAATCTGCAGTGCCGTGCATTGACGTCATACTGCGCATCATAACATGCAATGGCTTACTTTTCGGGCCTACAATGCCAGTGGAAGTTAGCTCGATTCTCATATCAATCGTGCTGCTCGACACAGCTTAGATATCATTCATCAAACAAATGCACACCCCGAAGGAGAAGACAACAAAGCACTCTGTCCACGGGTTTTGTTATTTTACCATTATTATGTTAAGTTCCTGACATGGTCTTTACATTGTAATCACCGCAATACGTTGCTTGAATTGCCACCGTAATCTAATTGGTTGTGTTTGTTACCATGCATTGCGACGCCGTTGCGATGTTTCCGTTTTTATGCAAAGTTGACAATACGTCACAATGTGTGGTAACGTTCGCGGGATTTCCCTGATGTCAAACACGGTCCCCATACCCTCTCGTGCGTTTCTTCTGTCGTGTTTCCGAGTCTAACACGCCCACTTCTGTAGCTTGTCACTCATATCATGATACTTATTTGCCGCTCTCTTATTCAACGCGCTTTCTTCAAGGTAATTTCTTGAGCCCCTGTTCTCGTCCACTCGAGTTGGATGTGTTCTTGACCATCTGCATGCTTCGTGTACTCTCTTGTGTTGTCAACTGTTATGTTAATTTTTGTCATGTACTATTGCTGCTGTACATTAGTCCGGCTCATGTATGTTATAACAATGGAAAATTACAAGTGTGCTATAATCATAAATTGGCTTGTAAGAGATGTGATCGCTAGTCCACTGCACTCGTCACCTGGCCTTGCATTGTACACAGCGCCTGTACAGCCTACAAGGGTCACAGTGCCTGTAAGCAGACTCAGCCTTGTAACCCTAACCGGATGCTGACACGCTTGAATCGGCTTCTGCCAAATCCTCCTCGTCTTGTCAAAGTTGAAGCTGCTTTGTTTGACTTGCGAGGTACCCTAAGTCGCTTCGACCACTGTGCTCCCTGTAAGCGATTGTGGGCCTTATTGCTTGCATGTAATTCCACTGCACTTTTAGTGATGTCTGAGTTGGCCATCTATATACACACATAAAAGACGTTCCTATGTGGTTTTTAAGTGGATCGCACCGGTGCAATTCGGTATATGTCGAGAGTGAGTTCGTGACAGGTTTTCGGACAAGATAGGGGTTTTTGGCTTATGTAAGCGTCCCGCCACCAGAGTCAAGGCGGAATATCATCGACGTGCATCCTCGGCTCCTCAGCCCAACGTTTTTGAACGTCGAGACCTCTCTTCGGCGGGACAGATAACCCTAGGTCTTCGATCCCAATCTGAGTGAGCTTATAAATCTTCGACATCACTTGTCTCACAGAACTCTCTAAATAGCGCAACAGCATCAGCAATATTACTTTTCTGTGCTGAGCGTCTCTACAAACGCCAGGAACACGACCCGGTGCCTGACGTTTTATCCCCCATATGTATAAACCTCAATCTCCCGAGGAATGCGGGTCTGCGCGGGCGTTCATCAAAGTGAGCTCTATTCATGAAGCCAAACCGATGCCCGAGATAAGCCGGTAATGTCTGTCCAGCGAATCAGGGTGCTTGGTCTCTCTCGTCCGTCGTACAACCGCTTCTTATCCGTCGACCAGAATGCCATTTGGTCTGCCATCGTCTTCGGCGATGTCGCAATCTGCACTTTGCGTCCATTAATCTCGGTCTCGTGGCGGCCGTGAGGCTCCGCCGGCTCCCCTTCGCTCCCTCACCACGCACGATGCCGGCGTCGAGGCGCTGAAGAGTCGACTCTATAAAGAGGGACTTTGACCTTGAACGATAACGCCGCTTGGCCTCCTGTGTCTATCCATCCGTTTCCATGGCGTCACCTACGGCCACCATTTTCGAGGTTCCAGTGAATGTAGGCACGAAGGAGGAGCAGGAGGCGGCTCCTGCTGAGCAGTACCCGACGACCGATTTCGGGTTCATTCCGATTCCTCGACGACTTCGTTATCAACCCGAAAAGCCTTTCCACTTTGGACTGCTCATGAACATCTCGTTCGGCTTCGCGAGCACTTTCAGTAAGTAACCTTCTTGTCAACAACTACGTTCCATGTGTTTGAATACTGACCTGTGCTTCAGTGGTCGCCAACCTCTTCTACTGCCAGCCATTGCTCAGTACGTTCGACGCGCCTGCTGGACTAAATCGAGCCTGATGTGCTGCAGTTCAGTTCTCGGATTCGTTTGGTGTTTCGTACGAAAAGGTCTCAACGTGCGTTATGATAGTTACAGTGCGCAGCACGGTCAATAACCGACGCTCTTACCTAGAATTCCGACCCTAACGCAAGCAGGGTGGGTATATGCGCGCTCGTTCTACAAATATCTACTAACCCACTTGCTTATCTCCCAGGTATGCCCTCGGCCTTCTCCTCATATCTCCCCTAGGCGACCTCGTCCGGCGGCGCCAGCTTATCATCGCGCTCGTCTTCATGTGCATGCTGCTCACCGTCGGCATTGCGGTAACCACCAACCTCATCGCCTTCCAAGCGCTCTGTTTCCTCGCTGCGATCGTCACCGTCGTCCCGCAAATCCTGATGCCGCTCACCGCGGACCTCGCGCCGCCAGAGCGCCGCGCATCCGCGCTCGCGGTCGTACTCTCCGGGCTGCTGCTCGGCATCCTGCTCGGCCGTGTCCTCGCGGGCGTGATAGGCAACTTCACGAGCTGGCGCGTGGTGTACTACATGTCCGTCGGTGTGCAGGGCGTCGTGTTCGTCGGCGCGTATTTGCTCCTGCCCGATTATCCGGCCAAGAATAAGAATTTGACGTACTTTGATATCTTGTATACAATGGCGAAGTTTGTGGTGACGGAGCCGCAGCTCGTGCAGGGGATGCTGATCAATTTTGCGTCGAGCGCTTGCTTTACGGCGTTCTGGGTCACGCTCACGTTCTTGTTGGGCGGGCCGCCCTATTATTATTCCACGTTAGTAACGTATTCTGAGTTCATATGAGACTCGCAAGCTGACCACACATCTTGATAGGCTGGTGATTGGACTCTTCGGTCTCGTAGGCATGCTGGGCGTCATGACCGCACCATTCACCGGACGATTCGTTGACAGGCTCGTACCATGGTACGGCGTCCTGATCGCCTCATGCGGCATGCTCGTGTTTTCTGCCATCCAGACTGGCGCCGGAGCCGTTAGCATCGGCGCTGTCGTTATCGTGTGCTTTGGACTGGACGTTTTCCGCCAGACGCAGCAGGTGTCGGTCGCGACGAACGTGTTCAGCATCGATGCCTCGGCTCGTTCTCGGCTGAACGCTGTTCTCATCCTCTCGGTACGTTCTCGGGACGTTTACCAGCTTTATGTGCGCTCATGCACGTTCTATTTCGTGTTTTTTATAGACGTTCACCGGTCAAGTAGCTGGCACATCAGCTGGCACGACCGTTTTCCTGCAATATGGCTGGCGTGCGCTGGGCGGGTTCATGATGGCCCTCTGCGGGTTCATGATCCTCATACTGTTCGTCCGTGGTCCGCATGTGTCGCGGTACAGGTGGGTGGGGTACCAGGGCGGGTTCGAGTCAAGAAAGAGTGTCATAGACGAGAGGAAGAAGAAGGAAAAGGAAAAGCGGGATTTGGAGGCGGGGAATAATGCAAGCAGGAACGAGAACGAGAGCGAGAAGTCTCCTGAGGCAACAGCTCCAGAAGAAGGAAGACCAGAGGAAGTAGAGATGCCCGAGGTGCAGGAGGTTGGGTATGCCATGCAAGGGGACTCAGAGTCAGAGAGGGGGAACCCTTAGACGGATATGAGGCTTATCGTTCTTGTATCGATCGATGCTTATTTTGCTCTTACATACTTAGACGGATGTACGATGCGCTCAGAGCGCCTTCTTAGACTACTACACACTGTATTTCTTGTCCATTGATAACGCCGTTGACGACGTTGCCCAGGCATAATCCAAGCATGATCATCATCGCTACTAGCCCCTGTTCTTCAAGTCGCTGCAATCGGGCCGGGAGTTCCGCTTCCGATGTCCCTTCGGTCCCAACCACAGAACACGCCCACTAGGTGAAGTCACTTTACCCCCCTGCCGCGGCCTGTGCGCGCTTTTCCTCCCTCAGAGATTCAGAGCTCTATCTGACTACCTAGGATGACCGCTCGATACCCAAAGCTCGTCGCTCTCGATTTAGAGTGAGCGCCTAGTCCTTTCTCGCTGAGTCACTCGAAGGCTGAAGCGACTCCTCTATCACACGAAGTTTCACCATATGGCCACTAGACATAGACTGGTACAACAACGTTGAACTCGACAAGAAGGACCCCACCAAGGTCATCGGAAAAGGCTATGGCAGCGACCGGACGCCGATCGCGCTGTACGAGGGTGTGCCGGAGGTGCTGAGGCATTTGAAGGAGCGGGATGTGGAGGTGGTGGCGTGCTCGAGGAGCTGGGCACCTGAAGTGTGAGTGTTTATGGGTTATCTTTCGCCTGCACATACACGTGCCACTCTCAAGCGTCTCGTCCCTTTCAACATTCAGAGAACTAGATCGTGAACTGACCTCGCAACTTTCGAAATAGCGCAAAGAAGGCACTCGGCCTCTTCCGAGTCCCCTTCGGCGCGGAAGGCGAGACGATCTCCGCACTGGAGTGCTTCACCTGGAGGAACTCGGAGATCGAGGACACGGACAAGAGGGGGCATTTCAGGCGTGTGCAGGCCAGCTATGCAAGTGAGGGGAAGGACATTCCGTTTGAGGAGATGGTGCGTGTTCTTGCTATCCTATGGATGTTGTGTGACTGACCTGTATTTGTGCTGCTTTGTATAGCTGTTCTTCGACGACGCTACGTATAATGGTGTTGTCGCTGATCTCGGCGCGTATTTGTTCTTCCTCTGTCGTGACTACTCACTAGCTAAAGAGATACATCTTGCAGGCGTCACGTTTCATCTCCTCTCGAGGAAAGGCCTCGACATGGCTGCTTTTGAGGCGGGCCTCGAGAAGTGGAGGAGAAACATCGCGCGGTATGAGGCAGGCGAGGGTCAGGAAAGCATCCCTGCAAAGTCGTCCAAGCGGAAGAACAAGCGCAAGTAGTCGCTATTCATGGGTCACAAGTTACTACAAAGTGACGGGAATAGAGCCATCTTGTTGCGTGTATGCGCGAGTCTGATGTACGTATGCCCGCCAGGGATGTCAATGTGCTGAAGATCACAGGGGATGCACAGCCCATCTGAGTAAATCATGCAGCGGATTACTTGAAATTGCGTAGCTGCCCGCAACCCAGCCCCGGATTTGGTGCGTAAAGTTAACTTCGGGATGCGCACACCGACACTTTCAGCGACGTGGTCAAATGGCCAAACAACATCTTCTATCTCAAACCCACAGTTCGCGTCTTCTAGATTCGCCGAGATGAAAGAACGACGTTATTTCCGTCTGGCTTCGGTAGCTTCCGCATACGTGCCCATAACCATTGGACGTCAGTTCTATTTTGCCAGATGCACGAAATTCAGCATGGCGTTTGTCTGAAACTCCTCAACATGGATAACCGCTCTCATATATGGGCACAAAGAGACCTATATCATTAGTAAGTATATGTCCTTGTTAATAAAAGTCGTTACGACTATAGTCAGTTCATTCTCGTTCCATTCACTGGCAACATGTGCCGACTTAAACTTGTGTAAACCTCGTTTTAAACCCAATTAACAATGGTATTACAAGGCACAGTGTGTTTGAGCAGAGACAAGAAAAGTGTGGTACAATGCATGGATATTGACTGGTGGCTGGTATCGTATTGAATGCGCGGGATGGCAGATATAGAAGAAATGGCAAGAAAAACTACAACAAAAAACCCTCTACTGTGACATAACATTCGCGACGACTGAGAGCGCAAAAAATGCAATGCAGTCACCGATTTGTCCAATGCTGTCAACACCAAATAAACGCAGGGGCGAAAGCGAAACAATGAAACCGTATCTGCCGTTTTTATTTTTTCGAGCACAAGCACGAGCACCGCATCGGCACCTTCTCAAGCCGTCTTCACCCGCTGCTTACCTGTGACGTTCGCCGCCGTGACGCCCAGCTCGCCCATGCAAAAGGACGTCGACGCGCGCTTGCGATCGTACCGCGTCTGGCTCTTGAACTCGCAGATACTAAACTTGCGCATCTTGATCATCGGGCGCAAGCTGAGCCTAAGCACCACGAAAACGACAAGCGCGTCAGTTGCCATGGTCGCGCAACCAAAAGGTGGATACCCGTGTTCAGCGCACCTGTGATAGTGCTGACCCTCCTCCGACAGCTCGTCCATTCCCATCCGCGTAACGGACACAGAATCGCTGTGTCCGCGTCCGCGTAGCGCTGTACCGGACGCGGACGCGAGCTTGGGACTGGATGCGACATCGACGCGGTACGCCTCGCTCTCTGCCCCACCGCCGTCGCTAGCCAGGTGGACGACGCGCGCGGTGAACACAACGTCGACGGCGTGCTTGCACCCCGAGCGTCTCAGAAAATCCACAAAGGTGCGCAGGACATAGCTCACGCCCTTTGGATCGAGCACGCCCGCGTGAGGCTCGTGCACCGTAACCGTGAGCAGGCGCAGGTGAGGCAGAGCGATGCCGGGGTCGGGATGCATGAGGCCCACCGCGATCTTGATAAAGTTGTGCACGTTCACGTGCAGCGAGCGCAGGCTGGTGTGCACTAGAAACGGTTCCGCAGATGGGATTGAAGCTGGAGTGGTCGTCGAAGGAGAAGAGGAGGAGGACGAAGGAGACGCTGTTGCCAGTGGAGGCGGGCAGGGGGGCTTGCTGGGGAGGATGGTAGCGACGAATTCCGAGTCCTTAGTCAGTGTACCGAGTACAGAATCAAGCTTGTCAAACGTAAGATGCACCAGGTTCGGACACATCTCCATCAGCCGCACGAGCGCTATCTCCTCGAACGCATGATAATCCTGTGGCTCGAACCGTAGCTCCGTCACCAACTCCCACCCAAGACCCAGGGTCCTCAGACACGCGACCTGCTCGACCGCGCACCGGAGCTCAAGCTTTGGCGGGAGCATCGTTACGTCCTCGCACCCAGACAGCTCCTTCAGGTCCTCGAGGTCGAGCGCGAGCCTCTCAGGTGCACGCGCATGCTCCAGCAGACTCGCAAGCGTCGCGTTTGTCTTCCTCCTGCCTTGCCTGTAGATGATATACAGATCCGCACAGCGCGGCGTGAACGCAGCCATGAGCTCGCATACCTGCACATCCCAGCTCGAGATGCACCGCAGCGCGCTGTCCCTCTGCTCTCTCTCGACGCCCACGCTCGACCAGCACCGGGAGTCGACCGCAACCGCAAGCGGCAGGCTTCCCGCGCGCTCGAGCCACGCGTGGTATAGCGCGACATCCGCGTGCCTCCTGGGTGTGTGGCTCGACGGGCGGATGTACAGCGAACACCACAGCTCGGGAGTGCTTCCTGCGGCATCGCGCCACAGGCTGCACACGCGCATGAGCAGCAGCGGCGCGAATCGGGTGTGCGGCTCGCGATATCGCACGTCCGGGAGGCAGAGGACAAAAACCTTGCGGAGGAGCTCGAGGGGCAGCTTCGAAATCTGCGAGTTCGTGCATTCGTTGCCGACGATAGACCAGCCGGAAGAGGATCTAGAAGAGGGGGAAATGAACCTGACCTTGGTGCGATCGTCCTCGAGCAGCTGGCAGAGGAGGGGGAAATTGTTCATCAGGCTGGGGATGGGAGCGCAGTTGTATAGCGCGTTGGCGATGCCTTCGACGGCGCGGAAGGCGGAACGGTCCGGGGATGGCATGCGAGAAGTGGCGAGGTGGTATTAGCCAAGAACGACGAGGTTTTCAAAGGGCAACAGACACGGAGCAAGCAGAAGACGAAAGAATGAGAAATGTTGCGGGTTTGAGGACTGGAGAGCAAACCGAAGCAGGCAAGAAAATCAGGACATGAAGACAGCACCGAACCTCCGAGCACTTGGGACCCATCACTATAAGTCTCAAAGAGATTTTAGATTGACCGATATTCCACACCTGGAAGCGTCAGCAGAGGATTCCAACCGAGCCAAACGCCTATCTTTACCGTGGATATCAGAAGAAAACTACGCCTTGATCCGAGGCCTAGCAACCGTATGTTCGAAAACCACTACGGCTCAGCGGGACGAAAGCTGTCGAGCCTGTCAACCCCTCGATGAATCGGACCGCGCCGTCATTGGAGCTTGGAGGCCAGCTTCTTCTCCTCGGGAGTGGTGTACGCCGGCGTTAACGACATCTCGCCCATCTTTTTCTTGGAGATGAGCACCACTGCCAGACCGAAATGACCGACTCGGTCCGCAGATCCCACAGGTAGCACGAGTTCATAGAGAGAAAACGAGTAGCGGTGGAAGTGGAGGAAGGAGAGGATGGGATAAATTCTCACGGCTCCGAGTCCAACGTCGGGAGAATCCGAATGGCCAGGCTCGCGTCCGTCTTCACAATTACCACAATGCATCGTTCAAAGTCAGAAAGAAAGAATAAATTTACCGATTCGTGTAAAACGCATGGAGGCAAGGTAAACACAAACAAGGTATGGGTACCAGTGTTCCTGCGCAGAAGCAAGAAAACATCATTCTCTGCACGAAGGCTTATTAGCCCCTATCTTCGGCTGCTACGTCGAACCGATTAACGTACCCAACTCGCTCTACTCAGCTAACTCAACATCATGCATCACGCCATGTTCACCAGTTGCAGAGACCTGTGTGCTTGTTTGAGCCACACATATTCTGATCACTACCTGACTGCCTGAGATGCTCCCTCGATACCCCAAGGTCGCTCTCGATCTAGAGTGAGTGTTCGCTCTACCGTCCCTCCACACTAAGTCATCCGATGGCTGAAGCGCCTCATCTGTCGCACGAAGTTTCACCATATGGCCGCTAGATATATACTGGTACAACAACGTTGAGCCCGACAAGAAGGATCCCACTAGGGTAATCGGGAAAGGGTATGACAGCGACCGTGCCGATCGCGCTGTACGAGGGTGTGCCGGAGGTATATGAAGGAGCGGGATGTGGAGGTGGTGGCGTGCTGAAGGAGCTGGGCCCCGGAAGTGAGTGCTTGACTTTATGTTTATTGGCTGCTTTTATCCTGCATATACCCGTGCCGCTCCCAAGCGTTTCGTCCCTTTCAACATTTAGAGAACCAGATCGTGAACTAACCCCGCAGCTTTCAAAATAGAGCAAAGAAGGCACTCAGCCTATTCCAAGTCACCTTCAGTGCGGAAGGCGAGGTCTCCGCGCTGGAGTGCTTCAACTGGAAAAACTCGGAGATCGAGGGCACGGACAAGAGGGGACATTTCAGGCGTGTGCAGGCGAGCTATGTAAGCGAGGGGAAAGACATTCCGCAGGAGATGGTGCATGTTCTTCCCTTCTATTCTTATCGTGTGCTGATCCGTATATGTGCTGCTTTGTATAGCTGTTCCTCGATGACGCTACGTATAATAGTGTTGTCGCTGATCTCGGTGCGTATTTGTTCTTCCTCTGTCCTGATATTGACTTACGAGGGAGATGCATCCAATATGCGTCACTTTTCATCTCCTCTCGAGGAAGGGATTTGATATGGCTGCCTTTGAGGTGGGCCTCGAGAAGTGGAGGAGCAACATCGCGCGTTATGAGGCGGGCGAGGGACAGGAAAGCATCCCTACGAAGTCGGCCAAGCGGAAGAACAAGCGCAAGTAATCGCTATTCATGGGTCACGGCTCACCACAAAGTGACGGGAATAGAGTCTTCTTGTTGCGTGTATGCGTGAGTCTGATGTACGTATGCCCGCCAGGGATGTCAATGTGCTGAAGATCACAGAAGAGGCACGGCCCATCTGAGTAAATCATGCAGTGGACCACCTGGGATTGCATGGCTGCCCGTAACCCAGCCCCGGATTTGGTGGGTAAAGTTAACTTCGGGATGTGCGTACCGACACTTTCAGCGACGTGGTCAAATGGCCAAACAACTTCTTCTATGTCAACCTACAGCTTGCGTCTTCTGGATTCGCCGAGATGAAAGAACGACGCTATTTCGGTCTGCCTTCGGTAGCTTCCGCATACTTGCCCGTAATCATTGGACGTCAGCTCTATTGTGCCAGGGGCGCTGGTTATTACCGCTATCCGCATACGTCACGGTACTTGATGAGCACCAACCACGGATCTTGCGGCGCACAGGAGTTCGCGTACCCTACAGGCAAGGTACTATCACTGCTTGCCCTATTGCGACATCTCTGGTTACGCGCTCAGAAGAAGCCCGTAGATAAGCCTGAAGGTACATCCGGACGACCTGGGCAGGCCCGAGACACCTGAATGAGAGCGAGAAGACGGACGGGATTGGCTCAGGCGCGGCGACTGACCACCACGCATCGCATTCATATCTGACCATCTCTGTGTACGCTCGGACCTTGCCTGCTCGAAGGGGGCTGCACAACGAGAAACGGCACTGGGAAGGCCTCAGGAAGGAATGTCATCGGGTGCTTCGTCATGAGGGTGAGGGCGGAAGCACGACGGGGGTATTCATTCCTCGACAACATTGAGCAGACATGAGGCATTGGGAGTTCAAAATAACGCATTAGTGCGTCCAGCGAATGATGTTTTGCGCGTGTGTTTTGACATACGAGGAGCGGGGGAGGTATAAAAGCGAGGGTTTCCGTCGCTGAGGGTTTCTCCAGCAGCAGCCCAACCACAGACACCACTCGCAACCCCACCCCCTTTCACCTTCACCTACTCCACTATCATGGCCGGTGCACCTAAGAAGGGAGCTAAGCCCAGCGGTACGTACGCTGGTTCGTCGCTGTCATGTTGGCGTCGGCTAAGCTGAATCCATGCCGCGCCTTGTCCTTGTGGATGTTGATGTGAACGTTACGTCGACGCTGTTGCTTCCTACGTGTGCGCCGTGCAGCTGCCGTCAACGTTGCGGGCAGCATCCCCACTCCCAAGGCTGCCTCGCCCGGCAAGCCTTCCTCGCCCCCTCCGGTGAGCTGATGGTCATGGAACGTGGCGCAACCGAGTTAGTGCTGACGATCGCCCACGCTGTGCTGCAGAGCAAGGGTGCTCCCGCCGCTACTGAGACGGCCAAGGCCAAGGTCGGCGGGAAGGCGCCCAAGAAGAAGTAGATGCGTCCATCGGAGTGTACCATATGAGAGTGTATGACTGGGATTTGGCGTTCTCGTAGCAAGTATCATGTCTGGGATCTAGTGTATCATCACCACCATGCATTTAGATGTACGACTTGCATTGCAGTTACGATCGTTTGGCTGACCTTCCTATGCGTGACATGCGGGTCTACTGTGAACAATTTGAATCATGGAGGTCGAGTGGGCTACTCCGAGGAGAGGCAGCGAAGACCTGTGCAGACCGGAAACGAGTTATAGATATAGCCTCGGACGAGGGTGCGTTCTTCGGGACAAGTGGCAAAGAATGGAGCTCGAGAGGCGCTAACTTATAACAATGAAAGCTGCATGCTGATGCATTAGTTAAACTGGCTAACCTTTTGTTCTTGGCGGGCATCATTGGAGGGCACATAGTCCGCGTTGAATAGCCAAGATGCTTCAGAGAAGGCGAGTTCACCAGCGATGCACCTACATCTGAGGCTAAGTAAGTTCAAGTTAGTGCCTCGCCAGAGCCTTGCCTGTTATATTCCCGTTCGGTTTTTCGCCCCCGCTGACGCGGGATATGTTGGATCATCAGCATGTCATCAGCACACAGCAAAGCTGTGATTTTGGGCCGAAGCCAGGTATAAGTAGAGTGGATGGATCTTCGTCCGCCCCTGATTCACCCAGAGGCGCATACACACAAGTCCACATCTCGAGAACGGACAAGCGCACGCACAGACCAGTTCCCGCCGGCCAAATCAAGGGCTCTCCTATATAGTTGGGTACCGTAGTTACCTAATAAGTCCCCTATTGTTCGGAGACTCGGAGCCTGTAGTCCGGCTGCGCAGCGGAATTGCAACCACCCACGCTCCCGCCCATCCGTTCACGACCCAGGCCTGCCTTTGATACCAGTACCGCCAACCTTCTTCCTGCCCGCCAACACAAGGTACTGGCTGGCCAGATTCGCCTTCGTCCCCTCTCCTACTCCCAGTCCTTCCTTTTCCGCCATTCACCACACGTCTAGGATACCCCCGACGCTCTCTGTTTCGCAGTCATCTAAAACGACAATACGATGCTCACCTCGGACTCATGCCCCTCCGAGAACACCCAGACGACAGATCAGTCTAGTTTCTGGAACTCAGACTCGCTCCACTGGGATGAGCATCGGATAGGATGGGCTATTGCGGGAGGGTGTGCTGCCCTCGTGCGTGTCTATTTCTTGCTTGGTCGCTGCTCATGCATCCCAACTGTCATCTCACAGACCCTCTTGATATCGATGTTCTCGGTCTTGCAACACTGTCGGTATGTTGCCCTAATCTTTTTTCGCTGCGATGTAAATGGAGCGTGTTCCGATTCAGCAATTATACTCGGCCGCACGAACAGCGTCAGATGTGAGTAGTTTTCGTTCTTGCGATCAAGAGCGCATACATCCTTGGCTTACGCTCACCCATGCAAAGTTTGCGGATTTTGTACATGCCTCCAGTCTACGCCATCATATCCTTCTTCTCCTACCGCTTCTTCCGAACCTACGACTATTACTCTCTTATTGAAGCAGGTACGCTCTTCACTTCGCCGTCTCATAGCAACCCCCTTATGCTGACCATTTTTGTTGTTGTTGGCCAGCCTATGAGGTGCGATCCCCGTTCATACGCAGCACGCCGAGACCACTGACCCTTACGCTCGCCAGGCCGTAACCTTGAGCGCATTCCTGTCAGTAATGTTACTCGTGTGAACCTGCGCATGTTACTGACCCGCGGCGTCTTGGCATTAGCATGCTCCTCATTGAATATGTAGCCAACACAGCCACCGGTCACAGCGCAGAGAAGGCTTTAGTCCGCAAAGACAAGACGAGACTCTTGTTTCCCGTGCGTGCTTTGTTCCGCGTTCCTGGTTTCGAGGTGGATACGCGTGAACTGATCGTGTTGGATAACTAGCTTTGTTTTTGGCGATATCGACCGACGAAGGTGTGGATCATAATCACGCGGTGTCTGTCAATGGCTGACCTCGTGTTCGCAGGCGTACTTTATGTACACTCTCAAGGTATGTTCTCATTGCCGCGTAATGGGGCCATCCGCCGATAGTTGCACAGTGGTCTGTTCTCCAATATGTCATCATTCGACCTGGTACGTCGTCTTTGCTGATTATATGCGCGGGATCTGTGCTCAACCTGCTTCTTCAGCCGTGTCAATTGCTGGCATCGTCACCAACGCGCTGGGTGTGCTCTGCCCGGCAGGGCCCTACAGCATACACTTTGCTGAGGTCTATCTTGAGGCCATAGATTTCGTCAGCATCAGGTGGGTAAAAATATATCTGCATCGCTAGGGTGCTCGTCCTCAAATAGATTGTCCCCCAGTATCGCTCTGTACGGTCTGCTGCTGTTCTACGCTCTCACCAAGGAAGAGCTTGCCGGACGGCGGCCGCTTGCAAAGTTTTTATCTATCAAGCTTATCGTCATGTTGACATTTTACCAGTCTTTCGTCGTGCGTATCCCCTGCATTTCTCGCAGTCGTCTTTTGTTCACGTCGCGCTCGTCTAGTTCACCACTCTTGAAGGACGGGTAATCAAGCGTCGGTTTCTTTTCGTTCCTGGAATGGTACAAATCGTCTCATCATGTTACAGCTACCGAGTATTGGACCGCGACGAACATCGCAAACGGTCTCACGGCTCTGACGATATGTATTGAGGTACGGCGATCAGTCAAATCTCGGCGCGTGCTTGCGCAGGGCTTGATGTGTTGTCATCCTAGATGGTGTTCTTCTCTGCATTCATGTGCTGGGCGTTCACCGCTGGTGAATATAAAACTGGCGAGAAGACGAGCATCGGAAAACCACTTTTGGACAGTATCAACTACGGTACGTCGTCGCTCTGGGCCTCCCCCCGTACCTATCTCAAGCGCGTAACTCACCTTCTCTTTCCCCTCTTCCACTCCAGGCGACTTCTTCACCGAAATATGGGGCTCGATGCGCTTCTTCTTCGCGTATGCGCTCCGCCGGCCGGGCACGCACACGCCCAACAGGGACAACCGACCCGACTTCGGCGAGGCGTTCGGCGTGGACGGCGCGTACAGGAAGCCTCTCGCGGAGACGGGCGCGGTGGGCGGCATCGGCGGCGGCGGTGAGTTCCCGATCGCGATCCGTCCGCGGACGAGCTACGACGAAAATATCCGGCTAGCGCCCTACCCGTACACCAGCGCCTCGCGGAGCGCGTCCAACCTCGATGTTCCGGTCTGAGCGACGGTTTTTTGGTTTGCAGATTCGAACAACTCAAGAGTCCAAGAATGAATGAATGACTGAAAGCGCCGATTCTGTCCCTACCCTCCCTTCCCCTTACCTTGTCCTGTGCGTCTTCTTCGATTCTCGCTTCAACGTCATCGACAGTACTGTCTTTTCTCCCGATTCCCGTGCGACTGGTCCGTCCACCTGCGTGTACGATATATAATTGGCCTCGTTTCTGGTTTCGGCTCAAGACGGTGCTCGAGGATGTTTGGCGGCACATGTAGAGTCCAGGAAATGGGTACGGAGGAAGGTTGGGAGTGAACTCGACCACAGCCATGGATTGACGATAGCGGTCGGGATTTACTGCCTTGGGGCTGGTGATGGAGAGTACGGTTGTAGTCGAGGTAAACGAGGTTTGCGGATTGGTTTTCTTTTGCGATGGGTTTGATCTGCAAGGTGGACGGACTGTTATATTCTTTCCCCCTTTTCCTTCTCCTCTTTTTCCTATTGCCTCTCTCTTTTATTCCCCCCTCGTATTAGCTCGTGATACCACGTAAATATGTGAGATACAGTAGTCAGCCATACCTTCTGCGTTTGATTTGGCATGATGTCTCGCCGGACTTTATAGTGCCGATGTGTCCATGGAATATAGACTCTCAGCTCATGGTTGATGGTGACAGAATTCTGACGTCGTTTTCGCATCCCTTTGTCAAGTGAATGTATCCACTTTAATAGAGGGGTTAGGCCGAACACGATAACATTTCATTCACTGTGCAGAAACATCTCATGCCAAATTTTGGTACACAACTTGAGTTATTGTATAGCGACTCGTTGAAAACTCGTACACACTCGTATTCTTTGTTATAGTAGTGTCATTTCACTTCCTCATACTGACTCCAGTAATGTGATCACTGGGCAGGCTCAACGCTCCAGGACTGGTTAGTTCCTTCCCACTGAGTCCAAAGCGTGACCGGTGTGCCAGGCGTAGGATTGCCATGGTCAGCCAGATCCAGGACAAACGGAGTGTTGGGGACGAAAAACCTATAGCGGGAACACATTGTCAGTCATTTGATAGACAATTGCCGAATTAGACGTTAGTAGTAAACCGTACCTGTAGTGACCAGGGTTTTGTTCGTCCGGCCAGATGTCCCACCGGAACGGTGAGTCGACTGCTACGACCGGCGTAGCGTCGCCGTAGCTGTCCTCGACACCGAGGAACTTTCCGCTAGAGACGGAGCGGATGGTCCACGGACCGTCTGAGGTCTGCTCAAAGACCCACTGAACAGGTGTCGTGCGTTAGATTCAACGCGTTCATGGACGAGATTACTCACGGCCTGGTTGGGACCACCGGTCTCTGGGTATCCGATGACTAGAGGATAACCGGGTCAGTTACGATGGACGGATATTGACTAGGATGGAGAAGAATAAGACGCACTGCTGCGGTTGTCGCCCCCAGAGAGGTCAATCACTGTGCCGCCTTTGGCGTTGATGAACTTGTACAGTCCTCCCGATTGGATGCGTGCCATGATGATATGAAGAGAATGGGTATGGTCTCGGACGGCTGAGACGATGGGAGTTATATGTGAGTCAGGGAAGGCTGTAGCGTCAGCAAGACGTCAGACAATGACAGTCCCGCAGCAGGAAGTATGAAGGGCGGCCGAGGATGCAGTCCCAGTCGAGCTAGGCCAATGGAACCAATGACGCATTCGCATTGCCCTCCCAAGGAGTACTCTGGAGTGCTTGGCACCAACGTGTCTCAGTGAATGATCCTCGTGGTCGGCTTTACCTGTTATGCACAATTCATCTCCAAGCCACGAGGTGTTTAGTAGATCGATATAGGAGCACTTGACGCTATCGTGCCTCGCTGCATTGCGTTCGAGTAGCCACGTATGCATATTCTGCCACAAAGCGAGCGCGGCATGGACTTGCATGGACTCTTGTGGCAGTTGCCTCGATCCGCGATGACATCGATGAGTCTGGACAGGAGGAATGATGTAGCGCACCATCGGATCGCAAGACGGGCTTCCAGCATCCGTCAGCGGAGTTTATTGTCGGAAAAATCGATTTTGGGTTGCAACCGTAAAGTCCAAAAATGGTTTAAACGTCATTGAAGCGAGTTGCTAGCCGCTTGCAACCCCTCCAGCAACCATTAAGCGCGTTTTACTCAATTGCAGGCCATTCTAACCGAGTTGCAACGGGTTGTAACGCCCTTGCAACCTACTTTTAATTACGACTCTTCTCTTGGATCAGGTTATAAGCACTGCTCTGAGCCTTCCGGTTGCAAGCGGTTGTAAGGCCTCACAAGCGCTTAGAACCGGGCTACAACCGATGTACAAGATTTGGGACAATCTTTCCGGCCAATGCCGACGAGTGCGACTGTGGCGACTCGTCCGCGCACACAAGTTCATTTCCTCTACTGAAGTACTGGCAACACATCCGTCTAACAACAGTACTTCATCTTTCCGACTCGATACAGTATGTACTCTACGTCCACAATTCTGCGCGGCAGTTTTTCTACAAATCGAAAGGATTTTCATGTTATGAATGACTTGATACCCACTAGCTGTCCTATCAGCACGGAATCCCGTCGCGATACTTGACCATTTCTTGCCTAGCAATTGGACGTCTGGAATATCCGGTGGTTATAGAGCCAGTATTCAATATTCAGACACGATGGTATTTTCGAGCTGCTCAGCATACCAATCGAGTTTACGTGATTAAGGTCGACCCGTCTACCCGGGCCTAGTGGTATGTCGAAGAACACTTTCGTGTTCGAGTCGCTCTGAGTATTTCTACTCGTTCAGTCTATATCCGCTTCACCTCAATTAAATTCAGGCCTTAGTATCAATCTTCTCGCCCCCTTCTACGGCTTTAGCTCCTGTTACTCGTTACGCGAGCAGTAAGTGCACTATTTCCGTTTGTTATGAGCCTGACGAATTTTATACTTTTTGTGTACTAGGTTTATAAATGAGTCGAGTTCAAGTCGGACATTGTTCAGCAAGACCATCTATTTTACCCTGCCTCTTACTGTGACATTACCACGATATCTGTTGCTTCGGAACATTGACGATGCAAATAGGCTCACCACGCACGCTGGAGGAAGCTGTGATCAATGGGAACCCGATGTACCTGCGATCAAACTGAGGATCCTGAAAGATATTATATGGCGAGAACGGGTGGTGCATCGGGAAAGGTGCTCACCAATTTGGCGCACGTTTTCCCATTGTAATCATCATGAATCTACTATACTAGTTTACCAATCACTGAAGCAACTGTTTTGCTTCATCTGACGATACCAAAATTATCTAATAGGACAACACATGTGATGCACATGGCCTAAAGCGTCACTAGTGGTATTAATCACTCCCGTTTCCTGGATGAATGTGAAACAAAAAGCTGAAGGCAAGCTCTTCCGGGTTAAGTCGGAAAAGTCCTCGAAACCGGCATGTAAGTCTCTTGATTGTCGCAAAAACTAGTAATACCTTTACCACGCCGAAGGTGCATAGGAAAGACCTGCAGAATAATGAGGAATTTATCTTGCTAGTACTGATCAAGTGACTCTTACAGAATGCATCATGGACATCGCGGGCTGCATTCGTGGTTTTCTTAGCACCATCAACCCGATAACCGGTTCATACCTTTTGAAGATGCCCGCGAGATGTGTTCCAATCCTGAAATTCTCTCACGTGGAGCGTACTATTATTGCATAGACTGATCGCTTAGCGCTTAGCGCTGGAATCTAGTGACTAGTGACAGCGGCTGGTCACCAGTGAGAAATGCGTGCCCAAGATGCCAATGGATGATACTATTATCACTTATCAGCTCTAATAAATGATGGGACGAACTGATATTTGCTAGGATCCAATTCATCTAGGCGACTCGGATGAAGCTCTATCAGATGCACAATATGTACATGCTTTGTATGAAACAGACACATCATCCCGTATCATCAGGATTGTTTCCTTTCCAGTGTAAGGTTTGTGTTTCATCGTAAAATCGTACTCTCTTGTCTATGCAAGTACACAGATGAAGCTGCTTATTCCTAATTTGAGCCTTCGATGTGGAGGCGGCGACTGCGCTATTGACCGGAGATTCATGGATATATGTATATATATATCCCGATGGTACTGGTACTAGCGCACCTCAAGACTCTCCGCTCGTAGCTAAGACACAATGTCCTCCACTGATGTTGTGTATATCGAGCAAGGACTTTTAGAAAACTATGCTGCAGGTGAACCGCTTTCAATACCGATGCAACTAGAGCACTAACAAGCAAGAGCAGTGGCCGCATTCTCATTAGTGGCGTATGATTACGGTCAGTAAAATACATATCGAGTCTTACAACTCGACAAGTTCATTTAATTCGAGATGTAGTACTCGGCATCGGAAATGAGGTGAGTTTCAGTTGTCGTACTTTGTCAAGGGCTTCGCTGGAGATCATCACTTAGATTGAGTTTATATGGGTGAGTATTGAACCTATGGACTCATTCATTACGTTCCATCGTATTCTTAAATGACGCATTCTTGATAGACAAAGAAACTCACAAGAGCAACTGTCTTCTACATTATGGTCAGTTCGTCGACCAGTGACATGTTTCTTCTGATCATATCTGGGATTCAATATCAATATTCAGCTTCGATATGTTGGCCTATGCTACGGAACGTAAGACATTTATTGGCGTCTCTCTATGTTAACTAATCACATTCTTTCCAGCACGAGATTGAGTCCGTCTTTGATAGTGCACATTTTTTTCACTTGGGTTAATTAAACTATCAAATAACGTTCAGTTGGGGGTCTTTCCATATCTTGGACCACAAAGGTGAGTGTTTCCCCACCAGTCTAAGTGAAAAAAGCACTAATCTTGGGATGTTCTTCCTCGTCTAAAGACGTACGAGTTCTTTTATATTCCTGTTGACTAACTCGGTCTAATGGCTATCATCTCCAGATGTTGGTTCACTTATGGCGCTCGTTTCTAGATTGCTAATCAAATCGTTTCTTGTTATAGCGGTGTCAGTGGCTGTGCTCAACTTGATCGCTCAGACTATCAATGTGTTTTTGCTACAAGGTAGCTAGTTTCATTCACCGAGTTTAAAGTACTAATATCTCCAGCCATATTGGCTGCAAGGATATACTGTCTTCTGGATAAGCCCCGGAGATTGCTACCGGTGCTCATAATCGGCTATGTAATCTCACAGTTGGGGAACCTGCTTTCGCTCTTAATGAATTCGATTCTGGATCCAACAGACGTCGGTAGGTTTCTATACTTAGACGATAGAAGCTACGGCTAAAATAACAAACACGCTACGGCTAAAATAACAAACACAGATATCTCTTATATTGCTGGATTCGCCATCATTGGTTTCAATACTCCCTCCAGTATGGGTTGGATATCGCCTGCAGCCAATACTCCACAATTAGCGTATGAACTCTTTCTCAGTGTTCTGGCCCTTTTTTACACCTGGACACGAGCACGAAAGCGGTGTCTGACAGCTCCGTGGACTTCGGCTCGCAACCTACACGAAGTTGTTGTTCGCGGAAACTTGGCGTATTTCATGATGTAAGCGATATGTTATTTTTTTTGCCATTCCGTTGCGCTGATGAAGAAATAGTGCATTTATACAGCTAATTCTCAGTGTGGTGACATACGTGCCAGCGATAAACAATGTACGAGGGTTATTCCCCTATTGAATACATAACTCACCCCATTCACAGTCCGTCGCTTATTGGTGTATTTACAACTTTACGTTGTTTATCTGGATATGCATGACTGGCCCGTGGCTGATGCCCAGTGAAAAGTCGTGTCGCGTCTATTTATTAAAGTTTTGAATAAGATGCCTTTCTATTCTTTGAAATGACCTTGCATTCTTTGAAATGGGCGCTGTACATTAAACCCGCTCTAGGATGTGCCCCAAGAGGCACTTTAATGAACACTTAAAAGTTCTTAAAGAATAGAACAGTCGAACAGGGATCATTGGATTCAACAGTAGGGACAGTACAGGATACTTTAAAACGGGTTAGAATGCTTTAAAAAAGGATATAATCGATTAAACACGTGGTAACCGATAGCAAAGAATGAGAGCAACGTACAAAGAATGACAAAGCACCACAATGAAAGCACGATTCTTGTAAAAAGGTGACCACGGCGAGTGTCGAATAGCGCATGTGATTACGAGTGTGGGCGTAGAGGTGGATGTGATAGTCAAATGAGATGCACTAACAAGCTGTCAAATAGAGGAATCGTAAGTACACCGCTGAAGACAGATAAACGCGTGAAGTACGCGCCGTAGAATCACGTAGGAACACCTTTCCTCATCTGGTCAGCGACGCCTTGCCAGTGCTGTGTCAATTTATGTCAATGCTGGCATACTCACGCGACAGGATCACGTACATCGAAATCAGTCCTGTCCTCTGATTCGCGTACCGCCTTCCATGCTTTGTTGAAACGCGCTTCTGTGTGTGGTGCATTCTTGGGGTCTTTGATCCAAGCACGAGCGAGCTCCCACCTACAAGAGACGAGTTAAACACATTAAGAACGCGTAAGAACACTCACTTGGGAGATATCGTCTTGGGAATAACGAGCATCTTGCCACCTCGTCCACTCGTCGGCGCGTTACCCTCTGGTGCGATTGGAATAGATTGCTCGACAATCTCGCTGGCTGGTTGAGGAGCATCGCAGGCCATCGGAGTCGACGTTGCCTGCTCACTCGGAGGTTGGACGTCGACGAGGGTAGGAGAAATAGCGTCCTCCGGTGCTGGCTGAGGGGTGCTGATCGCCGTCGGTGTCGGGATAGTTGCCTCGATTGGAGGCGGAACGAGGTCAGGAGCTGGGATAGAGGGAGAGATGTGCCCTGTATTCACAGGCAGGGTCCCGCTGTCGATGTTCGCAATGCTGGCGGGAGGAGATGTCGCCACGCAAGGCGTTCCTGCGTGTACCTTGCCTGCCTTAGCTTTCCCCTTCCCTTTCACGGAGAGCGGCGGCGCGTCGCTCGATGGGTATTTGGCGAGCGCGTCAGCCCTGTAGGATAACATAAGTAAAAATAACATGAGGCAAATATCACTCACAGCGGAGTAGAAAGCGCTAGAGGGTCATCCGCACTTCCCGAGGCATCAAAGCTGCTTGCCGAAGTCGAAGAGCTGTGTGACAGCGAGGTAGATGAGGTGGCCGCGCTCTCGCTTGAGTCGGTCCTCGCGCGCTTCGAAGGGCCAGGCACGGAGCCGATCGCGGTGTCAGGGACGTCCTCGGCGGTATCGTCGGACCTCACGCGCTTCGACGAACTGGGCATGGCATTTTTAGTGTTGCCTTGCTTCGATAGGCGAGCGGACTTGTTGTTGTCGCCAGACCCCGATTTTAACCAAGGCGCGTATTGGTCCCGCCATCCGGAGTAGTAGTGCTTCCCGAGCTCCAGCAGCTTCCAATTGTCGCCGCACAACCGGAGCACTGGGGAAACACGACGGTTAGCTGCAATAAACCAAGTAAGAGTGCCACTGTCCATCTGACCCCAGGTCTGGGGTAGGAGCGCGCCGCGGTGGTGCTTCAGAAGGGTAAACCACGTGGCCTTCATCTTAGCACGCACAGCTTCGGCCTGCCTGCCCGAGATCGGCTCGCCTAGATTATTGACGAGGTATGTATTGCAGACGTTGATGTCCTTCGATTGCGCTGATCGGCCCTGGACCCCCTTCGGACGGCCGCCTTGCATCCCGGTGGCGAGAGTTTGCGCGTCGACGTGGAGACTCCAGTCGGAGATGGTCCACGTATAGCTACAGGGGCTGTAGTCGTCCGGGTGGAGTTCTAGATCGGGATCGTCGTCGAACTGGAGGCCGGAGACGGTGTCGTGGCCCCTGATGAGAGCAGGCACCGAAGGCGGCGCGGGGAGGCCGTTCTCTGGCCCCGTGGCAGCCTCGCTAGGCGCATCAGGGTCGGGTTTGATCGTGATCAAAGGCTTCGGGGTTGGAACAGGAGTGGGTCGAGCCTGCAGTGATCCGACCAGAGAAGAGACCCTGTACATAATTAGAAATATATGGCGCAAATAAAGATCTAGATAGTACTCACATGGATGCTAGGTCTGTAACCTGCTGACGGAGCTGCTGGACTTCACCCCATTCGGCCTGAGTACCATGTGTACGAGGAGCCTGGGACCGAGTCGGAATGTCATCAAGCTATATGAAATAACATACCCATCAGGCAAGATCAACACGAGGCGCATAGAAACGCACCTGATATAGACCGCGTTCGCGCCGCCGGTCGGACTCAAAGCGGGAAACACGAGGCTGACTCGAAGGTGGTGGCTGTGAGTTCTCCGGATCATCGGAGTAGCGGTCGTTCTCGAGGAACTTTTGATAGTTGTAAGACATATGGAGGGCTTGTGGGACGGATGCGTTGAAGGTTCGATTTTTGGTGGACAAGCAAAAGAGGCAGATGACGCGGACGCATAGATTAAAGATCTAATCAAGATTTCCCACGATCCAAATAGACTTTAATCGAGGCGCGCGGACTTTGCGCTTTTTTCGTCTCGCTTATATCGTTCCTCGACGTCGATTACCCCGCATACAACCCAAAATGTCCGCCTCGAACTCCAGCAACACCGCATACGTTTACCGTTTCGATGAAAACATGTCGACCAATCGCCACGCCGAATATCAGTCCAGCACACACCTCGTTGGCAACGTCATCTTGACGGATGTCAACTGTAACCTCGGTAATAATTTCAGCTTTCGTTTCACTCCGACCTCGCTTAGCCCTATGGTACGTATATATCAAACAACTGTCGATGTCACTTGTCATACTAATTCTCGCAGATTCTTGGTATCCGTCTCCGAAACAACGCGGCGCCGGACCGCCCCCCTGCATCTGCATCAACACCCGTCGTTTTGGACGACGTGCCCCAGCCTACCGTGCCGCTTGGGCCGAACCTTCTTGCTCTCGTTCGCCCCACTCAAGGCGATGTTCCTGCTCTCGACCCACTCTCTGGCTTCCACCCTCCCCCTTCTCCGGCCTCAGCTCCTCAAGAAAACAATGAAGAAGTCCCCGAGGACCTCCCCAGCCTTATTCCCATCGAAGAAACGGCCGATGGCGCATTCCTGCCCGGCATGTTCGATAGGATCAGCCTTCGCATGCGAATGCCCTTTGTCAACGTCACCTTCGCCGAGACGTCTGAGGCTTTTATTCATGCACAGCACGATCACCCCACCCATCCGCGCGACTACGACGATATTCCCCACAGGTACATTGTTCACGGTCGCTACAATCGTCACAATAACCCTCCTCCCCGTATTATCACTAGGACTTACACCATCGAAGAATTAGAGCCCATTGAGCGCCAGCTCAACGAAGACTCTATCCTCGATGCCGTGTCGGTTCCCGAGCCTCAAGATCGTCCTAAGCCCACTTTTATGGAGGTTTTGAACGCTGCGAGCGCTCGCGCGGTACGCATATATTCATGTTTTTTTTTCCCTCTGTATCTAATGGATCCTTTACAGCGCGAGCGTGAGGAACACGAGCGCGCCGAGCGCGATCAGTCTCCTGACGTCAAGCCCGAGCCGCTCGATGACACTACCATGGTCGTCGAAGACCATGAAGCCCTCTCCAAAAAATCCTCTAGCCCCGATCGCGTTCGGCCGGGCAACCCGTACCCCTACAGCTTGCCGAACGTATCCAGCCCCGTCCCTGTGAACGTTTCCTCGCCCATCCCGGGCATCTCGCGTATTTCTGGGTCGCCTGACCCGCATGGCGACATGGACGGCTCAATCACGGAGCCGGAGACTTGTTCGATGACCGAACTGTACGCCGGCAAGCGCAAGGCGAGTGAGATGAGCGATTGCGACGACGAATCGGACAAGGAGAATCACGCAAAGAGGGTTGCTCGATCGGCATAGGTTCGCGATGGACATTAACATTACTATAGCTTCACCTTTGTACAGTTCTACACCGCCTGTCTTTCGTACTGCATACTAGCTTTATGCCGACTGTCCTTACAATGTATTCTCCGTGTTACTCCTTGTAGTAAAATCAGAAATGCATCGTGTTACATGCTATCAACGTCTGAGTCTGCTAAAACGTCTCCATCTCCCGTTAATAGCGCGATGTCTAAACCAGGCCGCTCTATCATGTAAAATAAAGGAACATCGTATGTGGGGAATTTGTGTAAGACCATCGCAACAACTGACTTGATGTCCGTGATCTCGATCACACGCAAGTCTGCGTTGCCTCGATACGGACAAGCTATAACCGTACCGAGTGATTGCTGATATATCTGTTCGTTTGGTGTTCCGTACAGCGAAACAAGAGCAAATGTCTTGTTGTCGCCGGCCTGAAAATAGTAGTATACTTCTGCGAATCGAATCGAACGATTAATCTGAATCTATCATAAGGTTTGAAAAGGGAATAATAGAGAGATCAAATAAAAGCGGCTCACCTTGACATTACGCGACATTCGCGTTCGCCTGGTCATCATAGATTCTTTCCAGAGTGAGCGAGCAACCTGACCATTGGGCAAACGTAGGCGAGACCATTTGAGCACTCGAGGACGCTGTGCCACGGGGATGTTTCGTTCTCGCATGCCGAGATATATTGCCTGACCTTCTACCTGTCCTACAGGCGTTGGCGTCGAGTCTCGTTTCGGTAGCAGTACGTATCCCGCACATGGGATGATGGCGCCCTTGGGAATCGTGTCCTGTGGTGTGTCTTGATCGAGAAAGTCATACATTACCGAAAGTGCATTCATTTGACAGCGAAGAGTGGCCCGCTGAGATAAATTAGCATACGGACTTGATTGCGATCTGATCTCGCGGCCAAGACTTCCTATCATGCGTTCCATCGTCCATTGTGACGAGCAGATAGGAGGACCCTTGTTCTCGGTTTCGCCGACTAGATGTGTCAGCGTGTGTAACCAGGGTCGTACAAAATGCAAGCGCTCGGGGCGGGAGTTGACATAGAGTTTTTCAAAGTCATCAACAAATCGAAGAAGGTTCGTCCGAGCATCCTCTAACTGTTCTCGAGTGATCTTGTACTGACCGAGGATCCGAACACTTCGAACAAGGCGACAGAAATGCGAAAAGTAGGGCTCTGGAAGGACGCCGAGGAGGAGAGCAGGACAAATATAGTAGAGATAGAGAATCCATTCCCAAGCCTTGTATCCGCTATGCATGCGTTCAGCTATGTTGCGAGGAGGTTTGTCGAATGAGTTGGGAAGGAACGGCGTTGCATCAGCCACTAGAGCACCATGTCGAGTCCAAGCATCCTTGTCTATGAGAACAGCCCAGGGCCATTGTGTCGGATCATCGCCTCCTTTTGATGCAAAGGTACCCATCCATAAAGGAACCATCTCGTCGCCGACATTGAAACTCCATACATGCATGCAATCTGAACCAAAGCAAAAAGGTACGCGGAGAACGCGATTGTCAGCAAAACCGATGAATATGCTTGGTTTTGTGATACCAGTCTCCTTTCGCATTTCTTCGTACTCGCCCACGGTCCGACAGCGACTGAGGCGTTCTACATTGGCGTGATAATCGTCCGAGCCTGCCGGAGGTAGGTTGTTTATGTCAAAGTCATCGTGCATCGATCCTTGAACATTGCTACGGAAGTTAGGTCGATATATAGCAGGATAGTAGTGGCCCGAGCGCTGTGTATGTCGACCTGGAAATCCACATAGGAGTCGACAGCCCTTGCGACCATGGTGTCCTGCCAAACCGCATAAAAGAGCCATCCCAGGGCCGTCTGCAGTACCGATAAAAAAGAACGGGTGAGATGTATACTCAACGTCTGTACTGGCATCCCAGATACCGAGCCCATCGCGCTGGATAGCGGCAAGATGGTGAAACCCTGGAAAAAGGAATGAGTCAAGATTCTTCGGTTTGCGAGGTCCTGGTATAACTGCGCCCGGTAGTACATATTTCTTCTTGTATCTGGCGTCCGGAGCGTGATCGAAAACGACCCATATGTAAATCCAACAGTCGGATTGCTTGCATTCGTAAAGCTGAGCCCCGTCGATCGAAAACATGAGAACAGGGTCTCCAGGACGAATACGTCCATCACGAACAGCTTGAATATATTGATCCCCGTCGAAGATGTCTTCGTACACATCGATTTGCCGTCCCTCTATGTTGATCCGATGAAAGACCCTGTTGGTCTTTGTCTCTCGGTATCGCATGCGCTGGGCCTGGCGGGGATTTCTGTAGAGTGCCTGTAGCTGTGGACCGATCGGAAGTGTGACAAACGTCTGCTGAGGTATGTTTTTCTTCGCAACGCGAGACCGCTTCGCGTCATAACGAGGTTCGTGGCATCGAATACATGCGGTGAGCTCAGCGTTATGGCCTGTGAACGCCATACATGTATTAAGACACATGTCTGAGCGTAGCGGCTCGACACCACTGAGTTCTTCGACTTTTCTCTTGATGACATATGGGCTGTAGACCTCTGTGTTCGGATGGCGTCGCTTGATCGCATTGCAAACAGACTTATACGCGCTCTCTGAGATATTGCTGAAGAATAGCTCCATACAGAGCTGAATATCTGGATCCCCGAGGTCTTCAGGTTCGTGCAAGGGGTGTTTCAAGCGGTATCTGGTTTCATCTGAAAGCATGCGACTGTATTGATCGTCTAGCGACGCTGATCGAAGGATATTGATGTACGAAAGGGCGTCGATAAGATCGGAGAGATGAGTGAGCCTCCACAACTCTTCCAGTTCGTCTTCTGTCCACCCCATAGTACCACGTTCACCTCCGGATGATTCTGGGCCTGGTCCACCACCAAAGAGATTTGCGAGGCGGTTGAGGACTTCTTCGGGTAGCTCTTGTTCTTCTTCCGGCTCTTCGGACCCCTGACGAGATATACGTGGACGTTCCTCGTCCATTTCATTCTAGAGGCGTGAGCTGGCGAAGCTAGGAATGGTAGTGCGAGGACATACCGCTCCGAGTTCATCGCCGTTTTCCATCCCACCCTCCGCTCCATCGCGATGCTGAGGAGATAGGATGAAAGATTAGGGTAAATCAAGAGTAAGACGAAATGTAGGGCGCACCTGTAGAGACTCCAATACCAACTCTCTGTTATCTCTTCGTGTATCCCCTTCATCCTGCACTTCCTCTACTGTAGCTCGCCTTCGACTGTTTGAAGCGCCCTGATCCTGCAAAGAGTCTTGTCCTGGCCCTCCTCGTTCGATATACAGTGATTGCTGCTGGATGCTTTGGGGATATCGTTCAAGAAGAGCAGCTTGTTGCGCTCCGAGCGTGGTTCGGCGATGTTCTTTGTGAGCATTGTACGTATTCTTGTGGACTTGTTTTGGCGGCCCTTCGGGTAGGGGAGAACAGACACAGCAAGGACAGAAGTAGTCCCACTTGTGGTGCTCCTCATTCCAGTGTATCCCGGGCTGTGCCATCGTCGACTGAGTTGGATGCGCAGAGGTATAGGCACACTAGCCAAGCTAGGGGGACTTGGATAAATTGGGCGACGCGTCTAAGTCTGCCGACCGAGGCCTCGATTCGGGCCGGTTTAATTTCGGAGCTAAGACGCCAAGAAGCCCCATCGGCTCAAACGCAGGCCTAGGCAGCGACCGTGGGCTCACGTCAATTCTTTTATTAGATAGAAGTCTATTTTAAAGTACAAGGGTCGGCCGTAAAAGATGGTAATCTACCGAGAACCCCCGACTTTTCACTGGGGCTGATGCTTAATCTTCGAAAAAGGAATGAGGATGACTTGTCCGGGAAAGATTCATTTGATACAGTCTTGGAGCTCTCTCGCATGAATTTTGCGGCCAATCTCATTCGTGATGCAGACATGCAGGGGGGGTTCGGTATTGATGGCTTTGAAAGCGTTGCCATTCTGGATAGAGACCTCGCGTAACATAGTCAAGTAAAATTACGCTGCCATGACCCTGATTCGTTATTTGTTAGTTATGTCTGCATGGAGAGTACCGATGTCTAGACACCACTTGAAATATGTACAGCTGTTTAATCCAACAACTCGACCGCTAGAGAGCTCTCAACACCATGTCGCGGCCAATATCATGACATGAAACCCATTGAGGGCTGGTCGGTTAAAGTCATCAGCATCTATATTGTTTAATGCTCGCATTCCAGCTCACAGTCCTCATAACGTATCTTTTTCCCTCTGCGTCATGTCCCACCAGCCTGAAACCGTCCCTCCCAGGCCGAGCCACAGTCGCGACAACTTCAATTGAGCTTCAATATGCTTCACTTGGTATAACCTGTGGCTGACGACCATACCAGTAGCGCCTTATACACGTGCCGGTAATAAGTAATTACCCGGCTCCCCCGCCAAATTCCCGCGCGCTGTAATTACTTGTTGTAGCTACGTGTAGTGTTCCAAGCCCGAGTGCTACCAGACCTTTAGCAGCACAACTCTTCGCGACAATCATGAGAAGTGAGTGATAAATCGACTGGCCTTCCTTTTAATGAGTCATAGGGCACATAATGACTCTCCTTGCGCTCGCAGGTATCTCCACGACATCACTAGATGCAAGGCTTGCCCGCGAAAATTCAACAGCCAGAGAGAATACGAAGCGCATGACATCGCTGTCCACATCCCTGTGGCGACTCGCAGATAAGCGACGCAGAGCTATCCTTCTGGTCTCTACTTTCTCGTTCTACATTTCTTATGATCTGTAAATTCGACACCTTGTGCTTTTACATGTAAAGCTATTCAAGTTTATCCATGTCCGCTCCGCAGAGGCTACTTTGAATTTGATTACCTCATGTTTCCCTGTTGCACTTATTTCTCGTTAATATCATTTGTTACTATAGCTCAGTATACGTCTAATATTTCTTGAATGGAAGTACAGGTTCACCCGATCCCTCCTGACGCAGTGGTCGTAGTGACCCAAGCCCGCATTTGCTGCTAGCGCAGCAATTGAGAGCGTGGGAGTTTACAACACATTCCAACTCCGCTCTCATGGCTGCTTGATCAAAACTTCTCGGTCGGGTTTCTGTAGCCCTTTCTTCAGCTCGCACGCTATCATAGCCCTCACAACCCTTATACTTAGAGAAGATATTTGTCATCCTTGCTAAGCTCTCGTCCACCCCAGTTGCCTCATCCAGCACCACCATTCACGCTCAGATCACCGTCAATGCATCCATGTCTTCAGGTCCCAGAACTCCTGCACAACATCATTCTCAACCTAGAAGATTACGGAACCACTTGTCTACCGCGTATCGCACTGGTCTGTAAAGCTTTTCGGGAGCCGGCTTTAGATGCACTCTACTGGACAGTTGGTTTCAACAAGTTCTTCTTGTGCTTAGGATCAGATGTGGTATCTTACGAGAAGATGGGCCCGGACGATGTGAGTACGATATACTTGTTTGTTATATACAGCTGACGTACGTCTAAGGAGATTTACCAGACGGTTGGCCTGACGCGTACCCTAGAGACACACGATTGGAGCGTGATAAGCTCATACGGGGGAAGGGTTCGAAATCTCTCGTATCCGTGTAAAGGACACGCATCGCGGTGCCAAATCCAGACGAGCATCTACGATGCACTTTCTCAGTGTCCTTTGCAGCATATCTTCCCTCGGCTCCTGAGCTTGGCATTGAATGATATCCCTCCCATCATCAACGTCGATTCTTTCCTTTGTGCATCCTCGCTTCAGACCATAACCCTGAACATGGGTGATATATCCGGTGATGTTGTTCCCGTACTCCAGAGGATTTCTTCGTCGAGCCCCAATGTTCTATATTTTCGCTGTATCAGCGGAGACAAGTTACCCGACGATGCATTGTGTAGTACCATTGGCCGCTGGCCCAAGACCCAAGAGCTTCTCATGGTTCCGCTCTACGAAAAAACGATTGCTCTTCTGGGCGATCTACCGTGCCTACGTCGCATCTGGATATGCATCAGACCAGGAGAGAGGTGGATTCAAGACAATATCCATTGGAACCTAAGGTCGCTTCAGGAGTTACGCGTGTATACGTTTGGTGACTCAAGCATCTGTGCAGCCGCTTTACCCCTGATTTTTCACACTACGCAGCAGACCTCGTCCATGAAGTCATTGCGCTACCTGGACATCCACGTCATTGGGGGTGTCGTATTGCCGTTTTCTGATGCGGTTACTGCGATTATCAGACCTCCTTCCCAATCCGTAGTTGCAAAGACACTTGAAAGCATCGAGATATTCATTCAGCCCAACATCGAATCTCCCTTCGCACCGGACTGGGAAGACGCTGTCAACTTGTTAGCAGCTTTCACGAATCTCAAGACATTCAAATTGCCACCCGGCTGTTTTCAATCCGGATCGGGGAGATTGGGGGCGTCGAACCATCAGCTTATTCGTCTTCTTCAGAGCTGGCCTCTGGTCGAAGCCATAGACCTGCGATTGAAGAAGCCGCTGGACGTTCACGATCTTCTCGATGTACTGGCCGTGTCTCCACAGTTACAACGGTTTAACGTCAACGTCTCGATCACCATGGAGGACGTCACATCTCTCAGCACAGACAAAGATACCGTATTCCCTAATAACGCCGTTACCTTTCTTTGCCTCCTCTGGGAGAGCTTGGTGGACCAACGGAAATCTGTGTTGTCTCATGACGTTCCAGTTGTAGCTCACCTTCTACTCAAGATTGCACCGCACCTAAGCTCCATCGGTTACGACGAGGATACCCATACAGAGGGTATACGGGAGTTATTATCACACATTACCCATCCATCTTGGGAAGAGGCGATTTCTGCGGTACATAATATTCGGGTGGAGTACGAGCGTGATATGCGCATAAATATATAACATAGTCTGTAGCTTGTTGATAAATATGGATATGCATGTTCTATCGCAAACAATGTAAGAAAGATTACTCATTCCCTGAATAAAGCTCGTCCCTTGCGATTTCGTTGCTCATTAGTGCATTGTCGACATTCTTCTCTTCATATGGATATGCAGGATCGGCTCATGGTTCCTTCTCGCCGTTGAAAAAGGAGCGAGTATTATTTGGCCCTAGGAGACTCGTCTGCCGTGACTCACTCTGAGAGCTCTGCAGTATATACTTTGCGACTGTTCTTGTTCATGATACAGACATGCGGAGGCAGGCCAGAACCGAGGTTGTTAGAGTATTACAATGCCGGATGGACATCTTGCGAAACCTCCTCAAGGAGCACTATGCTGACAATCGTGTCGTATTTGTAACTATGTGCACCCGGAACTATCAATAACACATCATGCGCATCATTGGTTTTTTCTCCAATAAACATGCTACACGTCTGAAAAAGTTCAACTGAGCCGCCCACGCAACGGTCATGATAAGGGAAACGGAAAGAGCGGTTAGAGATGGAACGGCACATGCACAAGCATTGGCAGTAGATGATGCGTAGAGATTAGATATCATCGACATCCACTGCACCCAGAATCTCAGAGAAAGTACACCCGAAGGCGCACTCTATGCCGATGTTACAGCTACCGCGGGGTCTGCACAAATGTGTCCGCGGTCCATCCAAATCGACGAGTCAGACGTCGACCGAGTGCCCTTGCTTTCCAAAAGTCAAGGTTTGGTTCGGGGTGTGGCTCATGGCCTGAGCGCGTGTGCAAGTAGCAGTTTGAGTGAAATCGGCAATGTCTATGACTCTTTGAGGCACTCACAGACGAAGCTCATCACACCTTTCGAAAATCCCCAGGCCGATCCGCGCAGCTTGGTCACTGAGAACTCCATGTCGGAAAACATCTTCAGAATGTCTTTCCACGGTACGCTTCCTTTCGCGTGAATAGGTTCCTCGCTGTCCAAATGTCAACGATAGCTTTATGCCAAATTCATGGGTGATACGAACTCGCTGAACAGCATTCGCAGAACGTGAAGCGCCTTGCTTGACACGGCTATCTTCTCAACTTCTTCCTCATTCATCTCAGTAGATACGAAAGGTTTCTCCTCCGAGGCCACAGCCTTCTCTCGTCGGGTCTTGAGTTTGCTCTTGATCTGGGGCTTTGTCGTGTCCACCGGCGTAGCTCCTATCTCTGTGACGAGAACGTCCGGGTTGATCGGAGTAGTTCGCTTGGGACCACCTGGTCTTTTCACTACCATGCAGACGTCAACGACAATTCACAACCTGTAAGAAGCATGATAACTAACCGAGGTCTACCCACGGTGCCCTGTTCTCTGCGTAAGGTCTCAATAGATCCTCGACCATGCTATACAACTTCTTGTCCATTCCAGGCCTGAGCTGCTTGAAGGAAGCCGTCCAGAAAGCGTCTACAGCTCTATCGACCTGTTCGCATTTATGCGCCCACTCCAGCGTCTAAGTGCGAACGAAAATGAGAGGGAACAACGCCGTGCGCTAAGTGTAAAAGCTGTACCTTTGGTCCCTTTGGGTAACTAAACTTCTCAAGAGGAAACGCCAGCGGGCCGACCTGCACCAAGTGAGCGCCGGAATCATCCCGAACGATGTACCCGCCCGCCAACCTCGCCGTGCGCTGATGTATCGCGTCAAAGCCCTCGACGTCGAACCTGGGCCGGTGGCGGTCGAGGATGTCGGAAGCATCTGCGAGGCTCCCGCGCAGGGCGAGGAGCCGCGAGACGTGCGGCGTGATGCGCTGCCGCTGGTCGGGGTGTTTGTTGAGAAACCGGTCGATCTGGTCGTAGATCTGGGATCGCTTCATGTACTCGATTTTCTGGTCTTCTTCCCTGTGAAGCGAAAGGAGCAGACCGAGCAGCACATCGCCGTGGGGTGGCTGACCCGTGATGGTATTCTTACCCCAACGGTTGTCGTGGTACGTGGTGGAAAACCCTGTGTCATCATGAAGCTGGGTCAGGGGGCGAAGTAAGGCGTGTACTTCGTTGAACGCACATTGTCGCATCGGCTCTGATGCCATGAGAGTTGGCGCATATCTTACCCTCATAATCCTCTCAAACCCGTCAAGAAGAGCGTTAATGTCCAGGATAGCCTCGTTGTACTCTTTCGGGATGTCTTTGGCCCGAGCTATCGACTTCCTGTATTTGCCCAGCTTGGCTTGGAAGTCCTCTACTTTCTCTTTGATAGCGGTCCATAACTGTTCGAAGTCAACTACTCATTCAATCATCGCCAGAAGAAAGTTTGCATACTCCATAGAAGGTGAATGCGTCCGCCATCAAGGTGCCGGCCGCCCTCTCCTGTAGCAGAGCCTTGGGCGGCTGCTTGTTCTTCGCGAGCCACTCCATCCGATGGCCATATGCGTCGCGTAGCTGTTCGGCAAGATAGGACGGGTTGGTGCGGAGCTCGATCAGACGGTCGCGCGCTTCGTCGTACTCCGCTTGCACTAGAGCCACGAGAGCTTCGCCGGAGAACCGCTCGGGATGTACGTAAGGTTCGAGCGTGTTTTTGCGTGCTACAGACTCCCAGCCGCAGTCGGTTGTTTCGGACAGAGGGATAGGCGGAGGCGAAAGGGGAGGAGCGGGGTTGACTGACACGTAGTCGAAATCGTGCAGGAGTTTCTTGCAGACGTTGATGAGAAACGTCAACTGAAGGTGTATACGTTGTCAACATAGATAGTTGAGTCCAGTCTGCAGACAATCTGAGCCGGCTTACCAGCTTCGTCTGCATCTCGAACACCAAGAGGCCGTCGCCCACAGGAATTGCGTCGCCCCTCCACTCCAATGAGACTCCGGCGATCCCTTCCTCATTGTCATCATACCAGCTAATCACCTTACCAAACGTAGATCGGTCTCCGTAGCAGAGAACGGTGCGGTCAGGACCAAACAACCGTTTCAGCGCATAAACCACGATTCCAAAACGCAGCTGGTGCCGTAACTCGTGTCAGTAAAGACTAAGCCTAGAATATATGCGCTCACAAATTCTTGGTCGTGGGTCATGAAAACAGACGGAAAGAGATGAGCACGATAGTGAAGCAAGGATAGCACTACATGTATGTGAGCCAGGCGTTTAAATAGGGGGACAGATGTTGATACGTTTCGCTCCTTTAATTTCAGTGAGGTCTTCAATGTTCAACATGGCAAGCAGGAAAATTTCGCGCTTTGCGTTGAGCTCCTTGACCATAGAGTCCTCGTCCCTGTACTTGTGGGTCGCATCTTGGCATAGTTCAACGTCGGGTGCGTGGATTTCTGGGATCTCGGGATAGACCTCTTTGAGGATGGCGACTTTCTTAGACTTGTTTCGCTATGAAGAGAGGAATGATCAAGCTCCAAAATGCCACAACCGCCAAGCATCGACAGAGAACCACTCACGTTAGCCCATCGGCTCCTGATGATAGCCTCGTTGCGGATCACTATCCCGTGCAGCTCATCATAGAGCCTAAGTACCTCGTTCACTGCATTCTCTATAGAGATATCGGCCTCCTCGTGTGACAAGAGTGCAGCAGGGCGCATATGTTCTGGTAGCGAGTCAATGAAGTTCATCGGGTTGTCCAAAAGGTCCTCGAACTCGTCATTTAAGCTATCTGACATGTGAGGAAGTGAAGAGGGTAAGGCAGTTAAAGTGCGTCTGATTCGTGTAAGATTGTATGCAGTGCGTTTGTCAAATGCTTGATGGAAGCGTCTTGCGTCCTGGGCTCCCGGCGGTGGCCCATGTAGACTGTCTGGGAGCTGGTGCGGAGTTTAGAATCGAGAGCGCGTCGCGCGTTGTTTGGCCAGACCAAATAGCTGCACATGGCGAGTTCTCCCGATTTCCAAGTTCACCCCCAAGCACCTCAGCTCTCACTCCAGCCTGACTTCAACTTTGTTTTGCTTCAGCCATCGACGAGGAACAAGAGTGCGCTCCAAGCATATGGCCCGTTACGCGACTTCCCACCCCCTTCGATTAACATGTACAGGATGCAGCGATCTCACACGGAGTAGACCCCGCAGAGAGCGGGAATCACAAGCTTCAAGTTGTGGATGACAAGTGGTCTGACGTCATTGCGCAGGGGCTCAGCGCGCGCTCCTCCAAGGCCTCGATAACGACGCGTCCAGATGGTATAAAGTCCCATCCTCCACCTCGTCCCTTCCACGAACCCAACGTTACTGCCCACCATGGCCCGTCCACAGTCAAGGGACGTGAATAAGTCCATTGACCCTAGGATGCAGCATCTCCGCTACCGATTCTTGCCCTCGCGCGCGACCACGCAAGCTGTCCGGCTTGTGCGCTCGCTGCTAAGCATCATCTTTGCACCCGTCACCTGGGTTCTCCGCATCACCTACGTTTACATCCAATTCCTCATCACCCTCTTCTTCCAACCCAAAATACCGCCTAGACAGATCAAGCGCCCGTACGGGCGCATCGCCGTCATTGGAGCAGGGCTCACTGGTGTTTCTTCCGCCGCGTACGTCGTTGCGAAGTTTTATTTCTGGCTTCATTAACGGGCTCTTAATCTAGACATGCCATCTCACATGGCTTCGAGGTTGTCATCTATGAAGCCTGCGATCGCACTGGCGGCATCTGGGCACGCGAGAATAGGACGTCAGGTCTTCAGCTCAACTCGATTCTTTACCGCTTCCACCCTTCTGTGATATGGAAGAAGGCGTTCCCGCAGCGTGATGAGATTCTCGATCGTAAGCTCACTTCTTCAGACAGATCCTATTGCCCCTTTGTTCATGCCATGCATTCTAGAAATCAACAAGGTGTGGAAGGAGTACAGACTTGAGGAGCGCACGCGATTCAACGTAAGTTATGCCCGCGTTGCATGGATGAGAATGGTGCTTATCTATTCATAGACCCCTGTGACGAAAGTAGACCGAAAGACCAGGCCTTGCCCGCCCGAATCCAGCGATGGTGAGCAGTGACTTCATCACCTAGACCTCGCGATTTAGACGCAACCTAATCCGCCTTGTACCGCCTGCAGCTTCCAACATCTCTCCCTCGCAATGGTTTATCAATAACGGCGAAGATGGCCCCTTCGACGCGATTATCGTCACCATCGGCACGTGCGGCGAACCGAACTGGGTCCAGTTCGAAGGCCTCCCCAAGAACCTCGGCCAGAAACGCTCTCATGAAACCCCTCAGCATGACGACGGGCAGTCCCAGTCTCAGGATCAGCCCGAGGATGAGGAGCATCGCGTCGGCGTTGATTATCCGAGCGGCAAGGACGTAACGGACTCGATGGTGAAGAATGAGGCCAAGAAGCGCCGCAAGCACCGCAAGAAGGCGCGGGCGGCTCGCGAGGCGGGAGAAGAGCCTGCGTCAGATGATGCGCAGTACGAGCTTTCGGACCACGAAGACGGTAACGGCGCCGAAGAGTCGGAGGGCGGCGAACATGTTAAGCGGATTGGCTCGCCGACCGACTCTCGCGTTGACGTACATCCCCAGAGTGAGCAGGACTGGGGGACGTTCAAGGGCACTGTGCTGCACTCGTGCGAGCTCGACAGTGCTACAGAGGAAATGATCAGGGGCAAGAATGTGGTCGTCGTAGGTAGCGGGGCGTCGGGTGTCGAGGCAGTTGAGACGCTGCTCGAGCGCAAGCCGAAGCACGTCGTTATGCTGGCGAAGAGTGACAAGGTATGTTGTTTCTCCCCTCTTCTCGATCGAAAGTCACAGGTCACTGATATTGCGCCGCAGTGGATTATCCCTCGGAATGTCATTATCGACACCGCGCTCGCTGCTCAACCGTTTGGGAGGAACATGCCCTTGAGGTACGTTTTTGCAAATCTGTGCGAATGAGGGAAAGATGCCAATCTTCGTATAATAACCTAGCTTCATCTGGTCATGGTTCTTGAGCGTATGGCAATACCACGGTGTCGAGGAGCTCATCCCTGACAAAGGTGTCTATACCGACACCCCGGTACGTCCTAGTTTCGCCTATAGATTAAAACGACCAACTAACGTTCGGATGCAGGTCGTCAACGACGTCTTCCTCGACCACGTTCGCGCGGGCCGGTGCTCCTACGTCCGCTGCGAAACGGAGCGCTTCACCAAGCGCGGTGCGCTCGTCAAACTCTACGACCGCATCGACCGGCGGAAACCCTCCCACGGCTCTCACTCGCGAAACACCCACCCGGAGGAGCCGCACGAGGAGGAGATCGAGGCGGACGTGGTCGTGCTCGCGACGGGGTACAAGAAGCCGAGCATGGACTTTTTGCCGCAGGAGCTGTTCCCCGAGGGGTATGAGCGGCCGAATCTGTACCTGCAGAACTTCTCGACGGAGGACTGGAGCTGTCTGATGACGAACTCGGCATATATAAATGCGATCGGGACGGTTGGGCATGTGCATATTGGCTTTTGTGAGTTTTCCCTGTTCTCTGGCGACCACAAGAGTTTCTGACATGGGTTTCATATCTATCTAGACACACGCATACTGTTGACACTGCTGCTCGACCCGGACGCGCGCCCGATGAAGAAGGACATGAAGCTCTGGGTCGATCTCATCCGGTACGTCAAGCGTGGGGCTAGCGGTGGTGCGTTGGGCTTCTTCACCTATGCCGAATTGAGTGCGTATTCTTTCCTTCTTCCCGCACTCCGTTTGAGATGCTAACGTTGGGTGACTCGGATAGCGGTTTGGTTGGTGCTGTTCCACATCGTCCGGCCGGACCGGTTGCGGTGGTTGTTCTTCATTTGGCCTGGGTGGGGTGTGCATCCGGATGATGAGTCGCTGTATCCCAATAGGCAGGAGATTGGTGAAGAAGGGTCGAGTCCGAATAGACGGAGGAAATATGAACCCGCAGGTGTATTTTAGGGAGTGGGGCGACATAGCACTCGATGTCTTGTTATGTAGTCCTATAATATTGTTATTCGATTCAATAAGCATCAGGAAACCTCGTAGTCATAGTTTCGGTTTGTTGGTTTTATCAGCGGCATGGTTCGAACACTCCAGGGACCGACACGGAACACTGAATTATTCTGTCAGTCGGGGAATCCTTAAGCGGAGCACCATTAATAGGGGCTTGCTACGCCTCGGCTCCTGTTACAATTCGATGGTCATGAGGTCACGGTATGTTTCCGCCCGTTGGGTGCATTATGCACTTGCGTCATTTCCGCCTTCTCGATCTTCGTATTGGGACCTCTTGGGAGGGGAAAATGTGGAATCGTATCTTTGACTCGCTCGAGCTCCCCCACGCATAAAGCTTGACGCAAAGTCGAGAACATCCTGGCTTTAGCACGATCATTAACGCACATTAATACGATGGAAGCGACATCGACCTCGAAAACAAACGATGTGACCTCTGCCCAGTACGCGTCGTTCTTTGACCCCTCGACGCGCACGCGAAGCGGTTTGTGCCCCGTCACGCTCATCCAGACTGGGACTTCAGCTGGGAAGGAGAGCCACGTACCCAGCCCGCTCGAGAGCCATGAGCTGTACTTCGAGATGCATGGGCACGGGCCGACGAAGGTGGTGTTTATTATGGGGTGCGTGTCCCCCTTCGTCTGCCCCTGCGTGGACTATACGCTCTAATATTCTGAGTTTCCAGACTGAACAATACTTCCTTCGGCTGGGCGCCTCAAGTGGACCACTTTGCGAAGCTGGCGGATGGTGCGAAGTACACCGTGCTTGTGTTTGACAATAGGGGCGTAGGGAATAGTGGGTCGCCGATGGGGCCTTATACGTGCGTGTGCCTGGCATTCTTTGGAGAGTCAACCTGGGCTAATGATGATCCTAGGACGAGCGGTATGGCCCGGGACGTCGTTGCGCTGCTCGACTTTGTTGGGTGGACCGAGGAAAGGAGCGTGAATGTTGTAGGCATCTCTATGGGTGGCATGATTGGCCAGGGTGCGTGGGTTTTCTGCTTGCTCAACGGACTGGTGTGAACTAAGCGCCGTCGATGCTCTAGAGCTGGCGACGCAGATCCCAGAGCGCATAGTTTCGCTCACTCTTGCGGTCAGCAAAGCGGGAGAGAGCCGCTGGGGCAATCTATCATCAGTGAGCTGTCTTTTGTCACTCAGGACAGTACGTCGAAAACTCACGAATTGGTTTTACCTTTTCTATATAGTGGGGAAACTTTAGTACTCTACTCAAGTGAATGACGAGCTCCAGACTCAAATCAAAATTCTGACCATAAACCTTTCCAGAGCGATGACGACCACCGACCCCAAAATCAAAGTGCCGCTAATAATGGGACTGCTCTTCCCGGATGCTTGGCTCAATGAGATAGCCGAAGGCGACCCAGAGGGGCGCACGAACCTCGAGGTCCAGACCAGCGTGCGTCTCCAATTTCTTTGTCTGCTTAACGTACACCACACTCACACATTGAAACAGGTATACACCCGCCGCCTCGCCATAACCCGCCCTCAACCACCGCTCGGCTCCCTCTCCCAGTTCGCGGCAACAATCACGCACTACGTCTCACCCGCGCGCCTGCGCACGATCTCATCGAGCATCCCCAAGGTTCTCATCGTCGCGGGAGACTCGGACAAGCTCGTCGATCCGCGCAACAGCACGCTGATGAAGGAGCGCATGCCCGAGGCGGAGCTCGTCGTGTTCGAGCAGACGGGGCACGGGATATCGGCGCAGCGCAAGGAGCGGTTTAATGCGTTGCTCGAGAGGGTGTTTGCTGAAGGCGCTGCGAAGGCGGGGCAGGGAGGGGGTGTTGGTGTGGCTTAGGAATCCTTTGGACTTTGTTGAACTGACAATATCGATGTAGCTAAGTTATGCAGCGCAGAAACGTCGGTGAGGGAAGAAAGAGCCCCTATCTGGGTATGGGTGGCGTGCGAATGTCCAGCTGACGCGTCTGCTCGCGTGTGCGATTTCGCGACGTGGTTCTCTTTTCGAATTCTGCAGTCAAGCCGCTCTGCCGATCGTCTCATTCTAAAGCCCACAGAGGAGAGTAATAGTGCTTTTGGGAGTGCCTAATGGAAGGTATGGAGTCGAACAATGTTCACGAAGATGAACGCTCGTTGCAAGCAGCGTCATTCCGCAGTCTTGACCCGAAACTTGGCAAGAATGCTCGTCATTCCACCCAGCATGGGGAGCCGTAACGCGCCTTCATAATCTCCTAACCAATAATCACAAGCTCTACTAGAATATACCCTAGTGGTCAGAGCGGATCTCCCATGCTACCTCCAGACAAACGGCGTCACATCGAAGGAACCCCTTTTCGCGAGGAGCTGTATAAAGCTCGTGGATACTGCGGGGCGTCCCTCATTTCTCTTGTCTGCAGCAGAAACAATGGCGCCTCCAGAGACACACATAGCGCAAACGAGACGGCAAGAAACCCTGCAGGCTCGCAGGCGCGATCTGCCATCCGCGTTGCTGACGACGCCCATTGCATTGTTCAGACTGATCCTTAACATCTCCCTCATTCCCTTCTTCGCGTTCATGGGAGCGCTCTACGTGACCATCCAGAAGGCCATCGTCTACTTCTTTGCCCCGCGCACACCGCCCAGGCACATGCACCATCCCCACGGGCGCATCGCCGTCATTGGCGCTGGGCTCACCGGGATTGCCTCTGCTGCGTACGTTTTGTCCCGATTTTCTCTCCTATATGCCCCTATAGCTCACTTGCGAATGAAGGCATTGCATCGCGCACGGGTTCGAGGTCGTCATATACGAGGCGACGGACCGCGTCGGTGGCGTCTGGGCGCATGAGAACGAAAAGTCTGGGCTACAGCTGAACTCGATGATGTACCGGTTCCATCCGGCTCTTGTGTGGAAGAGCGCATTTCCTCAGCGCGATGAGATCCTCCATCGTACGTCGCATTGTTGTAGCTCTCATTTGCGGTGTACTAATGAAATAAACGCAGAGGTAAACAAGATCTGGAAGCTCTACCGCCTTGAAGAGCGCACTCGATTCAATGTGAGAATCCATTAGGAATATTATGGTGCTGGGATTCAGACTGACCGGTTGCCATAGACACCTGTAGATAAGGTGGAACGGAAACGACGCTCCACGGAGTCCGCAGAAGGCACGTTGAACTTGAGTTACCTTGATTTTACCTGCATATTAACCTTTACGCAGGCGAGGTTCGGCATATCTCACCGTCAGAATGGTACATCAACGACGGCGAAGACGGCCCTTTTGACGCTCTCATCGTCACCGTTGGCGCGTGCGGCGACCCGAAGTGGATCCCGCTCGAAGGTCTTCCTGAGGACGTGCTCAACCGCAACCCGCGCACGGAACCTCCGAAGGAAGGCATCGCCCAAGAGCAAGATGAGTCTCAATCCACTTCTCAGGAGCACAATCACGCCGAGGAAAAGCACCGCACGGGCGCGGATTATCCGCAGGGGCAGGGCCTGACGGAGTCGCAGTTGAAGAACGAGCGCAAGAAGCGGCGTAAGCACCGGAAGAGGGCGCGTGAGGCTCGTGAGGCGGGCTCGGAGCCCGCGCCGGAGGACGCCGAGTATGAGTTAGAGTCGGCGACTGAGAACGGCAACGGCGGCGGGCACGACACGGATGCGTCGCATGTGAAGCTTGCGGGGTCGCCGAAGGGCAAGGCGGCCGAGGTCGACGAGCATCAGCATCAGTCGGGGCCCCAGTACCAGCAGAAGCAGAAGGATATGGGCGTGTTCAGGGGCAAGGTAATGCATTCGTGCGAGCTTGATAGGGCGACGGAGAAGGACTTTGCGGGGAAGACGGTTTTGGTGCTTGGGAATGGTGCTTCGGGGATTCAGGCTGTCGATATGGCGCTTGGTCGTGGGGCGAAGAAGTGTATCATGATATCCAAGGATGATAAGGTGTGTGGATTGTATTCGTGTATCGCTAGCGTTGTGTTAACGTGCTCACCTCACCTCAGTGGATTCTCCCAAGGTGAGCCCGATTTGCCTCACCCTCAGCTCGCATCCCGCTGACGGCAATCAAGGAACGTTATCTTCGACACGCTCCTTGCTGGTCAGCCTTTCGGACGCAGCATGCCCTTCTCGTATGTCATGCACGCCCGCCTCTATGATTGACCATACTGATCGGCCCCTCTTTCAACTAAATGGCTCTACCCGTTTTCATATTTACACCATACGCATGCTATCTTTATTCCGCATTTTTCACTTCGGCGACATGCATATCTCTGCACGCAAACTATAACTGCGGATCACACACATCTTCGGCATTTTATCATTCCTACTGTGGTGGCTTCGCCTCGCCTTCTTTACATTCGTTCGGACCGCCGGTCGATTCATCTTCCACCGAAATAGGTCTGTGTGGGAGTGGCTCTTGAGCGCTTGGCACTACCACGGCGTCGGAGCGCTCGTCCCGGACAAAGGCATCCTCGAGGCTTCACCGGTGAGTTTTCCTGCCTTACACACTCACCCGCGTTTCCTCCTCCCGCTCACTTATCTTCCCGCGCTTCTCGTCGTCGATGCCCGGTGTGGGTACAGGTCATCCACGACACGTTCCCCGCGCTCGTCCGCTCTGGAAGATGCGACTACGTCCGCGGTGATGCTCTCCGACTCACGTCGCGCGGAGCGCTCGTTCACGTGCTTGAGCGGCCCAAGGAGAAGCGCGGCAAGCTCGACAAGGTGGTGCCTCGCGACGAGGAGATCGAGTGCGATGTCTTGGTGATGGCAACTGGGTATCAGAAGCCTTCGATGGATTTTCTTCCGGCCGAGTTGTTCCCTGAAGGATACGGGGTACGTATTTGTACTTATACGTGATAGACACTGTGCTGACTGTAGGTGCAGAGCACCGACCTCTGGCTGCAGAATTTCTCGACGGAAGATTGGTCTCTGCTCACTACTAACTCTGCGTACGGAAAGACGGTCGGGATTGGCGGGCATATGTAAGTTCTCTCGGAACGATCAATCGTTTTGCCTATTGCTAACCGACGCTTTTCAGGCTTACTGGGATGTGTACGTCTTATCTACCCCCAGTTCCCATTTTATCCTCGGCTGACACTGTCGAAAATAGATACGCGTATTCTGCTCACGATGATGCTCGATCCCTCGACGCGTTCCGACGAAAAACACATGAAAGCATGGGTGGACAACTTCAGGGGTGTGAAACGCGGGGCGAACGGGGGAGCTATTGCCCTTTTCGCATACTTCGAACTTTGTGAGCATTCACGTTCTTCCTAGCCATCCACGACTGACAGATGCCGATCCTGCGCTAGTTATATGGATGATGACGTTCATCGCTTTCCGCCTCGACAGACTCCCCCAGCTGTTCTTCATACTGCAGGGCTGGGGCGTTCATCCGGCCCACGAGGCGGAGACACCGCACGAGACAACATCGTATGAGATGGGTAAAAGGGAGGTCGAGTCTGCGAAAGCCTGAAAAAAGCGGCTGAAGACGAGAACAGCACGTAAAAGGAACACAGTTACCGTATGCATCATGGCGCCTCATTGACTGGTTCTGGTAAATTTAACTCTCCTTCCGATGTATAGTAGCCACCTTATCTCGTACTCCGGGTCTTCTTTGCTTCGCATCTATGTCGGGACTCATCACGCATGCAAACACTCATACGCGACGTAGATAAAGAGCGCAGTCTGATCCCAAGTGTAACTGTATCCCCAGAAAGGACAAATGTATACGTACAATGATACAAGGATGCGATGTGAATGCAAGCCACCAAGTATACGAAAAACAATTGTGAGCCCAACGGAGTAGTCCAGGTGCGTGAAACGTTGTGGAACCCACGCAAGCATGAGACTGTCTCAGATAACGATAGGAGATAGAAGTGTGGGTAGCGTCGTCAAAAATACAGCACGTAAGCGGCATGAAAGCATGTGGTGGTAAAAATAACCTCCGTTTAGAATCGTCTGGCGGGAGCCTGGGTGACAGTCGGAGGCTGGAGCGGGACGGCCGCGATGGCGCCATTGGACGCGCACGCGCCGTCGCTGGTCCATGCGCCTGCGGTTCCCCCGGGCGTCTCGTCCTCGTTCCACGATGTAGCGGTCCACAGGAAGCCACTACACAAGCCCACTCAGCCATCGACACCCCCAACTCGTTCGAGGGAGGATACAACGCACCCGTATGTGACCTGCGACCCGCTGGTATACGCGCTGCTCGACGACCACGCATCGATACCCGTACAATCCTCGCTCCCAGCGGGCGCCGTACTCGTCGCGGACGCGCTCGTGCTCGTCGCCGTTGTGGTGGACGTCGGCACCGCGCTCACGGGCCACGTGTCGCCCCGGACGGTGGCGATCCAGGACGCGTCCGCGTCGGGGTACTGCCAGACCATGACGCCTGCATTCCAGCCCTCGGCGTACGCGTCGGCGACGCACGTCGCGAGCGTGGTGTCTGCGATGTAGCCGTTGGTCGCGTCTGCGGTTGTTCCTGGTTTGCCGATGACGAGCTTGTCGAGGGTGACGCCCGACGCGGAGATCTGGAAGAGTGCGGTCTCGGGCCAGGTGGATGATGAATTGGTCAGCAGGCCGTCGCAGGTGGTGTACTCGGTTGCGCCCTGGTTGTAGAACTGGACGTTGTACTGCAGGCGTGTAGTATTCAGCTGATGAGTTTACAATCATGACATAATGGAATGAAGCGTACCCAGTCGATCAGGTCGCCCACCTTCTCGTTCACCCAGAGGTAACCTCCACCACCCCACATCGTTGGTGAGAACCATGGTGCGACGGCTGCACTCTGTCATCAATGATGTCTTCGCATAGCAGCAGAAAGGGTTTCTTACGAGCATGGGTGAGGATGTATGTTCCTTGCGTAAGCTGGGTCCGGAGCTCAGTGGTGAAGTTACCAAGCCACTGCTCAGCAGCACCAGTGCCTGCATCGAAAGCATCAAAGTCCTACGTGTGAAGTTGAGCCTTCAGCCCCCTGTATCAGTGCATCCAGGCTACCGTACCTCGTAGTCGACGTCACACCCATCCAGTCCGTACTCGATAACCCAAGCAGCCATAGTCTGGGCAGTAGTGATGGCATCGTACCCCGAAGAGGTTGGAGTCTCGCTGGACCCAAAGAGGGAGACGATGAGCGAGATACCGGCGGCGTGGTACTCGTCGAGAATGGTCGTCCGGTCGGACGCGTCCAGTTCTTCCCAGACCTGAGCGTTGTCGGCTGCGCCGTACGCGAGCAAGAAAGACAGAGCACTAGATACGAAAATCAGCAGAGCCACGGGAACGGTATCATGATAAGCTCACAAGACATTGTAGCCCTGGAAGAGACATGCGTGAGGTCACGAACGATGCGAAATGGGCGAATCAGATACGCACGTTGATGTCAGCTACAGCCGGCGGCGAGGACTCGTACGCGTCGCTGTACACCACAAAATGTGGCGCAGCAGGCGTCGCTCGCCTCAGCAGATTGCGAGCCTTGGGAGACATGGCGTTGATCCTCTCATCGAGAGGCACGGAAGCAGCAGTGCCAAAGAAGGAGAGCGCCGCAACGGCAGCAGTAAGCAAAGGGAAGTAAACCATAGCTGATCAAAGTACGTCCCCCGTCGCGAGAGATGAAAGCGGCGAAAGCAGGCTGCTGACCCCTTCATCTCGGCCAAGGCACCTACGTTTTATACGCATCCAAACATACAGCAGCTTCGTCCAGGGACACCAATCGCGGAAGGCCAGCGCCGGAGGCTGAGGCTGCTGCTGCTGCTGCTGCTGCGCACTTGCACGAGTAATCCGGCGGGTGTGCCGCATTCGCTCGCATACTTGATCCCAGGGCGAACATCTTGAGAGTTTTTAGGGCAGGGCAGGGCAGGGGAGAAGGGATGGGATAAACATATCGCACATCGCTCCGATCCTAAAGCTGCTACTACCGAGCCCGAGGGAGCAGCACGAGAGCTAGGTACATGGACATGCACACGGGAGGGTGCGTGCGCACGCGCGAGTGCACCCATGCGGGCACTTGGGCAGTTTGGCTCGAGGTGGCCCTGGGCATCATGATATCACTCCAGGGGCACGGGACGGCCGTGTGGTCTCGCGAGCGATAGGTTCCAGCAATAAGCTCTCCCGGAGATGCGAAGATGTGATCGCCTGAAGTGTGTGTGTGTGCCAGTGTGAGAGCGAGGAGAGACGGGCTGACGGTATATGGACAGTCGGGCGACCGATATAACGCGAAACAGCATCCGGCGTTCAGTGAAGACACAAAACGTACCTCGTCTGCTCGGAGTCAGTCCCACAGAACAGAGTTGCTGGAGCACAAGAATAGCGAGGAGGAAGTCAGGCATGCACTCGCTAAACCGGCAGAGCGAGACGCCATGTGCGTCACTGTCATCACCGAGAGCATAAAGTTCTGTGTGTTGAATTGTCGATGTTCATAGCAAGCAACAACCGGTCCAGCCGTTCTCGCGGATGAACGGACGATGAGTGCTCAGTAAAGTGCGAACGGAAGATGCCGCGAAGGAGTTACTGGGTGCAAACGCGCGCCGAACGCGGGCATCATATAGGGGCTTGAACTCGAAGCGCTCCACAAAGCCAGCGTACCCCAGAACGAGGCACACAATCTGTTTCACGCAATCCCGCCAATGGAAAGGTGGCGCTCGATCTTCCATAAGGTGCCTTGAGGCTGAGTTATTTTCGTGTGTGCACCTCGCGGTACTCCTCCTGCGTTCGCGGTATCATTGACACGCATGGACACAATGGGCATGCGGCTATTCTCGTGACTCCGACACTGATAAAACTTGAGACGTAGACCGAAAAGCGCCTGTTCACTTGGTACAAACACAAATTGTGAAACAGACATGCAGTTCTTGCACAAACATCAATCTATCTTCATTCCTCTGACCCATGCAGATTCATTGCGTATGTATACATTGATTGATAGATCGATCGTACCAAGACCAGGATATAATCGCCAGAGCCAAAACAGAGACCCAAGAACGAAACAACATCATAGAAATCCAGAGACCAAGTACAGTACAGCAGAGTACACTACGTACGCCGAGCACTGCCCAGCACCTCCCTCTCCCTACCCGGCTCGCAAGCACCAGAGGGAAAAGGCATAAACAAAGATATCAGATAACTTATGGTATCCGCTTAATAGAGATAAATAACCAATCGCAACAGGAGCAACGCGCTCACACCGTGCCCAGTAGCAGCACTCAGCACGCAGCGCCCTTGACCCAGACACCAGCCGAGCCACCAGGAGTGTCGCCCTCAGTCCAGTAGCTCGCGGTCCACACAAAGCCGCCGTACGTGACCGTGCTGCCGCCCGTGTACGCGGTGCCGGAGGCCCACGCGGAGACACCCGCGCAGCCGCCGCTGCTCGCGGTCGAGGTCGACGCGGGCGCGGAGGAGGTCGTCGACGAGGGCGTAGTGGACGTCGTCGATGACGGGGGCGGGGGCGAGGAGCCGACGGGCCACGTCGAGCCGCGCACGGTGGTGATCCACTCCGAGGCGGCGTCGGGGTATTGCCAGGACATCACACCGCCGTCTGTTACATCGCTCGTCAGATCGTTCAGTCGCAAAGTGAAGACGAGAAGCACTCACTCCAACCCTTGGCGTGCGCCTGAGAGACACATCCAGCGAGCGTGGCGGGGTCGATGTAGCCGTTGTTGGCGTCGGCAGTCGTACCAGGCTTGCCGATGATAAGCTTGTCTTGGTCAACACCAGACGCAGCGATCTCAAACAGCGAGCTCTTGGGCCACGCCGAGGTCGACTCGGTGAGGAGACCGTCGCACGTCGTGTACTCGGACGTGCCCTGGTTGTAGAACTGCAGGTTGTACCAGTCGATGAGATCACCGACCTCCTGGTCGACCTTGAGGTAGCCTCCGCCGCCCCACTTGGGCGCGGGCGAGAACCAGGGCGCGACGGGCGCATGGGTGACGATGTATTGGCCCGTCGGCAGCTTGTTGCGGAGCTCCTTGGTGAAGGAGATGAGCCAGTTCTCGGCGGAGCCGTCGCCCTTGTTGAAGGCAGTGAAGTCCTGATATGAGAATATGACGATAAGCCACGTGATCGAGAATAAAAACAAAGAAGCAACGCACCTCGTAGTCGACATCGACACCGTCGAGGCCGTACTGGATCACCCACGACGCGACGCTGTCAGCGGTGGCGACAGGGTCATAGCCGGACGAGGTGGGGTTCTCAGTGGAGCCAAATGCCGAGACGATGAGAGAGATACCAGCAGCGTGGTACTCAGTCAGGTACTGCGTGCGCTGGTCAGCGGTGAAGCCGGCCCACACCTGGGCATCATCGGCACCGCCGTACTGCTCGAGGAAAGCAAGCGCGAAGACGTTGAAGCCCTGAGGAACACGAGCAGCGTGAGCGACTATTGCAACGTGTTAGGTACGACGACAACGTACACTGATGTCCGAGATAGCCGGCTCAGTGCCCGAGTACTTGTCGGCATACACGACGAAGTGGGGCGCCGAGGGGACGGTGGCGCGCTTAGCGGGCGCACCGGACGCCTTGCGCGCGGCGAGGAAGTTGTCCAGGCGCTCCTTGAGGGGAAGGGGCCCAGCAGCCGCAGACCCGAAGAGGGAGAAGACAGTGGTGGCAACAGCCAGAGCGGTAGCGGAGAAGTGGACCATGTCTATAGTATCCCGTGCGGTATCCGGTGGAGGAGCAGGTGTGAAGACGCGCTATTAAGAGCGAGTTGGGGGACCAAAGTCGCGTTTCTCCCTCACTTTATACATGCTGCATGAGCGCTGGTCGATGAAATCGCGGAAGCTTGAGCAGAGTTCGCGTCACGATGCGACGTCTGTCTCTAGGATAGGGGATGCCCCTGGGGTTGGCAGGCAGGAACCGTTTGAAACTTGCGGACCGTGTCCTGACAAGAGCTCGGAAGAGGGTGCCTCGCGTGGACGTCAATATGGGACTGCGTTGGCAACAAATGCATCCATGCGGAACGCACGATCTGGAATGTGAAAAGACGATCGCTTTGATAGAATGAGCGCGATAGTGATACCATGATCTACCATGATGGCAGGAGAGACAGGCCAGCAACGAGCTGTCCACATGGACTTGCGCTGCAGGCGCTGGCCACCACCAACATCTACAAGCTCGGAGAGGTACGGGTTTTCTTATAGACAGCTCCGACTGACTTCCGCGCAGCGTCATAAAAGACATGTTGGCAGGGAGGGGGATGGTCGGCTAGCAACAGCTGGAAAGGACGACGGCGAAGTGAGTTCGGCGCGACAGAAGACTGGCAGAAGCCCCGGTCAATGAGATACGCACGGTTGCACCTCGTTCCATCATTCCCAATCACACTTCTCCGCACACTTGCATGAGCTTAATGGAAGCTTAGATGCGATATCCGATCTGGGGTACAGTTCGTGGCCCGCGGATTGGGGAGATGAATGGCAGAAGACACTTGGCGAGAGCAATGCAAATTGTCAGAGTACTGTCTGTATCGAGCGAGGACGGAGCCTGAGCCTCGAGCGCATGAGAATGGGAGATAACGAACGAACGACCAAACAGAGTGGGGCCATGAGGCTGGTGACGCGGCGTCCTCCTTGCCAGCACATTGATAGCGACACATTCTCAGGCAACACGGTGCTCCATGTGGATGGTTTGTCGAAAGCACCTTCGCCTCATAGCCTGTTTCTGGCAAGTCTCCAGAGAGAATAAAGTGTTATCTGCCAGTACAGAATGGAAAACGACGTGAAAGAGGGTTGTGGAGAAACAAAGAAACAGACAGCTCCTGTCAAACACGCGTAACTGACATAAGCATCCTCCAAGAATGGCAAGTACTCCCGAGCCCCGACGCTGCCTCCGTGACTTCTGGTTCCCCGTGGCACAGTCTCACAGACACAGAACAACGAACTCGTCGCTGATGGCACCTTACAAACGCAAAAACAGACCTGCAGCACGCACGAGCACCTCAGCTCGCGTTCCTGGGTCGTATTCAGTCCCGGATCCCAGCCTCTTCATCCAAGCTCACGAGGCCGACATCATACGTGGGCCCCGCGCGCTCTCTGCTGCTGTCTCGCTTGAAGTCAACGGCACCTCCGTCGGAAACGCGCTCCTGAAATGGGGTGCACATGAAAACGCAAAGTTTGGCCAGCAATTAGGCACATCTGGCCTTGGTTTTGATGATAGCGTGCGCCCTATGTCAGATTCGGTTGTTCCGGACGTGTGGATAGACAGGTGGGTCGTTTGTCCTTGTACCCCGCATACATTGTTGTGCCCGCGATCAAACTTCACTGCGACGGACAACTTCGTGTCTGTGCATTCTCCACCACCAATGCACGGGTGGTTCCATGTGTTTGTTTGCCAGATCATGGCTTTGGGAACGCCGTTCTGATGTTCGCGCGAGCGACGACCACGCATTAAGATACGAGAACCCTCTTTGACACTCTCTATCAGTGTAATTCATCTCCTCATTTCATATCCCTCAAGTCTGAGTCAATCTGACGCTCTTGTGCTTCCCCAGATACGATGCACGCCTGCTTTTGGACGCCCTGCCCATCATTACCCAGTCCCAGTCCCAGCCCTCTGGCATCCAGAAGACCCGGGCGCCGTCCCCGTCCGGCTGGTCTGATCTGCCCTCGGACGCGGAAGACACTTTTTTCTTCTCGCCAGAGGAGAACGAGGACTATCACAGGGAGAAGCGGCGGCGCCTGATTGATCAGAGTCGCGAGGCTCGTCTGAGGGCCCTCGCAGCGGAAGAGGGCGATGACGAGCCTGCCGAGCTCGATCCGTGGGGAGGAAGCGACGAAGAGGTGCGCGGTGCCGCTCCATCCCTCTCGTCCCTCCGAGATATCCTTGGCTAATCAAACATGTGCATGTCGAAAGCCGGACGAAGCACAGTTGCAGCTTATGCGCCGCACGGCGACGCACCTCTCCACCTCGCCCAACCCCGCCCAGCTCGAGATGCGCATCCTCGCGAACCACGGTGCCGACAGACGCTTCGCCTTCCTCAGAGGCCGCTGGTCGCGTGCGTGGAAGCTCGCCAAAGCCAAGGCCGCATTTTTCGAGTCATCTTCGAGCTCGAAAACACGTGGCAGCCCGCCGGCGTCTGCTGCTGTCAGCGCCACTCTAGCAATGAAAGGCGCATCCTCAGGCTCGGGGCTTGTAGGTCTGACAAGCTACGGCGATAGCGATAGCGATGCCGACGAATCCGACGCTTCCGATGCTCGCAGTAAAGGTGTTAAAGACCAAGACAACGAAGCGGGCGAAGACAGAAGCCTATCTCTATCTCGATCGAAATCGAGCTTCGGAGATCACGGTGCACGCCAGACCCAGGAGGCCGGAACCTCTGACAGCGGGGCAGCAGATGCAGATGTCGATGTCGATGTCGCGATGGCGACTACGCCTGTCCCTCCGAGCAGCCAGTCTCCACTACCGACGCTCGCAGTTGTAGATCGCGCAGATCCGACAACGAGTCCCGAGGTTGCTCCTGTGACCAGCGATAATAGCCAGCGACTCGGAGCGGGTGCGGTAGCGGGTCTGGATGAAGAGGCGGCGAAAGAGGCCAGGCGTGCAAGGGCGCGTGAGTGGGCTGCGAAGCGCCGGTTGGGATCGAAGGGTGAGGCAGAATCTGGGAGTTGATCTAGGGCTTTAGCTTTCATCTGTCGTGCCATTAACAAGATAACTGTATAATTCTTTGTCGGATAAATACGTGAGCCCATCCATTGATCTCGACTCCCCGTTCCAAGGTACATTGTGGGCTTTCTCCTCCTCGCTCTTGCGAGCTTACAACATAACACTTTCCGACTTTCATATACCCGGTTAGAAGCCTCGTCGAAAATCTACCTTCAACGAGCTCGGTGTGCTGCGCTTTCTCAACAAACCGGTCACAGCGTCGGTCGTAGCTTCCTTGGGTTGAGCGTACGATAACCATTAATCATTGACGCACGAGTGGTCGGGGAAACGGCTAGACAACGATGACACCGCACAGAGTATTATATGTGGATACCGATAAACGTATGCGTATCTCCTTGAGATCCAACAAAGTATGTTTTTTTACTGATGTAGCCTGCCTTATTTTAGCTTCATGAAACGTCATGCGCACGCGTTACGCACGAAACTGACCATGTGGCGTTACTTTCATTCAACTCCGAGTGCGTCTACAGGCATATGCCTCATGCATATCTCGAGCCCATCATTTACACACATATCCGAGGAAATAAGCATAATCTGTAGAAAGGTGCCTTTTCGTAACGAGTACCAATTCACCCCAGCTTCATTAATTGACAGTGCTGCGGTGCAGTCGCCTTACATGCCGTGCGACAATTTTCAATATGCGCTGTGATGCACGAGTAGATAAGTCAAACATGCTCATTTCCGCGATTTAGCGTGTTTCGAAGACGGCTCGAAGCCTTGAGGTCAGAGAAGGTCCTTGCCGCACCTAGATGTGGCGAAAGGTTTGAGCTCCCGAACTCCGATTCGTCTTCCGAGTTGCGTCTTCACCTCAAACCACCTGAAGGCGGTTTATATCATAACTTGAGTCCGAATGCACCTACATTGACCTCGTCGTTCGAATCTAGGATTCGTTTTAAGATTCACTGGTTGCCTATTGGTCAAATATCTTGCTTGAACGATCTGACCGTGCTTATTCGGTTCCTCCTAGCTCTGGGCGACCTCGTCCGCACTCTCATAGCGCCATACAGACTTACTTCGTTCACACCAGCTTGGGATAGATGTCCCTTTCATCAGAAGCGCTCTGGCAATCAGAAACTCCCTTTTGCTTGTCAACATCTCTCAAGACCGCGAATCCTGACGCGTCACAGTAGACCCTAGATGGGAAGGAGTCCTCTAGATCACTACAACTTCTTCACCCGACGGTGCCTTTGGTTACATTGCTTATTCCCCAGCTTACCACAAAATTGTTCGACAACTACATCAATCACCATTCGCTTTGACAGCGGATGCAAACATCAATCGCCCTTCTTATACTTTGTTCCTAAGGCTTGGACGTATTATGTCACCTACTTAAAAGTACCACAAATCGTACGCCTTCAACCGTTGACAGCTTGACATCGCTTAATTTTCCTTGTAGTGCTTGGGCGCCGGTTGACTTCGTCGCTTTGACAAGAACCACATAGTTTGGCTTCGACGACGCTCAATCGCTTAGGTTGCCCTCCCTCAATGTCTTTGTTTTCTTTCTTCTTTCTTGTATATAGAGGTATCCGAGATCCGCCTGTCTCCTCTCACTCAACTTCTCCACAGAAACGGGCTCCCTTTGAGACCAGCTTATTTGATAAACTCTGCTGTGAACGGTCGCTGCGTACACTGTACATTCGCTGGATACCACACTAGTCCTATCCTTTGCTCTGCCACTTCCTATAGTCCCACCACCTCAAACTCAGTACTCTTGCTTCACTCTTAGTTCTCGGACAACGCATCTTCCGCCTCCTCTGTCCGCGTAAGCATTCGTAAAATGACTAAAGGTTCTGCTCTCAAAGTACAGAGAACACGCGTATACGACTCAACGTGTCCCGGACGCGCCGAGAAGATAGCAGTGGCGGGCAAGACACTTCGAGTTCTGCGGATGCTGTTCAGCGAGTTCGTGCCCATGATTCAGAGCGCATTCCAAACTGACGGCTCGACAGTGACGACAGCGCTCACGTCCGAGGCAGCGTGCCGTGGAAAGACGTACTGAAGGCGTTTTACGAGCTCGACTTCACGGTCGTCAAGCTACGCGGCGGCTCAGCCTGGGGATTCTCGAAGGGCATCGTGAGCTTCACCTGTGAGTCTTTTTGTATGCTGTACTACCAGCTCAGTGAATGAACCCTTGCATGTTCATAGGTCACGAGCCTCATCCTGATGCCAACCTCGATTTCTGGAAGGCGCGTAAACTGGGCCGGCGGTTGAATCGGAGATTTGGATGGACGGTGGACACTTTTGTGCAGAAGCTATAGTAGACTTGTCAATCTTCAAAGCTTCATGCGTTGTACTTGTATCCCGTGTATGTGCATGGAGCGGCGCGCAGCTGCATGTAAATCGCCTGTCGTTCCCGTTAATTTGCTGCAGTTGGGATGCATCCCTCAATACCGAGAGCTCTTCCCATTTACTCTCAGATAAGCCACCGACAGCACTCACAAATCGAACCATGAAGGTGTATCCAGAGAACCAAGTAGTGATTACAACATCTACCCGAGATACAACAGCAGTGATACATCGACACAGCGAGCTCCGCTCGGCACCAAACCCAACCGGTAGGTATCCAGCAATCTTCCAATACCGAAGACCAGAAGATGGGGAATAATAACTTAACAATAGACATTAAATAGCGAGATGAGGTCGTGTTGGTGCGTTGGCGGCATTAGGAGTATAGGTAGCTCGCGGTCATACAGCAAGTTGCGCGCTAGAGAACGAGGTCAGGATCGGAGGAGAGACGCAAAAGGGGCATGCGCACGAACCTTAAGCGGTGGGGAAGGGCGCAGGGGCAGCGGAGGCAGTGGAAGCGGGGGCCGAGGAGGTGGCCGAAGCAGACGTGGAGGAAGCAGAGCCAGAAGGGGCGGGGGCGACGGGCCAGGTGTCGCCGCGCACGGTGGTGATCCACGCCGAGCCAGCGTCAGGGTACTGCCAGGACATCACACCAGCGTCTATCAATACTCGTCAGCCCATCTGGTCGCAAAAGTGATACAGATGTGCACTCACTCCAACCCTTGGCGTGAGCTTGAGAGACGCACGTGGCGAGCGTGGCGGGGGCGATGACGCCGTTGTTCGCGTCAGTGGCTGTGCCGGGCTTGCCGATGACGAGCTTGTCCTGGTCGACGCCGGATGCGACGATCTCGAAGAGTGAGCTCTGCGGCCACGCCGAGGTAGACTTGGTGAGGAGACCGTCACAGTCGGCGTACTCAGAGGTGCCCTGGTTGTAGAACTGGACGTTGTACCAGTCGATCATGTCGCCAACTTCTTGGTTGACCTTGAGGTAGCCTCCGCCGCCCCACTTGGGCGCGGGCGAGAACCAGGGCGCGACAGGCGCGTGCGTAAGGATGTACTGGCCCTGGGGAAGCTTAGCGCGGAGCTCTTTGGTAAAGTTGATGAGCCAGGTCTCGGCGGAGCCGTCACCCTTGTTGAAGGCGGTGAAGTCCTATGTTGAGCGAGAGTGAGTCGCGGATCGATAATAAGCAGATTATGATATTGCGTACCTCGTAGTCGACATCAACACCGTCAACGCCGTACTTGGTGACCCACGCAGCAATGGTGTCAGCAGTGGCGACAGGATCGTAGCTAGACGAGGTCGGGTTCTCCGTAGAACCGAACGCCGAAACGATCAGGGAGATGCCAGCAGCGTGGTACGAGTCGACGATTTGCTTGCGCTGGTCATCGGTGAAGGCAGCCCAGACCTGGGCGTCATCAGCAGCACCATACTGCTCCAAGAAGGCCAGGGCAAAGACGTTGAAGCCCTGAGATAACGAACGATGTTAACAACGTTTCGTGAAAGTGAAGTAAAAGGACGACATACGTTGATGTCTGCAATGGCAGGCTCAGTGCTCGAGTACTTGTCGCTGTAGACGACGAAGTGGGGCGCGTCGGGGACGGTCGCACGCTTGGCAACGGGCGACTTGCGAGCAGCGAGGAAGTTGTTCAGACGCTCCTCGAGGGGAAGAGGAGATGCGGCCGCGGACCCAATGAGGGAGAAGACAGCGGCGGCAACAGCCAGAGCGGAAGAGCGGAAGTGGACCATGTCTGAATGTCGTGAAGCTGCAAGTGTCCGGAGGAGCAGAAGCAAAGATGCCGATGACTAGCTAGGCGAAGCTGGGTGGCTTGCATCCTTCTTCGTACCGTCCTTTTATACGCGCATGACATAGCCATCAAGCTTCAGAATGAAGAAGGCTGGTCGAGACATTTTCTGCCAGCTGGACGAGCAAAGGAATCATGTTGGCCGCTCCACAACGTCGGCTTGGCAAAGCAGCGAACAAATCCCAGACTGTGGGGCAGATTGTCTCGACTAAGAGATGGAACGCGAGTTCCAGGTGGGTGACTTTGACAATGAAGAGTTGACAGCTGTTGACAGCGGATGTGCCCATGTGGATGTCATGGTGGCGAACGCAACCGCCGAACTTGGTGATGAAATGGGCTATCAGAGGCAAATCAGAGGTTACCAAGGTCGTCTGCTGCGGAATGAGCTGGGCGCGCCGGAGCGCTCGACGGAACAGCCTAAAGATGCAAACATTATGAGGACCACCCCAAAACCAAACCACGTTGAAAAATTACAACGTTGTTGCGGGGAAGCTTCTTACGATCGGATGAGCTGGAAGAAACACGCAACTGGTGCGACATGGCCTTACTAAGCCTTACGTAGCGCGCGTCGCCGAACTTTAGCACAAGGAAGTCGGAGGATGCCGAAACTAAGCCAACAACCTAAATTATAGGGGCATCGGACACGTCCGTCCGCTTCGCGTTTTGCAGTTACCCTGACGTCAAGTGTCGCGCTGATATTCTGCAAGCAGAGCGTGCACATATCGATTGTACTCTTTTTTCCTCTTCTGCAGCTGGATCTTCTTTAAGCTAGTGCTTCTTCTTCCATCCTAGAAGCTAACCGTCACGGTATACGATCAGATTTCCCAGTATCCGTTCGCGCGTGTGTTGTGAGACCGTTTACAGAAAACGATCGAATCGGTGTCAGTCAAGCAAGGGATAGGCGATAGGAAAGTAGCTATCATATGCGATATACAGTTACGAGCCGCTTGATTTTTTGGTCGGGTGACGAGTTCAATACGCAGCGGTTGCCAGAGTTGTAGCAAATCGCCGCAATCCAGTGTGTCGTCATCCGGGAGGGATGATATGGTAAACGAGATGGCATGAAGATAGCTATCTTCGTGTTATAGCGCGCTGAGCTCACAAAATTTGATAACTTGAAAGCGACGGATTCGAGACCGCGTTAGGTCCAGTACTAGTTGAACGCAGTGGATGAAACGAGTAGGCGCCCCTTGATACCACCTATGTCGCGCCGAAGGGCCCTTGTAAGACCCTGGTCACCCTTTCACAAGTCCCTCGTTGAACGACCCCACCCATCACTAGATCAGACCTCTCCGACTTAGTATCTCTTGTATCGAACTCCTCGCAACTACGTATTCAGCGCGCGATGGACACTACACTCCCCGTGCCGCATCATATGTGTCGAAACCACGTGCTCCAGCGACTCGCATATCTTAGTCAGTCCGAGTCAAAGGATGAGTAAGTCTGGGGTGATCACTTGATGTCGTGCTCTATCTGCTTACCCAACATTTAAAAGTCCCTGATCTTGGTGAAGGTTGAGGCCGTTGAGGTCGTCAACCACTACGTTCTCCTGGGCTGTTCCGATCCAGTCATTACGCATCTAACCATGGCAAAATATACCACCGTCAAGCCCATCGTGCTGTACGACATCCCAAGCAACGAGAGCTCGCCAAGATGCTGGGGTCCCAACACCGCCAAACCACGGTATGCACCTCCTCCTTCCTCCCCCCCTCGTCGCATATCTAACCCCCAGCCACTTACATCCTACCTTGCGGTACCGTGCTATCACCACAGTTTCAACCTCAGCTACAAACGGATTCCATTCACCACTCAATGGCTTGAATATCCCTCCATCGCGCCAACAATGAAGTCTCTAGGCGCCGATCCACTCGTCCCTGCCTCTCGGAGCTCAAACGGCGAACCATTCTACACTCTCCCCGTTATCTATGATCCAAATCACGACAAATACGTCACCGATTCCTTCGCGATTGCGCAGTACCTCAACAACGTCTACCCCACGCCCGGGCGCGAACTCTTTCCGGAGGGCACAGTGGCGCTGCTGCATGCGTGGGAGGCCGCTCTCACGGGCACAATGCAGAAGGGGCTGCGCGCTGGGTACGCGGGCGTGCCCGCGAAGCTGAATCCGCCGAGCAGTGAGTACTTTGTGCGCACGCGCACGAAGCGGTTCGGCGTGAATACCTGGGAGGAGGTATCGCCGAAGATCGCTGACGCGTCGGCCCCGAATAGCCGGGCTGTGCATCTGAAGGAGCTGCAGGCGAGTCTCGCAGAGGTAGAAGGGTGGCTTAAGTCGAGTGGCGGTGGAGGAAAGTGGGTGATGGGTGATCGTTTCTCTTGGGCTGATGTCGTCTTGGGAGCAAGGTTATTTTGGTTCTGGAGAGTCGCGGAAGACTGGGAGGAGATTAAAGGATGGCATGGCGGGCGATGGGGCCGGTTCCTTGATGATGTCTTGGCAGAGTCCGACGTGAAGTTGGACTAAGCAACTTATTAGGGAATTACCAAGGGTGTAAGTGCTTCGTCCGTACGTTATACAAGGCGTCATAAATCATGTACCATAGCGAAGTCAAATTTAGCCCTTTCCGCCTTGTGACATCTCTCTCTCGAGTTCATTCGTTCAGGCCTGATGCCAGCTATATATTCGAGAAGGTTATCATACTACGGCTATCCTGTTGTCGCGGACGAGAGGCGATAATATGGGATTGTATAATTAAAAAAGCATCGGACATTCTTTTGCAACAAGCGCACATCTCGTCTAGAACAATAACACCTTTTATCCAACCACACTTGGCGAGCACTATGTCCAAGCCTCCTAGTTTCTGTGACTGGCCCTGAAAGAGACTTTATGGTCCGAAGCTATCATGATCCAATGGAGATACGTCAAAGATACGTACTCAAGCCACCTCACCCATTCCGAAGGGCGCATGCCATAGGTTGATCAGTGAAGTACATCATCCTGTGGCTGCCTCCGCAAACCGTTGGAAACTGCGTCCCAAAAGTGGGCGTCCGAGTCTAGTGCATTGATAGTAGAAAGCTGTGGTATTGTCTCTCGGAGAAGAGCGACGACCGTCTTTACATCGAGTGTGGTCCCCGGCGCAGTCTCGAAGCGCATCGTTGAGATGTGGTCATTTCTCGCTTTGAGCTCTGGAGAACCCAAGACAGTAACGACGTCTTCTAAGCAAACAGAGACGGTAAGTCCCAAGTCACGAAGATGAGGGCACCGCCAAAACACGGTCATTAGGTCTACAAAAGATAGAGGTGGTTTGATGGTGGGGTAAATGTGGAGCTCTTCAAGAAGGGGCCAATGCGAGATGGCAGCTAGTGTCTGTTCAGCGGTTACGACGTGATTTCCCTGGTCCGAGGGCCTATAAAGGTATGAAAACCTTCTCAGCTGAGAGAAGCGAGGAAAGTCTCTGATATCAAATCCTGTAGATGAGTCGGGTTCGCTGCCAATCATCGCAATGGAGAGTCGGGTTAGATTTTCTGGGTAAATGTATGTGTTGATAGCAGCAGCGATTGCTGAGAAAGAGGGCGACTTTCCTCTAAGGTTGAGCTCGGAAACTCTGGTTGTTCCAGCATTTATTCCTGGAGGAGGAGAAAAGAGTTTTCCCAGCGCTTCGGCGCAAGTCTGCAGCGTGTCTCCGGAGATGATTAGACGGTCGACGTTCCGTATATGGATTGTTTGAGTGGTCCTAAGCCAAGGAGAAGAATCAGTGAGCGCATCAAGTGCGAGCCGATGAAACGGTTGAAGGGATGCGATATGGGTCAAGATTGGTTCGTTTACGGGGCCGATCGAGAGGGATCTGAGATGCCTCCATTGCACGACAACATTTGATGCATGTACAAGCTCAGAGGGCGTCCACGATGACACGGATGCTGTGTTCAGTGTTTCGAGGAGAGGACACCACATCGGCAGCATCGGCAGCGTAGCGCATAATGCGACTGCAGTTTCAGCGATGATCAAATGCCGAAGCTGTGGACCAAGTAAAAGACGGGGATTTAGAGACCCAAAGGGTAGGATGTAGTATAATGCGCGGAGATTCGGGAATAGATTGGGTACCGGACACTTGTTCAAAGCGTCAACGACGTCTATTGAGGACAGTATCTTGCTCGAGCTTCTCTGGTAGATGGTTTGGCGAATAGTCTTGACCCGTGCAGCGCGCGTTATCAAGGCGCTCCATTCCGATGGAGAAATGTCTCGTTTGAACATCTGAACATGCTCGCTGATAAACGTGGCGAAAGTAAGAATATGCACAGCACCTACCAGCCTCCTTCTAGTGAAACCCTCGAGCTCCGCGTGTGCAAGGGATAGCCTGGATTCTTGGGTAACAAAATCCGTCAAGTAACACACGTCACTCGACAGAGAAACGAAGAACTCGAAGAAGCATTCAACGTTGATGTAAAGCGCATCTAGCGCCGGCTCCTGGAACGACCTACACACCCGAGCAAACTTAGCGAGAGAATCTTTGTCTTCAACATGGGACACGATTTGTTCCAGAAGTTCAAGTATTTCAAGACACGGATGCATGCCAATTCTTGATCTGATAGATATCGAGTGTGGTGAGAGAATAAAGCGCGCGAGAGCACAGCCCCAAATGCCATAGGCCCGTTCAACCTCTCACAGCGTGGGAGTTTTTCTCTTGGTATCATGGTTCTTCCGAAACTCTACGCCGTTCTCGCCTTCCGCGACATATCATGCATTCATGTCTCAGCACTTCTCACCAGCATTTCCCTCCCGGTAAAGTTGGCAACACTTTTTGCGGTGCTAACATGAACCTTGGCATGAACCTTACCTACCTCCTCGGCCATCATCAAGGGCTACATTACTCAGCCTGACGGACTTGGGGCATGTTGCGGTTTCTCTTGGGTTTCTCCGGGTACGTAAGCGATATCATATTTACCCTCCACCGCCGTACCCAAACGTGATCACAGTGACTACAGGGCTATACGCAACAGATTTTGGCCAAAGGAGGAGCGACCAATTTTGAAGAAACGAGGACGTGTTGGTGATTCGAGATCTCTCTCTGCAGTTATCTCCGGGTCCGTTAGGCTCCAGCTCACGATGCACCGAACTATAGCGTTCGCAAGCTGGCTTAAAACAGCTTCTTTTCGGTACCAGTCTCTTGACGCCGTATGTCTTCACAAGCGGAGTTAAGCTAGAGATGGCCGAGGGTGGGCACATAGATTGCCTAACATGATAGATGCTATGCGCTGAGGAAGATCTTCACCTGCAGCACCAGTAAATTCCGATCCTTTGTCTTCCGCGTTCGTGTATCCTTCTGAAGCGCAAAATCACTATAGGCATTCGGCCATCCGTCCACCTCGCACTTTCCCTTCATCTCTTCGTGCTAGAGTTGCTTCCGAGCTAAATTAATCAGCAGACTTCGAATTCCTCTGATGCATGGTGCGTATATTCCTCTGGATGAGTTATCCACAAATAGGCGTGGAGTCATTATAGGCTGTTCAGTCCTTCGTCTCACTTACCGGCGGCTGCTTAAGAATAGCGCTGATGTAGCAGAGCGTATAAGGCACAAATGTCCCTCGAGAGCTGGAAGTAGTCCATACCCACGGTGCGAGGTGCGACCATTTCCCTAAAGAGCTGACGTTTTCCGGCCCCTGGTGTTCAGAGCGCAACCGTGTTTCCTCATCAGAGTTTGCTGAAGTCTCAATACGGACGCTTATAGTCCCCCTCTTGGTATTCCTTGTAGCCTTCAATACATAGCATAAGTACGTAAAACCTTTCTCAACGGTCGAGGAAGTTTGACATCCTACCGAAAAGGCAAAATTGTATAGATCAAACGATGTTTGATGATGTGAACCAAGAAGCATGCTTGGCCTATCCATCTCATGGGACCTATAACTGTCTATTTCGGATAGGTCTGCGTACGTCCTATAAAGGCCTTGCTCGTTCTTAGAATGCCCTATTGCCCACAAGCCCTGCATGTCGCCATGATGAACCAAGTCCCTCCGACTTCAGGTTCTCCACTGGGTCCGGTACCTGTTGAAACACTTGTTGTCGCACAATATGCTTTGTACTGCCAAGGTGAGTCTAATAGTGCGTCAGCACATCAACTGGCGCCGGGCTGATAATGATCCAGTAGCGCTGACATGTGCAGTTTGGTATGATTATGGTTCGCCCATCACATTACAATAATAGGCACAACCTAATCAAGTGATAGTGTCTGTTCTTCCTATCGAAGTCAACTTGGTTTGGGTGCGTCCGGACTTCATCACTGGGGAGGTCCGCATTTGATAGAGCTGACAAGGTCTGCAGAAGAACCAACGCTCATGGGGTTTGTTATATACGACGGTGTGCCCCTGTATCACTTTCCTCACGATCGCATGGGGTGACGATGACCATCTGGGCTAATAGAGCCGTTACGTGGGGATTGCGGTTTTCACGTATGTACCATCTTAGAGCCTATTCTTCGATCGCCCGAGGCTTACTTCTATTTCAGCGCCTTTCTCGTCGCTCAATTCGGATTTCTGTGAGTCGTCTGAACGTTTTCGGGCTCCTTGAGTTGACGCGGGGTTTTAGGGGTAACTCGCCTTTGAGAATAGATGAATGTGCGTATATCAATCTTCGTCATCGGTTATTCATAAGCTCACACAAGATGCAGCCGACCAAGTTCACCTAGCCCTTGTGTGGCGAGTGACGATCGTTATTTATCTAGGCTTGATCCAAGGTTATTTGGCTCTGCATCTCTACGGCCGAACGACCACCATTAATACGCGATCGTAGGTATCATGGTAATGAGAACGTATGCGATATACGGGAGATCACTACGAGTGTTCTGGTTTCTGGTCGTGTGCGCGATCGTAGAGCTTAGCGTGGTGCTATATGGAACCGTGAATACCACGTTCTCAATCGCTGGTAAGTAGGTTTTAGAATCAAGCAAATGTACTCTTAAAGTCCATTTCAGATAGCCTTCTTGTCGTCACCATACCCATCGTGATATACCAGCTCTTGCTACTGACAATGGTCGGGCGCATAGCTCTTCTTCACTGGAAGCGTAGTCGTCACTTCCAATGGAATAGTGTGGCATGGGTGCTGGTGCGCGACTGTGGCGTTCATTTCTTGATGTAAGTTTGAGCTCTACTTCAATTTCTGGAAACTTTCTTACTCCTGGCGTCCACCAGGCTGATAGTAGCTGTCACCGTAGACATAGTAATGACCGCCGACCCAACGGTACGGTGTTTCATGAATGGATCCGGAATCAATTTCGGTGTGCTGATCAAGCGTCGTTACTCAACAGGTTCAAGCCTTCCCGCCGATGATACTTGCCTTTCTCGAGGCAATATGGGGCCCGCGACTGGCGTTGAGTATCAAGGAGTTTAACGATCGAGATATCATGACGGTATACCTCACTGAGATGGATTTCGCAATGACCGAGATTTAATCTTGGCCAGTCAGCGTAAAAAGTGTCGCTGGACGACGCCCATCGAGATAATTTCTTCATTTGTTGTAGTAGACTCATTATTCTTATTGATTGATTTGCTATGATCCAAGCGCTAAGGTACATTCTGTTTTTAAATTACTTAAGGACATGATAGGGACGGATACCAAAAGTTCCGCCATGATATTGGTCTTCGACTGGTTGGAGGGTGGGAACGAACAATGCCATAGAGTTGCCTGAAGGGCTTGCATCATTGCTCTGTTATACTAGTACTTTCTTCATTAGGCACTCGGCAGGATGTTAACATATTTCCTCGCTGCGCACCTCGTGAACCCCACACCCAACACATTATTCAGTTTGCCCACCAAACAATCTACCACGTGCCACATCTCTGTCACGAAGACGTAGCAAGGTCAAGATGAGTTTCCTCCGGTTGAGAGGCATGCACGTCACAAACAAGAAACTCAATGCTCATTTTTAGTCAAGTCTTAACCATATCACGGCAATGCATCCATATGCGGTACATCTCCGAGCCCAATGACATAGGCCCCAATGCTTCGAAGATGGTCGCTGCGTGGCCGCTATGTGAGCAACTGGCAGAGTCTTCGTCCACAAACCTCTGTTCCGGGGCTGCTACTTAAAGGACTAAAGTACCTGTGTTAGTCGCATCAATATGTGTCACCGGGAAGGCTTAACATCATGGCGCACTCCCACTGCCACCATCTACCACCACATGTCTTGGTGACAAACACAAAAGTGCGGTCAGGATATCCCGAAGATGGAGAAGAAGCAAACCCATTCATACTGGCTGGCGATCGTTGCGTATAAAAGATGGCGGATCTGCGTCCCATTCTTCATTCTTCATTCTCGCTCCCGTTCACCTTCTCCAGCCCTACGGCTACACTCCAATACTTGTTATGGTGTTCGCCAAGACCGCCGTTGCTGTTACGCTCGCCACCCTTGCCCTTGCCGGCCCCATCAAGCGTTCTGACAGCACTGCTATCGATGTGATGGTGCGCATCTGTCGTTCTACGCCTCCCTGCATACCCTCACCATAGCGCGTACACTACACAGATTCCCAACAATCAGACTCTCGCTCAGTTCACCGACGCCTGGAAGTCCGAGTGCGACAAGCTCTTCGCCGCATCTGCCGGGGGCGTGTACGTGAATGACGATCTCGTCCAGCCTACCGCTGTCCAGGGTGAGGCTATCGCCTACTGCTCCTGGTACACGGAGCGCCCGACGACCGTCTACAACAAGACCAAGGACTGCGCTGACGCGCTCGGCGCCAAGATCGTCGACTCGAGCAGCAAGTCGAAGCGTGACGGCCCCGATATGCGCGAAATCATCATCGTCCGTGTCTCCCTCCATCCTTCTTCTTTGTCCCCAAAAAGCGTCTTCCCGCTTCCCCTCCTTCGCTCTCCTCTTCCTGGAGTATCATTCCACGATTACTTACTCCCCTGCGCCACTTATGCCACATAGATTCCCCAAGGCAACTCCATCGCGCAGCTCAACCAGACCTGGACCGCACAGTGCCACAAGACCGTCGACGGCAAGAACGGCACCTTCTACTCATCCATCGGGGTGGTTTCCAACAACAAGACCGAGGCGTACGCAGAGTGCGTGACGTCCACGCCCGGTGTAAACGGCACGATTGACCTCGACAACTACACTCACGATTGTGCCAACGCCCTTAACATCGAGTTTGCGCAGGGACACAACTAGACTGCATCATGATGCGAAAAGAGCGCCGGAATAGACCGATGATACTATCCTTCCGGGCTTACGTGTAGAAATGCAAGCGAGTTATTTACTGCACGAATATTCATATGAGCACTTGAACTTGTTATGTTGGCTAGCGTTGCTTCTGGTCTGTGGTGCCATACAGTAAACAAGTCCTAAACCCAGTTGACGCTTTCATGCTGCCTTTGACTCCGTGTGACCGTACATGAAGATAATTCCGGAACCACGGTGAGTCAGCCGTAACAAATCTCCATGGAAGTAAATCTCCATGACCTTCAACAGCCCCCTGTCATCGTCTAGTGTCTGAAAGGTGTCGTGATGTCGATGAGCCGAGAACGATCCCGAGAAGTTCCTGTTCCTGATCAAAGTCATGACGTCACCTGCAAGGCAATTCCAGCGGAGACGATCCATGAGGTAGACCTCAGATGAGTTCTAAGATGTAAGCATTTGAGGTTTTGGCCAGTTGACGGGTCGGATCGTCACCGACTAAAATATTGGGAGTTAGCTAGATTCCACCTCTACCTCATATTTTATCAAACCTGACTTAGCACCAAGGCCTTGAGAATCGATGGCTGATTCGTAGCGGAGTCAAGTGTACAAGTGGTGGCGTCTTTCAACTTTATTACCGGGGAGCACGGTTGCAAACAAACATCGACAATCAGCTGGATCAGGCTGGATCGTGATCAGGGCCAAGGCTGTGCAGAACTTCCCGGTACCACTGCCACAGTACTGCCACTCGGCTTGGCTCGGCTTAAAGCTTAAACTTCCAGAGACTCCGAGTGTTCGACGAATGACCAGCTGGCAGCGAACACACCGCGAGCACCGGGGTCATCCGTCGACCATCTTTTGATCAAACGGCACAACTGAAGAGCCTGGGGGCACCCCATCAATGTGCGACAGGTCGGGCCGCCTCTGGCTAGTGTTGCCGTGGCTCTGGAGCTGGCTCAAGCCGATTGGATGGGCTTACAACAGAGGCAACAAAATATTTAGTGAGGTGATAATTATGTCATAGTTGCCATCGTCGCTGTCCGGTCGTCGCTTCAAAACATGACCTTACGCTACAAAATTCAAGTGTTATTTTTACGAGGAAATAGTTCAGCTTCGAGCCGAGCCGAGCCGCGGCAACACTACCTCTGGCCACCGCGACATCATGGTGCTCTCCACTGCCACCACACGTCTTGGTGACCAGCTGTGACCAGCATGCAAGAGCGGGCAGGACTGCCCGAAGAATGCGTCAGAACATGAAACTCTTTTGCGACCCTTGTGTATAAAGCGTGGTTTTTCCGCTCCTCGTTCTGTATCCTATTTTCTTCCCTCCCACATCACAATGTTCACCAAGTCCATCTTCGTTGCTGCCCTCGCTACCCTCGCCCTTGGTGGCGTCATCAAACGTGACGACAACCGCCGGGAAGCCATCGTGCGTATTCGCTCTTCTTCCATCGCTCTACAACCCCTCGCTCATGACTTACTCGTATATAGATCCCCAAAAACGAGACCCTCGCACAATTCACCGTTGCCTGGAAGGCCGAGTGCGACAGCCTCTTCTACGCCTCCGAAGGCGGCGTGTACACAAACGCTTCCCTCGTCGAGGCTGCCCCCACCGCGGGCGACGCCAACGTCTACTGCTCGTGGTACACCGAGCGCCCGACGATCGTGTACGACAGGACCGCGGAATGCGGCGAGGCTCTCGGCGTCCAGTTCACGTCGTAAGGGATGACAGGTGGTCGAGACTACGTACATAGTGATCTTATGTGGACTTTGCGAATGGGGCTGCTTTAGTCACGTCGCGCGGACATTTACATGGACCTTTTCTTATGTTGCTTGATACCATTCTGTGTCTGTACTGCAGAGTTTACCTCTCAGCCTAATCACTCCTTTCACTCTATTCTGTCGACGGCTTCGTGCCTGGGTTGATCATGCGTGAGCTGTTGAGTTCGTGGTTCTGGTTTTGGCTGCTGTCTTCGAGTCATCTGGGGCCGTATGGGGCCTGGAAGAGCCAAGGGTACCGGTACAAAGCGACGAACCATGACAGCAGAGTGGGTCCCTATACAAACTCAAGGCGATTTCGGGATCAGGTGGGTTTGTCATGTTTTCCGAATCCGGACGAGCCTTCTGCGCCAGGCCGGCCATCATTGGCCTCTTCATGTTATGGCGCGGTACCACTGCCTCCCGCGCGTTCGTGACCAGCGAGCGGTCAGGTCACCCCGAAGAATGCGGTAGGGCAGGCGTTTCATAGCCGGAATGTATGCTGCACCTGCGTGCGTATAAAACGCAGTCTTTCCTCTGTTCGTTTCGTATACATCTCTCCCCGATCGAGCTCACCTCTCTCAGCACTCGTCTGTTCCTCACTACACCATGCTTGCCAAATCCGCTATCGTCGCTGCCCTCTCAGCCCTCGCCCTCGGCGGCCTCATCAAGCGTAACGACATTCGCTTGGAAGTCGTTGTACGTCTCTTGCCCGTCATCCCCACCATGTTCTCCCCCAGTCGTCTCGCACAACTCATCACTCCTCCATGTTCGCGACAGATCCCGCAAGGCGAGACTCTCGCCCAGTTAAACCAGACCTGGACGGCCGAGTGCAACCAAATCCTCGCTGGAAAAACGGGCACGCCCACCTTGCTCGTCGAGCAGTCCTCCAACGCGGGTGATGCATACGTCTTCTGCGCGACGTACACCACGAGCCCGAACGGGCCGGACACCATTGACCAGTACACCGTCGAGTGCGCGAACGCGCTCGGTATCCAGTTCACGTCGCCGGGCCAGAAGAAGAAGCGGAACGATATCCGCGAACTCGTTGTTGTGCGTCCGCTTTCCCCACTTCCTCCTCACTCGTTTCCTGCTCTAATGCGATGGTATCGCTGACGACTGTTTACGCGCCAGATCCCCGAGGGCGAGACGATCGACCAGCTGAACACGAACTGGACGATCGAGTGCCACAAGCTCGTCGACAGCTTGCCGGGCACGTTCTCCTCGCTCGTCGAGCCGTCGCCGAATGCCGCCGATGCGTACGTCTACTGCTCAACGTACGAGACCGGTTCGGATGGTCGCGTTACCGTCAACGATTACACCAAACAGTGCGCCGCTGGCCTCGGGATTCAGCTCGCATGAACATCAGATGTTGGGCTGAAGGGTGATTTCTTTGGTCGGTGCCATGGATTTTTATACAGTAGCACGCTGCAAATGTATTCACCTGGCATTATTCGATGATTGCCGCAGATCACAGTGCAAAATTCTATTTTCAGATTGACAGACATGCGCGAGCGCTATATACCGAGTCGTCTAGAGTCACGCAATCTCTCTTGGGTTGTTTTTGATTATGTATGCACCTCGCCTTCATGGCGGTCCAGTTGTCCGTCCCTTCTGCACCTTATTCTAACCATGAAGGGGCTTTACCGACCTTGACGTGTACTGGAGGGACGATTAGCATCCTCCGCCGCTCTACGTACCCGCAAGTTAAGCTCCAAGCACGGTATATCAGAGAAGCATTTGAGGCGTACCTGCGCCACCACGAGATCGATGACGTCCTCCTCTTGCATGTTGAGCTGCCATGCACGCAAAAGAAAATTAGCAGTGCAGCCACAGCCCTTCGACAAAAGGAAGGGCATTGAAGTGAGTTTTAAAAGCTCACCCGCTCAGGCGTCTCCGAGCCTTGCAGTAGAATGCCCTCGTACACGAAGCGAACGGCCTGGCGTTCGATTCTGAACACTCCCTGTTGTTAACAAGTACTTAGTTAGTCACAGCATGCGTGTTATGGAGATAATGCATACACGAACCGCGGCTCTGTCCATGAGACGGGCGAGGCATGTGGTTCGCGACATTTTGAAGACAGCACCTAGACGCAGAACGAGGCACACGGAGTTAGCTGGGTCGCTGCGAAAGATGGGCCTGGCAACGCGCGACATCGCTCAGACACTGGCGGCTGAGGTAGCCCGGGGGTTTCTTAAGAGAACTTAGAAATATACTGGCAGTACGTACGCCTGCCACTCGGGTGTGATGCAAACAGCGTGATTTTTTGAGTGTCCTTGACGTCTGAGTCCTTGACATCTTCACACCGAGGAGAAGCAGCTTTTGTTTCGCTGGGAGGCACTGACATGGCTTCAAAGTGTGTATTAGAGTTGAAAGAGGAGTGTGCGCTCGATTTGCAAGGTTGCACTCACTTCATGACGGCTTCGGCGCTCTTAAATTATGCTGCGGACAGGCGCCTGTGAAGAGATAAGATAAGAAGAGAAAAGTGATATTGTGACAAAACCGCATCACAGAATTCAACGAGGGTGTCCCCACTTTTCTAGGCATCACACCAGCGCTCCCTGCATGTACACGCGCTTCTGGGAGACGCGAGGACTCCCGCTTCTGGCTTGGGTGCACTCCATGCATTGCGGACAAAACACACTTTTGTACTTCGATTAACAGGACTCCGTATCGTACAGCTTTGCTTCGTAACCTTCTTTCCTTCAGAGTGGAGTAGTCTAACGGAGATCAAACACCACCTCCTCAATGTCCCCGCATGACTCCACCACCAAACTAAACCCAACCAAGTCAGTGCGCGCGCCCTCAACCGTCAGAGGCAGAATTCTGCAATAGATTCTGCGATAAACACACCTGCTGCGGCAGAATGTCGATCTGATCATCGTCTTCCATGTCGAGCTGTGCGAGAAGGACGCCGACACGTTAGCTGTTGTCGAACTCGAATAGGGGGCTGTTGTGCGCACCGACAGGGGCGTTTCGTTAGTGTCTCCGCGGAGCAGTTGGCCTTCGAAGCTGAAGCGCACGGCCTCGCCTTCGATCTCGAACACGTCCTAAGATCACATTCGTAGTTCTAGTCGCGATCGCAGAACTTCTCAGGAGATCGAGGGGAACGTACGAGTGCCCTGTGGATCAGCCAGCGCAGGCTGGCTGAGTCGTCCACAGTCAGCCGGAGATCTGGAAGGGCGAATCGACGAGTGGTGAGACAAACGAACGATGCAATGAAAAAAGTGATAGATACGCACAGCGTGACTGGTAAACGACGACGAGTCTGATAAGGCACGGGGTAGCGGTGCCCTCGCGGCTCGGTGCCGGGGTTACAGGACCATCATCAGAACCCGAGTCAGAGGCGACGGCGACGTCAGATCGGGGCAGGTTTGAGTGTATGGCAGGCATGAGGGCAGAGTTGCTCAAAGTCGAAAGTCTCACTGTTCGGTGTTGTGTTTGCACATGCGACTGGAGGCGCGTTTATATCACAATCGAGGAGTATGCTCCTCCTCGGAGACAAGGCATATGCAGTGTGTGTGAATAGGATGTATTGGCGCGTCGGCGCGCCGGAGTCGTGTTACAGTGAGGAGTAAAGAAGGACAAGATTATCAGATAGCGCTGCCTCCCAACTGGAGTGGGGTTGGGAAGAAGGGTGGTGTGGTGAGCATGGGGGCACCGACGAGGCGCTGAAAGAGGGTGCGTACCTGCTCCAGGTGAGCCTCTATTACATCCTCATCTTCCATTCCGACCTGTGAGAGGTGGAGTAGTCAGCGAGGAATAGAGAGCGCGGTGCGAAGAGGCGCTCGAAAGGCGAGTTGGATAGAGAAGACGAGAAGTGTCGACTCACCCCTGCAGGTGTGTCCGAAGGTTGAAGACGGTTCCCGTCGTGAATGAAGCGAAGCGTTCCTGAAGAGCGTCGTGCATCAGAAAAGGGGACTAATCGCAAAAATGGAGCTGGAAGACCGACCTGGCTGCTTGTTGAAGCGTTTCTAGTGAGCGCGCACAGGGGTCAGCGAACCGCGCGTAGGCTTGGGGTGTGGTGTCGGAGTCGAAGCCACTTACCTCTGCAGCTTCGAAGACCTTCTTAAAGGGCGTGTTGGCCTTCATTTGGATCGTCACACCTGTTCACGAGCGACGCGTTAGTGAGTCCTTCGAGGGTGGCCTGCGCGTGACCCCCAAAACGCCAACGCCAACGAGAAGCGGACGCACTTTCTTGACCGCATGAGACGGTGACACCGATCTTGGGCTTGACATCTTCGTCAGACATGGTTCGTTTTGTGATAGATAAAGGGCTGGATGGGGTGGAGGTGTGGTGCTTGAACGCGATGGAGAAAGGCAAAGGCGCGACGGGTCATCAATTGGTCGGCGTAAGCGCCCGACGCGCCGCACGTGAGTGTACAGCCACATTGAACAGAGCCCTTCCGCTTTGGGCGGTATTGGACGTCACCGTGGGTTGCCCCAGACCACAACATACTCAACTTATGAGCTATAAGAGACGGCTGCGTGGATGGCTTAGCTATGCTTTTGCTAGGTAAGTCAGCTAGAAATAGAGAGAGAGACATGTGCTGATGTAGACCGAACGAACAGCGAGGTCTTCGTCGTGGTTTCGCTTACGCTCTTTCTTCCCATATGCCTCGAACAGTTTGCTAGGGACAACGGGTACCTCGAACCAGAGCGTACAGAGTCATGCTCTTCAAAGGTACCCAGTGCCGAACAGTCTGAAGAGAGATGCGTGGTCAAGCTTGGAGGCGTCTGGATAGATACCGCCAGCTTCAGGTGAGCACCCACTCGCTGTGCACATGCAACCTGCAGTGGCCTGACACAGCAAAGCCTATACGTCTACTCGATCTCTGTCGCCCTCCAAGCGCTCACCGTTATCTCTATGGGAGGTGTCGCAGACCGATGTGCGTCCCAACACTCCTTCGACCCTCTTCTCACCTGTCTCACCACCAACACATAGCTTCGCATCGCAAGTCCGTCCTCCTCATCTTTGGCCTCACCGGCGCCTTCGCCGCGCTTCTCTTCCTCACTCTTCCCTCCTCCTCACCCGTATGGCCACTCGCAGCCCTCCTCGCGATGCTCGCCAACGTCGGCTTCGGCGCCTCGACAGTCGCCATGAATTCATACCTGCCCTCGCTCGCCGCTGCATCGCCCGAGGCCGTTGCCGCCCGCAAAGAGCTCGTACGCGTCGAGGCGCTTGTCGCTGAGATTCCAGAGGACGTCGAGCGACATGCCTTCGAACATGCTGATCACGATCACATACACAACGCTGACGAGGCGGAGGATGACCCGCTACTGGGCCATGAGGGCGACCTTCTCGCGCTCCCGGACGCACAGGCAACGTACGACAAGGCACTGTCCCGCGCGACTGCGCGCATCTCCTCGCTCGGCATAGCGTCCGGCTACGGCGCGGGCATTCTCCTACTCATCGTGTCGCTTGTTCCTGTCACGCTTCTGAAAGGGTCTACGTTCGCGCTCAGACTTGCGATCGGGCTCAGCGGTGCGTGGTGGGCCATATTCTCGATTCCGGCGGCATTGTGGCTGCCTGGTGGGAAGGCTGCCGCCACACGAGGTGCGGGTGCTGAGGCGGGCAACGGGTATGCGTCAGGCAGTGCGAGTGTGGATGGTCGGGTCGACGGGAAACGCGAGAAATGGAGCATAGGCAGCGAGATCAAGGGCGCGTGGAGGAGGCTCGGGGTTATGTTGCGCTGGCGCGAGATCAAGCGTCTGCGGAACACGTTCCACTACCTCGCTGCGTGGTTCCTGCTCTCGGATGGTGCGTACTTCCCATGCTCTGCTGTCTACTCGCTCTATGTGTGCTAACGCACTTCCGCACGTCCCATAGGCTTCACGACAATAACATCCACAGCCATCCTCTTCGCCAAAACATCCCTGCACATGCCGCCCTCCTCGCTCGTGCTCATCGGCGCGCTCACGCCCTCGGCCGGCATCCTCGGCTCGCTCGCCGTCCCGTACATCCAGCGCCGCCTGCACGCCTCGAGCCTGCACATGATGATCGGGCTCGTGGTCATGGTCAGCGCCATCCCCGCGTACGGATGCCTCGGGTTCCTGCCCGTGTTCAGGGACGGAGGCGTCGGCGGGCTGAGGAGCCAGGGTGAGATGTTCGTGTTGGCTGTTTGGTTTGGTGAGTGTTCGCCTGGTCCGTGTGGGCCCAGGGGCAAATGGATTGTTGACTGTGCTGCGCAATTGAATGTGTAGGGTCGGCGTATGGGTCGTTCCAGTCGTACGCGCGCGCGATATATGCGGAGATGCTTCCGCCCGGCGAGGAGGCGCGGTGGTACGGGCTGTTTTCGATTACCGACAAGGTGCGGTGTTCCGCCTTTCTCTTCCTTCGCCTGACGTGTCTAATCTTTCTCGTATGACAGAGCTCGTCCTTCCTCGGCCCGCTCGTCGTCGGCCTCATCTCGGATGCGACGGGAAACATACGATACGCGTTCTTCTTCCTCGTTGTGATGGTCTGGGCAGCCGTGCCGATCCTGCTGAGCGTCGATGTGGAGCGTGGGCGGAGGGATGCGAGGGTGTATGTTGCGGAGGGGATGCCGGATGGTGTGAATGAGTAGGTTTAGTGTACATATCCATAGCGCCGCTATTAGTGCTCAAACTCAAGGTTAATGTTAATCCTTTTTTTCAGTCCATGAGCACCAATGGTCTGATATTTCCATGACATAGCTGTGCGTTCCGAATGATCATATAATGTAAGTGCCAATACCTATAAGCCAAGAAGCAGAAACGAGAGATTTGGAGCGGGACGCTGACCTTATTGTGGGAAAAGAGTTGAAACCCCGACGCTGTTGACGCGAATATTCACATTCTCCTTGCAAACGTCTCTGTCGACTCTTTGTTATGTGATCCAAGGCGCCCGTTACTGTAAGTGGTCAGACTTGCGCTCGAGTATCCCATCATACTAAAATACAGACATCGAAGGACAAAAGTGCACGCTCGTCCATACAGAACTTCTATCAAGCGGGCCGCTATGTTCCGCCTCGACCCGACCAACCTCACGTGGTTGGTAAGAGAAGCCACCTTTCAATTATAAGGTAGCGCGTCTTTGATTTTGCGCTGCTGAACATATCATCCTTCCCGCATGCCGTAATCACGGGTCGTACTCACTGTTGTGGGTAGCGGGCAGTTATAAACGCGCACGGGCAGACTCATGGGGAGCTCGCCAGCTCGTTGTCTGCCCAACCATCTCTCTATACCAGCTCTGGCTCGCATTGCAATGCGCGGCATCAAAGCTCTGCTCGGGCTCGCTGCCCTCATCGGGGGCGCAAGCGCCATTGGGCAGATGAACTGCACCTCCTTCGAGTCGGGCGCTTCTACCTTCCCGATCGTCGCGAGCGGGACGGCTTCGCCAATCTACGTTTCTTCGGAAGACTGGCTCGGCGTGCAACGCGCGGCGACAGACTTTGCAGAGGACATCGAGCGCGTAACGGGCGTCAAGCCTGCGCTCAACAACGTTACCGCCACGAACGTCTCTTCTGCGGTTCCGGCGGGCACGCAGCCTATCATCGTCGGAACGCTCGGGATGTCGCCGCTTATCGACCAGATCGTCAATAATACGGGGTTGGACGTGTCCTCGGTGGAGAACCAGTGGGAGGCGTTCATGACGCGTGTCGTTGAGAACCCTCTTCCGGGCGTGTCGAGCGCGTATGTAATGATTGGCGCTGACAAGAGAGGTTCGATATACGCTATGTACGACCATTCCGAGCAGTTCGGTGTGTCTCGTTCTCTACTCCTGGGGTATAATTCGCTCATGCGTCTTCTTACAGGTGTTTCTCCTTGGTACTGGTAGGCATCGAGAACATCGCCTCGCTAGCTCAGCTCGCTAAAGCATTTTACCACCAGGTGGGCAGACGTCCCCACGACGCAGCACGCGGAGCTCTACGTCTCCCAGGCAGGGTGCTACCACGGGAGTCCCACGGTGAAATACCGGGGTATCTTCCTAAATGATGAGCAGCCCGCTCTCGAGAACTGGGCGATGCACTACTTCTCCAATGGCACGGGCGCCTACTACACCGGGTCGCCCTTCAACTCAGATTTCTATCGTACTTTGTAAGTTTCTCCATCATGTCTGGTTTGACGAGATTCTAACGGGTGCTTACAGGTTTGAGCTTATTCTGCGAATCAAGGGCAACTACCTATGGCCAGCGATGTGGGCTAGCGCCTTTGGCGTCGATGACCCGCTCAATCAATACTATGCAGACATGTACGGTGTGGTCATGGGCACTAGGTAAGATACGTCCCGACGTTATACGTGACATCCTTACCTGGCGTTGTAGCCACGAAGAGCCCATCATGCGCTCGCTCCCAGGTAAGATGACCATGCGAAAACACGCGTCATGAGTTAACTTTGACCTCTATTCAGTCGAATGGGACCTCTTCGGTACTGGCCCATACGATTACGTCGCGAACAAGCAAAATATCTATGATTTCTGGATCGCCGGAGCGAAGCGTGGTGCGCCGTACGAGAATATCTACACGATGGGCATGCGAGGCCTCGGCGACTGTAGGTCTCTCCATTGTAGTTTCGAGGCACCTTATTGACGAAAACACGGATTGCAGTACCACTCGGCGATACCATCGATACCTCTTTGCTCGAGGGGATTGTGTCAGACCAGAGACAGATTCTGACGGACTATGTCAACCAGAACGTTACGGCGATTCCGCAGATGTGGTGCCTCTGTAAGTCCAATAGTCGTTCAGTGTACGCATCCCTTACCTAACTTTCTGTTCAGACAAAGAGGTCCTAGGCTACTACGAGGATGGGATGACTGTCCCCGAAGATGTCACCTTACTCTGGACGGACGACTCGTACGTTTTCTGGAACTCGACTTCGAGTTGGATGTTATTCACTTCACTTAATAGCTGGGGAAACAATGAGCGTTACCCGCTATACAACGAGACCGGCAGGTCTGGTGGTGCTGGCATTTATTACCACGTAAGCTATGAAAATGTCTCATGACTCTCCATCTTAACGACACTTTGGGTTGCAGTATGACTATGTAAGCACAGCAGATCTTTATTCGCTGACGTATTTCTCAGCGATGTTCAGGTAGGAACACCGAGAAACTACAAGTGGATCACGGTAAGTACTGTTCCATGTTCTACGCAAGCTAGGCCGCTGAGGAGGGTCCGCAGAGTAGTCAGATGGAGAAGGTTCGACCCGCAGCTCGCTTTGAACTATCCTGAATTAACTTGTCTCACCACATGCAGACATACAATCAAATGTCGCTCGCCGTCGAGCGCAACGCGACCCGCATCTGGATCCTCAACGTCGGCGACCTGAAGGGGTACGAGATGCCGATCGAGTATTTCATGGGCCTCGGCTGGGACTCGACGATCTGGAACCAGGATAACGTCTACTCGTTCGTCACAAGCTGGGCTGCGCGCGAGTTCGGGCTCGATGACGACGACCGAGAGGCGGTTGCAAGTATTATTCATAATCTCACGAGGTACAACTCGCGGGTGAAGCCGGAATTGGTGAACTCTACGACGTACAGTTTGACAAGCTACCGCGAGTGAGATATCCACCGATCTGTGTTGTTGATGGGTGTCGCTTACTACCGTGGCGTGTAGGGCTGAGACGATGCTCACCGATTGGGAGTCCCTGTTGAACGAGTCGACGCGAATCTACGACAGCCTTTCGGCCGAGAAACAGCCGGCGTACTTCGAGCTTGTTCATCACCCTGTCATGGCCAGCTCTACCGTGAACTGGATGTGGATTTACGCTGGAATGGTAACCTTATTTTTTGGTGTTGATGGACTAGTCGCTAACTCCGTCTCAGAATAACCTCCTTGCTTCGCAAGCTCGCGTAGGTGCGAACGATTACTTCACCAAGGTGCAAGGATTGTTCCAACAGAACTATGATATTGAGGAGATGTACCATACAATTTTGGATGGTACGTACTCCGTCTAAGTTTGCGGCGTCAACGGCTTATAGTCTGAACTTTAGGAAAATGGGACCAGTAAGCATGTGTGATGTTCGCCGACTGGGGAGTACTAACTGCGTGTAGCATCATGGACCAGACTAACTCGATGTACTACTACTGGCAGCAGCCGATGCAGGACACGTAAGTCTCATTTATCTCTCGAGGTTCGAAGGAAAAGCTGAAATCAAACTCTTCAGCATGCCTATGGTCACGTGGGTGCAGCAGCGAAAGGCAAACATTGCCGGTGTCATGCGGATCACCCCCGAGGAGAGCAGCGGTGCCTGGTGAGTAACTCTCATGCTCCATATACATGAGATAAAACGCGATTCAACGTTGATTCAGGCCAGGAGACAACGAGAACGACTGTGCTCAAGGTTACAGCTGCCCCGATCCGACCGTATACCTCGACCCTTATCTCCCATTCGGGAGTAAATACGTTGATGTCGGATTGGGCGGCTCGGAGAACTTCAGCTTTACGGTCACATCCAATGCTAGTTGGATCACAGTCTCTCCATCCGGAGGATCCATCTCGCTGTCTAATCTTGAGCAGCGCGTGTACGTGAGCGTCAATGACTGGAGCCAGGTTTCGGGCAATCAGTCTGCTCTTGTGAATTTCACCACGACGGGGCTGGACGTGACGGATACGAGCCTTCAGAACACCACGAACACATTGACTGTGCCGGTGACCTTTGTCGCAAACCACACGCAGCCAGCTTCAAATTTCACTGGTACGTCCTTTGAGTGTGATTTTCCCGGTAACGAAACTGAAACTGAGATCTCGATCAGGCTTTGTCGAAGGTGATGGCGTAATTTCTATTGATGCGGTAAGTCGCCGTCCCAATTCAACCCTACACAGATCAATCTAATCAAACTGCAGGCGCACACCTCCAGCAACACGTCTGTGGCTGGTATAACGTGGACTGAACTTCCCGGGTATGGTCGGACGCTGTCAGGAGTCACGCCGATGCCTCGTACCGCGGATAACAACACCAACTTCACCGCTGGAGCTGGTCCTTCTGCGTAAGCTCCTATCATTACTTCTGCTAATTCTTCTCATGTGTGCTCACATATGTGATAGACGCTACGATTTCTATAACTTCAACACCATTGGCCAGGAGGGTAACATCACCATCACGGCCTACCTCGGTGTGATTCTCAACGCGAACGGCAACGATCGTCCTGCCGCGTTTGCGCTGCAAGTGGACGATAGTGAACCACAGACGGAATACTATGCACCATCAGCGACTCCTGGGTCGCAGCCGCCCGAGTGGAATGACTGGGTTGCGCAGAACACGATCACGACTCAGACCAACTTTACTGCTTGGCCTGGCGCACATTCTCTTACGGCAAGTCACTTATTGTGCTCATATTCAGTCCTCGACGCTGATGATGTACATCTAGCTTTGGATGGTTGAACCTGCTGTTATCGTGGAACGCATTGTCATTGGTGAGACACGACCCGTTAGCCCATCTCAGAGAAATCATTCACTGACGCGGACCCTTATAGACACGGGCGGCCTACTTCCGAGTTACCTGGGTCCTCCAGAGAGCGTCCGAGTGTAGAGGTTAAATTCAGGATATCGATATCTGCGCACAAACAATCATTTCAATGGACAAATATAAACTTAATCCAGATGCGCGTAAAGCAAAAGGATGCGACGCGAGTTCCAACTTTTCTCGTGTAATCATCGCATCAAGTACGAGATAGAGAGGTAAGAAAAATATGATATGGCCGCGAAGATGGATGAGAAATAACGTTTTGGCACCTCGCGTTGGAAGTTACAGTGGGTTTCTGACTGATGCATAGTCGCCCTTACGCTCGATCACCGCTTTCTAAGTCATACATATGATCTATAAGGGCTAATCGCACAATCGTCTATGTATGATCTATCACCCGGCGCCCAGAAGGAAGTTGAAATACACAAATCTTCGTAAGACGTTCTAAGTCACAGGATCGACAGCCTTTGCAACTATGTACGGCTCATACCATTTCTCCATAATTGACGCATACAAACTCCAGTTATGAAACCACATCTTCCATTCAACCCACTCAATCTCAAGCTCCTTTGCGAGTCGAGCAAGCCAACCCTTTTTTCCCTCGCTAGGTGGTTCGTCCCCGTAACAGAGTATGAGGGAGACAAGCAGGTGCGTAATCCGCCGCAAGGCCAACGCCAGATGGTTTCGTAGATCATCTCCGGTATTCCAACTTAGAGCAAGATGACGAAGCGAGGGGAACGCGTAGCCAATGTTGGACGTTCTTATGCGTGGTATGCTGTATTGAGGAAACTCCAGGCTCGTAAGGCTGAGGATACGCAGATGAGAATGGATCAGGGGCCCGCCAGCGTCTCCGTCTCCGGTGAGCTTTATCACTCTGCTCTTAATAATGAAAACCTCCAGTACGGGTACGCTCGTAGAGAGGCGCAACCACATAGAGTCGTCCGCGATGTCGACACCTTCCACGACGAGGCATTTAAGGCAATTCCACTGCAGTTGGAAGATGGAGCCATGGTTCACAGTCGGCAAGAATTCAGAGACGAAGTAGAGGTGTGTGAGCTGGGTGATCAAGTGAGGTGCTATACGAGCGAGCATATCTGGCGTATCTGTCCCTCCATCTTCGACAAACTTGAGTGACATTGAGCGCTACGCTGCGACCGCGCTCAAACTCGTATTGAACAGGGGCCGGGCAGTCAATGTCGCTGGCGAAGTCGACTTCGATGGCTGAGGATAGTATGAATGTTTGAGACAGTATCTCGTTTGGAAGTCGAACAATCGCAGAGACTAGTCTTGCATTTTTTCGTTCGTGAGCTTCGAGCTTTCTTCTGTCCTCTGATAAGTTGGCGAGGATAGTATCGATGCCGGCGATCATCTCCATGAGCCTGCTTGAGACAGTCCAAACATCGCCAAATTCATCATTTGCAACCGGATTATTTGTACTGAAGAGTTTTTCCCACTTAAAGTTGCTGATCTATCATTGATACTTGGATGAAAATTGACGCGCGAAGATGTTAATATGTTACCTACCGCTGCTTGGACCTCCAAAGCAATGCTAGGAAGCTACGATTGACAATGATGAGTATAAGTCATCAGATACCAGGCGTGTCGTAGCTGGTGTACACACCCGAACAACTATCTGCACTCATCAAAGCTGCCGAGGCGTTCTACAGCGACGTCCAGGGGGAGTCAGATCAGGATAAGGCAGCCCATATAGTATTTTGCTGCCCACCACCTACTTTCCAGGTATGTCAGAGCTTCTCATTCATGCTCTCGGTCTCATCCTACACCGCCTACCCACGCGTTCCTCTCTCGGAAGCCGAGTCCACTCATCATCACATTCTACAACGGCCCCGAAGATGACGCCGAGAAGAAGTTTACCCCTTTCCTCGAACTGGGCCCTGTCGATTTGGCCGCGATTAGCCCTCAGCTAGGCGACTCAATGCCGCGACTCAGGGAGTACTGGGAGGTCAATGCGTTCCAAGACGGTTTCACGACTCCCGGTGATCGTAAAGCGTACAAGGCGGCGAAGTTCACGCACTTTGATGTTGAGATGTTCCAGGGTCTGTTCGACAAGTTTGGGGAGCTCGTGAAGAAGCACCCAGACACTGTTAGGTACGTTGCTTTTACATCTTCTAAGCCGTGCTTCGGATAAGAAGGTTTAACTCTCTGGTAGGTCATGTATCGCAGTAGAGCTTTACCCGCAGCAAAAGATTATGGAGGTGGCACCGGACGCAACAGCCTACGCGGGGCGCATCAGTAAAAGCGCTAATTTCTTGCCGGGCTTGCCAAGCTTGTGAGCTTGCCGACAAGCCGACAAGACACTGTTTGCATAAAGGTCTATAGGCTGGCTGCAAAAACATTCTAGAACATACACTGATGGTGTTTGCGTCTCAACACTGATTTCCGAAGTCAGAACACGGCCTGTGGACGTCTTAAATAACTAAACTGAGGCGACTTGTTTGACTTGCAGGCGCTTGTCCGCGTAATCTCCACGTTGCCGAAGATCGCCTTGTCGCAAAAATAGACTTACATTGTCGGGCTTGGCGTCTTGGGCATATTATTGCCTTGCCGGAGCTTGTGCAGGGTTGCACAAGGTTGTACAAGCCCCGACAAGATTTTTTCATAGTTACTGATGGCCGGGCGAAGGGGTGCAACGTGCTTATCATGCCCCGATGGACGAACTCGTCCTCGCAACTTGATAAAGACTCTGAGGTGAGACATTCCTTAATAACAGGGATCAAGGCATGTTCCGATGTTTCTGTTGTTACATAGATGCTTGCGTGGGCGCGTCAGCTCGCGAGCGACGTGTCACAAGCTCAAGCCAGGCACGCCTCTGTTCTCTCTCAACCTGGAGCAGAAGGTTTCCAGAACGCCCCCGTTGTGCGTCGTTTTCTCCCACTGAATAACCTCTTGTACTAACGGGCTCATTCAGTATTCAAACTACGCAACGGGCGACGAACGCTCATCATTGATGTTCGGAGACAACTACCCACGACTACAACACATCAAAGCCAAGTACGACCGGAACAACGTATTCAACAAATGGTTCCCCATCACGCCCGATGCATCAGCATAGCCCACAAAGCTGAACAGGCATTTTTGAAAGGTACTGTTGGTTGGCAGGCTAAGGGTATCATCTGGATCTAAGGTTCCATCGCTGCGTGTTGACTTGACTCGCCCGTTTCCAGCGACGATGCGGCGCCGAGTTGAAACACGGCCATGCTAACCTCCGTGCTTCCCAGCTGTCTTTCCCTGACATCCTGCTCGTGCTGCTTCCGCAAACTAAGAATCATCCACGGGCCGATCATTGTGATGAACGTGATTTGTAGTATGTACTCGATGTTCCAATATATGATAGCCTACAACTCAGTGGCGTGAGTGATTGGCACAGCGTAAGAACACGGGGGAACTGTACCGGGAGGACTGTTGGCGGTACAGACGTGAAGCAATTGCCGAAGAGCTCAAGGAAAGCACTGAACATTACATTGAGCGCACGTAGAAGTCGATGAGTCAAAACTTACACAAAGAAGTAGATGAGGTTATCGCGCACTACGATGGATACGATGCACTTGGTCGAGTCGGCAGGGTGCCTCCAAAAGTCTCGCGGTACATTCTTGAAAGCGAAACGCACGGCCAGACCACACAGAACGAACTCATAGGCTAACAAGGCACTGTTTGCCACCGGTGAAGTCCAAGCCAGATTCTCAGACGTCCCCGTAGCTACATAAAGATCAATGTATCTGAATATGTACCTGGTAGTCAGAGAAATGGACTTTACTAGTCGAGACCCAGTTCAAGATACCTGTCGTCCAGCCAATGGTCTGTGCTACTAAAAACCCTGCGAGAAGACAGTAACCTAGCCCTTGGTGCATCTGGTGTGAGAATTCGAGCGCGAGTGTGAGGGGAGAAAGGCGCTGGCAAACGCGATAGCGCTACGATAAGATTGCGACGGGTATATGTACATCACGGAATAGCTGCCGAAACGTAGAAAAAGTTATAATGTCACTGAAGATAAGATAAATGCTGGCAAGGTACGCAAATCGTATGGTCTGATGCTCGTCATCTGTACCCGTGTATCTACGAAATTCCAACACACCCCCGCGAGCGAAGAACATAGGATAGATAAATAAACAAAAGGAGCGACGAAGCAATCACGAAAATAAATAAAATATCAAACGGAAGCGAAACGTACGTGGGCGGTACACCCCCGCAAGCCTAGAAGGCATCATCTGAATTGTCCTCGTAGAGAACGGCGCCGGCATAGCCGGTTGCGGGCTTCTTTGCAGACGGGGCAGGCGACGCTGCGGGCGGGGCATCAGGGTCAACCGTGGGGCAGTTGAGCTGGTAATGGCCCTTCTCGCCGCAGGTGTAGCACGTAATGTGCGAGAGGCCGAGGCGGCGTGACCCAGGGGTGGCGGTGCGAGCGGACTGCGATGCGGTAGCGGCCGGCCGGCGGATAATGCGATGGGGAGCGTAGGCAGCGACCATGGCAGTGTCGAGCTCGGCATCGTCATCGGTATTGTCGGCGACAATGCGGGACTCCTCGTTCAAGAGGCGAGTGATGACGGAGTCGAGGGTGAGGGTATCGGCAGGGGTGGAATCGAGAGCGACGACAAAGGTGCGATACGCACGGGGGAGGCCCATCGTCAGCACTAAGATGAGGTCTTCATCCTCGACGTTGACGCTGATTGCGCGGAGCTGGAAAGCGACGGCGCGGACGGCGGCGATCCAGTCAGACATTGACTGCTCTTCGGGCTTCATGCGCATGGTAAGGAAACGGCGGCGGAGGGCGAGACGAGAGGCGAGGCCTCGGGCACGGTGAATGCGTTCGAGTTCAGTGTAGATATCGATGGCGAAGGTATCGGTCATGTGGGCAAGTTGGTCGACTTCGACGTTGAGGATGAGTTCGGCACGGGCTTCATCATTCTTGCGCTTCCAGGCTCTCATGGCGGCGGAGTTCGGCCCAGTCGTGGGCATTGGCACATCACCTGACACGACGTCCCAGACGCCCTTGCGGATGAGCAGGGCCTGGATGAGCACGACCCATATCTCGTAGTTCTTGTTGTTGAGCTTCAGGATGGACTTGTCGGGCATGGCGGCGGTGGCGGTGTGGATAGGGGCGACGACGAAAGCGGCAAGCAAACAGTGCAACGGCGGAGCAGCAACAACGGCGGTGACGACGGCGGGGAAACAGCACGAGGGGAGTAACGAGCGACGGCGGGTGGTGTTCGGCGACCACGGGCGCAGGGGACAACGGCAACGGCGGCGACAAGCGACGAGAAACGACGGCAGCGGGTATTCGGCGACCCTTGGCGCGCGAGAGACGAAAAGCGAGAGAGAGCGAGCGACGAGTTTTGAGTCCAGGGGACTATCGCGTTTGTGTGAGAATTCGAGCGCGAGTGTGAGGGGAGAAAGGCGCTGGCAAACGCGATAGCGCTACGATAAGATTGCGACGGGTATATGTACATCACGGAATAGCTGCCGAAACGTAGAAAAAGTTATAATGTCACTGAAGATAAGATAAATGCTGGCAAGGTACGCAAATCGTATGGTCTGATGCTCGTCATCTGTACCCGTGTATCTACGAAATTCCAACATCTGGAAGATCAGATACACCCGCAGAGATAACAACCCTACGTATATAATTAGTCACATCAATAATCTCTCCGGATTTGCGCTCACACCTTGAAGTACCATAATTATTATGTCTTGACTGATTTGCCCCACGAGAGAGTCAGCTATGGCTGCCTTGCTTTAGTAAAAAGCACGGTAGCGCAGAACTTCAAGGTGGCTCACTCCTAAGCAACATAAGCAGCAGTATTAAAGCAAGATTCAGCATTTATTTGAACCTACCCATCACGTACAATGCCGACTAGGATGTCTCAGTAAATGCTTGTCCGATACATGTTTTTGAAGGCGATTACCTAGCAATGACCTGATAATAGTAATGGCCTCGGTTGATGTCGTAGTTAACGGCCAGGAATGTAGCTTACACGGCATATACGAAACCCAGATACCGAAGCTGAAAGAATATCTCTTCTTAAAAACGGGATGCACTTGGCGAAGTGGCTAAACGCTACTCACCAAACCATACACGAGGGTGATCCAAGTCCATTGCGCGACCTAAAAGCTTCATCAGCAAACCATGGCGTTCCTTCTTGTTCTGTTTATTTTACCCATATCAGGGCGACCTGTGAACGTGTGAATACTGATCAATGCTGCTTGCAAGCTAGCAGCAATACGCACTTCAAGGTCAAGGTTAAGCACTATCAACAGTATGGTCAGGGTTTAAAACCAGTTCTAGAGAACGTTACTCACAATAGTCGTAAGACATAAGAGCGAAACCAGCCACTACGAAGTCAAGCATTAATGGTGCCGGTGACGTCGTTTCTGAGCGAGCTGAAAACACTCGCCTACTCCGTTAACTATGCTGATATGATACCATTGTGCGGGGAAATCCTCGACCGACATAGTGGGCTGGTATAGGCTAAGAAGAAGTGGGGGATGATGAACCTTGGATGAACCTGACAATACACCAAATTGCCGCTTTAATAGTAGTATGGGGTATCGTCAGTCAATCCGTAAGTTGACTGTTGACTACTGTAAACAGTACAAACACACGGGTTCCATCAGACATCCTGCGTCAACATAAGCGGGCTATATGCGATTGGGACTCAGTTTCCCGGAGGAAGGCGTATATGTGATGGCATCTTGACGTTTCTTCCGTTCTACAACCTTTGCGTGTCTACAGGACTCATGACACTCGGTATGGATATAAGCTTACCTATAAGCGAAGTACAATGGTCAGGCGTAGGGTTTCCTTGAGTCTCGAAAGCTTGATGTAGATGACCGGCTCTGCTTATAGTAGCCGCGGACAAATTGAATCACCTCGTTCGAGCTTCGTCGACATCTTGACACAATTCGGCCCTGAAAAGCACCCAATTGGCTTGCGTTGCCCTGATTTTATTGGATCGCGGACTACCGAATAAAGACCTCTCTGTCTCTTGGTATCAGCGAATGGACCATGTGCTCTACCTAGCGAATGCCAGAGTTCGAGTATATTATGTAAGTAACGTTCGCAGATGTCAGTACTTAAAATGGCTGCTTACCCTCTCTCGCTCGTGGTAAAAGTAACCGAGGTTGAGGCTGGCCTTTACCGCGTGTATAGCTCCGTCCTTCTCTACATCTCCTACTCTACTCCGCACCCGGGCCACTCCCTACTCGCTACCGTGACACCCGCGTCTTGCGGCGTTACAGGAATCTCGGGGTTCAAACAGATCATTCGTTTGCATATCAACTGGAGGGTGTATTGCCCTACAGGCTACGGCGTCCATGTATGTGAAGCCCCACGTCACGGTCATGCTTATGCGTACCCATTGGCTTCTGTTACCCAGCCTGGATGTCTGTATCTGCCAATGATTAAGCATCCCCTACGCTCCTGTAGTCCACTAACTCCCGCGGCGATATCGTGCACTTCATCATCAGTTCTGAGACTCAAACCTTACGTTTACTGTTTTGTGACGAATTACATCTCGATCATGAGATATTTAGATGATCTTGGAGGTCCCTCCGAGAACTTACTGTTTAATCCTCAGCTGGTGCAATTGCAGAGCTTGCGCACTAAGTGAGTTTTGCTATGGACGAGCAATCGTTACATCATGTAAATCGTGAACCCGTACATTATAGATTCCATTCATTCGACGTGCAGACTAAACACGATTTACATCCCAGTCTGACACAGCTGTTTCCTCGGTGTCGGTAGACGGTATAATCCCCCTTCGGAACATGAGGTCACTCAGCTCGATATCTCTGGACGTACGTCCATCCAAGTCGATCTTGTTTCGTCTTCGTAAGTCGAGGATCATCCACGGGCCAGTCATGGTCAGAAACATGACCTGCAGGATATGTTCTATACCCCAGTATGCGAGAGCCTATAAGACAGAACGATGAGTGAGTTATGAAAACAGGGAAGAACGATATCTACGCACCGTGTCTATGGGCATGACCCTGTTTGAGAAAATGTTACCAATCAGTTCGGTGAGAGCACTAAGGTTTACGATTAGCACATTTAAACGTCATGAATGTGAGTTTAGCTCGCGAAAATCAACATACACAAAAAAGTAGATGAGATTGTCGCGGACAGTGACTGATGCGACCATTCTCGTAGACTTAGCGGGATCCCGCCAAAAACCGCGTGGGAGGTGCTTGAGAGCATAGTATAGCGCCAGTACGCTGAGAAGAATCTCGTAGGCTAAAAGTGCTGAGCTTCCAGCCGGCGAAGTCCACTCCAAGCCGGCCAAGCTATACGCGTGTCCGTCCGCTATGCAATATAGTCTAGCTTGGCAGTGACCAACGGCACGGAAGGATGATACTCACCGAACTCACGGGGAATAACCACCCAGTAGAAGATGCTGGCGATGAGGTTCGTTGCTTGTGCCAAGAAGTACGTGCAGAGGAGGAAGTAACGAAGCTTCTCGTCTTTGCCGAACAAGATCCACACCCTCAGGGATAGCATCCCTATAGTTGGTCGGTAAACGCGAACTGAGATGCGGGATACACTATGGCTTACCTTGCAGTAAGATGACTAGAAGGTTCTGGCTGATCAGTTGAATAAGAAAGACAGAAGCAGCTACGCAAAATCAGTCTATGTTTTAGTAGCGCTATAGCAGCGAACTTACAACTTTTCAGATTGAGCATGTGGAGTAGAGGTTCTGAAAATAAGGCCACATTGTATAGCGAGACTTACTTCTGGTGAACAATTCATCTCTGTGAGAACCGGTCTGTGAGCTTTGCTTGCAAACATCATTACTCACTGAGCATCGAATACTAGCTTCAAACAAGCAAGTTAGATAGGAACGATTCCGGGTGTTTACTGAGGGCTCACCCAGTAACGTCCTATCAAGCAAGATCATCGTACATCTGAGTTACGCCAACCAGGTGGGAAGCGACCGACTTACACGGCGTATAGGAGACCAACGTAGCGAAGCTGGATGTTGACATCACCAGTTTGAACGGTTCCGGGTGTGGAAGATAGGCGGCGGACTCACCAAGACATAGACGAAGGTCATCGAGGCGAACTTTCTACCCTGTATCGACTTCTCAACAATAGTACTACTCCCATACTCCAGCTTCTTGACCTACCCATATTAGCTGAAACTATAACGCGATATGAAGTCAAGTCAGCTGAGTCCAAGAATCACACACAATGCAACCTTACTTCGAGATCGAGATTGAGCACTGGCAAAGAATAGAGCTTGGTCAGGTCGTGTGATTATAGCAAAAGACGTGGCAAATTTTACGCACAATAGTTATAGAACGCCAAAGTCAAGCCAGCAGCTATGTGATTGGCTCTGATTAGACAAAGGATACGATGCATGCGATGCTCAAAAGGCTGACCGACTCCATTGGTGTTGCGGATGCCAAAATTCTCGGCCCAAACACCGCTACCAAGTGAACATGACATGGGGTGGTGCGCCGACGAAGATAGTCCACCACATCTTGTTATATGACACGGAAACTCCCTGTTTACCGTTGTCATGTGCTGCCGTGAGCGGCGGCGCGGACTCTCCCAGGTCTCAATGCGGAAGACATGCGCCAGATCAATCTCTGGAAGTAAAATACAAATTCTCACATGATGAGATCGGGGTCGATCCGAAGTGTTCAACGGAGGCATAGCTTCCGCTAGCCTGAACATTGAACGAGTTTTAAGGTCCTGCGGGACAGCATAACGTGGTACTTTGCTCGGAAAGAGCAATAACACAGAGGCTATTGCAGTAATTACGCGTGTGAATGTCGGGGAACAGAGAAATGATTGCGACCTTGTTGAGATCTTCTCTTTTCGCGCGTTATGCATAGCAAAGAGCCCACCGCTGATTTGCTGCCAATCATTCCGGCCAATAGACCGAATGAACTTATTGAATTTAGACCGAGTGAAAATGCTTCTTCATCGTCTATCCACGCGGACTCATTGTCAGAGATCGAGAGAGATGACAACAACCATGTGCGGCACTGCCCTGTGATGCGGGGATAATGTGCTGCATTAGAGACACATTCGGTAATCCGCGCTCAGCTGAAACACCAGTTGCCAGTGTAGCGGCTTTGTACCTTAGGCCTTAACTATCTATGGAATGAGGCTCGGTCCAAAAATTATAGTTTGGGGATCATGTGCACCTCCGTCAATACAAATGGATCAGAGTGGACATCTGTCCTTGCGTCTTTGACAATGTTCAAGCAGCTCGAGCAGGGGCTATTGGTAGAACTACGTGCGATACGGATGTTGCTCCGCTCAAGCCCCTCTTCAGGATGGCGCTGACGTACCAATATCAATGAATTCTCAACGGGAATGAAGAGAGCTTATTGAATAAAAAGGGGGTGGCAACTCGCGCTGGCCGACATGCATTGATAATGAACACGGAAATGTTTCGGGTTATGCACGACTGTCAAAGATGAGAATGTGCGATCAAGGGTGCACCCATACATACCCATGCTACCTGGTCAATGCATCAAAACATGAAATTGACGTTTGACTATGAAAATGATCGAGGGACTGCCAACGCTTGTGCGCTAATATTGCGCTCAGGGCTCACAGACGTCCTTGCTCCCGTTCCGATTTAGCGCGAGATGGGTTTAGGCATGGAAGGCGTGTTATAGCTAGGATAGGTTACCGTGTTCCGGCCTCGTTTGATAACCGTTGGTGAGGCATAACAAGCGCAGCTTCGGGCGAGCGACGGCGTTCGTTGGCTCATCGTTGCTGTCATCTTGAAAATGGTCTCATGCACAGGTATGTGTGCCTGGAAATAGTCCAAGCTCGCAAAGAGGTAGTTCAATTACAAAAACCCCTATGCGTCCGTGGCCACCGATGACAAGACATCGGAGACAACTCCAATGAGCTTCGTGGATCACCGAGGGGTGACGAAATAAGGCCTTACCAAGGATCTCCATCAGACGTTGGAGATCGCTCGGGAAGTAGATGAATTGAGGAGGAAACGAGCCCGGTTGCGGGAGGACTCAAGTGAGGTGAGGGACCACGCTACCAATGTCTGGTTCGAAAGCTGATATCAGGTTCTAGAGCTGAGGCGTGGAAAACGTCGGCGTACGTGGGTATCAGTAACTGGATAATGATGGCGGGACGCGATTGTAGTGTGAACAGACGGCGAGCTTGTCCGCAAAGTCGAATTTGTTGGTTGCCAATATGACAAGGGCTTCAGATAGCACCTCGGCCGGGATGCGATGCACAGTTAAGAGAAGCTTGGAGTGCGCCAGTTTACGCGTTTCAAGGGTCTTGCGGCAGTTCGGTAGGTGACCGACAAGGGGGTTGATGTCGGAGAGCAATTAGCACGTCTGAAACCTTCCTACGATGAAAAAGACGTCCGCAATGACCGGGTCCGCTACGACAAATCGGTTTCGTATTTGTAAGTTTTCCCATCTTAGGCCGCCCAGCTAACACCGTGGGTGACACCATAGAATGAGTCGAAGGACGAGATGAAAGAGGATCTCCTACTTTTTCGATGTCCGATGCAAGTACAAAAGCCAGGTGAACAAGGTCTAAATCAGTGAAAATATTAGATGTTGCTTTAGGATACTGACCTGTCTCATAATAGACTGCGAGCGACATCCGGTTTTTCTTTGTTCGAGAAACATGGTGATTAGTCGATGGGGCCTCGAAGACAAGAGATGTGCCAACGACACTCTTGCACGTGAACTTCTGCCAGGTAGGCTAAGGAGTCAGCAAGCAAAAGTGATGATGAAATGACCACGAAAGATGAACAGATCAAAGAGACTATGATAGAATGGTAAGTACTTCAGTAGCAGCCACACGAAAAATACAAAAAAAAATGATTTAACTGATGTTCAAGTATACAGCATCTATTCTACAGTTATTGCATCACCAAGATCAAGAAACGTGAAGGAAGTTGCTCAGTAACGGCCTCGGGTTACGAGTCTGTTCAGACCCGTCGGTATCTGAATTGGTCAATCTTCAGTTACCTGAAAACGTGACAACAGTCAAACGCGCTTACCTTCCACCCATGTGTCCTTGCCGCTCGCTCATAGCCCTCGAGCGCTTCATGCGGGCTATACGGCCTGGAGGAATATCAGAAACTGGGTTTTCGACAAGAATCGCAAAAGGGTGAAACATACATGCTCCAGTTCTGCGCTAGCCTCGCGGGACGCGGGTCTAGATTCGAAATGGCTAGCTTAATTTGAAGCAAAATGGCGGAGATGGTATAGCTCGGAAGCCAACCTTTAAACATCGTTGAATGTGAAACACGATATAAGCGATTAAACTAAACATACCATCGGACGTCAACAAGTCCATACATATCGATCCACCTGATTCGAATCGTCAGCAACCTTATCCACAGCAGACGTGAAATATATGCTAACCTCCAGTCACATGTCCACCTCCGCCCTGGATGAACGGCAACATCCGCGGCAACAAAATCCGGAAGAACGGCGGTGCATGCGGGAAATCCGGGGGGAACCTGATCTCAAACACCAGCGAGTTCACCTCCTCCCGCGCCATATCCTGCGCGACTGGCAGCTCGGGGTCGAACGAGTGCAGCTCGACGACCCACTGGAACAGGTTCTCACCGTTGTGCTCCGGCGGCATGTACCACCCGAGCTCCGCGAGCCCTGCCCCGCCCGCAGCGGACGCCTTCGTCTGCTCGGCCATCATCGCGCGCAGCTCGCGCTGTAGGGGCGCGACGGCCATCTGCGTGGACTCGAGGGGCGGGGGCAGCATCGTTTCGACGGCTGTGCTGACCCAGTCGGGGTCGTGTGTCCATTCCGGGGCGCCGTTCGCGGGTCCAGAGTAGGCAGAAGACGAGGCCGATACGCCGTCAGAGGGCCGAGCGTGAGCACCGCCCGAGTAACCGAACACGTTCTGGTCTTCATCGTCGAAGGGAACCTCCTCGAAGGCTTTGCGGCATGCTTCCAGGAGCCTATACATCTTGTGCGATGGCTCAGGAACAGCGATGGCCTGTTGGTTCAGCGTCGTTGGCCGCTGCGGATCGAACGTCATCAACGGGACCTTGGAGACACTTTCCGGCTCGTCATCTTCGTCGTCATCGTATGTCTTCACAAGCAGGTGACGGCTGTGTGTTCAAGTATCGTCAGTAACAAATAGGGTAGAGCGAGAAGAAAAAAAATATAGAGGTTCGAGGAAGAAAAGAGGAGATCTCGCACGTACCACATGATCCAGCTCGTATCACCGACAACATAGTGCGGATTATTCGATACGAACTTGTGCGGCAGGTTCACGATCTCAGCGAGGGTAAGGCACGTGCTTGGCATGATCTTGCTGTTTTTCCACTGGTGTGTGGAAGCACCACCCGAGGCGCCGTAGTGCATCGAGGTCGCCCCATCCTTGCCAAAATACACCCCTATGCACGTAAACATCTCATTAATTACATCAAACACAAGGTAACAAGATCCTTACCATGGCCGAATGCTCGCCCGTTGGCAACGTACTTGAACCAAAGGCCATTTCGGATGATCTGAATGTAGAGATCCGTTGTCAGATACTCGGAGACGGCTATATCGGAAAATGCACACATACCGAATGCCAGTTCTGAATAGGCGAACCGTGGAACCCCTGTTCGTGCGCATACAGTTCTCATCAGAACCAAGCCCACAAAACGTGGTGCAAGTTGCAAGTGCGCCCGCCAGCCATTGCTCAAAATTGAACTTACCAGAATCGTCGGATACTTCGCCGCATTCTTATCCTCCTTCTTCGCCTTCTCCACCTCGTCCTTAAACTGCGCCTCCTTATCCGGCGCCCCGACCACAAAGCGGAACTGCATCCAGTCCTTGCGCGCTTTGAATCTCAAGTTAGCAACGCCACACAGCTCAAGGAAAGACAACGAGGAAATTCACAGAGCACTCACAGACGTTCCGGATCCGCTCGTCCGGCTCCGAAACGTGAATGTCCGCCGTACACGAGGCGACGCACCACCGCAGGATCGTCCACGCCGCGAGTGGGATATCGGGGTCCATGTCTCGCAGCGTCGGACGCGTGACGCCTGGTATGACTTTCTGTTCTAGGTGGGACTTCATGTCTTCGATCTGTATACCGACATATATCAGTCAGCATACAAGAGTTTGCTGCCAGGCCAGAGGAAGACGAAGGGGGAGGAGTGACGTACGGGAGGAAGCCTGCCGATCATCTCGACGATAGACTTGCGCATCTAAAAACCAGGGCCATCTCACGTCAGCCTCCAACCAAAAAGATCGCACATCACACCGCCAAAAAACATCGAACACCACACACACCTGCGGCACACTCAGCTCGTCAAACTCGCACAGTCCATCCGACGCGGCGGTGACCGGCCGGTCCGGCCCCTCTCCAGCAGGTACCTGGGAGGAAGAAGAAGAAGCCACGGCACCTCCAGCCCGCGCAGGCGTCACCCCGAACTGCGCCGCAGCGGCAGCAACGAACGGCGTGATCCTTCCGGCTCCACTTGCACTCGCACTCGTCGCCGCTGGAGCCGCCGCCGCCGCCGTTGTAGCGACAGCGGCAATGGCAGGAGCGGGTGCAGACGCTGGCCCCGCACCCGTCCCCGCCGCCTGGGGCTGGGGCTGGGGCGGCTGCGCAACGGGTCCCGGTGCCGCTCCCGCTCCCAATAGCCCTAACATGGTCCGAGGCGGCGGCTTCCTCACCGACCCCTTTGGCGGCGGCACCCGCATACCAAGACCGCGCGGGAGCGGCTCGTCGAGTGCGCCGCTCGAGGCGGCGAGGTGCGCGAGCGAGACGAGGAGGTCGACTGTGGGTGCGTTTGTGCATATTTCGTACTGTGTTGTCGCATGGGGTCAGCTGTGGTGATGAGGGGACGAGGTTGAAGGAGAAGAGGGGAGGAAGGGGAAAAAGGGAAAAAGAAGTCGTACCTCGAGCGACGGCCCCAGATTCAGCGAGTAATAGTGGTACGAGCACAGCGGCGCGTCGCACACGTACGGCTTGAGCGCCTCGTAGTCCGTCGTCAGCCTCCGGTGGCACACCATGCAGTACCGCGTGCAGAGCTGTTCGTCGATAGCTTAAGTCACCTCACCTCATACATGGACACGAGAAGAGAGACGCACCGTAAGCCGGCGAAGCAAGAACGCGAACGCCGCGAGCGGGAAGTTGAGCTCGGCCTCCGCCCCCGGAGAAGAAAGCGGGTCGGGCGGGAGCGTGTGCGTCTGCGCCTGCTTCTGTTCCTTCTTGTCGGCGGCTTGGAGTTCCTGTGACATCCGCCGCCGTAATCAGCAAAACAGAAAGACGACGGGGCGGAAGGAAACGCACCCTTTTTATCTCCTTGTAAACCTCCCCCGCGTCTCGCTGCCCCGTCGTCGCGGCATCGTGCAGCTGCTCCGCGCCCGCCCATCCCAGGCCAAAACGCTTGCGCAGCTGGAGAATCGGAACGAGGTGGGTCTCGAGCAGGCGCTCGAGCGACGCGCTCAGACTCATCTTGTGGATCTTGCCTCCGTCTTCTTCCCCTTCCTCCTCCGCCTCCTCTCCTTGCTTCCCATTCGGCGCTCCGAACCCGTCTTCGTCGGGCAGGAGAAGACTGGCGTCCACAACTCCGTCCCCATATTGCGCCTGCGCTGTCGGCGCTGCCGGCGCCTTCAGTCCAAACGTCCGCAACGCCCCGGTCACCGCCTCCGCCGCGGGCTTGTACGCGCCGCCCCTCACCAGGCCCACGACAAAGCGCATCTTCGCACCGCGCTTGCGCGCCTCCTCCGTCTGCGCCGCTGTGCGCGGGTCGAGCGGCGGGTAGACGCCGTGCATGCCCGATATGACGAGCACGAGGTGCGCGCGCGGGGTGAGGAGCCGGCGGTCCCATGCTAGCAGGGCGTGTGCGGGGATGGCGTGCGAGAGCGCAGAGAGGGGGAGCGAGACGGAGAGGGAGAGGGAGGAATGTGCGGAGGTGGTGCGGAGGAGGCCGGGGCGGTAGGAGGCGGCGAGGGTGCCGAGGAAGTCACTGGTATGATGGGGTTATGTTAGTTGAATTGAGGGCATGCAGGGTAGAGAGTGTGATGTTCACAGTCGACGGTGCGGGAGAGAGAGAGCGTGATAGGAGCAAGGGGATAGAGTTAAGGATGGGACTGAGGACTGAAATGAGGAGAGGTTATGAAAACACGTACCGCTTCAGCTGCGCCATATCCACGCTCGGCGACCCGATCTCCGCGATACTCTGGCTCATGGTCATGAAATCATGGTCAAAGTCAGCCGGGTCATCCATGATTTCCGTGTGCGCGTCCTCGTCTTCGTCCGCTGAGCCCATCTCGACATCCCCGTCAGTCGTCGAAGCGCGCAGCCTCTTGAGGACGCGCTCCGCCGCGTCCGCGATCGTGAGCCCTTCGAATTGAGGGAGATCCTCAAGCACGGCGGTGACGTTAGCGAGGAGCGCGTCGTCGACCGAGGGGTGTTCGCCAAGGGTATAGGAGACAAAGAAGACATGGTTCTTTGGGTATTCTGACGTTTCTATAGCAAGATATATGTTAGGTTTCGCGAGGATGGGCCAACAAAGAAGGCAGGCTCACCAGAGGCCAGGAGAGTGATGGTGAGCCCGAGCGCGTCGTGGGAGGCTTGGAACTGGATCGCGCCGTCGTCTTCACCGTCGCCAAAGTCTATGACATGCGAACGATTACCGATGCGCAAGTGCGAGTACGAATGAGCAGAAGGTAGATGCGTACCTGTGGCGGACCAACCATCCTTGGCTGGCAAACCGTGCTGTACGAGCGTCTCGAGGTCAGACCTGAACGCCTTTCTTCCCTTTAGGGGTCTAGTGGATGTAGATGCGCCACTCATGTCCTTTGTACTTGCTGTACACGGAGGTGTAAGTTGAAGATACAGGAAGAAACGTGGACTTACAACCCGTGTCACTCTGCTGCTGTGCGACAGACGCTATATTCGGCGCGCTCGGCTGCGGCGCTGTCTCGCTCGTGTTTACACTCGTAAACTCTGGGCTCAATCTTACACGTTTCTGCGTGCAATGATTTGCACTTGATTCTCTGGGCACTCTGTTTTCCTTGCTGTTTTCCGCCTCGTGTTGTTCAAGGTCCTGACTTGCTTGTGTCCCTGACCGTTTGAGCGCTGGTGCACCCTGGACCATCGGCAGTAGATCGTGTCGGATACTTCGCTTTCAGATAACTCAAAGCTTAGTTGGATGTCTGTTTGCGTGTTGCGCTGGTGAGGATGAGAGTGAGACGCGTATCGACACGTCCAAACACGCGTTGCTAATTAGCTTGACCCTGTACAAGGGGAGCTACGGCATTTGCCGAATGACTCGAGACGCGCTCCCGACGCGTTCCACCTCTTTCGCGTGAACTTAACCTTGCTACAGCCCATCGATGCATCCATCTTCTTACCTTGCTGTGTGACATTAACAGACTATCGACTAAGAACTAACGACGATACATCTGGGCCCTTATGGACGCAGCTCAGTTTCATGCAGCAGTAAGCCTCAGCGTCGAACTTTTGAGCTTCTAGTAGGCCTTCGCGCTTCCTTGGCTGACCATTCTCCCCAGGTATACCACGTAGTGAGCAATCACTAACTACGGTGATCGTTCAACGTCAACCTCTGAGCATGGTTATCAGGTTAGGCAGATACCACCCCAGAGAGTCACAAGCTACGGTATTTCATCGTCCTCTCTCGTCGAATCCTATACATAGGCTCAACGCAGATCCATGTCCAAGGCCACATAGCCAAACTCGTAGGCATGCCTCGCAACTCACGTCATGTCGGCCAAGGTAATAATTCACAGTTACCTCTAGCTCATTGTCCCCTGATCTTCTCATCCCCTCCCACACCACACCCTCTAAAGCCCTAAAGTTCCTCTCGCCCGACGCAACACCGCCCGTGCCCTGGCAACGCGTACTCGGGTCCTCCGGTGCGATCTCTTCGCGTGGACCAGGAACCAATGGGGCGCAGAGGCAGCGCGAGGCGCTCGAGGCGGAGGGCGTCGAGGTCATCCAGACGCAGGGCGGGGAACTACGCGTCAATCTCAGGGAGTACGGATGGTTTCCGGATGTTGGGACGGTTGATACTGGTGTTGAGAATGAGGATGAAGAGTATGCAGAAGAAGGCGACGGCGAAGAGGACGAAGATGCAGAACTTGAAGAGGGGAGGGAGCACGGGATGGATGAAGACGAGGCAGAGCGAGAGGCGGAGAGATGAAGATGGTGATTGCGGGTGTGTTACACTTGCTACATTAACCGACAAGCTTATTCTGAAGTATACATCCAGACGACTACAAAGACTTGCACATTTGAACATTGCTGTTGCCTTCACCGCGCTCGATCACGTCGAGGTCGCGTGTTGACAACCTCTAAGATTATCCGCCAGCTATTCATAGCCCCTATCTCTCCCACCTCTCCTCCACTTCCCCACCGCTCTCTGCCAGCCCTCTTCCCTTTGCCCTCCTCTCCCACCTGCCCTTCCTCGCTGCCCAAGCGCCCTATCACCCCCACTTACCTCGAATTTCCTCATTAAAACCTCGACAAAATGCCCTGGGACCTCATCCAGCTCAACTCTGGTACGACGCTAGCACGCCCCTCTTTTTCTCCAATTTTCCTGCGAACGTTCTTCGGTTTCCATCTACCAAGCGCCCACATCAAAAACTAACACTCGCATGATTGTTTGACTTGCCAGGCTATACCATCCCCAGCATTGCATTCGGCACATGGACCCTCGGCAACGGTCAGGGGCCCATCGACCAGGTCGAGCAAGCGCTCGCGAACGGATACGACCATATCGGTATGCTTTCCTATTCCCTGGGTCTTACTCCCAGCGCTGACGGGCCGTTGGTAAATGAAACTCTCATGCACAGACACAGCGCAGAGCTACCGCAACGAAGCCGAGGTCGGCACCGCGCTGCACGAGGACGGGAGCGCCCGCGGGGACCTGTTCATTACTACGAAGTACTCTGGAACGAATGGGCTGGATATCGCGACGTCGATCCAGAATAGCCTGGATAATGTAACCTGTCCTTTGATTTCCTTCTACTTTCTTCTTTCCTTTCTTTCTTCGCAATGCAAGCTCACGATACGATCGTGGCACATACAGCTCGGCACGTCCTACGTCGACCTCTACCTCATCCACTCCCCGCGCCTCGCCGTGCCCGACATCCCGACGGCGTGGCGCGAGATGGAGGACGTGCATGTGCGGGGACAGGCACGGTGCGTGTTCTCTTGCTCCATCCCATCCATATGGCGCGTGTGCTAATTATAACATTCCTCTATGAACACGGGTGAATGGATAAACGGATTTGCAGGAGCATCGGCGTGAGCAACTTCAATGTCGGACAGCTCGAGACGCTCGTCGCGAGCGCGAAGATCGTGCCTGCCGTGAACCAGGTGTGTGCGCCGTCGCGACTTCCACATCGTCTCTGCCTTCCTTCTTTGCCTTCGTTTTAACTCTCCACTTCTACTCTCCGCGTGTGTGCATCCGCTAATCACTCTTTCCCTGTCGCAGATCTTACTGCACCCATACGTCTACCAGCAGCAGCTCCCCATCCTCGAGTACGCCGCCCAGCACGGTATCATCATCGAGGCGTACTCCGCGCTCATGTATGTTCTCCGCCTCCTCTCATTCTACATCCCCCTAACGTCATTCGCATCCGCAGCCCAGTAACCAAACGCCCCGGCGGACCGCTGGACGCGCCCCTCCGCGAGCTCTCCACGAAGTTCGGCGCAACACCGGACCAGATCCTGCTCGCGTGGGTGAAGGCCAAGGGCGCTGTCGCCGTGACGTACGATATGCCCCTTTCGTTGCTCTCATAGACAATTCTAACGCGTGTTCCTACGCTTAGAACCTCTTCGAAGAAAGCCCGCCTCCAGGGATACCTCGCCGCCGGCGACATCGGTATGTCCCGTCTCGTGATCTTCCCTCCTTTCTCCCTTCTTCGTTCTCTCTCAACACCACTGCACCCCTCTAACAAACGACACACTCCACAGCGCTTTCTCAAGACGACGTCGCCGCTATCGACAAGGCCGGGGCGATCGGCGAGCAGCGCGACAAGGCCAAGGGGACGCTGCACAAGCTCGCACTCGGTGCGCTGGTTGGCGCGAGCGTGTTTGGGCTGTGCAGCTACTTCAATGTTCGGATTTTCTAAGCGAATGAATCTTTCTGACGGGACAGGGATCCGGACTGTAGGTTTGGCTGTAGTATTATCTTGTTGTAGGATGTGCATGAGGTATTGGGATTATGTTAGGACTTTCTCGATTGCTACCGTATGCTGCCCGAGTGATCAACATCAGTCTTCACTCAAGGTTTATGCGACACGATGATGATTCCGATGAATGTACTGAAACTGTAGTCCACACGAACACTAAATCTCGCAGATGCCCAATAGGTAATAAACAAACTCAGACAACAAATAAGCCGCTATATCGGCGATGATACGGTATGCACTCCATGTCCACTGGTCGACACAACACCCCTATTCAAGGCTCGCTAGTCACAACGACCACAGGCGTCTCCCGCTCCCCAACGAACGGCGCGTCCGCCATCATAACGCTCGACCACACGCACAGCCAGTCCGTCAGAAGCGCGTAGTCCCGTGGTCGGCTCTCCGGCGCCACACCTGCCGACGACAAAGCGGCGCTTGACGCTGAAGCCGAAGCCGAAGCCGAAACGGCATTGTCCTCCCCCACGGAGAGATCGACGGCCTTGAGACGCGGACACGCACTCGACAGGCCCGACAGCTCCGCGCCCGTCATCGCGGGCTGCTGCCCAGGGACGATCGCGAGCCGCTCGAGGAGCGGCCAGCTCGACGCGAGGTGCGCGAGCTGTGCGCCGGACATGGGGACCGGCCGGGGGTGGTTCGTGTACGTGAAGCGCGTGAGCCTCGCGAACAGCGAGAGGGGGAGGAGGTCGGCGGCTTCGTCGGGCGGGTTTTCGGTGGACCGCCATGTGTTGGATATGGAGAGGGCGGAGAGGTGGGTGTGCGAGAGGCGGGCGCAGATGGTGGATACGAGGTCCGCGAGCGAGGGCGATTCGCCGGTTATTGTCAGGCTGTGGATGGCGGCGGGTTCAGCGGGGCTGGCACACGACAAGAGCGCATCGAGTGCCTTAGCGCTTGTGGAGAACGTGTCGGCTGAAATATGGAGGGAGTCAAGTGACCGGATGCCGTAGCTCTCGTTAGCGCCGAGCCACGGTGTGCGCTCAGAAACCTCGACGGTCAGATTCCGAAGCGAGGGCAGGCTGGCGAGATGTGGCAGCAAGTCCTGATCTCGTGGTCCAATAGAAAGCGTCCGAAGGCGATACAATTCAGATAGATCCGGTGGATTAGGAGGCCTTGGAGAAGGAGGGGGAGACCCACTATCGGATTGGCCAGTAGAGAGTGAATCGATCATAGGACAGATGGTAGGTAGCAAAGGGATCTTCTCGAGTAGCACAGCAGCAGACCACGCAACCTCGAGGTGACGCAACTCGGGCCCGAGAAAGAGGGAGAGTTCAGGGGGAGGACGCTCCGCTTCGATGGCCAGCGAGCGCAGTCTGGGAAAAAGCGGAGGTACTGGGCAAGCCTGAAGCGCGAGGTGCACGTCCGAAGCAGCTTCGATCCGATGGGCGCGGGGCTGGCGAAGTCTTCTGACACGAGTCGTCCTGGACAGGAGGATGTCCCAGTCGTCGCGGTTCATATCCCTCTTGAAAGTCTATAAGCAGCCACGACATGAGTCATAGTTCGTGAAGAATATATGGAGTTGATGACTTACAAGCACTTGATCTTTGTGTGACTTGATCGCATGATCGTAGGGCGATGTTGGCCGCGGGGGACTAAGAGCCCACAAGTCGGATGGAAGACAAGTCAGAAGCTCGTAGAAGCCGTCAACGTTGGTGTAAAGTGCGTCGAGGGCAGGCTCTGTGAAGGTGCTACAGACTCTGGCGAGTCGCGCGCACGTCGCTTTGCAGCCGACCTCATCGAAGATGAGCTGGAGGAGCTCCGAAAGGTATAGACACGGATGCATGCGTCCTGAGGTCAAATCAGTTAGGGTGTAGTGACGCATCAACCAGAGTACAAATGAAACATGCGTACAGGGTTCGCGGATGGGGGGCCTCGCGTGGTTTTAATAAGGTCGCCGTCAGCTTTTATGTATCTTCAGCCATGAGCTTCTGTTTCGGCGACTCTCAAGGAACGGTAAAAAGTGGCGTTAACCGCATCGTACACTGTTCTAGGTCTTCTCAAACGTTCTCCGGTACCGCGGGCCATTCAATGCTGGGATGGAGAACGGCTCCTTTTGTTGGTTTCCACGCGATGGCAGGAAATGCTGCGGCCGTTGTGATTGGACGAGGATATCCGCCGAGCTCCTTCGGACAGGACGAAGCGCTGGTTTGGGGGTAACTGAAGGGTCGAACATAAGCATCATCCCTTGAAACATTGGAGGTTACCATCCTGACCAAACCTTCGTCCTCCGCCGCTGAGCGGCCATCATTCCAGAATATGAGCTTGAAGGAAACCCTGACACAGTTACATGTTTCCGTTGGCCAATGGTGATTCTGGATTGAGAATCGTCACTGATCAACGGGACATCTTGACCTCCGGCGAATAGGAAATAATCAACGTTGAGTATCTGGAGATTGTGAGAAGGCAAGACCATGATTCAAGCGAGCAAAGATTCAATCTCACCCTGGAAGGGACGCGTCGGGAAGCAGCGGCACTTCCAAAACGGGATATTGACCCCTGTCTTCATGCTCTCTCATTACCACTGTCAGAGAACAGGAACACTCTCGTCAACAAACCTTCCCCTGTTGCCCTTGTCCAGACAACTCTTATGCCAACGCTCAACTCTAAAAAAACCCGTTTAATCACCGAAACAAGTACTTCCGCATGCACGGAGGCCCCAAAGCCTCCGGAGGATTCCATCTCGAAGCTCTCCGGCCTTTTCACCCAATGCAAACCTTTCCACAGCGCAAGGCATGATTTCTTGGGCGTTGGGAGCTGGGATAATGGCTGGGATGCTCCCGTGTGGAATAATGAGAGGGGACTTCATTGGTGACGTACAGCTTGGTTCAAATTGCTGCGACGTGGACGTTCAGCTCACCGCGACGCGAAGATCCGTGAGGAAACTTCGATCAAGTGTCATGCTCACGTAAAATTTGACTTCGCCTCTGAAATGGAAGATTCGCGTTGTACGCGGCTTGTATTTTGTGACCAAAGCAAACAGCGGTGCAGATTTGACGGTTTAGTCTTATCGCCATCTACACCATGGTTTGGCAGGCTTGGTTTGAGCTTATTTTGTCTCCACGTTCCCCAACTAGCAAATCGCCAAAGCTAGCTAGGTCAAAAACCGAGAAACTGTGTACTTATCATTCGGCCCTCCTCATTCAATCACAATCTCATCTAGTCCGTCTATACGCTCTCTTGTAAAGTGTTCCAGCATTCTAAATGATATATAACCGTTAACGCAGCCATAGGGACAAGACGGACGGCAGCCACAACAATGACCTAAGTACTTTACATCTGCAAGAGTAGATATGAGCACCGCTGCGACACGATCTCCGTGTCGCAGAGATACAATGCCCAGAAGGTTCTATAACCATTGTCTCTAGGCTGATCATATGTCTCGTTTATTTGGCCTATCAGCTTAAGCCTTCTTGCAGAAAGTTAGTACTGGCTGGATAGCTTCCGCGATTGTAATTGGTCTGTGATCACTGGTCGCATGGCTGAGCACTGTGTCGGAAAAAGCTGCGAGGGGTTTATAATGGACCGTGTTAATTATGTGCATGATTATGGCCGAGACTCTATGGGAATGGCCATTATCAGGACCAGCCCTGATCTTTATCCCACGAGCGCGAAGATCATGGGCTCGGCTCGCTTAGAATGCTTGATAATGCGGCCCAAGCGATTATTATGCGAATATCATGAGGTCAAAACTATTATTATCCCGCTGTTAGTTATTTTCACGCGCGCAATATTCATCATCATACAGATGCTCAACGCGTTTTTGCTGTTGTTGATACAAAGTTGCAAACTGCAATTATGTTTTTGCAACAGCTCTCAATTAGTTACTATGTAAGTACTGCATGGAAGGGGTTCAAACACAATGGTAGTGTGTTTTCGTGCTGGGGAGCAACCATATATAAGGAAGTACATAAACCGTTGTATCTAAGGCTTCGTAGCCTAGCGTGAACTATGCTCTGCACAACGATGATTTCATCGCGAAATTTCTCTAAGTCCCGAGTTCGATCCACTCTGACGCCAGCAGATCAGTAATAAATCGGCAGGGTACCCGGTAAAAAGTACTAACATAAGTAATAGAGTACAGTAGCGAGTTCAATCAGTAGTAAGTAAAAAGTGTAATAGGATTAGTAGCAAAGTAAGTAGAGTAGCTCGAAATAGAACGAGCAATAGTAGCGACTAAAGCAGCCGGATGATGGTCTTCATGCGGCCTGTACACTTTTGGAGAGCTTTTCCCATGAGATAGGGGCTCATATCAATGCATTATAATCGTTTCAGCCTTTCATTATTATGCTTCGAAATGCTCGGGGCCATAAGAATGCATTCCCATGCTTACTAATGCCCAGAGCAAAGTTCCGACATGGGTACTGAGTCTCCGCAGCATCATGTGTACAGTCGCATCTTTAATCAATGATTGCTCCATCGCACGTTCGTAGCTGGTCTCACCCGTACTGGCTGAGCGATACTTCTCGGGGCAGTGTCCTGCTTTGCAAAAATCTATATTTGCCTCTCCCGTGCATCAAAATGCCAAGCGCAGACCTCGAGGGTTTTAGCAGAGGAGCGGAGGTGTTGTGGTGACTGCTCAGTTCTACGGTCCATCTGTTGTAAAAAGATTATCTTGTGCAAGTGATCATATTTGGACATTTTATGTTGTAGCTAAGAGACCCACCAAACGGACTCGCGTCCTACGAAAGTGATATTTTGGGAAGATGTTGGACCTTGGTCGGTCCCAGCTGTCAAGAACTACGCCAAGAGCAGATCATGGCAAGAGCCAACGGCTTTTTTGATACGAGGCTCCATCGGTGACTCAAGGATTTCCGTCCTCCGCAATCACATAAATGCTAAGCACTGCGCCCTCCTCATTATCTCAGCCTCCACATCTTTCTTCTAGGATGTCCACCTCAGATTCTGAGAAACAGTTGCTCCTACAAGTCGAAGCTTTGCTAATCAGCAATTATGGACTAAGTAAGCCTGAGTACTCTATGGCTTATGCGGATCGTTTCCTTACTCAATACAGCTGCAGCCATTGCGCTAATGGTGTATGACTGCAGTCAGTAGAATCACTCTTACTATGTGTAATATTGATATGCAGCTTGCTTGCTTGGAACAGTATTGAATATGTCACTAGAGGTGAGCAAGGCGAGCTCGAGGAAGCTTAGTGTCAAGGTTAACACACCATTAGGCCGATTTAATCTGGGTATGGATAAATGTTTGAACTTAGCTCATTGTACGCGTCTGATGACATGTGCAGGCTAGGAAGGTCTCCTGCCCGACCATCCTGTACGCTACAGTCAGTGTTATTATCCCCTGTTTATACGCACCCAATTCAATCCCTGTTGCTTACTCAGTTGCGCTATACGGGTATGATCTATGGAGTGTGAGTTGCTGCGTCGCTTCTGGTTTGCATAAATTGACTTTCTTGCCAGAACACAATTTGGTAAGTAGCAATTACTTGATTTGAGGAATCGAGGGTGACGGTTGGTAGTTGATGCTCTGTACATTTTGATGTCAAAGACTGTAGGTATCTTCTGAGCATTTTACGATTTATGGTCGAGTTGTTCATCACATACTTAGGCGTACGTGGCTATGCCGTACTCAATCCCCCATTTAAATACATACTAAAGTGTTTAGATGTAAGCCTTTTATGATTCCTGATATACACGACAAGTTGATCTCTAAATAACACACTGTAGCGATCGCCCTTCTTCTGCTCAATGTCATTTGCCGCACCACTCTCACATTCCTTCTACAAGGTGAGCATGATCCTTATGTTTATGTGATGCGTTACAGAATCTCTTAGGTTTGATGGCATTGCGGGTGCATGTGCTTCTTGGCAAAACCAAGAAGATCCGAGTGACCCTTATTTTGGGCTTTGTAGTGTCACAGATCATCAATATCATGAATGGGGTCATAGCGCTAACAGCAAATCCGGGAGAAACATGTGAGCTCCCTCAAAGGCCTGACAGAGATGAAATGACGGTTTTTATTAGCAGAAGCTTCCATGTTTGGGGTCCATTTGGTCATTATCTCCACTTACCCCAATCTAAAGTGGCAGTCACCAGTTGTCAACGGTGTTGAACTAGCCTTCGAGGTGCTTCTCTACTCTTTGGCGGTCAGATATGCCTACACACGCCTTCCAGATGCTTGCTGGAAGCATCCGCGGAAGTCTGCAACCACTCTAGCTGCGGCTATTGTTCGTGATAATCTTGTCTACTTTGCCATGTACGTCACATCGCAAAACTTGGTAACCCCATTGCGTGTTCGCGGCTGATAGGTCATTTAGCGCTCTGGTGACATTCACTATTAACACAATAGCCTACGCCCCTGCAACCAGCTCGGTAAGATGTTGGTTTGTACATAGACCTGGGCTGACTTGATCACTTGTGACCAGTCCCCTGCCTATAATTCCATGGTCCAAATAGCAGACGTGGTATTCTTCACAATGACGGGACCGTGGATGGTGCTCAGCTTGCGTAAGCAATTCGAAGAAAGTGCAAATGCACGTAACCTTGATTCTACCGAGATGTCAATCCTACAATATCACTATCCCCCGCCAGCGTAAGTCTTACTACTCAGGAACGTAGGAAGCGTTTTCGGTGTATTCTTGCAACTCACTCTCTGGCTTCATGATTGTGAGGAAACTGTCTCGCTTTTCTGGGGAATAAGCTTTACATACATGTATATTACTTTTCGTTTGTCACATATTCTACGCTAGAGTGAAGTGAAGTCACATCTTACGGTTTGAGTATGTCAACGTCGATGTACAGCGGCTCCAGCTTGGAACATGTAGTCAAAACGGATGCAAGTGAGCGCAGAGGGAGTGGTGGGTGCAAGGCAGGTATGTCATGGTGCAGCCGCCTAAGCCGCGATCGTGCCTTTGCGCGTGCGATGGGATCGTCGGGCATGAGCTGGGCCCCGTTCACGCGTCGCGTCATAACATGCATAATACCCAGCCTCTCTAGTGCGCCAAACGCAAGGAGCAAACGAAGTCCATCTGCTACACTGTGGGAAGCGTTGTCATAGTCGAGGGCGGTATGGTCGTAGCTGAAAAACTTGGTGAGATGAAGGTTCGAGACGTGACACTCGAGTGCGTGTGCGAACTTTGCGAGAGATGATGCGTCGGTGGAATAGGCACTGACGGAGATTCTGCCTAGGCAATGTGGGACGAGAGTGTGCGAAATCTCGGTACCAGTGCTAAAGAGGAAGCGAAATGTAGCTGCACAGTCTTCGAACGATCGGTGCTATAGAAGGTCAGAGGACTAATATGGCGTACACCGAGTGGTTCTTTGACGTTGAGAAGTCGCGGCGTCCCAGAGCGCAGAGAGAGCGATAACGAGTCAAAGCTCGGCAGACGTGCGAAAGTCGGTGGTGAGGAAGCCTGGTCAAGGAGGTCAACGCAAATTGCACGCAGGTTCTTCCCTGTCCCGACGACTCTAGATGCTCTATGTGTCATGACGCCCACCCTGTTCGGCGAGTCTAGCTGCGGGGAGAAGCCCCGGCAGTGTGGCGTGTCTATGTCGGCCACTGCACAGTTCAGCACTTCACGCGCGGACACGCCCATGCAAGGCTTGATACATGGTATAGGAGCGTCAATATTGTGTATGCGACGTAGAGATGGCGCAGCTCCAGTGCAAATAGCGCGATGGGGTGACCGACTGCGTCAGAGAGAGTTAGACCTCGGAGTTTGGGGAAGTTGAGGGTACGTACGGGATTGGATCCACCGAAGAGCGCACACTCGGGCTCTGGACGGGCAAAATCTTAGCCCCAGAACGGAGGGTATTGATCGGTAGTGGTCAACACGGAAGGAAGACGTCCGCTATTCTTCATTGCACCCTTGAAGACCTGGTGTCAATCAGCAGGTCAAACGAGTTCTCGTGCATACCAGAACGGGTTACGATGACCAACGAGTTGGCGTGTGTATCCTCTACACGTTCCTACCGCGGGTTATGAGTCAAATCTTACCATCGGCGGATCTTCAGGAAGACATCGGAAGACGTCAGCAAACCATGGGATTTCAGAGTACAAAACGTCGAGGATTGGCTCCTTGAATGTCCGGCTAGCTCGGGCAAGCTCACTTCAGGGATGATGAACGTTACTAGCTCTCGAATGGGAAGGCAGGGATGCATCCTCGTCAGAGATTTATTAGTACGATGTCAGTCTGAGAGAGCGAGACGGCCGCTGTGACTCACCGCATGGGTGCGGCCCTGCTCGAGCAAGGCAAACTCGTGTTGGATATCCGCCTCGCGATATTCTCATTACGGTCTTAGAAGAAAGCGACACATAAACCGAGAGGATGACAAGCATTTCGATGTTACCCGACATCAGTAGCAAAACGCCTGGTCAGCCTGACCTGAGTATTGTTGCTGTAGAAGAGCGCATCATTTCACTTTGTCTTTGAGCGTGCTTTCGTTCTATTTGCTTCTCCTGGGTGAGTCGGATAAACATGACTCGCTCTACCAAGCGCTTGTCGAGAGCGCATGTCGAGAGCAACATGGATCAAATTTAAAGCCTTGTTGCCCATGCGGCCGACAACGCCGACAGGGGCTTGACCTATTGCAGCATTATTCCCAGGCTGCCATTCCTCCGACGTGATGCTTCCCGAAACACCAGCTGCTCTCATTCAGTCCCTATCCGCACGGATCCGCATGGGATAGTCGCACCACTGGGATCGCACCAAACTCGCACTCAACTCGCACCTGGAAAGCCGCAGCACCATCTGACTGACCGGATACCCGGCACGACACTCGTACGAGTCGGACTGGCCTCCGAGATTGTCCAACACACGCTTTTCTTCTATCTCGTCTGGTTCCGGGTATAAATATCACCCTCATGTTTCGTCATCATGCAGTCCTCGCCGGCCGACGGCTTCAAGCGCAAAAGTTTGAAACTCTCTGCGGTTTTGCGAGCCCGCCGACTTCCCTTCTCACCTCATGATGACTCGAAACTCGCTCGACAACCTGGCGACTCCGGTTGACAAGTCACACACTTCGGAGGACGGCAATCCAGGAGTTGCCACGCCTGCTACGATGGCACCACCAAGTAAACCCGAGGTCAAGGTCGACATAGAGCATGTGCACGTCGAGGATGACCCTCGATCGTGGTCGAACACTCGGAAGGTGAGCTTGCTTCTGTTTCTTTTCACCTACCTTCCTTTTTCTAACAAGACTGTTGGTAACCAGAATACAATCCTCGTTATCATATCAGGAGCGTCCATGATAGCGGGTTTGTCAGCCAACATCCAGAACCGTACGTATCATTTACGTTCAACTTCAACTTGCTAGTTGGGCTCAACCAATTATACTGTCTAGCTGCCAATGCCCAAATAGAATCGCAGCTCCATGCAACGAGCCAGAGTATCAGTTTGAGTCTGTCTCTGTTCATTCTCGTTCAAGGTAATGTTCCACTCATCTGGAGTGCACTTAGCGAGATAAAGGGCCGTAAGGTGCGTACTTGCAATCTCTCGGCTGCATCATGAACTCACATTTGACGTACAAAGCCGGTGTACCTCGTCTCGATCGCGATATTCGCCGTCTGTTCCGCCATCGTCGCTATCTCACGTTCCATAGGCCTGGTCATAGGAATGCGTGTGCTGCAGGGAGCTGGGTGCGTCCGCTTGTGGCATTCTCTCATTTACCCCTATCCATCTAACGACCGATTTATACCTTACAGCTCAAGCTCCGTCATCAGTATCGGCGCGGCGACGCTCGCTGACATCTATGAGCCTCACCAGCGTGGCACAATGATGGGCATCTACTACTCTGCGCCCCTGCTCGGGCCCTCGCTCGGCCCCATTGTCGGCGGCGCGCTCACACAGGGCCTCGATTGGCGTGCCGTTTTCTGGTTCCTGTGCATATGGGGCGGGATCATCGTCTTTGCGTTCGCGTTTCTCTTTAAAGACACGTTCAGGAAGGAGCGAAGCCCTATATATCAGAATATCCTCAAGCGGCGGGTCAAGGAGAGAAAGGAGACGGAGGCGAAGAAGGCGAGGTCGGGCGATGTGACACCTGCAACGGCGAGGCCGTCTGAGGAGCATGTACCGGGTGTGGACGAAAAGGCGGGTAGGCAGGTGCCAACACCAAAAGATTTGGAGGCGCACAGAGCGACATCAGTTGTGGTGTCGACGGAGGTGATGAAGGAGGTGAAGCCTTCGCTTGCGGATGTCAACCCCATCCCGCCCTATCTCAGGGTACTGAGGCGGAAGAATAACCTTGCTATCCTAATCCCTTCCGGTGAGGTTTTGCCATCTCGTTTCTTCGGCTGGATCAGCATCTGACACCTGTTGCCTACCCTTCAGGGCTTCTGTTTGCCTTCAGCTTTAGCATCACGTACACCTGCGCACGGACACTCGCCGACACGTATGGCTACAACGCATTGACGACTGGGCTAGTTTTGCTTGCTTACGGCATCGGTATGTATCCCTCTGCAAACAAAGCTATCGTGCTCAATGACTCGACCTTCCAGGTAGCATGGCCGGTAGCGTCCTCGGCGGCCGCTGGTCCGACCGAACATTAGCCCGACTAAAAGCTGCCAACGGTGGTACCAGCTACGCTGAGGTGCGCCTTTCGTGCCAGAACTTTGCCCATAATTTCCTTGTCGCTCACGATATCGCGCAGATGCGGCTCGAAAGCACGAAACCCGCGATGCTCTTCTTCCCTCCCGCCGTGATCGGCTACGCGTGGACGTGCCAGGAACGCGTGCACATCTCCGCCGTCTGCGTCATGCTCTTCCTCTGTGGCTTCTTCTCCATGTGCGTTCTACACCTACATTGACGATTTCTGTTCTGTCCTGAAAACCGACTTATGGATCGTTATAGATGGATATACAGCAGCACCCTCGCGTACATCGTCGACGCCAACGTCGGCCGCTCTTCGAGCGCCGTCGCGACCAACAGCTCCTTCCGCGGGCTCTTCGCGTTCGTCGCAGCCGAGGTCGCCGTTCCGCTCCAGGTGAGCCTCCTTCTTGCCTTTCTATTTTATGATTGTTTTTCAATGCGCTGACCACGGCCCTCCAGAACGCGATTGGCGACGGTGGACTGTACACCCTCTGGGCAGGATTAATGCTCTTCGCGCAAGGCATGATCCTTCTTGTTCTCTATAAGGGTCGCAAGTGGCGCGAGCAGAGCATCGAGGCGGAGACGGCGCGCCAGGACCGCAAGGACGCAGCTTGACAGGCGGCGTAGTATTTATACCGCGGCGCAATCTTTGGATTCATTACGATTTCTTTCATGTTTGACGTTTAGATTCAAGGAGCTTCATGTGCGTTATGGACTTTTTACGTAGACTTATCATTATTCTGCCGATGTTATAGATGTTTCAGTTGCTCATGTTGCGCTAGTTACCTTGTAGGTCAGAACGCTTGCGAAGTCGTGTGTGAGCTCTGCTGCGATGATGAAGTGACTGCAATGTTCATAAATAATGGAAACTTCAGCTGAACTCCGCGACCATTTTGATCCTTGTACGGCGAACTGTGGTTTTCTTGTGAGGAACTGAAAGCCGAATTCCTGACGAGTTTTCTCTTTTCGTAGATTGGAAACCTTTCGCACCAGATTTATGCGGGCGGAAGCCCTTCATTAACCATATTTGGAGGGTACTTTCTATACTTGGCTAATTATCTAGCCTTTTTATAGCAAAAAAGGCATGATTTTGAGCAAAATTTGACCTCTTTGGTCAAAGTTACGCTTTTGTGCGACCTTTACTTTGTAAAAGAGTAAAAATAATGGTAAAATATACAAAAGAAATCCCGCAGTTTTTACCCAGCGTAACGCTGTTCATTAGGCCGTTCCTCGCCTCCCTCGCTTACGCCTAAGGGGTTACCTTGACGTCAGACATTCTACCTAGAGTCCACACTGATGTCGCTGAAAGCGATACTCAACCTTGTAAGAGGTCCCAGCAGCATCTGTTCGACCAAGCCTAACATTTATTCACAAAGCTTGATGACATCACGTCGGAGGTCGAGAGGGTAGGTCGTCGCGCTGCTAGTTGCATCATCATGTTATACAGCTGATACATGTCCAGTTCAACGAAGGCAAATGGGAGATACTCTCCGAAACCAATCTGCCTGTTATTCTAGATCAAGAGATCGTGGACGTTCGTCACAACTTGGCGAGGTTCTCAGACATGATTACCGACATCGACACTATCGTTGGAAGTCTCCTGGACTGCAGATGGAAGCTCGAGAGTCATAGATTGGGGCACTCTAGGTCTATCTCTGCGGTCATTCGTCTCCCAGCTGAGATTCTATCAGACATCTTCGTTCGATCCACGGCTATAGAGGTGGACTTCTCCCGGAGCAGGTCTCGAATACCTCCTCTTCACGAGACAATCTCACCCGGTCGCAGCGTCTCAGTCAGCCTAGCGCAGGTGTGTAGAAGATGGAGGGAGATTGCTTTGTCCACTCCTCAGATTTGGAATTTCATCGCTCCCTTCGACAGACATGATGCACTTTGTGGTGGTACGCTGCCCCATTTCGATGAACTGGTGGCACGATCAGGATCTGCTCCCCTCCACCTATTTTGCAAGCCTGGAGAGGCACAGCAGCTTATCGAGCTCTTTGACGTTATCTCTGTCAATGGCCCGCGATCTCGTACTATCGGTCTTGTCATTGATGCAAACGAGCTCGAGAGTGACCAGTGGCTCGATGACGACGTTGACAGCTGGATCGCAAGCTTCCCCAACCTCCGCCGGTTGACGCTGAACCGCCTTGATGAGTTTCCAACTCAAGTGGTTTCACGCATTTATCACCTCACCCATCTTGACATTCAAGGCGCGTACGCGACAGAGTTTGTCGAAGTCATCGGGATGCATTGGGAGTATCTTGAATGCCTTGTCGTAAACGGCGGAAGTATGGAAGGAATCACGTGGAACAGCCTTTCTGCCCGTATCCCTCAACTAAAAGAACTCTATGTGCAAGCATACTCAACCGGAAGAGCGGACTCGGGCGACGAAGAAGACGATGACCCCAGTAGCAACGAAGTCGTATATCCTATCCACCCCCGCCTTCAAGTCCTAAGCCTTTCCGATGTCTATCAAGACACACCAAAACACATTGACCTAACCCAATTCGACCGCGCATTTCCCGTACTTTCCCACCTTGCGCTCACCTGGAGCCGCATGCAAGACATCCGCGAGGGGCTGAGCGGAGCCCTTGAACGCAGAACTCGGCCGATGCAATCTCTCGCAATATGCTACGGCATGTATCCTCCCAGCCTTACGCAGGAGAGCGCGCTTCTCCGCCTCGGTGAGCAATATAATATCGAGTCGGTAGAATACGTGCCAAGGTGGCACAACTGGAGTGTCTATGCGGATACGATGGAGAAATGGTACTCTCCCCATGTGGCTCGACACCCAGGTCTACGTTGAAGTGTGAGCTTCCCGTTACCCGTAACGTACAATTTATTGTTGTACGTTTCGTAATCCCTTAACCCACCTTTTTCTGTCGCGCATTCACTCGATTTGAGAGATTACAGTCCACTTTGTTCCCATTCACGGTGAACAGGCACCCGGGGCTGGGCATGGGCCTCCTCAGGCCATCAGGATTTTGACTCGTGTATTAACCGCACTTTCCTGACTTTACCAGAGTGAACCTACTTTCCCAAACTTTGAAACCACAATTCTGCTACATTTGAGGATCCAAATCGGTTTTGAAAGACTCGTAGCTTACTCTTCGTAATGAGATTTGCAGCTTGAATGCCACTGATGTGATTTTCTAGCCAAATATTCTCTAGTAAAGAGCCGAAAATATCAAAAAAGTAGGTTCATCTCGGCAAAGTCAGGATAATGCTGGTAAAGCGACTTTTCATTTTCCTGATGCGCCGCCGTTCTTGTCGTCGGAGGCAGGAGACGTGTATTCTTCGGAATCGTGAAGGGTTGATTGTGGGCAAACCGAGCGGCTGAAACCATCTGTCTTTGTGTTATAACTGTAGGGTTTAGTCCAGGACATCCATGTACTAAGATTGGTCTATCCTAGTCTACAGGGAACGTTACGAGAGGCAAGTGAAACGCTTTAGAACATACGAAATGGTCCAAAAGTATATTTAAAAGAATTATAATAAAATGAACATTTGGAATATTTCTATTGATCCATTCGCGGCTTTTCGGGGGCATGCAATACCCGGGCATCTTCCTCGTATCTTCCTCGTCTACATTCGCCAATAGTGAATAAGCGCTATAAGTATTTCTTGTAATTTAGCTTGCAAATCTCAGTCAGATGAAAACTTAATTATCACCGTTTAATACAGATCAAGAGTGACAGACAGTGATTCATTGAATGGATATCCGGGCACGCGGGGACGCTTAATGAGATCAAGGCGAATCAGACGCTCTTTCATACCCTTGGATAGAATGACAAAGGTATTTTGAACCATCTCTACCCTCTGGGCACTTCTTCGATAACACAGTCAATTATCAGTTCTTTACGGGATCTGAGTTCCTACCGAATATAACCAAAGTGAAAAATAGCTACTGGTATTTTTGATGAATATCTTAGTCTCGTCAGTTCAGTATAGCCTTAGGTGTGATCATTGGCGCTATGTCTGATACTATTGGTCTTTATCAATAAACCGGTAAATCTGTCCACTGCAAGTCCACTGTATCTACCAGTCTCGTTAAATTTGGGACCGGAGCATTGCTTCTACCTATCATTTTGATGTACTTCCGCCTTCCACGCGTCCCGAACACCTCGCATGGGATCGCTCCATAGAAGAGATCATGGTGTGGCACTGCCTCCGCAAATTTCCGTTCCTTATCTCATCAATTCACATCAAGTGGGACTCGTGTTATATCAACAATGGCATTGCGAGGATCACAACTTTTCGAAGGGAAGTGTATTTGATAGTGGGAACGCATACTCTCTTTCAATCTGTGGGATAAGGTTGACAATTACAGGAAGAGGTCCTGGGAGAATCACCCAATATTACTCGATTGGTACTGGTGTTGGTGATGGGTCCCAGTTATATATTCAAATACATCTCAGCTAATACAGTGCGGCCAGCAGATGCTATATCATTCCGGCATAGACGCCTGTGTCACGCAATGTATTATAAGGCTCTACGATGTCGCCCTCTTTTTGTAACTCTCCTCCTGACTCGACCATGTCCTCCGATTCTGAATCTACCATCGAAGGATTCTTGGAGTATACACGGTTCGATCTTTATGGTGTTCGTAAGTGCCCAACTCACACCAACTCAGAAGGCGTCTTATTGATTGACCATGAAGTTGCAGGCTTTACGTTGATGTCCTACGATTACTGTCTGTATCAATGTATAACTATGTCATGGGTACTGATCGCTCATGAGCCACTTTGTAGTCCTCAACCTCAGTGACGAAGTGAGAACCTGCCTTTGGTATCGTTGCTCACTGGCATGTGCTGAAACATTCAAATTCCATGCTTCATTCCAGGTTGGGTTGATATGGGTAAGCAGGAGTGAGAACGGTGGTTCTTTTCTACTATGTCTGACTTGCTCAGATGCGAAGGTTCTCCTGGCTCGCAATTTCATACGTGTTGGTCAGACGAAGTCTTTATATTCCGATTTCAGCGCCTAATAGTGATACTATCTAGCTTCGATATCTTGGCATAATTTACGCGTTGTAAGTGTCTGCTTCGAATTTGGTAGTGGCATTTATCAGCTAAACCGTGGCCAGATCAACTTTAGGCAAGAACAACGTGAATTGAGCATGGCTTATTGTGCTAATACAGATTCTTGAAGTCGATGTTATAAACCCCACAATGTCATTGAATGTGGGTGGATGTTTCTTTGATGTCAACCAGGAGTTTGACTACACTTCCTACCGATCAGGCGTACGGTTATTTATATGCTGTCATCACTTCTCAGCTCACCACTTATAGACGTAAGAAATCAGCTATGTTGATAGTCTAGATATACTCGCTAACATAGTATTAACTACAGAAGCCGCTGTATACCTCATCGGACCAATAAGTCAGGACATACTCATTGCCCTCTTGCAAGGTAAGTTGCTTATACGGAGTGAGCACTTCCACTAAGCTCAGCTGACATGGGTCAGGGATGTTAAGCTTACGAGTATGGTACCTATACAACAAGTCCAAGAAGCTTGGCTATTCTCTTCTATTCCTATACATTGTGGCCCAAGGGATAAGCCTCGCTACTGGAATTCTCGGCTGGGTCGCAACACCGCGCGACTTTGGTACTGTTTTTTCTGACCAACTCATGTCTTTTCCTTTTGTCTGAATTTCTTCAAACTAGCTGATGGGAACCCTTACATTGGATCTGGGATGGCCTGGACATCGCCTGCTGCAAATGGCGCTCTCATAGGATACGAGTCTCTCTTAAGCCTTCTTGCAATCTACCACGCTTGCAAACACTTCCCTCAAATGCTTCGGAAGACCCCGGCTGGATCGACGCGCTCCATCGCCTCGGTTGCGATACGTGATAATCTCGTCTACTTCTTCGTGTACATATCGCGGCTTCCACCTGCATTAATCTATACTAATCGGACCTTCAGGGCACTGGCCGAGCTTATTGGCAGTGTATTTTCAAGCTGGATCTTCCCAATAAACACGGTAAGTATCATTGCATCAAATCTGTTCTGTGCGCCATGTGAACTTTGCTGATGATCTATCAGGCTCTCGAATACTGGGGAATTCAGCACATCTTACAGTTTGTGTTCCTCACGATGATAGGTCCATGGATGATCCTCAGTCTCCGTAAATATCATGAGAGAGATATAGAAGGGAGAATCCTCGACGGTGATCATGAGCTGCTCACCATAGTATTCCAAAAAGGCTCTCTGTCGGCGTCAGAAACAGGAGAAGTTTGTTAATACTGAGATTGTGATGGGTTTTAATTTTCTTTTTAGTCACCCGGGCCTTTCGAGTGATGACTCTAGATAAACCACGCGGTCGTGACTTTCCATCACTATAGTATCAGGTTACTCAATTCATCTCAGACGGTGTGTCTCCCGGTAATTGAGCGCAAATTTCACGCGGAGCGTATGCATGCACTACAAATAGATCGATCTGATATAATTCGCACGTTTCAACATATGATCGCTGCTATATCTGAGCTACTACTCTCATTCGACTGCCATCAACCTTCGTTCCCAACCCACTTTGAAATAGCTTGGTAGGTCTCCGTGCGCTCCGGCTCATGGAACGGAAACGCCACAAACACATGAATCGCGTCTGGCTTTTCGTCGTACACCACCCCGGTAGCAACATCATTCCCGATGTCCCTTTCCATGCGCTTTTTGAGCGTTCTGCCCTCATCCACGAGATTCTCCCCACTACCCGTACATATATACGTGCGAGGGAAACCTGCGAAGCTCGGGGACAACGCGTGCGAAGCAGGTGACATGTACGCGTTTGTATTGGTGGCACCGAGCCCAAGTGCAGCCGTGAAAGCAGCCTCGGCATAACCGGATTTGCGCGGGAGCATGTCGGAGAGATAATGCGTTGCCTTGGACGTCCCCGGACCATCATGCGATGTGCCCATGTCGCTCCATGGTGAGAAGAGGATGAGCCCTCCAGGCGCAGAGTACACGGGATCGTTCCGCTCGCCAGCGGGATAGCGGCCTTGCGATTCGACGAGGTACCGGACAAGCGCAAGGGATAGGTTGCCACCCGCCGAGTCGCCCGTGATGTAAATGTCCGACGGCGGTATACCAAGATCGCGTGTGAGGTAGCTCCAGCCGGCCAGTGCGTCGTACAGGGCCGCAGGGAAGGGATTGGCGGGTGTCAAAGGCTCCCCGCTCGAGAGCCGGTACTCAACAGAGAATGCGCGCCTGAAAGGCTTGCAAAAGTGTAGTAAATCCTTGGTGATTCCCGCTTCTGGAACGTCCGGCCTCGCGGACAGGATAACGTATCCTCCGCCGTGGAGTCTGTACAGGATCTTCTCGCCCGACTGCAGAGGCTGACCAATAGGCGTGTCGAACCCCTCCTTGTCTAGCCAGTAGCCTGGAATGCGAATGGGATCGACGCCGTTGATGGATGCCCATGTGATGATGTCTCCATGAAGGAGGTCCGGGACAGGCTTAATCCACAATGACTTGATATCCGGACCCTGGTGTAGCGTCTCATGCTGCGGGGTAGGGGGGAGCGTCCTTAGCCTGCAAGTGTATGACGAGAATAAGGTGAGACAGGGGAGTCCTGACAGATTCTCCTGAAAACTAACCGATCCTCTGTTTCGACTCTGTGCCGAAGCAGCCTCACCAACATAGTCCGCCTGAGGGACCAAGAACGACGAGGACGCCAAGATCTCGGGAGCGCCAGCGCAAACCATAACGGCACTCGCACAAAGTAGGTGGTCAAGGTGTCCACGAGGATGTAGAGACCCCTCCAGGGCTGCTGCCGAAGACTAAACATCGTACTTCGAACTCGTTATTGATCTAGGTGGTAAGGTATTTAAGGTTAGAACATAAATTCGAGGCGTAACGGATGTATACATTAGCATGGAAAAGTTATACTTACCCGTGAACTTGACCCACTGACACACTGGCTGGGCAAACTTCGGAGGAGCGAAAGGCCGCCATACAGCACAACGGCCTTGTCCCTTTATACCCGGTTGAAGAGGTTGGGAAGTTCTTCATGGTTGACGGGAACGAAGCGGGCCAGTGTCTTCCGCCTGTCAGCAGATCCCTTCAGCGTCTCCGATAGTTCCGCTTGCAACTCCGACTTGGCGAACGCTATATTCGAAACTCTGTTGTCGAAGATCTGAACTTCACACGAAATCCTCATACGAGACAGATATACGTATACGGCCGCACCTACCACCACAATCCTCTCATTAATGGAGAAAACATGAGCATACGCATATCACGACCGTATCACATTGACGCAGCTAACAAATCTAGAGGTGGAATAGTAGAAATCGTAAATGAGAGAAACCGGGTAAAAGAATGAACACTGGAGAGAACGTGAGTATGTCGAGAGAGAGAGAGTCCGCAAATAGCCAAGTGATATGTATGCACACGCATGGATCGTAAACAGAAACTGTGAGAGTATAACATTGGGAAAGGGAACATGACGAGAATCAGGAAGATAGTTCGTGAAAGGGAAAGTCATGCCGCGAACACGCATGAAGAAGTCTAAGTCTATATAAAACAATGGAAGAAACGCGTTCGTGCCATCCAATCGATGGTTAGCTATAGGTATAGCGATTTTGTGAGGTATGAGATCCTAATGTCCGGGTTAGCGGTCGGGGAGAGGCGTATCGCAGACCGCCTGCAGGCCCAGTGTCAACAAGGAGATGACGACAGACAAGTCGATTAAAGCTGAGATAAGGAATGAATCCAGTTAAGTCTAGTGTGTAAGAGATGATGATTGATTGTCCCGTCCGTGTGGTGCGTTTGAAGTCTATATCTATGTCGGGTAAAGTGCTGACTGTCCTAGTATCAAGAAACGGGCGATTGGGATATGGATATCGTCCGTATAAGCCTTTTGGGTTAACGCATGAAGAAGAAGAACTCGAGAGAAGTAGAGTCCGCGTGAAGGTAGGAGTCCGGGTGGCAAGTAATGCCTTTGGATGAAACGTGTAGTGCCCGAGTGAAAGTCTCAAAACTCAAAGCGACATCATACCGCCAGCGCGCCTACGACTCTGAATAGGATGCACGACGACGAGCGAGATGCCCAAGCCGACCGTCAACCCTACCGAGACGGAGATAAGCTGCAAGGCCGTGTCGAAGCCGCTCAAATACGAGGAGGCCGAGCCAGACGTCTGGTCCGAGACGAAGTTGAGCAAGCCGCCGTTGCCCAGGCCAGATGGCAGCTGGAAGAGGATACCAGTGATCTGCGTGACATTCGTGTATCAGCGGATATCCTATCGAACAAAGGAGAAAGCAGACGACGCACCATGACCACAAAGGCGTTCCCGTTGAAGAAGCGACTGTACATGTTCGCGATGAACCCAACCGCAAACGCCCTATACAGCCACCACCGTTAGCTCAATGCACACTTCACCTACAAAACAACGCCAACTTACCCAACAGCCGCACTGATATCGCTCTGATTCACAAACTTCGTGCCCGTGAAATGGTTCGTCACCCATCCCGCAGACGAAATCCCCACGAGCAGCACAAGTTCCTTCCGATTATACGGCGCCTGGTTCCGCAAGCTCAAAAAGAGCGAGTACAGCGGCACAGTCAGGAACGCCCAGAACTCGGACGGCGTCTGCTGCCACCACGGCCCGTCGGGGTCGTGGCTGTCCAGGCAGGAGTAGTCGGTGGGACCCACGAGCTGCTGGCCGAGGATCTTCTCGTACATCTCTGCGCCGATCGCGAGGCCGAAGGCGAGGAAGAGGGAGTACATGAGCGCGAAGCAGAGGCGGACGGCGCCGGCGACGATGGAACGGGAGGAAATTTCGAGGGAGCCGCAGAGTACAATGAAGCCCTAAATCATCCAAGGTTAGCCTTACGAAGCTTCTTAACGAGATGTGAGAACGCACGGGAAGAATAAGCACGACCGAACTCGACGCGACCGCCGAGTAACAGAACCGATGCGACGACGCAAGCGCAGCACTGATAAAACTAAGAAGCGTCGCGATCGTAATCCTATCCATAACCAATCGCATCAGCACATGTCCACCCTCAAGCAAAAATAAGGGAAGACGCACTCAAACACATTCCCATACAGCTCATTCCGCACACTCAACAACTGCACCCCAACCAACAACGCCCCAAGCGGAAAACTGACCAGCGAATCAATGAAGCTCCCCGAGAAAGACACGCTGCAAATCGCAGCGCTGCACATCCCGCCGATCAGCACCAGCTGCAGCTTATTGTACAGCGGCTTCTTGCGCATCAGCCCGTCGAGCGCCGCGCTCGCAGTCGACACCGACAGCCGGTCGTGGATCACGTCCCAGTAGAGCGCGTACGCATCCGCGAGCTTGCCGAGGTCCAGCGCCGAGCCCTGTCGGATGAACTTGACGTTGGACGTCCCCGTCGCGCTGTCCTCGAACGAGATGAGCATCACGTCAGGGAGGTACATCGCGCTGCACTCGATGTCGAGCACGCGCGCGGTAGCCTGGATCTGGGCAACGAAGCGATGCGAGGGTCCGCCGAACATCATCATGGCGCGCGCGAGCTTGAGGATGAACTCTTGACGCTGCATAATCGCCGCAACATGGCGCGTGATCTGGACATTTCCAAACACATCAGCGTTCAATGTTGAAGAAGAAAGAGAAGTGCGAAAAGAGAGACGCACATAAACCTCCGCCTTCTTCCTCCTGCGCTTCTTCTCCTTCTCCCTTGCCCGCCTCTCCTCCTCCCTCCTCCTCCTCTCCTCCTCCCGCCGCCTCTTCTCCGCCTTCATCACACTCTTCTCATCAAAATAATCCCCCCGCTCGCTCCCACTCACACTCGCCGGCGTCCCCGGCCCGCTCTTCCCCTCTCCCTTCCCGGACCCACCAGGCGTCAACCACCCGCCCAGCTGATGCATCGAGTACCCATGCGGCAGCGTCCCAGCGAGATGCGGCAGCCCAAGCGCCTGGCTCCACCTCTTGCGGTGCCCACCGCCCGTCGTCATCGCGCTCACACTCGAGGCCATCGTCCCCGTCCGCGCGAACGCCTCCGGCGTCTCCGGCTGCGGCGCCGTCTCCATGCGCGCGAGCGGCTCACCTCCAGGCGTAGCACTGACACCAGACCCAGACCCATATCCAGACCCAGACCCAGCGCCCGACCCCGCGCTCTGCGGCGTAACCGGCGACACCCCGCTCCCCGACGCCGACGACCGTCCGCGCGGGGGCGGCGGCGGCCTCAGCGTGAACCCGCCGACACTCTGCATACTCGTCACCCTATCCCCGCTCTCCCGCTCCTCCCGCCCGCTCAGCGGACTGATATTCGAGAACCCAGCCGCATTGCCAAGCAACCCCGCGTCCGAGCCCGTAGCGGCCGAGCTCGCAGACACACGCTCCTCGGGGGAGAGCGTGCCGATTTCATGGGACGAGTTCGCCCGCCGCGCGGGAGGCCTTGCCGTCCCCGGCGGCGGCGCGGGTGGCATTGTTATCGCGTGGTACATCTCAGGGCGGCCCGCGTTCGGGGACGATCCGAGAGTGGGGACAGCGTCCAACGAGTACCTGTCGAAACAGCCTATTAAGCCATCCCATACGAAAAGAAGAGGACCGATAGAGACGCGACATACCGCACGAGCCCATACCCAGGCCTCTTCAAATCCGGCGCGAGCCCGCTCTGCCTAGGCGCTCCCGCCCCACCGAGCGCTCCACCCGCGCTCGCGATCAGCGGTCCAAACACGCCTGCAGACGACTGGGTCTTCGGCGGGCGCTGTAAAGCACATCACCACCAATTAGCATCTATAATCTTACAAAAGACAAAAGACAAAGAAAAACGCACATTCACACCCCCAATCCCCGTAATCTCACCCAACCTCGCAAGCCCCCCGCCCATCAAACTCGTCGAGCTCCCCGTGCCCGCCGAACCCTTCTTGAAATGCGACCGCCCCACCGCGTCCTTCCCCACCGCATCCTTCCCTTCTACACCGCCGGTCGCAGCCCGCGCATCAGCAGACCTCGACCTCCCCCTCCCCCTCACCTCCTCGCCCTTCTCGTCGAATTTCTCATCCAAATGCACCGCCTCCCCCGCCCTCCCAATCCGCCCATGCAAAACCTGCAGCGGGCCACCATGCCCGTGCGCATGCGCATGCGCCTCCGCCGCCTCGCGCGGCCGCGCACCCGACAGCCACGGCCGCTCAGGCATACCGAGCGACGTGCCCGTGCCTTGCCTATCCAGACCAGTGACGTTCTGGTCCCGACCACGATGTCCGCCGTCTTCAGAGTACGCCCTCGCCGCGCCCACAGCAGACGCCGCGAGCGCTGACACTCCATGTCCACCATGCGACATCCTAGCCGACGGCGGCGGCGGCGTCTTCGGCGGCTTCCCATGTCTCCCCCACCACGCCTTCGAGCCAGGCGACACCTTGCCCTTCCTCCTCTCCCTCTCTCTGTCCCTATCCCTCTCCTTCTCTTCATCCCTGTCCCTCCCACCCTCCCGCTCGCCCTCACTCTCCCCCTCACTCCACTCACTCCCACTCCTCGAATACCCCCCAGGCGTACTCACCCCGCTCAAACTCGCCCCATCCCCATCCCCATACTCCTGCTGATTCCCATACAACGCCAACAGCGCACTCAACAGCCCGTTCCCCAGCGCCGGCTGCCCGCCCGCGCCCCCTCCAGGCGTAACGCCGCCCGCGAGCGAAGACGGCGTATCGACGCCGGAGCCAGAGCCAGGGGTGTACGGCGGCGTGGGCGTGCTGTGCGTGCGCAGTCTCGCTGACCGGTGCGTCTTGGGCGTCTTCTTCGTCTTGGAGAAGCCCGATTTAGCGGGACGGCCGCCTTTTGCGGGTGTGGTGGCGGTGGGCATCGATGAGGGCCGACGGGCATGGCCGTGACCACGACCGTTCGCAGAAGACGAGGGGCCAGCCTCAGGCTGCTGCTGCTGCGCCGACGAAAAGAAGCGAAGAAACCTCGACCGCTTGAGCTTCTCGCGCGCGTGCTCCTCCGCCTGCTGCTTCTCGTCCATCTCGGCCCTTTCCTTCCCTCCCTCCGCCCCATCCTCTCCTTCTTCGCGGTGGTCTTCATGCCCCTCCGCATCCGTCGTCGCACCCGCATACTCCCCCTCGCTCTCCGTCAACGCGCCCAGCGCCGCCTCCCGCTCCCTCTCCCTCCTCCTTCTCCTCTTCCCATCCACATACCCCCACCCAAACTTACGCATCGTATGCGCCCTCACCACCCTCCCCGCCTCATGCACCGCCAGCGCCTCCTCATGCCCAATATCCACACCGCCCTCGCCCTCGCCACCGCCCATCTGCCCGCTAACACGCCGAAACCCATTACCACCACCAGAACTCGCCCTCGACGCCTTCGACGCCCGTTTTTCCTTTTGCGACGGCTGTCTCTGCGCCGACGCGAGCCCACCAAGAGGCGTCCCAGCCGTCCCAGCCTCGACGTCCCCCGGATCGACGGCGGACGTCGTGCCCGTGACAGTCGCGCCCGTGGACGTGCCGAGCCCATGGTGGACGTCGAACGGGTTGAGCGGCATCGAGAGGGAGAATCCGCCGATGGAGAGCGTTTTCGATTGGGGCTGGGATTGGGGCTGTTGTTGGGGGATGACGTGTTAGCTACGGCATATGCAAGTGGGCATGAAACAAAAAGTGGATAAAAGAGACGCATGTATGCGTTCATTTGCACGACATGCAATGAAAGAAACCGAGAGACGCGCATATATGCGCCTGATCCCTTCAACAAACAAAGAAAAACTCACCTCCTGCGGCACATTCATAGGCAACCCCGCCCTCTCCCCCGGATCGATATAATTCTCGCCAGGAACCTCATGCGTCCTTCTCACAGCCGGCCGCGAGAACATCGCCGCCGCCGCATGAAGGGAATCGGTCCCGCTCGACGTCACACTCGACGCGCGCGTGTCCGTCGTCGGCGCCGGCGAGCTGCTCCTAGTTGCGAATGGGTTTCCGTTTGAACCAGTATTACCATTACCTGCGGTAGTAGGTTCCGCAGACCCAGACGTCCTTGGTGCGGACGCGGACGACAGGCCACCCGAAACCGGGAACGCAGAGTCCGAGAGTGGGTTCGCAGAGGGCGGGCTGAGCGCAAGCGTCGGCGTGTCAGTGGCGAGGCGGGGAAGCGCGGCGTGTCGCGGGGACATGGGGAGGCCTTCGATTGGCGGGGGCGGGGGCGAGATCGAGGTTTCGCGGTGCCGTTCGAGTGCGTCCTTGAGGTTCAGGAATGCTTCAGGCTGTGTTATCACCGATCATTACCGTTCGAGCACCAGGAGGAATACGTTCGATGGGAGCCACGAGGAAAACACGGTGCACGCATTCGTTAGCCGTTATCGCAGAGAATGCAAAGAACATGTGCCGACCCAGCCCAACCAATACGTACACCCAAGGCACAGCGAACGCGATCAGCCAATATGCGGGATATGAAAGGCACGCGTCCGTATCCACATCCGCATCCACGAATCACCACAGTCCAAAAAGCAAGAGGAGCATCAATGAGCTAAATGACGCGATAGAGCTCCAAAGAAAACACGCACGTCCTGAGCCATCTCGTCGAGCGCATGCGTCGAATCAACAGCGCGGACCTCGTCCTGGGACGCCCACTGTACGCGGCGGGGCGTGCGCGTGCCGCCTGGGCGCGCGGTGCCCCCCGGTGGGCGGTGGTGTTGGGGATCGCCGCCGGTGCTGCCGCGGGAGGGCGGGGCGGGTGAGTCTGTGGATTTTGATCCACCCGAGTGGGAGTTGGACATGTGGATGATGGGGGCGAGGCGACGGGGGTTGGTGGGATCTGTGGGCATGGCGGGTTAGGTTGGGGATGGGGATGTTTGGGGGGCTCGGGAGGGACGGGAGGGGGAGGGACAGGGAAGGGAGCGAAAGGGGATGAGGACAGGGAGACAGAGAAGAACAGCAAGACGACAACATACCAGGTCAGTTCTGTGGGGTATATAGAAATAGAAGGAAGTGGTGGGGTGCTGCGCGTGTGTTTAGACAGCGCACAATAGTTTGGAATCTGGTGACAGTGGATGAGAATAGAGGGAAGGAGGGAGGGAGAAAGGAAGGGACGTGCTATTAACAGCAACGAAGGGAGAAGGAAAGAAACGCGTTCGACTCCAGGGAGCGGATCTCGCGAGGAAGCACAAATGAAACTGCGCACCACAGAAGCCTCTTCTTCTGACACTCACCTCTCTCAGTTCTTCGTCCTTCTTCTGTCTTTCTCCCTATCGTCTTCTCGTCCTGGGTCCTTAGTGGTGAGATAGATAACCAAAAGGCACGGTCCCAAACGATAAAGCGCCAGGAATGATATGAGCTCAGTGGGGCTTGCACCAAAGCAATTCCTCGACACCCCCAACCGGAGGTGGGCCCGCGTGTTATAAAAAGCGATCGCCACTCTGCTTACATCAACCCGAAGAACGACATGGAAAACTTCGCCGTCACCACTTGTCAACGCGAATAAATTGGCGATTGGCCGAACACTCTGCCGCACCTCAACGCAACGTTCCCGATCCAGAGCCAGAGGGCCGACCTTCCGAGAAATTCTCCACTGGCTCGTCGCCGCGTTCCATTGGTCTGCAGATCGTCAAAGATAAAGAAAAAGAGCGCACACGCAAATTCGACTCCGAGGCCCCGTCTGCCTCCGCAATGCCTCCGCCGGCCCGGCCTGCGCCTTGCCCTTTTCAGGCGCTTTTTCAGAGCGAAAATCCCGTTCCCACGTGGAGCTAAATCCTTTTCCGCGTCCCTGCCAAAGGCAATCGAAATGAAATGATGCCTTTGTTGGAAAAAATTGAAACGCCGCGTCGACTCTTCTCTTGTCCTCGTCCCGGTGTCCGCTTGCCAAGCCCGCAGTCGCCCCTAGCACAGCATAAGAGTCGAGACCCGTCGTCCCCAACAACGAGGACGTGCCAACACCCGCAGACAAACTCAAAGAGAGCCGCGACCTCCTCCGCCTCATGGCTAGCTGCGACGCATCAATGCATCATGCGCAGCTAGGAACCCTTCGCTCCCGCTCCACCCATCTATTCATAAATCCGGCTACTCGTCTTCCCCGTTCTCGCCAAATTGTCGGCCGGTGTATGGGAGCTCACCACACATTACGCTACAAGCTGCACTTGGGCATGAGCTTGCTCGTTCAACCCAGCACTGGTCAGAAAGGATGTACCAGTCCCTAATGGCCTCGGTATTGGTAAGCAATATTAATTGCGTACACCAAACACCACAAGCACTCGAGCCTCGCGTCGGCGCCCCAAGGCGCCACCATATTCAACGCTCCAAGGGCACCACCACCACTGTACGGGTCCGCAATGACAGCTTGTGACACCCCCCTCCATCCTCACTATCCGGGCGCTTTTGGCGTCATCGCGCACGCTGATAAGCATGAGCAGTGTACCAGCTTGTCACCACAAACCACCGGTGTCCGCATGCACGGTCCCCGCACGTCATGCGATGCCCTAGCGTCATGCATTACCACCGGACCAGACCAGACCTTGGCCACGGGGGTGCCCGAGGCGGCGCATTCAGCCAGCCGCGTCGCGATCAGCATGTGGCGTCCCTTCGGTGACGATGTTACACTCGTCTGATGAACTCGCGTTGCAGCTCAGCCGAAGGAGCAAGTGACGCTGTCGCCACCCATGTTCGGGTCTGGATCCAAGCAGTGCCTACACACCAAGCCGCACTACACAGTTTACTTACACCTTCCTCTGACAACTGTACGTAGTACGCCCCCACGCGCACACACCATCATGATTGACTGGCATCCTCCCACTGCCCCAGTACGTGCTGCGCCCTCGATCTCCATCGTCCAACGCCCACCCTCGCATCTTGCTCGTGGTACATACATACACAAGGCTCCATGTGGACCCTCCCAGTGACAGCGGCGGCCCGCTCCTCAACGTACACGGTCTGACATACACCAATAGTCAGAACGCTAGAAGGCATGCGCCGCGCGCTTCGTTCTCTTGTGCTTCATTGCGGCGAGCACGCGCCAAGCCAAGAGCAAGAGGCGTGGCTTCGCCATATCAGCGAACGCTTTAACATCAACTCGGTGCGGTTCGTGGACTACTTTGGTAAGTGGGACATATACGTGTCTATAATTGAGGAGTGGTACTATCCGTATGCGGATTTAGGATGAGAATCCCATCCCGCAGCGACTAACCCGTTTCGTATGTTTTTTTTCTTCTTTATTTTAAAAAAGCCCCTTTTGTGCACAATACTGTCTATACTATGCTATGTGTTATCATCAAATTGATGTCATGAACTAGAACATCGATTTGTATAATGACGAAATCAATTGGTTACTTCTGAATTTACCCTTTTTATGATCCGTAGGAAGACCATCTGCAACATCTGAGACATTCATTGGTCGGTTCTGGACTACAGATAATCACGCTATATTAGAGCAGGACCGCAGCAGCAAGTTGCGCTACGTGCAAACCGCTTATATAAATCCAGCTGTGGCCTAGTTGGTGATGACGCGAATTCACCAGCTCTGCGCAAAGATTGGCCTGTTCCATTCATGACGCTTTTACAACTTGCTGGAGTACGACCAGACCATTCTCCACGCGCGCGCCTGACTAACAGCCGTGCGCATGCTCTTTTGTGGTTATATTCGCATCGATGGTATTAGCTGATCAGATGTAAGCCCACGCAACCCCGGCGCCACCCTTGTTCTGTATTACAGTTCGGAGGGCTTGCCTCTGACCGGACGTGCCACATGCTTTGAAGAAGATTCAGTCACAATTGGATCTTACGCTGGTTGCTCGTTCTCGGGCCAGCTAGATCGCTCGTGTTCGCTCTGAGAAGGTATCATCTACGCATCAATATCGAGAGTAGTGCAGTGATCCTTCATCTTGTCTAGAAGGAGAGAATAGGGCGCGTCGCGGAATAAATGAGTGGATGATGGAACACAGATGAGATGGATAGGTAATGGTCGAGCTCTCGCGTAGAGCTCAGACGAATGCAACGGCATCAAGCGGCTATCCTGAAAGCGACAGGGGGAAATCATGGTCCACAGGCGAGGAGTCGCGAGTGCTACCTCTTGCCATCGCCGACACACCTGTGCGACATTGAGAGAGAGACCGCAGCCGTCGCGAACTAAGACATGTCTGCAACCGTTGCACTCGACATCGGCACGGATGGCATTTACCCGCAGGAATATATCCGACAGAATCTCGGGTGGGATACGATGAATGGGGGAGAGATATCTCACGAGCGCCAATCTATGACTTTACAGCGTCTCCCGATGGTTTATCAGATATTGAATGATAACATCAACGTCAGAGAGCCAATCTGAAAGTTCCATCAGGGTACCAGAGACAAGAATCCTCTCGTCGTCGACTTCAACATGCTTATTCTTGTTTAGAATCCCTTTCCATTTGTGATTTATTATCTGAAAAAGCCATGATCAGGATGTGCTGCGAGGAAGGATGGCATGCGGGGCCACACGAACCGCGTGGACTTCGGGAGCAACTTCTGGGAGCTGATATGTGCTTTAGAACAATACCAAGCATCTAAAATGAGACGTATTACCAGCTTCGATAACTCTCGTAGTGCCATTGGGATCTTGCTGTGCTACAACAATGGTCGTGGTAAGCGCAGAGGCGCAAACACACCCACGTGGGTTTATAAAGTTGCATAGCCTTTGCGTTCTATAAACGTGTTCAGTCACACAAACAACTGCAACGGATGGACTGGTACTTATTAGCTTCGTCTCGCACATTCTTGCTTTTATTGTACAAACATCCCCTGCACAGGCGTGTTCTGAACCTCCACAAAACGTAATCATACATGCGTGCGTCAAGATGACTCGTACGTTCTTGTTGTTCAAACGATATATATGTGTGTCTCGAATCAGGGATATGCTGTACTCCGAGGGTTGGAAAGCTATGGTGCAACGGGATCTCAATATCAATCAGCCATCACCCATACTTTAGTTCACGTGCCCATTCGCGTGCGCATTTAAACTCACGTGAAGTTGAAGACATATAAAACGTAAAATGTATAGCAAGAATGATATTTTGTATGAAACTGTAACCGCCAACCATGTGGCTATGTATGGAATATTCATGGAGTCCGACGATCAGGTAATTCGCGGACAGGAGATACGTTTCGGGAGTAAGGATGGCTGGGCTCTCACACCGCAGTCACGTATGGATCATACCACTCCTCCATCGTGGACACGTAGACGTGCCAGTGGTGCCACCATCCCGCAAAATGTACCGATCTAATACTGAAGCGTTCACCAATATGACGGAGCCATGCTTCGTGCTCCGGACTCGGGGGATAGTCACCATAAAAGAGAACTAGGGAGCGTAGCGGGGTTTCCATACGCTCGAGTATCCTTATGATGGAGTCTCGGTTGTTGTCGATCGTATTCCAGGTCAAGGCAAGATGGCGAAGGGAAGGGAAGGCGCATCCCAGGTTATACGAGTCGATTGCGTCAGGAAGCCTGTAATTATTGCACGTGAGGTTGAGCGCTTGAATGTTTGGGTGGACAATAGCGCCGTCTCCTGGAAAGCCGCCGGCCGCCGTTGAGTGAGGCTTTATGGCTTTATCGTCTGTAAGGCAAAGCGTCTCCAATTTCGGAAAATTGACATGAAGACGACTCCATAGCACTCCTCCAGAAGCGCCCACCGCGTCAACAATCAGACACCTGAGGCTGTCCCAGCGCATTCCTGTGACATCTGAAAGCGCTGTACCGCCTTTGGCGGTAAAGTAAAGATGTGTGAGGTGGGAAAGGCGTAGAGACATGTCGCTGGGGAACGCGACCAGAGGACACAGTGTCAGTCTTCTAAGGGACGTTGAGTCTGCTACCCAGTCGGATATGTGGGTAAACCAGCCTCCTCCCGTGAGAACATCGTCTTCTTGTATTTCGATGTCAAGGCCGACGCATCGGTGTTTCACCTTGTCAAGAAGTAGTGAAAATGGCGCGTCTCTGAGCCGAGAATAGCCGTCAAGGTGGCAGATCAAATGGATGAGGGACGTGCGAGATCTTGAATAGAGCTCGGCAGCAAGAGATGGACACAGATTTCCTGACTCGGTGTTACATGGGCTAATCAAGCTCCAAAGCTGAGGGGTCGCAAGGGCTATCTCCTTCCACCGGCGACACACTTGAGCCACGTTGAGGGTGAGCTTGCGTCCGCCAGAGACATCCTCGTGGAAGTTAGGGTATGGGTCGTCAATGAAGAAATCGACCTTGATAGCCGCTGACCGCACGAAGATATCGGATAAGATCTCAGGTGGGATGCGATGCATAATGGAGATGCGCCTCAGCTGAGACAATCTTTCTTCCTCCAGGACTTCCCGATGGCTCATGAGGGCTCTCACGATGGTATCGATGTCTGCGATGTTATCTGAAAGCTCTTTCACGATGCGCATGACATCGTTCCGCTCGTCATCTGAGCTTGCAGGTGTACTCTTGTTGTAGACCCCCTTCCAGGTGCTGTTAATCACCTGGCGCCGATGTGTCAATGAGAACGGATCATCCAACGCTGAGAGAGGTAACACTCACCGCAACAATCTCAGAAGCGACTACGGGAAGCTATTGAAGATCATCGGTCAGAGTAGAGCACAATGTTATAAGAAGGTGAATTTACAAGGCTCAAGATCTGCTGGAATACCATTTTCGATCCGTGGTCTGGTCGGCTTTTGTGATACGGTGTGTGAGGTTCAAGCTCAAGCGTGAACGCGTGAACGCGTGAACATTCCTACTTGCGCGTTTAACCTTGCACAGCCATATTCTTACCACGATGGCACAAACGCCTGTACATTCACTGCATTGGTTACGTTGTTTCCCGAGGCTGGTATACAAACACCACGGTCAGTACCAGGTAGATCATAATCAGCGTTGTTCAGTATTTAAAGACCTCTCGTAAACTAAACCTCGGCGGAACTGGCTGACGCCTTGGCAACTATATAAGGATCATACCATTTCTCCATGACCGAAGCATAGATGCTCCAGTTATGCCACCACTTCACGTACCCAACCGACTCGATACCACATTCCCCACCAAGCTGACTTAGCCAGTCTTCGTGCTCGTTGGTAAGTTCTGTCTCCCCGGACAGCAACGTAAGAGAGAGAAGCGGGCGTTTGATGCGCGCTAGGGCATCTTTGACGGTTTCTGCGAAATTAGGGCTCCAGCTAAAGGACAGGTGCGATAACGCGGGGAACGCGTGTCCGAGGTTGGTGGAGGATACGTGGGGCAACGTGTAAGCCGGACCGCCCATCATATCCTCCTCCATGTGGACGAGACAAAGTGTGCGAAGGCGCGGGTGGATCAGCGGACCTCCTTGATCGTCGTTCCCACTTGGCGCTAGAATGAACCCTTTGAGAAAGAGCTCTTCTAGCATGGGCGCACTGACTGAGAGTTGGCGCCAAAATGTGTCATTGGTGTGCTCGAACCCTTCGATGATGAGCGTCTTCAGACAGTCCCAACGAAACCGGAGTATGACGCTGCTCTCACTGGCAAGCTCACCAAACTCCGAACAAAGGTAGAGGTGGGTAAGTCGGGTAGGGAGGTGTGACATCGGAGAGAGGATACCAGCTGGATAAACCTGCGGAACCTTGACGGTCAGCCGTCGAAGAGCAGTAAAGTCCGCAATCCAATCTGCGATGTCATCGGTCTTGGGTTCAATGTTCCGCCACGATGTTATGTCGATATCAAGACCAGTGCAGCGGGGACGCATAGTAGATAGGGTGATAGCATCAAAGTCGAAAAGTTGCTGAGGACTCATGGGGTTACAGAGGAGATGGACGGGGAAGGAGCCGACTCGTTCGTAAAGTTGGGGAGAGTAGTCACGCAGCGTCATGCCCTTCCTGTCAAGTCTGAACAGAGGTATCAGGCTCCAAAGCTGGGGGGTATAAAACGCTATCTCTCTCCATCGTCGACAGACTTGTGCAACGTTCAAGGCGACGCTGTGCCCGCGCTCGAAGTCGATGTGTATGGGTGATGGTTCCATTCCGTCCTTGCCGAAGTCGACTTCAATTTCTGACGACATGATGAAGATCCGCGACATTATCTCGACTGGTACGCGAAATACAGCGGAGGAAAGGTTTGCACTCCAGCGCCTATGCTCCTCGAGTGTCTTCCGTCCTTCTAGAAGCGATGCGACGACAGTGTCAACATCGGCGATCATGCCGGAGAGTTTGTCTGAGACAGTGCATGCGTCTCCAGCATCGATAAGAGCTTGATTCGTTCCAAGGAATACCTCAGAGTTGAAGCAGCTAACCTGTGGGGAACGGACGGTTAAGGATAGACATCAAAGGTTACTGCAGCCTCGTTCGTTGACGTACCGCCATCTGGATCTCTGACGCAATGTCGGGAAGCTAAACGGGAGTTACATCATACTGAGAGGCATTCTCAGTATTACTTACCAGTCTGATTACTTCTTTCAATGACATGACCTTTTCGCGATGGAGTCAGCTGGTTCAAGTTGTGGTGAGGGCAAGGGTGAGAAACGCGTCCTTGTGATGAATATGCTGCACAGCCATGCAGCCGCTCGGCCAATGGCGATGTGAGAACATTAACCTAAAAAGTAAAGCCCCTGTCTGCTGTGCCGCCTGGGAAGTAAGGCTTCAGTCCATGTTGCTCTTCGGCACTTCAGTTTCAACATGCGTTTGGTAGCACGCCGCACATTTGTCCCACTTCACTCAGAATAGAGATCCAATGGCAATGGACCACGGCTGAAGAAACAAAATGCTAGGCTTCTACTTCCATCGTTCTCCCTTGATACGCGTCATCCCATCAGGCTGACCAGACTCCAGAGACACCGCGCATCTTGCTGCTAAAGCTGGGCATGGAGCTACCGCGCAAGACTGTTCTGTCTTATCAGGGAATATGGGCCACCTTCGGTATCTAAAAACGTTGACTTCGCGAGGTAGGCCATCCAACACGAGTTCACCTTGCCCGAACGGGCCCGCACCTGGGCGGTGGGTATTACCAGCTGCTGCACGACCGCGTCGCTCTCCTTCACTTCCATTGAACCGACCCAGCTCTGGCGAAGATGCATCCTTGCCTACTTATACCGGAGCTCGTAGCGCTCATCGTCACTGAAGTCGATGATAAGCTCTCTCTTGTTGAGCTCGCCCGAGTTAACCGAACATTCAAGGAGCCAGCTCTGGATGTTTTGTACTCCAACATCCCCTGCTTTGCTGACTTCCTCCGCTGTCTTCCTGAAGACCTGTGGGCGGTAGAGGCGGATACGTCAGCGGCGGTAGGTAGGTGCAGAGCATATTCGCGTCGACTCGTCAGTCGTTATCTTACAGTACACGAGAGCATGTCTAATCTCCTAATATATATTCAGATCTTCAAACGTGCAATGAGACAAAGCGACTGGGACGTTTTCCTCCCGTACGCATCGCGCGTACGGACTATCACCCATCAATACTGTCCCTTCCGAGGCTACGGTTTTGCTCGCCCAGCGCCCGAGGTGTATCGCGCTCTCCGACGCAATCCTATTCGCACCCCCATCTTTCCCAAACTCCGAGGTCTGAGCCTCGCTGATGCCGCTGACCTCCCCATCGTGCTCTTCGCACCCGGGCTCCGCCATCTCGACGTTGCATGCACGATATCGACGCTCCTCTACCACGTGCCAAGCCTCGCACGGGTGTGTCCGCGCGTGAAGGTGCTGGACTGCGCAGTGTCCGACATGGGCACGCCGCACTACCGGGCCTCCTCCACGCAGCTGGACTCGCGGAACAGCACGGTGTGCGACATGACACAGATGGCATCTAAGGTCATCGGGACATGGCAGAACCTACGTGCGCTTTGCGTTGGCCCTCTTGACCGGGCTTCGCTTGAGCACATCGCACGTCTGCCGAGCTTCGATTCCTTATCGCTCTCTTTGCCCTCTGGGACGCCATGGCTTCTCGACGTCAATTCACCACTCGGAATACGCCATATTGGCTCTCTAACCTTCCACAGCGCTGATTCGTTTGAAGACTGTGCAACTGCACTCCGCGTCCTCTTTAGTACTGGTACTGAGAATTCACACACTCCTCTCCTTCGAGCGCGCCTAGGCAGAATCTCCGTCAGCGCCAAATCCACCAACGAATCATCTCTCGCAAAACTCACACACGCACTCGAGCGTCACGTCTCGAACTTTCATCTCACCAATTTTTTCATCTACGACCATGCCGCCCTCGACTACGACAACGCTTCCCACAGCGTAGCGGATGGGCTTCGTCCGCTCCTTGCGTTCGGCGCCCTTGAGGGACTGGATATTATGACGCGACGCGTGAACGGAGCCCCGGTAGCGGCTGACGATCTCGTCGCATGCGCCAAAGCATGGCCGCGACTCAAGCGACTGCACATCCCAGCCTTGCGCCCACCGCTCCCTCTGCGCTCCCTCGTGTCCGTTTTAGCTGCATGTCCCGGTATGGAATCGCTCTACATCGACGTGGAGGTATCCCGAGACGATGTACATGCGCTTCTCGAGGAGTGGGGGCAATCTCCTAGTAAATCCGTGCGAAATCGTTGCATTCCGACGCTGCGCATCGGGAAGTCATCACTGCTTCCGGGGGATATTGGGTCTGCGGCGAAGCTGTTCGGGCTTATGCTTCCCGGGCTTATGAGGGTGATAGCGAGTCCGAGTAAGCAGCAGGATCTGTGGGGCGAGGTCCTTGTGCGGATGTGAACTCACGAAGGCCGTACTGTTTATGATGCCATCGCACGCTCTCATTACCCTATGTTGTTTCTTTTCTCTAGTTTAACATTGTCATTTTTGAAAATATACTGGTACGGTCTCTAATTGATAATAATCATCCTTGGCGTAGAACGAAATACAAGGTGGACATCTCTGTAGAATCAAGACTTAGTTCATAGTTGTTGATCAGCAGAGATGTAAGGTCTATGATCTACTGCATGGACATCTTAGAGAATGGCGTGAAGGTTGAGGCTTTGAGGGCTAGGGTTAAAGCTAAAGATTGCCATCTCACTCAGAGCTTCAATACGACGAGCGGCTCAGAGGATATCAGATTACTGGCGATGTCGCCACTTTGCGAAATACTGGCCCATAATGTCAAACCTAGAAATATCAAAGGTGTTTCTCTGGTAGCTCTACATTGTTTGCGTGACCTATTCATGGACATTTTAGAGTTGATTATCGCGCTAGTCATCAAAGCCAGTTCTCAGAGCACTTTATCCGTACCGGCCTACCCAAACCAGACATTCAAATATTCAAATATTCAACCATAGGGATGCGGTTGCATACAATGTATAATGAGATAGGTATACAGTAATACTGAGATAGATTGATAGATGCGATACAATTCCGAGATACTGCCTCGGACCCATTCTGCGATGCTGAAGGACGATGCCTATCTGCGCACACGCCGCTTGAACTCCTCATCCTTACAGGTGTGAAGCAGCACCTTGTTCGGATGGCCAGGCGTCATGCCTCCATGGCCGCGTGACCAGTCATATGAAACCGCGTAAGCGAGGAAGCGCCCCGAGCCGCTACAAGAGAGTGCGGAGATGGGTCCGGGTGCCGTATCAAATGCTATCGCAGAGACCGTCAGTTCCAGGTGGGACATGCGAGAAAATAAGAGAACACGGACTTTTCTGGCGCGTACGAGCATCCTTGTCCCAAACGGATATGGTGCCGTCCGAACCACAGGTAACGAACGTGCCATGGACTGGGTGGAAAACGATGTCATTCACGGCGAAGATCTTCGTCTCATTCTTGGTTGGCTCTTGACGATGGCAACGGAAGGTGTAGTTGTTACTGTGAACCCGATGAGAAAGCGAGTGATTGAGTAGTGATGGAAGACACGCACACAGTTTCTCTATCTTCAGCGAAGCTAGCGTTGGCCGGTCAGCTGGGAAACACAGAGACAAGAAATGGTATTACTGAACGCCGAGTCGTCCTTCGATGCTACCAATTGCAAAACCTGTGCCACTCTTTGCCTCGGGAAGAGGTTCGAAGCAGCGCACGACCCGAGTTTGCCACTTCAGAGGCGAGCTCAGATTCTACGCGATTCGAACAGTGAGCGGTTGTTTAGGGGCTACTCTGGATAGGCTCACCTTCCACGGAGTGGCGGGATTAACCAAGTCATACATCGATACGTGGCGTTCCGCTGTTGCAGCGACGAGGAAGTGCCGGCTTCCTGTCGTACACACATCCATAGAGTAGCACCGCTCGGGTAGCTGTACGCTCCCAACGGGCGTTCCTGACGGTGCGCGAACATCCCAGTACTGGGCGGGCCGCAGTCCGCGTTACTCGTGGCGAAGACTACCAAAGAAGCAGAACATGCCTTAACTATCTTATCCCACCCACTCGTAATCAGGAGTCCACTGCCATTCACTTGTGCCCATCTCACGGACCGGACCGGGGCGTCATGAGCGCCAACCTGGGTTGCCTGGCCCGTGGCTGTATCGAACATCCTAGCAGCATTGTCTGCTCCTCCGGAGAAGACCCTTGAAAGATCCTTTGTATTGAAACAAGTAAGAAATTGACCATTAACTACTAGCTGGAGAACGTACGGGACCCCAGGCCACGTTTAAAACAGGTGCATCGTGCTTGTACAATGCCCTTCCAATAGCTTGTCCATTGGGTGCAACCTCGTAGATGCGTACCTAGTCCAAAGAGTAGTCAGTATCTCTGAAGAGAATGTCATGCCAAACGTCCACACCGAAGCGTCCCAGCTCCCTACAGCTAGGAAATCATTCCCTGCACTTGGGCCACGTCCGTTGGGCGAGAAGGCCAGCGACGAGATAGAGTCTTCAGGAGGGTTTGGAATCTCGATGTCGGCGGTGATACCTGGTGCGAGCGAAGTCATGTTCGATGAGTGTCAACCTAGTGTTCAGTCTAACAAAGACAATAGCGGAAGTTGCTTGACACCGGAATGCACATGTTCAAGTTCACGAGAGCGTGGATACAGGGGCTAACGAGTCATTTTGGCAAGCGATGGCGGCTCCGAGGTTATATAAGCTCCGGGCTCAACCCACCGCTTTCTCTCGCAATTTACCATCAGCGCGAGTCCAGAAGCTGAGTTTGGCCGGCCAAATTTGACTACACTAAGGATCGCAAGCACTGAATAACTCTGTGATTCTTCGTTAATTCATTCCCAGCGGACTGTGAGTCAGAAGTGGGCGACGGTATGACGCCATATACCGGCTAGTGACTTTCTCTAGTACTACTATCTTGAAGTATACTCTAGCGCAGGACGTTCGAACGTTACGAAATGACCGATGGCTCAGTCCCCGGCTCTATCGTATTTTAAACTTGCGGGGTTATATGTGATTTTTGAACTCTAACCCCACATCACGTACTGTGATTTGGTTTTGGCTGGTGAAGTCCAACTGCAACAAACGTAGAGCCCCAATGATCCAATATAGACTTGCGGGCTAGTCAAACACGTAATGTTCACAGTTACGCTCTGATGGATCTCGACGAACGGTTTGCGCGAACATCACCGCTTCGCTATTACTATATCCGTATGTTCTCCACATGTCGCTCGGCATGGTTGACCGTGCCCGTCTTCGAATTAATCACCTCTTGTAAATTGCGTACACTGTATGCTAGTTCTTATACTTCACTATAAGCGTAATCATCATGCAATGTCGTAGAGTCATCTGGGTGATGTGACGCTCTATCAAAGCGCAGCTCAGTCAGCTCCATGAAATCTGATACCCCTCCGCTTATATCTTCATCGTGCTTCTGGCGCAGGGTGAGCATGAGCCATGGTCCCGACATGCTAATCCACATATAGAGCGATATCTCAAAGAAGCACCAGAATACTGTGGACTTGTTTCCGGTTAGCCGAGTCCATGAGAGAACCATGAGAGAAGAAATCGTACTTCGTTCACTGACTTTACATATTGTATCGTTCCAAGGGTTGTTTGAACAAATGCACTATAAAGCGTGTTAGTTATCTCAAGCTGGGATGCCGCACATGGATGATTTACATAGCAAAATACATGATATTTCCACGCACAACGACCTCTGCTAGCGATCGAGCCGAGTACCATGGCGAAATCCAAGCCCGCCTGCGAAGGTTCTTGCATGCATAGTACACGGCCAGAGAGCTCAGAAACACTTCATACATCCCTTCAATCCCGTTCTCTATAGGTGAGAGTACCGAAATCTGAGAAAGGGAGTGGAAAACGAATACGCGTTTTCCTGACACTTCGATCAATTCTGTTGAGGTAAGATATACGCGTTGTGAAGATTTATAAGGAAGTTAAATTGACTTACCTATCTCTCTGGAATCAAAAATAAATGCGATGACCCCGGTTGTGATCACCATGGCCTGAGACAGAATAAAGCCCACGGCGAGAATAGGCAGTAGCCGCCTGGGTCGTTCGAGTAGGACGTATATTCTTACAGCCAGAACACCTTTGCGGTGATAAAAAGGTGTCAATTCATAGCAACGTCAATATTTTGTATGGATACCTTGTAGAAAGAACAGTACGATAACCTCACTGACCATACCAAGCAAGTTCACAACCAGCGCTGCGACAGGAATAAAAGTGTTGTCAGCGTGATTATGAGCGAGGTGCACACTTAAACTAACCTCTATCGACGATGAAACTTGTCGACGCGTCGACGTTGAAAGTGGAAATGCACTCACGTCTACAAGTCCAAGGTCGAAAGCGTCAGTGATGCGCGAAGGGAAGTGTTGTGTGATTGCGCACTTTCTGTGACCAAGGTATTGCTAAACCCTCTACTGTGCATCACATTAGCGGAGCGAGCCCCTCGAAATAAGAACATACGGATACTGACATAGTCTTGTGCTACGAAAGACATGTCAATATCAACGAGAGATGTGCCATACACAAAGGAAAATGCTTACACCCCAAAGATCAAGCCACAATATCGAAGCTGCTTGGCGCAAAGTTTACCAAGATTAAACCAAAAGACTTGTAACAACGAACCAAGACGTTAGAGATGGTCGCCCATGAAGCCTTTCGAGTCTAGAGCGTTTTAGGTAGTAGTTCGGGAGCTGATGTGGTCTGGATTTACCCATATGAACTTGACCTAGCGACACTCCCTGCGTGATTATCGGATGGAAGCAACTTTGTAAAAATAGATCCATACCTCGAGTGTCAAACTTAGAACTAAAATGGAACATACTGAGCGGGCGTACACTCCACAGGTTGGGGGAAGTCACAAACCGTAGTCGTACATCATCATCATGCATCCTGCTACTATCATCTCAAGTGAGTCGATTCTACAAACTAGTGGTTTATATGCGCTCATACCTGTCGCATAGTCCTGCAGTAACTGCACCTCGATGAACTTCGAGTTTGCAGATGAGACCGTAATGAGAGAGTGAAGGTCGGAATCAAATCCAGGAGAGTGTGCCAGCATGGGAGGAGAAGAAGCGGCGACCTCAGGCCAGAACCCGTTGTTATATAGGCACGGCGTGATCAAACGGCGTTCCTTGCGACACCCGGTAAGAACGCTTTAAAGTTTACCGCCCCTCCGCACACCTAGGCTGTATGCTTTGACACCGCAGCTTCGTTCTGTAGCCATTGCGCCCGCTGGACGTAGTCGGGACGGGTCATAAGTCAAAACGCTAGCGTGACACGAGGTATGAATGAATCTGTTTCTATACAAACCACATTCAGCCCGTGTTGATGAGGAGTTGATTATGGGGCAGCGTTTGACCAACGGATGTGGTAGTTGACGAGCACAGGACCTACGCCCCTCATTGCCTCGCTTTCCTTTTCACTAGATCGGCACGTACATATGATACAGGCTGCTCACCAGATGGCCATGCACGCAGTTCCCAATAACTGGGAGTCAGTGAACCTGTGGAATTCGCAAGTCAGAGAGGGTCTGGATGTCATCCGACCCGATAATGCCACGTGTATATATTCGCACGGGCAACGGCTGTCTGCTCGGCCCGTTGCATCTGTATCAACACCGATGAAGACGAGGTCCCCACCCAGTCTGCTTGCTAGAAACAATCCGATATCTTCTCCACCTTCTCTCAAAGTTTGAAATCTACACTCTCCTTTTGACAACAATTTTGACCGAGAGTCCTACTACCTCGAGCTATAGATGGTCTGTCTTTCCCTCTCCTAAGTTAGTGTCAAGAGGAGTAGGACTAGTAGTAAGTCGGACTTCAGCCAAGTTATATGTCGGAAGCTTTCGGCGCATCGCGCGACATCACAAGGACACCACCACAGCTCCCACGTTCCTCGTCTACCCGAGGTGCCAAGGCTGGCCAGCGCGCGATACCGACCTGGGGAAAGGCACGATGATAAGCTCTTAGTTTGCTGCTAAACAAAGCCCGGCTTATCAGCATGTTCATGTTTCAACCACGGTTAGGACTCGGCAGCTAGTTCCTTCTCCTTTCTTCCTTGACGGGATCACTCGCGAAGATGTCCGAGTCCAAGAAGCTCGAAGAAGCCACCCTGACCTCGTATGCCGTCAATTCGGTCGCGCAAGATGTGTCGGTCGGGCCAGCGGGGAAGGAAGATGAAGCAGAGCTGGCGCGGATGGGGTACAAACAGGAGCTACGGTGAGTGGCACCTGTACGCTGAAGTCGTGTAAGGTCTTGACAACAGTCAAAATAGGCGTGAGCTGGGGTTGCTTCAGGTCAGTTCCAGCGGGCAGTTGGATGGACGCCTGCTTATCGAGGTACTGCGCAGAACTTCGGCATCTCGTTCTCCATCATCAGTGTCATCACTGGCCTTCCTTCGCTCTTCCTCTATGGCTTGGTAAGCTGCATTCAAGGAGAGGAGATGAATAGCGAGGCTAAACACTCCTACAGAATACTGGAGGGCCAGCAGTCATGGTTTGGGGATGGATTATTGTCTGTGTGTCTTTCTTTTAACATCGCACTAAGCCACCCCTCTGAGTCCGTATCAGCCGTCGCAACTATGCTAGTCGGTCTTGCCATGGGCGGTACGTTTTCTTTACTCAAACGCAACGCCCCCATTGACTGGCATTCATCCAACGTACAAAGAGGTATGCAGCGCACACCCTACAAGCGGTGGCCCATACTTTTGGGCTGCTATGCTCTCTGACCCCAAGGATGCCCCTCTCGCTTCGTGGATAACTGGCTGGTTCAACCTTCTAGGACAAGTTGCCGTCACTACCGGGATTAGGTGGGTACATGCACCTGTCACAGCCCGAAGGCCAGGCGTACTCATAGATTCACGTATCGCCGAAAAGCTTTGCATGCGCAAACTTCATTTCGACAGCTGCAACTTTCGGGACGAGCTTTGAGCCCAACGCCAACACTGTCATTGGCGTTTACGCAGCCGTCTTGTTCAGCCAGGGTACGTCCCATATGTCCCTCCTCTTTCCCCTTGTGTAATACTTAGTGCGTATGAAGGAATGATCAACACCTTTGGCGTTCATCTTCTCAAATACCTCAACAACATCTCTGTCTGGTGGCACGCCGTTGGTACGACCTCACTTGTTATCGCTGTGCTCGCTCGGGCACCGACACACCAGTCCGCGAAATGGGTGTTCACGACGTTCCTCGATGGAACGGGCGTCGACGGTGCTGAAGGCTGGGGCGCACGCGCGAGCCACGCATATGTCGCGGTCATCGGGATCTTGCTCGCGCAGTATACCTTGACAGGTGAGGCACTTTTGCGTCGAGAGCCATGACGCCATCACTCACCCTTTGACTCGATAGGCTTCGACGCAAGTGCTCACGTATGTCTGCTTACCACCCAACTAGTCTATGCTCTTTGTTGATATCGATGCGCTTTGTAGATGACCGAGGAGACGCAGAACGCAGCCATGGCTGGCTCACTCGGCATCGTCATGGCCATCGGTGTCTCAGCCGTGCTGGGCTTCTTCCTCTTGCTCGGCCTCTTGTTCTCCATCCAGGATTTGAACGCGGTTCTCGATAGCCCGACGGGCGAGCCTGTCGCTCAGATCTTCTTAGATGCTGTCGGTGAGAAAGGAGCTATCGTTCTGATGGTGAGTGCCTAGGTTCGGTCGGAAGTGACTGCATCTTCTGACGAAACACGATCGTAACAGGTCATTGTAATAGGCGCTATGTACTTTTGCGGGTACGGGTTATTCGCTGATGCGATATGAACGGAGCTTACGCGAGTGCTTTACAGAACCTTCTCCATCACATCTAACTCCCGCATGATGTTCGCGTTCGCTCGAGACGGAGGTATCCCAGGTCACACATTCTTCCGCAAGGTCGACTCCAAGCGCGGCTCGCCGGTCCGTACCGGTACGTCTGATCCACCCCGTGTCGAGGAGTCATGCCTTCACTCGACTAACACTCCCGCGCTCTACAGTATGGCTGGCGTGCACGCTCAGCTTTATCCTCGGCCTTCCCTCCCTCGGAAGTTCCGTCGCGTTCTCGGCGGCGACGTCCATTGCAACCATTGGGCTATACATCTCGTACGGTACGTCAACGCAGCCCTTCACAGTACTGACTAGCGCTGAAAGCGCATCCAGGCGTTCCGATCGCTCTCCGCGTCATATACCGCAAACGCTTCGTGCGTGGCCCTTTCCACCTCGGCCCATTCTCGCTACCCGTCGCCATCGCTGCGGTAGCGTGGATAGCGTGCATCGCGATCGTCTTCATTCTCCCGCAGGCCAACGTGCGTCATCCCTTCTCCTCTTTATTGAACCTTTATGTGCGACGTGAACTGACCTTGGATGAGCAGCCGGTGAACTCGCAGACGCTCAACTACGCGATCGTCGCTGTGGGGATCGTCATTGTGTACAGCGTCGGCTTCTGGCTGATCAGTGCGCGCAAATGGTTCACGGGGCCCGTGAAGCAGATTGAGGGTGTGTATCATTTTCTTTAGTACGCGATACTTGATATTGGAGGGGTTGTACTGACGAAAGCTGGATCACAGATGAGCAAAATGGAAAGGGGCTAGACGACGTAATTGTTTCTTCGTAACTAATTGATTTACTCGTGATACTACCTAACATCAGTGAGCCCTTTGTAGTAATTTTCGTCAGTCATCATGAACAGTGGCCGTATTCATTTCATATCTAAGCAATGTAGTGCACCTTGTTGTCTTGCACATTTGCTACCCGGGCTATTTCCATGCGTTGCATAGGAACGTCTGCGAATCGCATGCGGCTCAGTTCTATGCTCTGCTGGCTCGGATGCCATACAAACAATCCGTCTTCACTCTTCTTCTGTACGCTCAACATCATCCATGGACCTGCCATGCAGATCCACGCGAACAGAAGAATGTTGAAGGTACACCAATAAGGAATGGACTGCCAGCATATGAGCTGCGTAAGCAGACAAGTCAAAACATTTCTCGTACGTTATTGGCCGCAGGGACAGATGTTCCCGCACTAAAGGCTAGCACGAAGAAAGAGCTGCGGCGTACTCAGCAACATACGCAGAAATAGAAGGTGGATTACTCACATTGCGAAATATATGAGATTACCATGGACGACAACCTCTACAATTGTTTTTGCTGGAGCTGACCGAGACAACCAAAACTTTCTTGGAAGTTCGTTCCAAGCGTAATGCAGAGCCAAAGCGCTAAGGAATAGCTCATAGGCTAGTTCGAGACTAGTCACTAGAGGCGAAACCCATGCCACGTTTGAGGACGACGCGGAGACAGTAATCCGGAATCCCAGGACGTCGACTGTTTCTGTTCAGAAGGCATGAGCAACTAACTTTCTACGTATACTATAAAATAAATCACCTATGTTCTTTGGAACAAAAACGAGAGAGATAACCCACGCCAGTAAATTTCCAGCTTGCGATGCAGAGAATCCTACTACAAGGAAAACCAGTAGTCTCTTGGGCTTTCCGAGGAGGCAATACACCCGGGTAGCCAATATCCCTGGGACCATCCAGCGTAACAATAAATGTATCGTGAGATCCAGGAAGTGCGTACCTTGTATCAGAAAAATGACGCTTGTTTGTGTGAGTGCACAGATCACATTCAAGATGAGGGCTAAAATATCCTCATTCGTCAGATATAATGGGACCTCTGCTAAGGATCATAGGTTTACGGACCTCTGTGGAACACGGAACCATTATGATTATTATCGAATTAGAGGCAACAGTCGACATACGTCTAAAGTCACATATAAGAGGGTCGGCTTTCTCTCTCTAAATATCCGGTGTACAGATGCTCACTTTATTTGACCACGGTATCGAGATTCCCCCAACTGGATTTTGTTTAGTTATTGAACTTCAAATTCACGGCGTTAAAACTGACGGAACCTTGCGCTGAAAATGAGTCGTGTTTATGTCTTGAGAAGGTTACAATCAACAAAGATAACACCTACGTCCCAGATACCAAACCAAGATATCGAAGCTACTTGCCGTTATTCTTCCAAGGGATTACAGGTTGTATAGCTGAAGATACACACCAATAAGTATACCGTTGTTGACAATGTGGGCTTCCGGTTCTGTGTCGGGTGAATGACATACAAGGGGCAGCCGTTCATTAATTATACACACCCATATCAGATGCACCTTCAATACGAGCATTGTGAGTGCTTTTCTATTTTTAGATCACTGATATCAGAAGCACCCCTGTCTCAAGATTAAGCACTGATAGTTGCATTCAACGGGATATGCAGAGAGTTATTATGGAACTTTCACCGACAGTAGTCATATGTCACCAATGAAAATGCTGCTACTATAGTGAAATATATTAGATTTATTTTTGGTTGAATGAACGACCGACTTGCCATAACTATATGTTTTGGGAAGGAGTTGCTCGATGTACTGAATATCAGCTGCGGACATGTTCAAACAAGAGAAGGATTGGAGATGAAGCGGCATTTCACCCATGCATTTATACTTACAACCCACTGGTTTTGAGGATATTTCCGTAGTCACCTACAAAAGGCTAGATCACACCAACTTGAAACTCCGTTATCTACCGCTTGCTTGACTAGTAGGCGTTTTTTATATGTGAATTGGCAAGCCTCATACCTTGGTAAAGTCCGTAATTGGTACCCAACATCAGGTGCAACTGAAAGTACCACTGCAAGGTCCGACAGGCGGAGCGCCGGGTGTGACCGCTCAGAGACACTTGCAGATCTTCAAAGTTGCCCGAGATATATTGTCTCAGCAGCAGTGTATGGTTTCAAATGAAAGTTATAGCTATCGATGATATGTCAATCTTGAGCCTGAATAGAGATGGATATCGTGTCAGAATAATACCGTGACTTCGCAGTATCCGTCCACCTTCAAGACACAGTGTCCAATTTCTACCGGGCTGTGCTCATCATCACGCCGCATTCTACCAGGGACCGATGCGCAGCTGTGGATGTTCGCCCACTCAAGGTGGAACAGATTCAGATGAATGGTAACTTACCAATCTGCCTAAAATGACAATCACACAGCCCAATCAGTTAGGTAAGACAGTTTCTACTTGGTGAGTGCCTTTTGAGGTAATCACGAAGGGAAAGCATGAGATGGCAAGGCAGACAAATGAGTACACTTTCGGCTATAGCCAACACCTTGAGATTGTGCCTATCAGTTGCGCCGAAACGCACCAGAGACTTGGTTGGTTTGAGGTGTCAGTCTCGAAAGCTCCACACACTTAATGTTTTAAACCGCGAATAGCACACAAGAGCAAGTGGCATAAACATTGCGCCTCGTAGTCAATGTACATGTAACAAAGAGCCACACTGCATTATCAAGGCGAAGGTCCAGTGTACACAGAGTACTCTGTGTTTGCTCATGCAGATAGGGATAGTTTGTACCCATAAAGCGACATATTTCCGATCGCTCTGGCCTTTTAAAAGCCCGCGGACTTTACACGAGTCTGAAGGCAGCACAATCTGCTCTATGCATTGCCCATATCCATGCCAATGTCTATACTGTGCAAAGAGTCCCTCGCAAATCGCATCTCCGTGGCCTTGGTAATGGCGAAACTCCCGCCATCTACGTCCGCCTCACTCCTGCGGCGGAGCCCTAGTATCATGCACGGTCCTGCCATGCATATCCACAGGAAGGAGAACATTTGGAGCGAACGCAGGTAAGAAACAGACTAAAAGTGTATCAGACGATATTTTAACCAGTAGTGGAGTAAACGTAAACGACGCACACCATCGGATTCAGGCACAAATGTGAAAGCTGCAAGGCCAAGTTGCGTTACCGCCCTATGCAATGGCAGTGTCCCGTCAGCGAGCATAAGCTTTGAATGAGCCTAACTTACAAAGCAAAGTACACTAGGTTACCGTAGATGACTGCTTCAGCCAATGTCCCCGCAGAAAATACAGGGGCTTTCCAAAAGCGACGTGGTAGACGCTTCCAAGCATAACACAGAACTAGCACAGTAAGAAGTAGCTGATACGCAAGCATAGCACCATTCTTGGTCGGGACCACCCACGCTCGGTCAGGATGGTCAGAGGGAATCGAAATGTGAAGGCCATTGAAGACATACATCTCTGAAAAGTGGTTAGCATGCAATATGTTGCGCTATGAGACAATCTCGTGCGCACCCATATTGTTGTCAAATCTCACTGCGACCACAAATCCCATAATGGCGAGTGATTGCGATGCAATGAAGCCCACGATCAGGATCGGAAGGAGTCCTTTGGGCTTTGCGAGTAGGCAGTATACTCGCATAGCCATCAATCCTAAGTGTCATAATTACTAACACGGGCGTACGAGAGGGCCAGAGCCAGATACCTTGTACCAATGCTATAGAAACGACCTGAGTTATTGCGTATAACGCATAAATATTCACTAAAGCGAGGGCCTGCTTAGTTGCACGGTCACAATAGACGTGGACGGATAATATACCCACATCTGTGGCACAACATATCGTCTCATCTAAAGTTGAGTTGTCATAGTCGACTTACAGCTTGGAAATTCGAGTTAGAAACTTGCTACCTTTCGTCGTATGAGAACTCACTTTCCCTGACCATGGAAGAGGGACGCCAAGTACTGCATATTGCTCTTGTTGGCAAGAACACTCGAACGCACATATCGGTCATGACTCACATAGCCTCGTGCTGTGGAGCGCTGATCAGTGTTATTTGTCCAAACATGGTTACTTTGAACATACATCCCGTAGCACATCCCAATGTATCGAAGCTGCAAAACGGTCATAAATATATCACGCGTATTATTTATAGATACAAACCGCAACGTATAAGGCTGTTCCTGAAGAAAACTTTCTTGCTTGAAGATAGTGTGTCACGACGTGTGTAGAAAACATCTGTTCTGGTACGAACCCATATAAGGTCTACCTGAAAGAGTGTTAGAAAGGATGAACGAGTAACACAGACAACTCAACAGTCGTACTTCAGAGTCTAATTTCAAAACTGTATTGACGAAATCAGCAGCGCAGTGATGACAGGATAGGTCGCGTACCATAATCGTACATCATCAGCGAAAAGGCTGCGACTGGGCACACGTATGAGTGAGAGATATGAACCATCATACCGATAACATACCCGTTGCATAACTTTCTAGCAGTAGTTTGGAAACGCTTTGAACTCCAACAGCGGACATATCAGATGACAGGATGAAATTTCGGGAAGTGAATGCGTAAAGACGCACTTCGTCTTCCAGATATAAACCCGCAATGTCTTCGATTTTCCCATACTTAACATCAGTGCAATAAGATTTAAGGAAGCATCACCGGGATTTCTGAGGAAGCTCCAAACTGCCTGAAAATAGCTCATGTGAGAGACTATCGCGCGAAGAGCCTTGTCAAGAAATATCGAACAACTCCACGATCGAAATCCGCTCAAATCTACAAGAATATGCCCTGACTTCTTCCGAAAATATGAGGACCAACAAAAGCTTTGCGGCTGGGAATTGAAAACCTTATTCTTCAATGGACTCCTAAATTACCTGGTGAGCAATAAGGTATTCATCACCATAAGTCACGAGCATACTGTAATGGTATTGGGAGGATCGAGCCGACTAGTAACTAAGAAAATAGTAAATCGTCTGAAGACGACATTCTGGCCCCCCACATCGCTATTCATATCTGTGCATCAGGTACGATCGTAGTGGTCTATGTTACTGTGATTCTCTCTTAGACTTTCCTAGTAGCCTGTGATAGTCATCATACAAAAGCTGTTTTGGTGGGGAAAGACGAACCATTGTGGCGTCTTGGCATCAAAGAGGCTATCAGCTTGAGCGCCTACTGTCAGCGAGAAACTTAATGGATACCTGAGAGCCAGACTATTCATAGTGATATTGGCTCACGAAGTAGATCACATAGCTGTGCTGCGAGACGTTCATGGAAAGTGGTCGCGTGGCCTACTGATGAAACAGTACAATAACGAGGAGCGTTATCCGCTAGAGATGAAGACAACTTGATGCTGGTGTTGAAAAATGAACGTTGTAATATTGCAAGGAGATAAATGATGTCTGTGAAATGACATGTAAAGGCCGGAGGACCCTTATTGGAGCCCTAACACTGTTTTGAAAGAGCTTAGGTCCATGGTTAACCCCAAGTCCCTCGTTTTGGAACCATCGGGTGTCGTACCAGAGACCGGATTAGCAAGGGAACTTTACATAGTATATGTCAGTGGAGTGTACCTGTGTGCACCAGCCTTATACCAACGTGAACCGCGGATATGTCAAGGGGTAGTACTTACACTGACCTTCCACGGCTGAGCTGAACAGCAGTATGGCCAGAGAATGGTCGCTAAGCACTTGGTGAATATCATAACTCTTACTCTTTGTGTTTGATACATCTCATGCCAAGTCAAACGGAGCGGTAGTTTAAAATGAGTGACGTACAGAAGGAACTCAGCTCACGGCTCATAACGGAATTAGCAGGCTAGCCCGCCTTGGATGTGGTGTAAAACAAGGCCGTCGTCCTCGCAGGATCGTCGTTTCTTGCTGAGAGTGATCTCCATGAATGATAATATCGGCAGTGCATCAGAGTAGAATCACTTAGGCCGAGGGATGGGAGTTCTCTGCCACGAAGTCTGTTGGAATTAGTGTTTGACAGCGCTCGCATCATGACGTGTTGTTTTTATCTTACTGTTTCCGAGCTCGTACTAGGTATATAATCTTGTTGTAGATAGTCGAAATCTTGACGCGATTGCCCTTCGGGCACCCTCCCCTCGCCCAGGACAAACGCGCTATGCGTCGTCGCGAGCCCGTGCGACCTCGAATTTCTACAAAGTCGCAGTGTTTGATCCCAGGCGATCGTGACTAGGTTTGTGCGCAGTCGGCAAATGCCGTGCGGCGTTGCCCAAGGGCACAGCAAAGCGACGGCCATCTTGCATTGCCAATGACACCTGAGACAGCGGCGAATCGTGCAGACCGTACGACTTACTAAACGATATGTGCAAAGTTTTTAAAAAGGTAGTAGGCTATTCCCGGATCTAGATCCATGAAACAATTAAAAGTAGATTATTTCCTGGATAGTACATGACGATTTCATTGAAAACACCCGAAATAGTAGCTAAGCAACGATATAAAGTAGTTTGGGGACTGTTCTACGCGTACGACTTAGAATCTTATCTAATTCTCCATTGGGCTATAAGATTCCAAGAAGGATCCCGAATCTTTCCGCGGGGTCAATCCCGCGATCGATGTCAAATCTTGATGTTTAAAAGATGTAAAATCACCCGACTATAAATACCGACGCATGGATCCTAAATAGAAGTACAAATCGTTGTCAATGACAGATATACATAAGTATTCAAAATCAGGCGCCCATAAAGAGGTAGCGGCCGCTCAGTGGGCCGCCTAGTGGGCCGCTCAGTGGGCGCTACGTGAGCGGAGAGACACATTTGCAAAATGGGCTATAATACAACTATACGACACCGTCTCGTACTACGGTTTGTAAGGAAGCTAGTGTGCGTTATAAGCAATAGAAGGTTAATTCACGATGGAACTCACAAGATTGGGAAGTGGAACGGCTGGCTGAGCTTGAAGCATTTCGCGAGCGGCAGCACTCAACGTGCGCAACCAATCAGGGTTATACCAATTCTCAGGGAGACATTTGATGGGGGGCCTTGACTCGTCGTCTCCGATAGCTTCGAAAATCCTCTGGTATGCGTGATTGCCAGGACGCGAGGTGGAAAGTAGCTCCGAACCAATGGCGGGCGCGTAATCTTCGACCCGTCGAAATAGCGTCGACACGTCGGGGTGAAGCCAAAGGATGCGAATGCGTCGCACCTTCTTGGGCGGCCCTTCGCTGTCAGTTTCATCGTCGCTCATGCCCCCGGAGCCGAGGCGCTTCAACACCTTATTGACTTCCGCCCAGGTTCCATCTGGTACACCGGCGTAGGCGTACGTGATAATCTTTACCCGGCGATCCAACGTCTACTTAGCTGATTAGCAACATATCGCGTTAAGGACTGAGTACAAACCCCATAGCGCCGAGTATTCCTCCTGTCATTCTTCCTCCTGCGCTGCGTCTTCGATAGAAGTGCAGCCTGTTCTGCGGCGGTCTCTGCTGCTCTGGCCTCCTTAAAACTGCTGTGTACACCGGCAATCTTTGTTTGAATGATGTCGCGAATCAGGTGTCGAGTGGCGATATCCGGATCGAGTTTGAACTTCCCTGCCTGCAGTTGTTTATAGAAGTCGTTAGTAGTGGTGTCCAATATACATTTATTCCACACTGAGCGCATGTCCGCTGTCCAATCAAACACCATGTCCGTGAGGGCAGGCGGACATGCAACACTTTCCTCATATCGTCTGATGTCGTCCTCTTGGGCTTGTGGGAGGGACTGCGGATGAGCCGACTTAGATAGCCAGAGCTTCTTATCCGACAAGTAAGTGCGAATCACCACCTGCATCGTAGATTAGTAGCCGGTCATGAGCAATGAAAGTAAGGAACTCACGTGCAAAGCGTTGGGAAGTTTCTGGCGTTCAGGCTTTCTTTGGCGACCCGCCGGGTCCAAGGACCTTTTGGCTCTGGCGTAGGCCCGTACAGATTCAAACTCGCCGGGAGTAGGATCACCAGGACCGGTCGAGTTAGAAGCAGTGTTGGTAGACACCTGCGGATGTGACAAGTCAGGTGAGGGGATTGTGTCAGATCGCTGAGCTTGGGTGAAGGCCTGTGCCACTATGGGTGCCAATCGCTCAGCCAGTCGCGAGAGCTGCTCGTCTGATAAGTAAACAGAGGACTGTTGCAGCGGGAGGGGTCGGGCTGAGCCGTGTGGGCCAAATCTCATCTATGGCATATGAGCTCTCCGGATGCGATCGAAGAGCGGGATAAACTTACTTGGGGGGCATATGACGGCTGACCCGACAATGAATTGAGAGTACGAGGGATGGGAATGGTGTTTGCGATGTTCAGATTGGCAACGTTGGCTGCGATTGGGTTGACAGTAGGTGCGTTCGGGCCGGCAGAGGCTGCATTCGGGTTGGTAATGTTGGCTGCGATCGGGTTGGCAGTAGGTGCGTTCGGGCCGGCAGAGGCTGCATTTGGGTTGGTAATGTTGGCTGCGATCGGGTTGGCAGTAGGTGCGTTCGGGCCGGCAGAGGCTGCATTTGGGTTGG